GGGGGGGGGGGGGGGGGTTCTGATGTCTTACCGTTCTTGATTTTCCTCCTTGGACCGCTGAACAGGATTGACCTCAAAGTCGAGATCGGCACCTAAGGACCCCATGGTGGCCTGAGCTAAGAGCTCGATCAAATAAGGGAATGTATGTATAAAAGAAACACAGAGATGAGTATAATAATAGCAAATCTGTAGAAAGAGAAACACAAGATACTAATATAAGGTCTTTGATTGAGAGGAAACAGATTTCTCCTGGCTCGCTCAGACGGTAGTTATAGACCACGAAGAGGGGCAAAGTAGGATCAGACCAAAAGATGGGGATCTCCTGTGAAGGAGAAGCTTGATGGAGCTGGGGATCCAGGGCTCTCTAGCGAGAAGGCGACGGCCTGGGTCGAGAACCCTTGGAGGTAGAAATCGTAGAGGCAACGGCGGGGCAGGAGCTGTCACTAGCTGGCATCTGCATCTGATCGCTGGAACTGCCTAGCTTGAACCCATGGGGAGCTACTACTGCCTGGGAGGCCACTACGCACTACCGCACGACCTAGTATACGAGCCAATTCCACAGGCTGGCAGCAACGGTTACCCGCTTTACGTTCCATGGGAATGACAACCACCGTGCTAGAATGGAGTTGCAAAATACGGCAAGGTGCTATCTAGTTATGCTCTTAACTTCTTCAGTGTATCTCTTGCTATGGCTGTTAGATTGAAGAACGAGGGGCAACAAACAGGACCGATAGAATGCCAACACTCAACCGGAGTAAGCACCTACTGTATGTACTGAATATACAGCGCACTATCTAGTATCCAGATAGGCAAGATTCACCTCGTTTCACAGGTAGCGAGCAGGAGGCACTACCTGGCTCCAATCCACGGTACGGAAGATTCGACGAGTGAGCCTGAGGCAGCTAAGAGGACGAAAACGCCAGGCCTACGCCGGATGAGGCTTAGTACTTCGTGCTACCGTTGCTACGTACCGCGGCTCATGCCTGTGATTGGCTGAACCGAATTAGAGCCTGAGGCAGATGTACCCGGTCGGGGTTTGACCTAGCGCGGCTTGGCGGCACTAAGACCTCAGGAATGTCCGTGCTGCAACCCGTTTGATCGGATCTAGTCCTATTCGAGCCTAGTCATATAGCAATTACGACGGGTCAGTACTAGCCAATCCCCTCGTGCCCACTCGACCCACTCACAGTGCCCAGACCACATCCAAGCGAAGCGACTCCACTCCTGCAATCTATACTGTACGATGTACAATAATGATAAGATGTACATGAACGGAAAATATCCTGGCTGATTGACGTTCGCGGCCAGGCCCGCCTAGACCATCGCTCGCAGTCAATCTGGTCAGATCTCCTGCAGGGGCAGGTTGCAACTGTGCAACACTGCACGATGCAACGGCCTGTGAAAAGAGAAAGGAAAGCAAACATTGGAAAAGCTAAGCACGAAAACCTCCTCAGCTCCGATTGGCGAGACAGTTGCTCTTTTTGACACCGGTGTACTTTAATAGCCTCACAAAAGTACGTTGTCAATCGTCCACTGTGGCAGTGGCTACTCATGCTATGCGCTAAACTCGATTTGCAGGTAACTATACTCGTTGTCAGACGATGCTTTAGTGTCGGTGATTCTTCGGTCATAGACATGAAGCAGCATTCGTTATATGTGGTTAGTTGCACATCACATGTACATACACTTATACAAAGGTAGTAAGTATATGAACACATAATAGGAATGGCGGAAACGATAGCCGAGGATCTTTTTAATGTACTTGGGGATGTTGGCTCGTCTATTCAGCACAATGTCACCAATAGCATTCAAAGAAGCTTTTCTCCAAAACTGCCCCGAGGCCGAACGAACGCAACGCCAAGTATAACACCATGAATCCTGCCATACACTCACAGAGCTAGCAATAAATCTAGCATATTAAAAGGACACATCTACTCCCCACAAGATACTGAAAAATACGAGGCTGCTGCCGAGGCTGAAAATCGCATATCCACGTTCAACCATCAGATATCGAATGTTTTGCCACCTAGTTCTCCACCTTGCACCAGCTGATTCTGATAGCGCTTAACTTCGGTATCAGATTTTCGGAGCTGAGCCACAACCCCAGAAATCCAATAGCCATCACAGTGCACAGACGTATTACTCGTCGGGAATGACCGAACCGAGAAATTTCGTTTCCCCTTTCTCGGGATAAATTTCACGGACTGTGGCAAAAGGTTAGCATATAAAATCTCTCCGCACTACCATGCGAGCCGGCGCGCTGGAGTCCGCCAATCAAACTGCCGACGATCATAGATCATAGCTAAATACGCTATATACAGGAATGACGGGAAATGCGGGAAACGTTTCCATTCTACCAGAATCTAGTTGGTCGTCAGATACGTACTAAGATATTGTGTGGAACGAATACATGTTCAAGCCAGGCTAGCCTAAATATTGATAAGCCCTAATTTATACGTACGTATGGAGGGTCTATGTATCTCACTCTCTTGCTTCTCTCTTCCATTTTGCCGGACCTATTGTGCCTAGCCAGTTCAGTACTTAGGCAATCATACCTACATATCTATACCTGCTATTCCTACTAGCCCTAGAGCATAACCCCATCGGCCTTTCCGTTCTCCATACCATAACCCGAAGGACCTACCTTGGAAAACTCTTCAGTGGCAAAACCATCAAGGTACATACATCCATCCCCGAGGAGAAATATGATACGGACATGAAATTCGTACGAGCCAAAGAAATATTTCATCCGGTTAGAATATACATCCATATTGACCAAAGGAGGAAGGTAGTGCCATATACGTAAATGGGAAACATGATGGCAAATTGAATTGCCTTCGGGTTGTTGCCTGAATATTGCCTAAAGGAGTAGGGTTGAGGTGGGTATAAGCCCCAAGTTGCTGAACCAGAATGCTCGGGCTCCAGATATCTGTAAAATATTTACCTCTCCGGGTTACTCGCAACATCTTGCCCACTTTTTACTTCTTTTCTCTGGGTAAATATTGGACCGTCAATAAGAAATCCTCACTCAATTTTTCTGAAATATCAATGAGAGGTTCTAGATACCCGGTAAATCACCATGAGCTAGAGTAGAGCCTGCATTTCTTGTTCAATTGCCCAGTAATCATTACTGCCTGCCTTGACCTTGCCACGCTTTCGGTTGATGAATGCTGTGCTTGAGCTCAGATGACAGCGAATACTGTTCTGGTAGTCTGTATTCCCAGAACAGTAAAAGGCCATCTACTTAGTGGCCTGTATGGAATCCCCTAGGTAGTACATTGGAATTAGGATTCTTGTTTCTATATTCTGCATACATGTCAAATATGATATAGTGGCTCTGGAATGAAACATTACTTCTACCAACATTATTCCGGGGCACATAGGACAGCTTCCCTACCTCTAAGCAGTGTTTCACAATTTATCAATGAGCGATGTTTGTCCCAATGGCTTCCAGTTGCAGTGACTTCTTCAACCAGGTCTTGGAAGGCAGAGGTCATATCCCATGTTATTTGAACACCTACTAGAGGATTGTCTTGTTTGTGATGCACCTCGAAGGTAGCTAGAGCTGGGGTTAAAAACAGCAGCAGCAACAACAACAAAAGAAGAGAATTTACGAGCCTTGAGAGATTCTTCGGACGTCTTCAACGACGCCGGCATGGCCTAATGGCAAGGCGTATGACTTGTTGTTCTCCCTCTCCCATAGATGAAAGATAATAAATGCTAATATCATGCAGCTGTCTGATGCGTTATCACAAGATTGTGGGTGATCCCCGCCGCTGGCTTTGATTTTTTTCTTTTAGCCCACTACTACAACAAGTAGTAGACAATTAATAAGTGTTTTCTTCTTTCGAGTCAATATATCTTCTAGTAGAATTTAAATCTATTTAATTATAAGGTGGTGGTCTTTTTTGCTAGAAAAAGAAAGTTTCTGTCTTGTTCTCTCGAAGGTCCGCTGAGAATAAGAGAAAGAGCTTTCGAGATGACTGAAGAACTTTTGGACTTCTGCAAGCTCCATGCAATGGCAAGATATGTACGTTGTGCCATTGAATTCTTTGATTTCGGAGAAAGCTGGGGAGAAGAATATGAAGCCGAGGAATACAAAGGCGTGGTGTATAACAACGAGAAAAGCGCGGTAGAGAGCGTGGGTGTTGCGAGGTACCTTTGAAGTCAATTAGATCTGTTCCTGGATGCATTCCAAGAACAAAGAAGAAGTAACACTATTATGGTCATTGTACTGCCGAATGCGGTCTGAGGAACCCTAGAAGAGCACACAATGCAGCAAGCAAAATTGTTTAATATATGTACCCCAATATTTGTTACAAAGGACAAGAAAGATGAGAGATATGCAAGATCTTTATTTCGTCGTGTTACTCAACCTGACAAAAACCAAAAAAAGAACAAATATCAAAGGCTAACACAATCCAATCGACAATAGGCAGATTTGATGGACAGAGCCATGGAACCAGAAAGGTTCAAGAAAGCGAGAGAGAAGAAGAAGAAGAAGAGGAAGGAAGAAGGTTACATCACGAAATACCCAATGCTGGCACCATCCCCTGTTCCTCTTTAGCCTGCCCACCGATTCTGTACGATACTTTGAACCGTATCTTGACGGAATTGCCCTTGCCAGGGTCAACATTCTCAATTGACATTTCTTGCTTGACTCCGGCGGACTGGAGTGGGGAGATATCCCTGCCGGTTTGCGGGTTGAGGCGTAGATGGTATGCCTTGGATGAGCATGTATGTTAGTCAATTGTCATAAAAAGGGTAAAACTGAAAGATCAAGGAAAGAAAAAAAAAGCTCACCCGCTCAACAGCAACTTGGAAATGAAGCTCCGCTAATGGCTGACTGCTCTTGTTTGAAAACAGAGCCATTATTTGGATGGTGCGAGGCTCGCCGGGTTTCCGTCGAACCTCGAAATCAACCGCCAACAAAGAGTTTAGGACGCGCACTCTGTTTGTTGCTGGCAATACATTTTCTGCCGGCAATGAAGATGCAAAGCTCCATTCGTCATCGGCTGATCCAGCGGTAGCCACAGCACTAGCACTGGGTTGTGGACGGGCGGATGATGGCGAGCCCCCTGCAAGATCTAAAAGAGTCGATGATGGTATAGACGAAGAGGCTTTCTGGTTACCAGTAATTGGAGTTGAGGCTCTGGGGCTCGCTGAAATTAGTGCGGCAAATGGGTCGATAGCTGGCGGAGGAGATGTAGGTTTGGCCTGTTGCGATACGGTAGGTGCTGGTGTAGATGACTGCGAACCGGGTTGAGATCCTGAAAGAGAAGAAAGGATATCGTAGTTTCTCTGAAAGCCAGTGCCAGAAGACACTTGCACCTGAGCGGGAGGGACAGGCGGGAAGCCTGAAGATGTTGTAGTAATGGGAGCATCTAAGTTTGGTGTTAGTATAACCACGGCTTGTCATGTATATTTATGGTAAATCAATGGGGCTTGCTTACCAAAGCCCAAGTTGACAGGACCAGGAGTAGATTTGTCCTGGAAAGACAGTCCAATCAGGTCATCCTCCAAGGAGCTTGTTGCTTGTTGTTGTTGTTGTTGCTGGTTTTGTACACTGGGACTCGGCTCAGGATCAAAATCTATCAATGATAGCTCGTTGTTTGCATTCTTGCCGACTCCTGTCGTTGTACCCAATGTTCCCTTAGGTATCCTAGAAGCACCTTCAAAGTCGCCTGTCTTGACCAATTTATATCTTTCTATAGTCCGGTGAATACTATCGTTGATCTGCTTGAGCTTCTCAACCGCCTCGTGATCGTCCGACTCTTCCTCGCACATCTTTTGGATTTTCGGATGCGCGCTTTGAAGGGCATTTGCCAGTTCCTATACATACCTTAGCAACTATGATACTGAATGTAAGAGAATAAAGCATACCTCAAACACATCTTCCGCAGCTATCGTATCGCCTGGCTTGATGCTCTGCAGCATTTCTTCCAGGATCTTGGCTTTCTGCTGAACATGTGAGACTTCCTCGGCAGCCTTGGCCCTGTAATCAGTCTTATTCCTTGTGTCGTATCCAGCCATGACTTTCATTAAACGGTTCGCTTCCTGCAGGTCCTGCGGCGTGCCTCGCCGAATAAGTTCCTGGAGTTTCGCGGACTGTGCTGCCCTCTCTTCTTCCTCCATTTCCTCTGCTGAGCGGAGCGCCTAAACCCAGCATTAGCATTGTAATACATATACTCTCGGACCGAGATATCCTCTTACGTCGCTCGGGTTCAAGACTGCTGCATCTTCATGTCGCACTTCCGGAAAGCTATACCCTTTATAGAGTAAAAGGCGATGCATATCTCTGATAAAGCCCAGATCCTCCTTGTATCGTGAAGTCTGACAGATCGTTTGGCGCCATTCCTCGATCGACTCGAGTATTCGATACTGAACCCGCGACGGCCGTAGGGGCGGCCGCTCCGGGAACCGACGCACCAACTCATTGAGGAACTCCTTGGTGCTTATCTGGAGATGGAACGGGTATCCGCAGTTTTTTACACATATATCGAGAAGCTAGGCGAGCGTCAGCTGGATCCGTGTTCATCCTCCATCATATGTTTGGTGTATTGTGTAGGTAGTGATGAACGCACCGCCAATGCCAAAAGAGCGACATTTTGGTTTCGAGAGTTGATTAAATGAACGATCGCAATGGCAGCTTCGCGAGGGCTGCAGAGACACAACATGCGCATGTTAGTTTGAATATCAACATCATCATTATCAAGCCGCAGAACCCCCACTCACGCATTGCCCTTCTTCTGGTTTATCAAGTCGGCGACCTCGAGATTCAATGCAAGGTTCGGTTCGTAATTGGTTGGCTCGCAGGCATTCTCTGCACCCAGGTTAGTTTTGGGAAGAAGGCGATTTCAGAGACAGATGCGCCATACGTATCGCTCGCTGCAGCGGTGTTAACGACGGGTCAGCAAAAGAACCGAACCGGTCCCTCGCCGCCATGCGTGCTGAAGCAGCCTCCAGCTTGGAGAAGGAAGGGGCAGTAGATGCAATATAGACAGAAGATACAGAAAGACAGTGGTCGCTTGTCTTTCGTAACGGAGTAGTTATGGACAGTTGCGGGTGTTCAATGCTGTGAGCAACGGTGGAGCTTTTAGGCGCGGCGTGGTGCGGCTACCTTCCGTCAGCCAGACCAAAAGATTTCAAGACCGCTCGCCTTCCTGGACATCTGACCTCGACATATCTCTCTGGTCGCCTTGATCCCACTTGATTGCGATTATTATCAGTCTCAGTCTCACCAGCATGGTCCGACACAAGAAAGACAACTTCTCCAGAGGCGGAAAGCGAGCAGGAGGACCACCCCGCCACCGACCTTCACCCCGCGGCGCTGACGAGAACAACGATGCAGAGGGCGGCGCAACAAGGCCGCCGTTCAAGGCCGCTTGCTGGGATTTTGGGCACTGTGACCCGAAGCGCTGCTCAGGGAAGAGACTCATACAGTTTGGCTTGATGAGGGAGCTTTCGATTGGGCACAAACACCCCGGAGTTATCATTTCGTATGAATTATCTTTCTTGCTGATGAGGAATAAGGAGAGCTAACGGGCATTGGCTCACAGACCAAATGCAAAACGTGTACTTTCTCCCGCAGACAGAGATACTCTCGAACAATACGGCGCTGCAGTGGTGGAGTGTTCGTGGGTGCGTGTCAAGGAAATCCCATGGTCTCGTATTGGAGGCAAATGTGAAAGATTATGTATGTGCAATGTACGAAAGAACAGCTCAAGTTACCTCTACTGACTACGACTTGACAGTGCCATACCTCATCGCAGCGAATTCTGTCAACTACGGCCGCCCGTGGCGATTAAACTGCGTCGAAGCGTTAGCGGCTTGCTTCTATATATGCGGGCACGAGGATTGGGCAGAAGAAGTGCTGAAACACTTCTCATACGGCGAAGCATTCATAAAAATCAACTCTCAGCTACTGAAACGATATGCCGCATGTTCGAGCGAAGAAGAGATCAAGAAGACAGAGGAAGAATGGCTCACCAAGATCGAGCGCGAGTATAATGAAAGCCGTGCCGAACGAGACGCTGGCGGAGCAAACGATATGTGGGAACGAGGCAACACAAACCGCCTCGAGGTGCCAGATTCCGAGGACGATGAAGATGAAGGCGAAGATGGCGAGAATGAAGAAGAAGAAGAAGAAGAAGACAAAGACCCTTTCGCAATTTCAGACGACGAAGACGACGAAGAAGAAATGGCCGAAATCCGACGAAAGATTCTCAACTCGAAAAGCTTCCAGAATCCCACGCAATCATCTTCTTCGCATGACCAGCCAGCGAAAATCCCGCGGCCAGAAGAACAGCATTTACCTATTGATTCGGATTCCGAGTCTGGTTCCGCCGAAGGCAGCGACGGGGACGACGACGAAGCCTTTGACAATATCATCAACGCGACTCCCGTGACGGATCGGACGGGGATTTTGGCAAAGGAGCAGCGCAGTGTGAATGATTCTTTAACTGCTTCGTTTTCGCGGACCGTCATCTCTGCGCCGAAGAAGTGGTGATTTAATGATCGAGATTTGTTTGAATGACCATATTTCCGAAAATATCATGAACATGCAACCGGGATCTGTCTCTCAAAGCATGCACTTCTCGACTATTCTAGCTTCTAGGTGTCACTCTGCACCAGACGTCAGTGCCCAGTCTGGCGCAGTCTGCTAAGAGAATTGGCTCATATGACGAGTCACCTTCGCCCGAAAGTGATAGCAATGTCACTATCCAAAGCATTTAGAGACATATCGTCATTCTGCTTTTCAGAGTCTTCCGTACATTCATGCCGGCGTGCTATCCATGAAGGTGTGCCTTATACCTCATAGACGAAACTCAAAGATGATGCGTCTCTCCTCAAGCAGATCTCAGAAAGGAACTACAACCACGTCAAAGTACGTAGGGTTAATATAATAAACATCGAGAAAAAATAATATGGATTGCAACCACTAAAAAGGCGATGAAAATAACACACAGACAAACCCATTTTGCTTATTATTAATGAATTCCCTCGCAATAAAAATCACTATCCATTCCAAGCAATACCATACCATACCATACCATATCATAACGACGAGGTCGCATGCAGAACATGATGAGAGATAAGAAAATCAATGCAAACCGACAAACCGATAACCCGCATGAAAATCGAAAAAAAAAAAAAAAATATATAAAATAAAAGACGCCAGTAATGTAAAAAAATTACAAATAATCAAGATCATGCCCCTTTGAATCTTCTTTCGTTTGGCAAGGAACACATATTTACATGACGTAAAGAAGGTTGGTATCTGTTCATTATTTCGTTAGTAGATGATGATGGATGATTGCTGAAGACGGTAAAGCAGAAGAGAGACAAAAAAAAAAAAAAAGACAGCGCCGGATATTGAATATTTGGCACTGATGATGGGGACGCGAGAGAAATAATTCTAGGTAGTTATCGTACCAATTGGATGACTGCAGCTCAACTGAGGCTTCTGGGTATATTTTGCAGCAAGTTCGTCGCGGATACTGTTGAGTAGCTGAACGTAGCTCTGGTGCGGGTTCCTCTTGAGAGCATTTATAAAGGCCCAGGACATGGCGCCGGTAGCCTGGCCGTTGATCGTGGCGTCTTGACTCGTCTGCTCATCCTTGCTGCCGGACCACATGATGACATCTGCAGGACTGGTTTTTGTCTGACGTGTCTTCTCGTATGCCGAGTCTCCCTTGGTAGCCTTTTTGATCAGGCCCATTGCGGACGAGACCATGCTGCCCATATCGCCGCGTGCATAAGACGAAACAATGCTGAGTAAGCCGGCGCCAGCTTCCTTGGCCAGGTTGGGCTCCTTGAGCACGCCTTGGGTGGAGTAGATGTATGGTAGATCCAGAGCGGATCCAGAGTGGCACGAGTCGAAGATGGCTGTAAGTCTGACGCCGGGCTGCAGCGGCTTGACCATGATGCGATGCATTTCGTCGTCTACAATGTGTCCAGCAGCTCGGAAATCCACCGGGTAGATGACCTCGTCGTATCCGTCGTCTTCGTCGCCGTCCAAATCAGGAGTCTGGCCACCATGTCCTGACGAGAGAAATTCGTTAAAAAAACATCCATGACTGCGGCAACGATGTACAACTAACCTGAGTAGTGGAAAAACAAAGAATCGTTCGGCTGAGCGTCCTTGACCAACCAGTGCATTGCTCGCAGTATATTCGCCTTGGTCGGCTGGCTCATGGGGTTTTGCTGGTCGTCTGTAAGAAGAACCATATCTTCTCGTGCATAGCCAAAGGCCTGATTCAGGTATGAAGACATATTCTTAACGTCATTGATGCATCCACGCAGCTGACCCTTTTGACCAAAGTAGTTGATTCCAATCAACAGCGCCTTTCTCTTGCCAGTACATTGCGAGTATCGAAAGTTGTAGCCTTGCGGGGCTCCTTGACCGAACGCAACAGCTTCATTAGGCGGGGGTGCAGGACCTATAGTTGACGGTCAAGTTAGCCAGTTTGCCTTCTTGAAATCCAAGGAATTGTTAAAAAAAAAAAAAGAAAGAAAAGAAAAGGGTAAAATGCGAGAAAACTAAGTTCAGACGAACCTTGCCTGCCGTATCCAGCGCCGTGGGTGGGCGGAATGGGGGAATGTGATGAGGGCGGAGGGCCATAGCCAGGTGCCTGAGGAGGAGGTCGCTACGCAGTTGAAATTAGCATGTTTTCTTCAGTTAGGCCAGTGCGAATAGAACACGCATATATCAACATACGTCGTATCCACCATTGTTATAAGACTGAGGCGATGGCGTTTGCTGATAGCCATAGCTGCCCTGATGAGCGTGGTGGGTGTGATGGTGATGGTGCTGGTAAGGCTGCTGCTGGCCTTGACCAGGATAGCCGGCATAGTTTTGCGGCGGCCTATCACGATACGTCAGCCCTAAAACTTTCTTTCTTGACATAAACATAAACATAGCACAAAACAGCAAGCAAACTCACGGGTAGGCCTGTGGCGGAGGGCCGTAACCATTGGGAGGAGGGTATTGCGGCGGCGGGTAGCCGCCATACTGAGGCGGATAATAGGACATTTCGCGTAAAAGTATCTAGGCGGCGAGAGGTGGCGCCCGCGAAATGTGGGAAAGGGATGTCGGAATGGAAGAGGAGAAAAGGGAAAGGGGGAAAAAAAAAAGGTTCTTTGTCGTTGATGGAATTCTGATGAACCCCCGATCGATAATTTAGTTAGGGAAAATCGTAATTACGAACGCGCGGAGTGGGGGAGTTGCCACACCACGACCGGGGGGGGAGCACGGGCGGTGTATTGGTAATTACGGTACGGATACAGCCGCAGTATTATCGATCGCGATCTGCACGGGCAGGGCGGGCTGTGGTTGGTCCATCGCGCGGGCCGACGGCGAAGTCCGGTAAGCGACTATTTAGCTGTGGGTATTTTTGCTGGGTACCGGTATTGCGGTGACAATACGAGCCCAGATCTCGGCCAGCCACAGCTGAACCTCACATGTCAGACTCCACACTCATACGTCAAACTCTTCAAGCTGCGCCCCTTGTTGATGTATGTAATACACTATGTATTTATTTTGAATTCCGGCTGGTTTGCTCCTCGATTACTCTTGGGAGATGGCTCTACTGTTCATAAATGTATGTCCATATTATATCCACATACGTGTATAGACTATTGCAGATTTCGGCATGTGCCCAAACTACTAGTGTATACAGAACCGGCATATTTAGGCGATGCCCCAGGCAGCAAAACGTAGGTATCAACTCATGGATGCTGATAATCTATAAATATCATTATGTATTTATTTCAGAACAAAAGAACATATTACATGCATCCAGTCCGTAAAACTACTTTTTTTTTGCGAGTCTCCTATTTTACCGTCTAGGCATGCCTCGGCCACGTCCACGAAGAGCGCGTTGAGCGGCGCCGGGCGGCAGACCCCTTTGCGGAGCCTGGGGTTGAGCAGATTCTTCGTTTTCTGCGGAAAGTCAAGAGTTAGTCATACAAACACAAGCGGAAATCTGAAGAAGAGGGGAAAGAAAAGCATACTGATTGTCTCGTCAACGCTCAAGATCAGGCAAGCAGCTTCGACGGCGGCTTGGATGGCATTGACCTTCACCAAGCTGGGCTCCCATACAAAAGCCTCCATATTATTCCGGATACCTTCATGGTCAAAGTCCACGCCGGCCCAGACGTTGCCTTTTCGGTGCTCGGTACGCAACCGGTTGAGGATATCAGTGGCATCAAAGCCACCGTTGTCACACAGTTGTCGCGGGATGACTTCCAGGGCCTTGGCGAACGCCTTAACGACAGCCTGCTGCTTGTGGGGAACGTTGCGATCCGCAAAGCCATGGAGGTAGCCTGACAATTCCATCTCGCAGGCACCACCGCCTGCAACAATTGTTGGGTTGCGGATGGCTCGCTTGACAATCATGATAGCGTCGTGCAAGCTTCGCTCGACTTCGGCAATGAATTGTTCGGCACCACCACGCAAGACAAGAGTACATGTCTTGGCAGCAGGGCACTGTGAGAAGAAATTGAAACGCTCTCCACCGATTTGTCGCTCCTCGAACGAGCCGCATGTTCCGAGATGACGGTCCTGGATGTCAGAGCATGTAGATTGCACAGAGGCACCGGTGGCCTGGCAGACACGTTCGAGATCCTCAGAAGCAACACGGCCTGCGCAGAAAATATCACGATCGGCAAAGTACCTATAGTAGCGAGCGTAAGTTATACAACGGAAATACCGAGAGAAAGAGAAGAGAGAGAAGGAAATAGATCACATACTGTGTAGCCAAATCACCAATAGGTAGCTTGCTGAGCACAACCTTAGCGCCAGTCTTGTATAGAGCCTCCAACTTGTTGTAGATAATCTGCCACTCCGCATCCACAATAGCCTGGTATTCAGATACTTGTTCAACTCGAACTTCAGCGTTGTCTTTCTCACTCTTCAGCTCCAGCTCAACGTTTAAGCAGACAATCTTAGGGTTCTTGAACGACTTGGGCTGCTGCTCGAAACCGGCGTAGGAGAAGGTCTTCTTAAAGGCGACACCGTCCACAAAGAGCGAATCCTGGAGAGCACCACCATGAACCTTTTTAACGCCAATCAGCTTTTCATTCAGATCATCCTGATCGAGAGACAAGACGGCATCGACGACCACTAGAAAAAGAATTCCGTTAGAGACTCGTTTGTTTTCTATAAACCGAACTGGGTTTGCCTACTCTTGGTGAAGAAATCCGAGTTCCTTTTGATAAGCTTGCTGTTCATCGCTGTACCGGCTAGACGTCTCAGAGTCTCAATCTTCTTCTCTTCACTGCCCGAAGCTTCCAACATGTCGACCGCAATTTCCTTGATTTTGTTGACGGCCATGGCACTTGCCCGTCGAAGGCCCTTGATAATAGTCTGGGTGCTGACTCCCTGCTCAACCGAGTCTCGGACTTCTTTCAATATTTCACCAGCCAAAACAACAACCGACGTCGTTCCATCGCCAACTTCGGCATCTTGCGAGCGAGCAATATCGGTAAGAATGCGGGCGGCGGGGTGGACTATGTCGAGGAGCTGATAACACAGCGTTAGTTTTTGGCAGAACAAAAAATAAAAGGGGATGATGGATCTTCACCTTCATCACAGTTGCGCCATCGTTGGTGATTGTTTGCTTGCCGTTGGAGTCGACAAGCAGTAGATCACCGCCGTATGGACCCAGCGTGCTCTTGATGGTGGACTGCACAGCGACGCAAGCATTGATATTCGAAATGATCTGGCCCTTTCCCTGGGAAGCATCCGTCCCTAGCCCCAACACCGTGAGTTTCCTTGCCATGAAGATGCTAAGAGGAAAAGGGGGGATATCACACACCCTCCTTCAACACAATGATTGTGGGTGTTTGGCCGGCGAAGGCCATGGTTCGTGCGTCAGGATGAATAAGAGGAAAACAACAGAAAGAAAGGTCCGTATAAATAAATCCTTTGCACGGACAAGGAAAATAAATTCCCAGGATCGAAAGCCGTGGACAAGACCTTGTTGTTGTTCTGGCTACCGCGGGGTCGCATCAAAATGCTGCTACTGCTTGGTCACCCAAAATTCTGATGGAGCTCCGCAGGCGGTCAGCCGCCGGCCAATGAGATTATCCCGTAGTAGTGTACGCTTCGAGAAAGAGAAATACTTCAGGAACACTACTGGTATGGATTATGAATCGCTAGTCTATGTAAAATTGTAAACCGATTTCTCCCATGGCAAATTAATAGAATACAAGAACGGAACAACCGCCTCAGGTAAAGTCAATGTCATCGTCGGACCGCTCCACATATCGAGAAAGCATCTCCTGCTCATTTTGCGAATCACTCAGCTGCGTATTCACCAAGTTCAGGGCATCTCGCTGCAGGGCCTCCGAGTCCGACTCGTCATTCACCATCGCTTGATAATCGCTGGACCCGTGGGCCCTCAGTTCTTCCTCAAACACCTCATGCGGCAGTCCGTGGTTCTGCTCGTACGGAGCAGCAATGTTGTGGTGATGTTGGAATCGGGGTAGATGGGTGTTCATATCAATGATTTGCGGATCAAGCGGCAAATGTGTATAGTCGGACATGCCATCGTCTGCAATTGGAGGATGCGTCTGCGTAAAGGGACTTGAGTGCGCATGATGCGTAGAAGCATCCGTCATCAAATGATCGGTGTGTGCAATCATGCCGTTCGGTGTGGTGGTTTCTATTTCATTACTGGACTTGATATTGGGCGGCGCTTCTGCAGTCCGGGCTCCGTTCAGGACAGGCGGAACCTTGGAGGTCTCTTTGCACTTGGGACAATCGCGAATAACTCGGCTTACTGTCTCTTTAATGCGGACCCAATGGTATTTCACTGCTACCGTGGCTGTGGTTTTGTTGATGCCGCCGTGTTGTTGGAGATGCACCTGGCGTGCTATCTCATATTGTTGCTGAGGGTCCGAAACAACCTCTTTATCCTTAAGCATCAGCCTTTCAGGTTCTCCATCGCCTCCACCGCCAACAAGTTTATAATGTGTTGCTGCGCTCCTTAGTCGGCTTTTCTCGGCGCGATCAGCACCTCGAGGGTATTTAGAATGCTTCAGATAATACCGGATCTTATCAAACCTCTCCTGAGTAACGGAGTCCTCGCCTTCGAGGCTCAGATCACGTCCATATATAATTCCGTCAACTAGCTGGTCTGGATGAGAGCGAAGATTTCCGGCGCCCGGAACCTTGCCAATACGCTTAAACCCCAACGAATCCCAAATCCGGCATGAAGCTACATTATTCTCATACACAAGATTGAACACTGAATACGTATAGCCCTGTGGAAGTAACGGTAAGAAAAAGAAAGAAAGGAAAAAAAAAAAAGTTCATCCTGCTAGATGTGTTGCACGAACCAGTCTTGGGGCCCATTCAAGGTAGCCTTCTCCCATCAATCGACCCACACCCCTGTTACGGGACGCATCAGTAACCAGAAAAGTCCCATTGCAGACATGGCTACTCCGGCCCGGATAATTCGGCCTGATATTGAAGCTCCCAAGACATATCTTTGTCCAGTCCGTCCGCCTCTGGTCCATGATCTGAACATCATGTACGTCTTGTATGTCACCCAGCAGCATGACAGCTCCGAAATTCGAGAACCAATACGGTCCGAATTTGTCGAGCGGGATGGGATCCATCATAGTATACGTGTTGCCCTTCTCGATCTCCTTATTGAGCTGATCCAGGAGATAGCTGAGCAGAGAATGAGGCACCTCGGCCGCCGAGGAGAACGGCACGAGAGTCGCGACCGTCACCCGGTCTCTCAGGGTGACCTGGCGAGGGCATATCGCTCCAGGAAGCTCCCTCGGGCTTGCTATCACCGGGGCGTCCGGGTCCTCATGAACGGCTGGCATGGCTGACCTGTGGCCCTTGCCCGCCGTGGGCAAGGATGGTCACGGGACTGGGTTGGTTTCACATTAGTCCAGAGTCAGACTGAATGATTGGCTTCGCACAAGAGGCTGGGAGCGCGATGCATGGGCTGGGAGAAAGAGAGAAAAGAAAAAATAAAAGCAAAGGGCCGTTTAGTATTTACCAGAAAGGGGGGGGGGGCAAGTTAGGGCTAGCCTTGCGCCGTGACTTGCTTCTTGAGTTCTCAGAAGAACGCGCCGTAGTCTGCAGTCCGGAACAATCTGAACGCAGCGGAGAAAATGCCGTACCGCTGTCATGTGACTCGCCCCGTGCCGCTTGTCTACTTTGGGATTGGGCCCTGTGTCAGGCAGCACTAGCTAACTTCTAAGGCATCAATTCTGTTCTTCTATACGAAAGCACGCTAAACAAATGCATCCTTCTTCAATATCAAAATCGCTCTTTCGGCCAATATCGTGCTATTCGCCATGCCTCCACTACTCAAACGTAGTGCCCCGGTACTGGGATTGCGCCAATAGCTTGACTTTCCATCCGTGGTGCCTCATGACGCGCGTCATATCCTTGAAGAAAGGGTTGTTCCGGTGAACCTCGCCAACGATCTTTCGAAGGGGTTTAATCCCTCTGAAGCGAGCAGATAAAATCTCCAGCATTGCATTGAAACCCCCCACTTCCCTAGACTTATGATACATGTAATCCATGCTGTAAAGGGCCGTTCTAATTGTCCTCAAGTCGGTGCAGTAGCTTCGAATGTATCTGAGCGCACGATCCTCGTCGTCTGCAAGAGCGACGTTTCGCTTCTTATCGTAGCTAATATGAAGGGTAGGCAAACAGATGTCTTGGATATAGCTTGCGTTTGTGCAGCCGATTTGTTTCAGAAATAGGCTGATCCAGTCAGGAGCGCAGTTGACAAAGGCGAAGCGGTTCCGGGAATAGAACAGCTTGCTGGCTTCGCGGTAGACCTTCTTGTTCGTGCGGAGAATCCTCAGCCTGCGTCGTAGCCTAAGAGACCTGCACACATAGGGCTCAATGGGTACGTCGAGCACCAAGAGGTGCTTGTAGATCTTCCACCGAATTTCACCCGGAAAGGCGAGAAAACTGGTAGGCATGGCGGCGATAGTGTATGAGGGTAAGATATCTGTATTGTCACTGGAAACAATATTCAACTAGGTAGGAAGGCTGTTGGATTGCTAGCAGGGAGGAGTGCCTGGTAATAAGCTTGATAAGTTCCAGCGAGAAGCGTGAGGGACCTCAAGGACAGGAAATCCTCGTCTCTATAACTAGACACAAGCCTTGGGTTTAGCAAGGAGATTTCTCTGAAAAGGTCCAGCAGATATGTGTGTTTACATCAGGACCTTTTATCCAAAGAGTAGCATCGTGAATCCACTTGGTAGCCGAGGCATCTCATTTGAAGATTGTAAACAGTGAGAATAAAGGATTGAACAGTAAATTCGAGGCAGGTTCAGATATCTCTTTGATTAGCTTTTTAGTACCAGGGAATATCTAAACATCAAGCCACCTAGAAATGACCCCTTAATGGTGCTTTTTTGGTGTAATTCTCCCTTGTCACTTCCGACTATGGGACGTTTACCTACACAACTGCTTTGTTTCATTTCGCCAATTTACACTTGTCACATACAATGGGTGACTTGCATGGTCATAAATCAACGAAGAGGAAATGCGACGAGCTGAACAGTCGTCAGCTCCGGATTGCTAAAGGCAAAGACGAGGCTTTTCATAGTATAATATTGTTACGGAACAGAAGATACCAATCTGCCAGGCCTTAGTTACCTAGGTAACACCCAGAGGCACTCATTGTAAGTACAGATCTCTTCCCCTTACTCTGCTTAATGGTCAGCTAAATTATACCTACCTAGGTGCTCTAACTAGGTAGCTGCTGGGAACATTGTCGGATTTATTGGCGGTATGTGTGATGAGGATTTCGACGATTAAGGTTTCATATATATATATATATATTCTTATTCCATCTTCTCTACTAAAACAGTTGCGTTCAAGCCAATGTAAGTGACTACCAAGGTGCAATAAGGAATTGCAGAGTATAAGACAGCATATATACCTGGTTATAGGTTATTTTCCTATCAGGTACTAAGAAGTGCCCGACGTCTTAGCCTGGTGTCTGCCCAGGTGATCATAGTTACTAGTCTGATAGCAATAGTACATACTACTATACATTTAACACCCGGCTTGTCCCAGTTGGCCTACCAAGGAACTACGAATGCAATCCTAACTTGTTACAATTGACTAGTTGGCTCATACCCAGAAGACTTGTCTCTATTCTTTTCTACACACTGTGCTTTGACTTGGCAGTCTCAGACGTCAAAACATGGCGCATCCCCTCGTAGATTTGGCTGCCCAAATCACCAAAACAGCGAAACTAATCGACAACTTCATCGACGCCAACGGCCATTCACAGCCCTCATTCGATGTCGATGCACCGACTGCATTTCCTCCAGCCACCGAGGAGATCCTCGCCGCGCGCCGGCAGCTGCTAGATGCATCGCAGGCCATTACAGAGTTACTGATTAGCCCCGCCGAGTATTTGCGCTGGTTTTCATGCAGGGTATGATGAGACAGGTCCAATTTAGGGTACTTCTCAACCCGATCTGATGACATCTAGCATCATGATATGTCCAGTCTCCGATGGCTCCACCATTTCAAAATCGCCGAAGCCGTGCCGCTAGATGGCACGATCTCCTTTGCAGAGATAGCGAAGCGAACCGGCGTCGATGAAGACCTGCTCAAACGAGTCTTGCGCTATGCCATGACCAACCGGATTTTCCGTGAGCCAGAGCCCGGTCTAGTAGCTCATACTTCGGTATCGGCACTGCTGGTCCGATCAAAATCGCTGAATGACTGGGTTGGCTACACGTGCGACGAGTCTTACCCGGCCTCTGCGAAACTCGTGGAGGCACACCAAAAGTATGGTAATAGCCAGAAGCCAAATGAGTCAGCTTATGGCATAGCTTTCAACACGGATGAACCCATGTTCACCCATCTCGCCAGATTCCCCAGCCGTGAGCGGCGATTCGCCAACACCATGATTGAGATGACCTCCACTGAAGGCTATGGTGTCCAGCACCTGGTAGACGGATACAAGTGGGAAGCTGTTGGAGAAGCAACTGTTGTCGATGTAAGCTGATGGCTCTAGACGTCCCGCGGCACAACATTAACAACGATTTGCTGTTATATATAGGTCGGTGGCTCAACCGGACACGCGTCCATTGCTATTGCAGAAAAGAAAGCTCCGAATGCTACCTTTATAGTCCAGGACCTCTCGACTGTTATAGACCAGGGAAAGAAATCGCTTCCACATGAACTTGAATCCCGGTTTACATTCCAAGAACACGATTTTTTCACACCACAGCCGGTTTCTGCGGACATATACCTTCTCAGATTCATTCTGCACGATCATCCTGATGCAATCAGCCAGCAGATAGTGAAGAGCTTGGTTCCTGCAATGAAGAACGGATCTCGCCTGATTATCAATGACGGTGTACTTGCGGAACCCAACACATTGCCCACAATTGAAGAGCGGATTTCGAGGTATGCGAAGACCAAGTTCCGCTCACTGATGCAGCTCTAACTGGTTGTACAGGATCATGGATATGGAAATGATGACTACTTTCAATGCTCGCGAGCGGCCGCTCGCAGACTGGGTGAAGCTATGTTCTGACGCCGACAGCCGGCTTAAACTGCGCTCTGTCTCGCGGCCAGAAGGGAGCGTACTCTCCATCTTGGAGTTTGTCTTTGATGATTAGCGATTTTAATGCACTGGCGTTGTTTTGTGAGACTAACGCTCTTCTGGAAATGGCATTCTAGAGAGTCGTTCCCTCATTTCCGAACCAGTCAATACTAGTACATTATCAAGGCACTGAGATCAAGGGAGATAATAGTTCGTAAATTCATTAATACCAACCGATCAGGTCAAAGCACTTGCAACAAAACCTTCATGGCACAAAGAATATGATCTAGAGAACAAAGCTTGTCGGAGGAGCGAAGTCAACAGGAAAGAGAAGATGAGATTCTCTTAGCAGGCAGAGCCCTGCGGTTTCTTCTAGGTTAAGCATCTCCCTCCTCGTGAGACCTCCAGGTAGTCAATCCATCAATCTGCTGCCTCATTGTTTCTCTGCCCTCAAGAAGAGACCTTAAGAAACTGACAAGCGGCCTTTGTGTCAAGAAAGCCAAGCAAACCAAGATACCGTCAGTGGCAACACGAAACTGGTTGATATAAAACCGAAGATGAAAAAGCAATCCTTGAGCAGCAGTATTGCCAAGTCTGTTGAAATAACTGAACAAAGTAGCGGCCACGACACAGTTGCGATGAGTGATGACGGCAACAACCACATAACCGCTCAACCAAGCCAGTCACTGGAAGACTGGCGTGAGAGACGCAAACTTGAGCATCCAGAAAGACGAGTGTGGAAGATAGAAGCCAATCCACGACGAACTCGTAAAAACCAACGATTGCAGCTAAGTACATCCTCTCAGTACCGGCTGAGAGGCGAAAATTCTGTCTCCGACCATAGATACACTTGTAATCTTAGAATCTAGGCGGCACTTGATTGATATGTCCGATTACAAGTTGACTTGTATGGTGTCGAGGAGATTAAAAAAAAGGGGGGGCTGGCGGAGTTCCGCCAGATGCCCCATCAGCATTCGACTCGGACTGCATTACATAGCTCACGGCTCACGGCGGCAAAACAGGGTCTACGCAGCGTCCTTGCATGGATCGATAGTCAGAGTTTTGTGGCAGCGGTGGAGATATGCAAATCCAATTAGAAATCTGACCATGACTGCAGGCAACATGCAGCTCCGCCGGTAGTATCGAGAGGCGGGGGATTTTTCAGCCCAACTCCTGAGGATCAATACGAACACTTCTATATAGTCCCTGATACCTCTATAATCCTCAACAAAATCTCAGTCAACGATAACATTATATTCAAGCTACTGAGCTAGACCGGTTCAGAGTCGGAAACATGGAGTCAGCCCGCCCACAGTTCTATCCAAACACCCTGCAGCCAACAGACATAACCAAAGAGAACCTCTCTCTGATCCTGAAAGAGCTGCAACTGGCAATCAAAAACGGTGTAGACATCATCAGCAAGAACGTCCAGCGTCCAACAGACCCAAGTTCCTACGGCAACATCTACAGCGGAATACCAGGCATCATTCTCACTCTCCTCCGACTAGAACGCCAGAAATCATGCCTTCAACAGACAACGGATCACGAAGACAACAAGTCTTACAGCAAAATAGCCTTTGACTTGATAATGTCCACACCGACGGCAAATATTGATCTTGTTGATGGCCGCATGTCCCCAATTGGATCCGCCCTGGGCGCAGTTCTGATGCGGATTCTGGCTCTCTGCGAAAACCACAATTTACGACTTGCACAAGACGTACCCGACTTGGCCGACGATTTCACAGTTTTTAACAAAGCAGTCCAGAATGCAACGCTTCACGGACACGTTGTTCCATTTCCAGGGTACAACCCTATAGGTGGTGACGAAGTATTATTCGGTCGAGCAGGGCTATTGTGGGCAATCCTCACCATAGAAAAGCATTGCTTGACGGAAAAGACAAGGCAGTTAGTACTAGTGCATTTGGAACCGGCTCTAGAGTGTGTTCCGAAGCTCGTTGACGCGATTATTTCCGCTGGCAAACAAGGGTCGCAAGATTTTGTGAAGCTATATGGCGCTAAAGACGCGATGCCTCTGATGTACCAATGGATGGAAGGCTATTATGCACTTGGTGCAGTGCATGGTACCACGGGCATTTTGACAATGCTGCTTTCATCCCATTTGAACGACGATCAACTCGAGTTGGTTGCAGAAACTGTGACTGGTCTCTGCCGAGTATGTATCGAACATGAAGGTCATTTCCCCATGTGTATCCCGGAACGTCCAGCTGCACCGTTGAAGACTTCGCCCTTTGTTCAGCTATGTCATGGGCCTCCGGGATTGCTTATTCTGCTGAATACAGTCTACCAGAATACGTCGCTTTTAGAACGATTCTGGAGACCTGAATGGGAGCTTGCGCTGCGCTTGGGCACGGAGAAGATCTGGCAAGAGGGGCTTTTGTCAAAGGGGGCGAGCTTTTGCCATGGACATACAGGAAACGCATGGCCTTTGCTATACTTGCACAATATATATGAGTATAACGTTGGTTACCAGCAGCAAGCAAAGCAGAGAGGGATCGCAGCTCTTGAAGATAAATCCGAGCTTTTGAAAGGGAGCGCTCCTCTGGATAGTGATTTTTTCCTCTCTCGTGCTCTCCCGTTCATGATGGTTGCCCGCGAATCACCCCCATACAGTCAAGAGGTTGATATCAAAACCTCCTTTGACTTCCGCGCGCCAGACCGACCATACAGTTTTGGAGAGGGGCTAACAGGCCAGGTTTGCGCGTGGGCAGAGACGTGTGCTGTCATAAAAGCTCGCTTGCGCAAGATGGAACTAGAGTCAACGAGTAACGATGGCCATGAGTTGGAAGATGGTCGATTCATAGAATCGTCCTTGCAGCAACTCGGACTTTTTGGCTTTGTGGTTAATGGTCCCAACACGAATCAGTTGTTGTTTGGTGGTAGTCTATGTCAGGAATAGGTTTATTCGTATAGATAGAAAGTCGAGTCCTCATCCTAGGAATTAGACACGTTTATTCCACGCTCAACGTTGCATGTACCAATGATGAACATGTTCATGGGAGTTGCACCCATGTTGAACGACATGCAGGTTTCGATAGATATCAAATTATCTTCACGAATGAAGGATTGTATCGGATAGTTCCAAGATCGGGCTCGGATATTGGAGATTCATATTTGATACTCGGCCTCGATGGTAAGTAAAGATCAGAAGAAGAAGATTAAATTTTTAGACCATTGTCTAGGGCATGCCTCTTCATAAAGCGTAGCAGGTTGATAACAAAGATCCTCCAAAGCATTACGGACAAGCGCGTATTTTTCTATGAAAGAATATAAGTACAGTCGCTGGCATGACTTGGATGAACCCTCTCCCGTTCCACTGATAATATAAACAGGTATCAAGAAACAGACATGCTTCCAATGTTTAAGGCTTTACTGAATATTGACAACCCTGTCGTGTTGTTTCTTGGTCGCTGCCGCTGCCCGCGCCTTTCTCTCTTTCTCATACTCAATCGCCATCTCGGCGAGCTCGTAAAATGGCATACTTTGGGCGGCAAGTTTGGATACACCAATGCCCATGTAACATAAACTCTGTCCAGTTGTTCCAGTCCGGATGCGCCTCTAACCTTGACAAGAATAGAAGATCGATTTGTATCGCAGGGATGTATCTATTAGGGGTTCTTACTCAATCCGCATATTTAATATTGGATTCTCTCGAAGTACTTCTAGTGTGTGATTGTCTAATGATGTGCTTAGAGTAGCATGCGCCTGTTCCGAGGTTTCTGTATTGTTGAATGTGAGCACGAGTTCTGATCGATTTGTTGGATTTATATCCTGAAAAGAAAGCATAGCTGCCATCAGACCGCCGCGGCTGGCGCGAGCATTTGTACAATCTCCTCCACACATGATGATTTCAGATCTGGATATTTACTTTGATATTGTAAGTCGCAAGGACGAATATTTACTCCGGTGAGGATTGGTCTTGGGATTGAGCAAAAGATGGATTCTTGGAATATGCTCTCACCCATTTCACAAGATACTCACTTACATCCTAAACTATTCACTTTACTAACTTATCCTATAAGACTCTATCTATTGTAGGCGGGCTCACAAAGACTATGGGCTCATGCTATCTTCAGGTCATCTTATTCTTAATAGCTCTACTATATAGGTAGACGTGAGTCCGTATTCTGTTATGTGGTATATTATACTGAACAAATGCCAAGTATGATCACGCCGTAACTTCAGTATTCCATAATAATGTGTATAAGCCGAACAATCGGTGAGGCAGGTATAGAAACGTCTGGCAGAACTATTTGGTGTAGCGTTGCCTGTTCCTGGCAGAATCCCTCCCGTTGGCTGCCAGCGAATGTGACGTCACAGGGAGCCGAGCCGAGCCAGGCATCACAAACTGATGCCTGACGGTGACTGGCGCTTTCTCTGCAGAACAACTGTCGACTCTCCCTCTCAAACCCTCACGAACAAGAATCGGTAGACTGGCTGCTGCCCGACTGCTATCTGCGCAGGTCGACAATTCCCCACTCGTGGGGGCGGCATGCGATCTATCAACCTTGGAATGAACCATGCTGCATTTCGTCAACAGAGATATCTATACACCTCGCACACCAAGCGTGGGACTTAGTCTCTGCTCATCATGGAGGCCATACCGCCTTCGTACGAGCATGCCATCATGAAAGATGCATTGGCTATCATCGCTGATTATATTCCTTCAGCGGATCTATGCGCAGCCTCGCTGGTGAGTCGGCGATGGCATGCAATCTTCAACCCGCATATCTGGGGTGATCCAGCGTCCCATTTTGGTACCCAGAATGATGCTGTTTATGGTAAACGCCCCTTAGTCAAGTCTATGTAAGGACTAAAGACTGACGGAACAAGTTGCGTTGACCCGGTTCAGAAGAACGTTGAAACATGCACGACTTGAAGTTCGTAGCTTGACTCACACCCTCCATCTGCCACCAGCACTCTCCGAGATTTATGGTGGCCCTCGCTCCGACTGGCTCAGAGATCTCCTCGACTTCCTGCCACGTTTGCAGTCGTTGAGAGTGTCAACGCTGCCTTTTTTCGACCACAATTCGACTATGAACCTCAAGCTACCATCTGACCCTACACGGACACAAGATTATCCGCCGTATAATCTTCGTCTTCTTTTAGCAGATAGGGAGCCAAATACAACTTCAATCGGTCTTGCTACTGCTCTTTCTCGCTTTCCGGCATTAGTCTACTTGGATATGTCATACACCTCTCCTGTCAGAGACCAGCTCGTGTTCTCTGTGCTGAGTGCGCTTCCGGACTTGCAAGTATTAAAATTGAGAGCGATTGGCCTTAGAGATGTCGACGCCGAGTTTCTCGCTAATGCAATTGGGACTCGAGTTCGAGTACTAGATATACGTAACAACATGCTCACAGATACAGCTGTAAGATCACTGCTACAGGCTTGTTTTATGTCAGAAGAAGCAGCCCAAAACCAAGCAAATGCACTAGACCGACAAAGAGGCCGGGCTTCCCAGGATTTTACATCTTCTTTACTTCGACACCCCGAATTGGACAAAAGATTCTTTGAATCTCTCACGCATCCTCTGACCGGTCGCTCTATATTCGAGAATTTGGCTCATTCTGGCATTACTCACTTATACATTTCCGATAATCGTCTTACAATCGAGGGCGTGGCCGCGCTGCTTGCGTCCAAGAGGCTGCATCTTCTCGATGCTGGAAGTGTGGATACTGCCCGAAAACTGACACAAGATCAATCTCTCCTTTTGTCGCCCGGCACAAGATATGATTTCAATACGGTGCCGGGGGCAGAAAAGTTGGTCCCTATACTTGGCGCATATGCCAAATACCAATTAACTCACATTAGAATAAACCACACTGTTGCCACTAAAGATGCACCCGCCCAAAACGAGAACTCCATAGTTGAACTACTTCCTGAACTACCAGCTGACGAATTGGGCGTACACCATTTCCATGCCGAGCTAGGTACTTCCCATAAACTATACGAATTACCAGCTGAAAACGACGTTTTATATGAATTGGAAGACACATCAGTGTCTTCTGTTCCTAACAACCATACCGACAAAGGAGCCAAGCATGACCAATATCTGGATGAGCCTCTTCTTCCACGTCGAAACTCAGCTTTTGCGGCTGAAGTTGTAGACGATGGTGATACAGTTAACGAGAAGGAGCCAGAGCAGAATGCTCACACAGCCTTCAACAAGGAAGCGGAATCAACCTTACGCACCAAAAAGATTCTGAACCTGCTCGCCAAGCGGCCCAGGACCGAGATGCTGCCACTACGCCATGGACTTAGCCCAACTATTCCATATCTACACCCGTCTCATATACCTCACGTAAAGACGTTAATACTGACTGATGTTCCTTCACACGTTCGAGCTAACTCGCCGATACTTTCCTCACTTATTCGCTTCATTACAGCATGTTCGGACGAAACACTATTGGCAAAGCTTAAAGCGAGGGCAGACTACTCATTCCCTCCCGGGCGTGACCGCCTAAAAGCAGAACAGGAACATGCAAAATCATTATTTGCTCTGGAGTGTCTCGTCTTAGAAATAACCCCGGTGACGAGAACAACAACACCCAAGGCGTTGGGCACCTGGAAACCACAGGGATATGATGATTATACAAGCTGGAAATCGACTACGGGAGACTTTGATTCCGAGCGTCTTTGGTCATCTGCCATGGATGATTTCAGCTTTTTTGGTAACGAAGAATGCGGCGTGCCAGAACCGCACGAGGAAATAGCAATGAATATTTTGAATAAGCAAATTCACCAAATACCTTCCGAGGATGCCATTGACTCGATACATTTTACACATTCAGTACTCTCCGAACTGGAGGGATCAACCGCTGCTGCTTCTTCTACTACTCGTGACAACAACGGTCTCCGCAAACGATTCCAACTAGCATCTGGCCAGCCTGACTTTAAAAAGGGTCGTTCTCCAGACGCCATCGAGGAGCCTGATGTCGATTTGGTGTCTGCTTTGGCGACATTTCGGCGGACCAAGAAGAAAGAGTTTGAAGAGCTTCAAAGGGTTAATAGACAACAAGTCTCTCCAACCTCACATGGCTCAGACTCGAAATCCGATTCCCCCTCATCATCTTCTTCTCCACCGCTTAATTCCCAAACTGCTCATTATACCCCTCTCCCCTTACACGTAGAAGGACATTGGTCCGGTGAAGTAAAAGTGATACGAAACTTCTGTCCCAAAGGGCGCAGCGGGGTGGTTGATATATATGGCAATTACTTCGAGAAAGGTTACCTGTACCCATGATAACAGAAAAGGGATAAAGATTTATTCATTAACACTTGGTTGCAAACAAGAAGTTATGGAAAAAGGGGTACATTCATCCATTCCAGTCTTATCACAGCATGCTCATAAAAAGGTGATCATTTTCAATACTAGTTACATCTTTTTTCCTTTGATGAGTAGCTAGCTGGAAAATATGAACATCTGTGGTGACATGGAAGACCTCGCGATTCATTACGAGGCATTTATTTTTCTCTCCCAAGTTCATCTCTTATATTTCTCAGGTTTCTCTCCTCCATCCCTGTCTCAGGTCATAGAAGAGAAATAAAAGAAAACAACAACACAAGAAATAGAGATGTTTGTAGACTGGAAGAGAGGTTCTAGAATTTTTTTTATTCTTAGTTAAAAGAAAAGATGATTTGATTCTTTTCTCTCCACTTTTTATTTGCCAAATCCCATATCCCAAATCATTATAATAACTTATCAAACCGACTTCGACGCATTAACGAACAGAAGAGCAAAATCAAAAGACTCAAGTCAGTTCATTTATGCGGTCTTGGCGGCTTGCTGGGGGTTCAGCTTCTTGCCATCCTTGTTGTATCGGATACGAGGAGGAGGAGCACGGTTGCGACGGCCTTCACGGGAACGGACACTGTAATCAAGTTGTTAGAATATATGATCCCTTTCCATGTAATGTCGTTTCGTATTTGGGTATGTGTGGTCGGTCGAGTTTTATTTTTTTTTTCCTCTCTTTTCGCGACTCGAGGGTGTTCTTAAAAACGTACCGGACAATCTTGCCGTGAATGGCGCAGGAGACGCAGTACTGAAGCTTCAAGTACATCTTGGGAACGGCGTAGTCTGTGAAGACAGAGGCATCCGAGATATCACCTGCGAGACGAAACAAACACCACATATCAGCTCATAGTTCACGGGAGACGTGAGAAAAAAAAATGCAAATTTCCGGAGTATTAAGGTCGTCGATCTTTGGAAGTTTCCCCAAGCTCTTTCTCTGTTTTTTTTTTTTTTTTTTTTTTTTTTTTTTTTTCATTTTTTCTAGTATATCCACGCTTCCCTTCAAGACCAGCAAATCCTCCTGCATATCGGCACGAAACAGAATGGGTAAAACACATACGAATAGCGGCGGATTCGACCATGTTGCGGATGGTGAAACGCTTGATGGCCTTGTCCTTAGGGGTGCATCGTGAGCAGTTGGAGCATCGGATGGGCTTAACGTGACCACGGCCCTTCTTGTTACGTCCACTGGAAAAGAACAAAGACACTATATTAGCACCGTGAAAGCCATAGAAATTCGAGAGAGTGTGTGTGCAAAGATTTCCAAATGTATCAATTCCCGTGGCGAGGGGTTTTCGACTCGTATGTTCGGATCCGACATTTCGACGCCGCGGGATAATTGATCGATTGATGGGTGGATGTGTCTTTTTTAATTGCGACAAACATGTTTGTTTTGGCAACTTACTTGGACGCTCTCTTCTTGACCATTTTGACTTCTGTGTTTCTGCGACCGGTCGGACAGAGCTGGAAGTTTCTGAATGGGGTGGTTGTCGCGAACTTCCAAACTGTCGATTGGCGATGTTAACGGTAGTCAGATAAGCGGCCCCGTTTGTGGGAGCTAAGCGAGGGCGGTCACGGGATCGAAAGAGCGGTGCCGGTGGCGGCCTCAGGCACCACAGACACATCATGCGGCGGTGGGGCAGTCTGTCCCAACACGGCTTAGCGGCATGGAAACTATTTAACATTTGGTTTGTTGTCTGACTGCGTCTCTCTCTGGTATTTGGAACCCCCGTGCCGACCCACGGCTTCCTCCTGGGATTGTTTATCTGCGAAACTCAGCTCTGTCACGCTGTTATAACACTCCCCTCAATACCTGCTATACCCCTCTACGAGCCCGATCTTACCTCGCCCACCATGTCTGCAGCTGGCGGCGGAACATTTCGGGGCACCCCCAACAAAACAATCGGTCGAGGCAAGATGCCCGACTTCGACTACAACAGTCCCTCGGGCTCTCACATTCCGCGTCCCAAGCCTGACTCTACACTGGGCCAAAGCGATGCAGGAAGCGCGGCCACTGCTGCCAGCAGACAAAGACAAAACCAGTCGAAACGGGACGAGGTAATTGCTTATATTTTCGAGAGCTCTACACGTTCGGGAACGCGGCTGACCATACCCTCTCTGGTGGTGTTCAGGCTATTCGCAGAAAATTGGAAGCGGATCTCAATAAGAAGCGTCACCAAGTGCAGCGCCCTCGTCACAACCGTAAAGCTCCTCCGGGAACGGTGTTGGCCTTGAAGCCCAGCCAGGCCTTGCAAATCAAGCCTAGCACGACCGTGGCCGAAGCTGCACAGTTAATGGCTGCCAAAAGAGAAGACTGCGTATTGGTCACCGATGATGATGAACGGATTGCCGGTATTTTCACTGCCAAAGATCTGGCCTTCCGTGTTGTGGGAGCGGGCTTGAAAGCGAGAGAAGTAACCATTGCTGAAATCATGACCAAGAATCCATTGTGTGCTCGCACCGATACCAGTGCAACTGACGCTCTGGATCTCATGGTTCGGAAAGGTTTCCGCCATCTTCCTGTGATGGATGAGAACCAGGATATCTCCGGTATTCTTGACATTACCAAATGTTTCTACGACGCTATGGAGAAGTTGGAGCGTGCGTACAGCTCATCTCGGAAACTCTACGACGCGCTGGAGGGCGTGCAATCCGAACTTGGGTCCAGTCAGCCGCAGCAGATTATTCAATATGTTGAAGCTCTTCGCCACAAAATGTCAGGCCCTACATTAGAGTCAGTCTTGGACGGCATGCCCCCAACAACCGTGTCAGTCCGGACTTCTGTTAAGGAGGCTGCTGCATTGATGAAAGAGCACCACACAACAGCGCTACTGGTCCAGGACCAAGGCTCAATTACTGGTATTTTCACCAGTAAAGACGTTGTTTTACGTGTTATCGCTCCCGGCCTAGACCCTGCCACTTGCAGTGTCGTTCGAGTGATGACTCCCCATCCCGATTTTGCCCCGACAGATATGAGCATTCAAGCCGCTTTGCGTAAGATGCATGGTATGTATTCTCAGCTGCGGCTTGGTTTAGACCAATACTGACAAGAGAGTAAATAGATGGGCATTACCTCAACCTCCCTGTCATGAACGAGGCTGGTGAGATTGTCGGCATGGTTGATGTGCTCAAGCTGACCTACGCCACCCTGGAGCAGGTTCGTAACTGATGTATACGCTTCATGAAAGATACACATGCTGATTGAATGCTTTTAGATTAACTCAATGAACACCGGTGATGACGAGGGTCCTGCTTGGAACAAGTTCTGGCTATCTATGGACCATGAGTCCGATTCCATGGTGTCTGGGGGCGGCAGCCATCGCCCACACACTCCTCACCGGTCTGTGCTTAGCCCAGATCATTCCAGACAAGGGCTTGAGCGAGGCAATGATAGCGTACTTCCGAATGATTCGGCTTCACACCATGGAGAGGATGTTCATTCAGAACTTTTAGACCACCACCATACGGATGATGTGGACATCCCATTTGCGTTCAAGTTCAAGGCGCCTAGCGGCCGTGTGCACCGGGTGAATGTCATCCTCTCCGAGGGTATTGCTGCGCTTGTGACCAGCGTCATTGACAAGCTTGGTCAAGAGACTGAGGCTGTTGGTGGTGAGCCATCTATCGAGGACGGAAAACTCAGCAGCACTGGATTTGCTCTTAGCTATCTTGACAATGAGGGAGACACCGTTTCGATTACAACTGATCAAGATCTCGCGGATGCCGTTAACCAGGCGCGCAAACTACACCATGAGAAGGTTGACCTATTCGTTCACGATCCCTCTCAACCACCAATTCCAGCCACTGTCGAGCCGCAGCCAGTTGTCTCCAAGCCCCCTACGCCTCCCGAGTCTGTGCCTAAGCACGCGCAGGACGACGAAGACGAGGAGGGCTACAGCCGACCGAGCAAGCAATCGTTGCCCCAACGTCCGGTAGAAGAGCAGCTTATTGCGGGAGTACCCAATGACCTGTTGTTGCCTGGCGCTATTGTGACGCTTGCAGCTGTGATTGCTGGTGTTTTCATCCTCAGCCGCTCGAGCAGTAGATAACATCGCTGTTCCTATTCCTATGCCATTTTCTATATTGAACCCAAGATCCTTCCCCAGTCCCTGTGCCTCGTTGATTGAAGCCGTATAGATATCCGCATTCCGCATTTCTTCAAAGTACGCCTGCTCTTTGTTTTCCTAGTTCTATCCTAATATTGCACGCCGTCGCAGTCATAGCCCCCTTTCCTATTCTAATCTTGAAGTATTTTCCGCAGTACAAGCGTGATATATAATTGAATAACATGCACATACTTCCACCTTTAAAAAAAAGAAACGAGACCTTGGTAAATATTGCGCAGGGTTGCATAGACGACTGACAAAGCAATTTATGCCCAATCGGCACTAGCGCGGAGGGCATCGCGAGCCAAAACAAAGTTGGAAAGTCCAACTGCGGGCGGAATTTTTGGCGCTCTTAACCATCCCACCTTGAGGCTTGTTCACCTCTGTTGCAAACAAGACAAGTTGTCTGCGAGCTGGGATGCAGATGCTGCATCTAAGCCATCACTACTCTCTTCGCATCTGTTAACTGTCTAGCTGTGGTGCATCTCACAGTGCCTGATCGACCCTGCTATCCAGCCCTGTTCGAAAAAAAAAAAAAGATTTAGAGCAGTCCGTCCCCGCTTTTCAAAACAAACCATCACAGAATCAAACTCACCCCCTCCGCTGCTCAGAGATCAATCGCCGCGTGGAGTTTTCCTTTCTGACCGGTACATTACTATATAGCTTCCAGCATGTCCCTGCTTGCGCCAGAAATCCACGCTGCCCTTGCGCAGCTGTTGCAGGCTTTGAGCACACCTGACAATGCGGTTCGATCGCAGGCAGAGGAGCAGCTCAACAGTGACTGGGTTCAGAACCGTCCAGATGTCCTGCTCATGGGCCTAGCGGAGCAGCTGCAAGGTGCAGAAAATACCGTCGTAAGTGGCTACGTGTTAAGTCGAGTCTGTATTGAATTTGGATGCAGGCTAATATTTTTGCTTTTCCCTCTGCGCTCAGACAAGATCTTTTTCTGCGGTCCTTTTTCGCCGAATAGCCACCAAGACCATCAAAGACCCCCGCAGCGGTGAGACCAAGGAAGTCTTCTCGACCTTGACACCCGAGCAACGCATTGCAATTCGGGAGAAGCTTGTTGCTTGCCTGAGCAGTGAGACGCTGGCTGATGTTCGCAATAAAATTGGAGATGCGATTGCCGAGGTCGCCCGCCAGTACACAGATAACGGTAGGTGCTTGTATTTCACCTAGCGAAGGGGGCGAAAAAAAGAATAAATAACAAACGAACACAACAACTGACAGTATGCTTGTCAGGCGAGTCATGGCCGGAACTTTTGGGAGTGCTGTTTCAAGCCAGCCAGTCCCCCGAGGCGGGATTACGCGAGGCGGCATTCAGAATTTTTACTACAACACCAAGCATAATTGAAAAACAGCATGAGGATGCTGTCTTGAATGTTTTCAGCAGGGGCTTCAAGGATGATAATATTGCAGTGCGTTCAATCTCTCCTAATGTCATGCTAACTGACGCCGGTGGTTAATCTTTTACGGACGGCTGTCTAGGTCCGAATCGCTGCAATGGAAGCCTTTTCTGCTCTATTCCGCTCCATTCCAAAGAAGTCACAGTCCAACTTTTTCGCTCTTGTTCCAGATGTCTTGAATATCCTACCTCCGCTCAAAGAGGCGGATGATAGTGACGAACTGTCCAAGGCCTTTATAGCGCTGATTGAGTTGGCTGAAATTTCTCCAAAAATGTTCAAAAGCCTTTTCAACAATCTTGTCAAATTCAGCATAAGCGTCGTCGCAGAGAAGGATCTTAGTGATCAAGTCCGACAGAATGCGCTTGAGCTTATGGCAACATTTGCAGATTACGCCCCAAACATGTGCAGGAAAGACCCGACTTTTGCCACGGAAATGGTCACTCAATGTCTCAGCCTGATGACAGATGTTGGTGCCGATGATGATGATGCGTCCGAATGGAATGCGTCTGAAGATGTGAGTTGTCGTAAACTTCTATAGGTCAAACATTGCATGCTAATGCTTATGAATCTAAACAGCTTGATCTTGAAGAAAGCGATTTGAATCACGTCGCTGGTGAGCAAACGATGGATCGATTGGCGAACAAGCTTGGCGGCGAAATTATCCTCCCTGCTACCTTTGCTTGGATTCCGCGCATGATGTCGTCGTCAGCTTGGAGAGATCGACACGCCGCTCTGATGGCTATCTCTGCTATTTCCGAGGGTTGCCGCGACCTAATGATCAGTGAATTGGACCATGTACTTGCTCTTGTCGTCCCTGCGCTACAGGATCCTCACCCGCGTGTGCGCTACGCCGGTTGCAACGCCCTTGGTCAGATGAGTACCGATTTTGCTGGTACCATGCAGGAGAAATACCATGCAGTTGTCTTGAACAATATTATCCCCGTTCTTGATTCGCAGGAACCTCGTGTCCAGGCCCATGCTGCCGCTGCCCTGGTTAACTTTTGCGAGGAGGCAGAGCAGAAAGTTCTCGAACCCTACCTTGGAGAACTACTTCAACACTTGCTCCAACTTCTTCGCGGAGATAAACGATTTGTACAGGAACAGGCTCTTTCTACAATTGCTACTATAGCGGATTCCGCCGAGGCTGCTTTCGGTCAATACTACGAGACATTGATGCCCTTGCTTTTCAAGGTGCTGCAGGAAGAGCAATCCAAGGAGTACCGCCTATTACGCGCAAAGGCGATGGAATGTGCCACTTTGATTGCTCTGGCCGTTGGAAAGGAGAAGATGGGACAGGACGCCATGAACTTGGTGAACCTCCTCGGAACTATCCAACAGAATATCACGGACACGGATGACCCGCAGTCTCAATATCTGCTCCACTGCTGGGGCCGTATGTGCCGCGTTCTCGGCCAAGACTTTGTGCCTTTCCTTGCCGCAGTCATTCCTCCACTTCTCACTGTTGCCGCCGCTAAGGCTGACATACAATTGTTAGAAGACGAGGATCAGGTTGACCTTGTTGATCAAGACGAGGGGTGGGAACTTGTTCCGTTGAAGGGCAAACTCATTGGTATCAAAACCAGTGTTCTGGAAGATAAGAACACCGCCATTGAGCTTCTTACTGTCTACGCTCAGATCTTAGAGGCTTCATTTGAGCCGTACGTCGTTCAGACGCTGGAGAAGGTTGCCATTCCCGGATTGGCCTTCTTCTTCCACGACCCCGTGCGAGTGTCCTCTGCCAAGCTAGTTCCTCACCTGCTCAACTCGTACAAAAAGGCACATGGTGTCCAGTCACCTGGATTTGCCGAGATCTGGAACAAGGTGGCAGGCAGAATCATTGAAGTTCTCAGCGCTGAACCCAATATCGATACTCTTGCGGAAATGTTTCAATGCTTCTATGAATCAGTGGAGGTAGTCGGCAAGAATTGCTTGACCCAAGAGCACATGCAAGCATTCATTGAATCTGTTCAATCGTCACTGGAAGATTATCAGTCCCGAGTTAAGACGCGTGCCGAAGAGCAAGCCGAGGCAGACGACAATGATGAAGACAACTTGTCGATTGCTTATGCAATTGAAGACGATCAGACTCTTCTCAGCGATATGAACAAGGCTTTCCACGCTGTTTTCAAGAACCAAGGATCAAGTTTCTTGCCAACGTGGCAACGCCTGTTGCCGATTTATGATGCTTTCATCAACAGCAACGATGCTACACAGCGCCAGTGGGCAACCTGCATTATGGATGATGTGCTTGAGTTCTGTGGTCCAGAATCCTGGGCCTTCAAGGACCATATTTTACAACCTCTCGCCAATGGACTGCAAGATTCCAATGGACCCAATAGGCAAGCTGCTTCATACGGTGTTGGTGTTGCTGCTCAGAAAGGTGGCCCAGCTTTCGCCGAGTTTGTGGCTGCCTGTATTCCAAGTTTGTTCCAAGTAACACAGCATCCACACGCTAGGGCAGAGGAACATGTGTTTGCAACGGAGAATGCTTCGGCCAGTATTGCAAAGATTATACGATTCAACGCCGGAAAGGTCCAGAACCCACAGGAGGTTGTGGACAACTGGATAAACACGCTGCCAATTACCAATGACGAAGAGGCTGCTCCATATGCATACTCTTTCCTAGCCGAGCTGATCGAACAGTAAGTAGTAACCCAGCCGTTGATTTCTATATTCATCAAATTTGCAGACTGGAAATAGCTTCCCTTACTGACACAATCATGAAAGGCAAAATCCGGCCGTTCTCTCAAACGCCGACAAGGTATTTGGATACATTGTTCAGGCTCTAGACAACGAAACACTTCAAGGTGAAACCGCGAAGAGGGTTGCCGATTTCGGGAAACGATTAGTTCAAGCAACAGGCGTGAATGCAGAGGCAATTCTGGCTGGTGTCAACCCAGACAACCAGGAGACGGTGCGGAAATATTTCCAATGATGAAAGCTAAGAATATCATGTCAATTTTCTTTTCCTTCTTATTCTCATGTAACTTCCCGGCTGTTTATTTTGTTGTTTCTCCTATACACCTTTCTACGCCTTTTTTCTTTCAGATTTATGATTTGTTGTTCGCTCCTATCGTTGTGTCGGTTTTATCAGGAGGGAAATTTACGCCTCTTTTCAATGACCACGTCCAAGAGAGGTTCATTATATTTTCTTGGAAGATGTGGCACGGCGGCGATTCATATAAAAACAACATTAATTAGGGCATGATAATGAAACCATTCAATTACGAGGTTCGTCAGAAATGACAGGAAGCAAAAAAAATATAACTAAATAAACAAATAAGATAAAAAAAAAAAAAGAGAGAAACGCTTTTCTATATGCAATTATACATACATGCATGTCCTTGACGGGAGATTCAGTCGATATCCATGAATCAGTTCCCTTCAGAACCCTTCAATATCGAGCCCACATCATGCAGCTGCAACGAATCAGCTTCATCATGACTATATGTGCCAGCCATCCCATCTCGATGGTTATCATGCCGCATCGTAGTCCATCCGAGCTCAACGTCCCGACTATGAGTCTGCCGATGATTGGTTCCGTTGTTATTAAAACTATTAACACTATTACTATACGATTCGTTGCGAGCATCTGCCTCATTTCCATCCTCATATTCAATGCTGAAATGATTAGTCTGCAATATCGGCATTAAGAGACTCGGCGACTGACGCCCATTATTGGCATCAAGGCCCGGAAAGAAGAAGAACGACGAGTTGGTTGTCGTAAATCCATCATCTCGCAGCGGCTGCAGCTGCCGCTTTCCTCGTCGTCGACTACTATTTCGAGATGTCCTTTCACTGCTATTAGGAGTCGATAAGCTCCTTCTCCTCGTCGTCGGTGTCGGCGTCGCCGCACGAGGCGGAGAAGAAGGCAGAGACACAAACGGCGGAGGAACGGAGGGATCTCCAGCCGTAATGACGGTTTGGTAAGTGAGTCGCGGTGACGAAACAGGGACAAAATCTCTGCTGATAATTGAGGAGGTCTGGTCGAAGCTGGGTAGGTCTTGGTTGCTGTCGCCGCAGAGTCTTGTCGTTGGGTGTAAAGAAGAAGAGTGTGGGATTGATGATAGACTGATTGTGCTAGTAGCATTGCTGGTATTGCCCAAATGACGGCTGTGGCCGTTCCTGTGCTTGGAATTCTTGCTGTAGATGCTGGTTCGGGATTTGAAGCGGTGCAGGCCTGCAGTGTCTGCGGCTGTCACGGTGATGGGAGGAGCGAAAGGATGACTGGGAGATGGAGATCTCCTGCTTGTGTTTGTGGGATGGTAACCTGCGGTCAATCGGAGGAATTTGACTCTTGGGGTTTGGGGGTTTTTCCATTTTCGCAGTTTGTCCATTGTCTGAAAGTCTTTTAGAAAGTGGTATACTACTAGAATCACGGGCCGGAGCTTGGACATTGAGCCGGTGATGATGATCACGGCGTTTTCGATCCTGTTTGGTGGTGAGTTAGGGTTTGATACTGAAGATAGTGTTGGCATGGATACTCACGAATACAAATAGTTCCACGTATCGAGACGGTCTATGATGGAGTCATGTTAGAAGTTGTCACCAGATACCCTTTATATATATGTGCACTTACATGCATAATCAGTTCCGTCATGTCGAGTTCTACTGACTCCCACAATAGCAAGGACGTCCGCAATGGTAGCCCTAATCCAGTCAGAGAGGCATCCATGGGAGTCGACCTTTGGTGTACCTAGGTAGGTGACTTACAGTAGACTGAACGAAAGGAGAATACCCAGGCTGGCCTTAGCATAGCTTGCAGCATGAATGCTGCAAACCAAACCGAGGGCTAGAATTGTGAGGCAAAGATTGGATGCTGCATTGACAGCTGCAAAGATGTTAGCTATCTCCTATTCATATAGTATGTTGAAATTGAAGCCCACCTCCTTGTGAATACTGCAACGCCATGATTGACGGCGACGTCCAACACTCCGCCGTTTCAAAGATAGCACGTGGCCCATGCACTGAAGGCGCACATTTGACCATGTTGTAAATAAGCAAGACAATAGTGACGACAACCTGAACGATGATAACAGTCCATATTACATACGTCCGGATTCGCGACACGCGTTGGATGAAGTATAGAAGGAACGCGGCGAAGGATATACGCCCAAACAGTCCACATAGCGAGCCGAAGATCATGGACAACATTTCGTATTTCATGGCGTCGACAAAAGCTTCGGAACTGGCGAGCTGCCAGTCGTGTCGTCCGAGACCCCAGTACACGGCGATGGTGGATAGAGCAGCTTTGACTGTCTGCAAGATCTGGAAGGAATGAAGGACTAGTATTAGCAAGAAATAACCATTCAACCATCTAAACTTTTTTTTTTTTTTATATACTTCATACACACCCATGCTATAATCATCAGGACGTCGTCCGATCGTACAATGCGGAGAATCCTGAATTGGGAGATGCAACGAAGCACCATGACTATACTTGATAGCCCAAACAGGAGCCATATACATACTAGACTCCTCGTTTGATGTTCATTCATGCCATGCGGCGGCAAGTCTGTTTGTCGAGGGTCTATTGTTGGGCTCATGATCGAGAAAGCCAAGTGCTAGCTGTTGACCAACAGCGTCTTCTGAACACCTGGTGTCAGTATGCATCCGTCTGCGTTGCCAGTGGCATACGTATGTCATTCCTTCGTTGGAATTGGTAGCAGCATCGTTTCAACAAAGGCGCCAGTACTAAGTAGTCAGTGTTCTTGATTGCGTCGTTGGGGAGCTTTGTTGCCGTGAAACTTAAGAGAACCTTTAAACAAGACATATGACAGTTGGATCTAACTCGGCGCCGATATAAAGCGAGAAGAAGAAAGGAAGAGCTCGTGGCAAACGCTTCTATCTAAGCGAGCCTCAAAAGAAAAAGGCACGCCCCTGTCGAGGTTCATCATCGTATGGGAAGGTGGAGATAAGCTTCTTCAATCTGTGAGATTAAGTTAGCTAGTAATGTAACCGTCAGACCTAATGAACATGACTCTGTGGCATTCTCCTACCAACTCAGAATGACATTAGAGGAATGCGTGGCGAAAAAGCAGAAGCGATATCCCTTTGCAGTAAGATCTTCCGAATGCGGAAATAGATGGGGTTACCCCGTACCTTGGGTTGAAGTTCGTTTGCCCCAGATTATCGGATTTCGCCTACAGATTAAAGTTTCTCATGAAGTTGTAGCCAATGGTATTTCTGAAATGGCCTTTACAATTTCAGTTCGGCGACTATGCTGCAGGGTCTAGCCTGGCCTGGCCAGCAATACTATGCCACGGGTACAATGCCCATCAGTGATAAGCGAGTTCAACGCGTTGCAAGGGGATCGATCGATCAATCCGGGGAGAGGATATATATCTCTATTTACTGGAGACTGTGCATGAAAATTTTTTGTCTCGTGGATTTGATTTCCGCGTGTGAAAAAGACGGCGCATGGCAGAGTCAAGCCCTAATAAACTAATAAATACCAGAGGTCCCAGGCAAAACAATGATGGCCAGGATTATTCTATGAAAAGAATTTTCTATATAACAAAGAAATCCCGAGTAGAAAATATACAGATATTTAGGTCTTACAAAAGATGATAAAACAAGGAGAGTATCTTAGGTACGACTTCATTCACCAACGACCATCTCCAAAATCTCCAGAACCTGTTCTTTCTCCGTCAATGGCACAGGATTACTCTTGCAGCATCGATCGTCCAGGCTGTTCTTCGCCACCACATCCAACTTGTCGCGACCAACCCCGACGGCCTTCAGCGAGCGAGGCATGCCCAGCTCGCGGATAACCACGTCCAGAAGGTCGGCTAGATCCGACGACCCTGGGTCGGTCCCATATTTGCTCATCACGTCGCGGACAGTTTCCTGTTCAGTAAGGAATTTGTAGAGTTGTTCCTGTCGCGCCACATTGGCTCCTTTGGCTGCGTTGAATCTGCACACGGCTGGGAGCAAGATGCAACTTGTCTCTCCGTGGCCGACTCCAAGCGGACCAAGCTGTGTATTTTGTGTCGTTAGCTTTATTTCACAATTCGAATAGTTAAACAAGACCGGTGGGAGAGCGTACCTGATGTCCTATACCATGGCTAGCACCTACCTGAACGATCTTTTTAACGTGTGTACAAGCCGCCATGGCCTCGACCGAACCCAACTGACAATCCAAACGAGCAGCAAAATCATTTCGATTCTGCTTACACCTCAAAAGCCCGGATACCAGCATCCCCAACGCCTTCACAGCGTATTGGTCAGTCTCCTCATAGTAAACATTCGAGCAAAGAATCTCAACACAATGATCCACCGCCCGAATCCCCGTACTCAGCCATATCGAATCGGGCGTAGTAGCAGTCAATTTCGGATCGAGAATGATCAAGCGCGGGCCCAGTAGGGGCGCTTGGAAACTGTGCTTGCGATGCGTCTGGTCGTTTGTGCCGCCTGCAAAGTCGGAGTATTCACCGGCGGAGAGCGATGTTGGGATGCTGATGATAGGCACTTTGGAGCCCTTTGTTGCTTCTTTGCTAGATGCTCTTCCTTCGTCGGTCAGGGTATTTATTCCTTCCAACGTGGAAACGTCGTTGGCGAGAGCCTATATGTAGTTTTCGGGCGTATTAGAATCAGATATATATTCATGCTTCTGTCAATACCCAAGACTTGTCCGCGGTCTAGTATACTTTAATATGAGAGTAATAGGATGATTAACTCACAAAAGAAACTATCTTGGCCGCATCTGTCAAAGTGCCAGCACCTAGAGTCACAAGCAAATCGGCACCAGCATCTCGAGCTTCATTGGCAATCTCCACCACCTCAGACCACAGAGTATGAGGTTTCATGCCAATGCGTACGCCAACCACTTTCTTCTCCTCACCTAGAGCAGCTTTCAGTCTGTCCAGGGCATCTGTATTGCGAGCCAGAGACCCCGAGCAAATCACATACACCTTGGAAGCGTGGAAGAGCTGCTTAGTATGCCGAGCTGCAGCTTCAGGGAATGCGATCCCATACGAGATTCGAGGTTCTTCACGGCCAGCAAAGGCTGGGCGTAAGGTCTCTTCTTGCGTCGTCATTGGAACTTTTCCTCCTCCTTCTCAATATCCTCCTTCGGATTCACTGCTTGCCTAGATATACGTGAGTTTTCGTCAGAATTAATATATATGCAGGAAGCTCCTGAGGATCCATGGATGCAGGTGGTATCCCCACATTTTGGCCTAGAATAAGAGTCGTGAGCACTAAACATGAAACTAGCAAAAGGAAATAAGTTGCGTTGCAATTGAGTGGGTATAGTTATCATAGTTTGACCCGGTCAATAACAGCACGGCATATACGCCATAGTGTACTATCATGCCACCCGCCGGGGACGCCAAGTCAGCATCTACATACATACATACATACATACAAACACACATGAAGACGCGGGCTCAAAAAAAGGATAATAAAACAGACGAAGCATCATGTAATTTTTATATATAAGCAGAATCGTGCGCAATCTCTTTCTCATTGGCCCCTCTTGGCTAACAAGTTCAGCGCGCTGCCAGCCAGAATGAATGCACACTGGTCCTTGCTGAGTGTATGCTTTACTGGGATGGTGAAAGTCTCCCCAGTCTTATGCTTGGTAACCTTGAGGCTTACCTCGCCGCTGCCACCGGAAGTCAGCAAATCATACAATCCTATCGTATCGACTTGGTCACAGGCACTAATGCGATCGTAGTCCGCGCGGTCCGCGAACGTGAGCGGGACAACTCCTTGCTTCTTCAGGTTCGTCTCGTGGATACGAGCAAAACTCTTTGCCACGATGATGCGTCCTCCCAGGTAGCGAGGTTGTAGAGCAGCGTGCTCTCGGGCACTTCCTTCTCCGTAGTTGTCTTCAGCGACCACTAACCACTCATGTCCCTGGGACTTCCACTGCTCGGCTAGCTCTGGAATGGCGTGTTGCTTGCCCGCCTCGTCGTAGGCGACGTTGGTCTCGCCAGTTTCAGCGTTTACGGCGCCAATGAGGGTGTTGGCGGAGATGTTAGGGAGATGGCCTTTGTATTTGAGCCATGGTCCAGCCGCTGAAATGGTATCTGTAGTGCATTGACCCTTGACTTTATAAAGGACCTTCAGACTGGCAAGATCTTGAGAAGGGAATGGCGCAAAGGGCTCTAGAATAGCCAACCGATCCGAAGTGGGTGACACAACAACCTCGACGGAGGGATCCGGCACTGCCGCACTCGGGAGAAAATCCGGGTTGCCTTCCTCAAAACCGGCACTGGGCAGGCTGTGACCAACGGGGGGTTGGAAGCGGAACGAGCCACCGTCAGGCGTAGGGATAGAGTCGGTTATGGGGTTGAACGTCGTGCTGCCTGAATAGCTCATGGCTGTCACAATATCTGGAGAAGCTAGGAAGTTCATGGTTCGTCGGTTGCCATCGTTACGGCCTGGGAAGTTGCGGTTATACGAGGTCAGAATGGCATTGTCTTCGCCCTTCTGGACTCCGTCTGTACGCTTCCATTGACCGATACAAGGTCCACATGCATTAGCTAGGACGGTGCCGCCAGCAGCAGAGAAGGTCGCTAGAGTCTGGTCCCTGTCAAGTGTGGCGCGAATCTGCTCGCTACCGGGAGTAACGAAGAAATCGGCTTTGGGTTTCAGCCCGGCTGCAGATGCCTGCTTAACCAGGTCCTCTGCCCGGGTCATATCTTCATATGAGCTGTTTGTGCAGCTACCAATGAGTCCAGCGCCGAATGTTTCCGGCCACTTGTTCTCTTTCACGGTTTCCGCGAATTTAGAGAGAGGGACCGAGAGGTCCGGCGTAAAGGGCCCGTTAATATGGGGCTCAAGTGTGGACAAGTCAATAATAACTAGCTGGTCATACTCGGCCTTGCTGTCGGCCCTGAGCAGACTCTGAGACCCAGATGCAGCGATTTCTGCTGCAGCAGCAGCGACAGCAGCACGGTTGGTGGCCTCAAGATAGGGGACATGGTTCGGGGAGAATGGGAAGAGCGAGGTCGTAGCACCAACTTCAGCACCCATATTACAGATTGTTGCCATTCCAGTACAGCTGAGCGTGTCAACACCAGGTCCATGATACTCAATCACGAAGCCTGTACCGCCGCGCACGGTAAGTTTGCCGGCAAGATGTAGAATGATATCCTTTGGAGAAGTCCATCCACTAAGACGACCCTCCAAACGTACTCCAAGAACCTTTGGAGCCTTTAATTCCCATGGCGCATCAACCAGCGCATCAACGGCATCGGCGCCACCAACTCCAATGGCAATCGCACCCAATCCTCCGGCATTCGGGGTATGACTGTCAGTACCGAGCATCATCAGGCCGGGAGCCGAGTAATTCTCCAGCACAGTTTGATGAATAATTCCAGCGCCGGGCGGCCAAAACTCGATTCCATATCGCTTAGCGGCCGACTCGAGAAAGTCGAAAACCTCTTTGTTACCCTGAATTGAAGCGGGCAAGTCAGTGTCCGCGCCTCGTTCTCCAACAATCATATGGTCGCAGTGGATGCTGGCTGGGACCGCAGTAGATGGCAGACCGCACGACATGAACTGCAACAAGGCCATTTGCGCCGAGGCATCTTGCATAGCAACGCGGTCCGGCTTGAGTTTCAAATTCGCCTGTCCACGAATATCCCGGCCGTTGTTGGTGTTGGAAAGCAGCGACTCCTCCACATTGTCCAGATGAGAGTACAGGATCTTTTCGGCTAGTGTGAGCGCGCGCTGCGAGCCTAAGATGCGTCGCACTTCTTCGAGGTTTCGAAGGATCTTGGGGTATGGGGGTATGCGAGAGCTGGACGCAGCTGTAGCGAGGCTACGGCGTGATGCAGCAGCACATGACGATAACTGTAGGAAATTAATTTCACATGGTCAATTGAATCCATCTGCTCTTATGCGAAGGGGACGACAGTACTAACCCTGCGAGTGGCCGCTGCGCGCTGCCAAACCAGCTGCCTCACCATGGTGATTCAATCCCTTAGGATGGGAGTCGATGACAATGGGTCTAGAATATATACCAGAGGCAATTGAGAGCTGCACCGCTTGAAATAATTACGCTCTGCGTTCTCTTCTTCTCCACGTTCAAAGCGACCCAGAAAGGAAGAAGTGAAGAATTTACCCCAGCAAATTTATTATTTGCTTCAATTTACGTCGGCTGTGATTGGCTCTCGGAGTTGGGGACTAGCTCCGAAATCGGGCTTGTTCGCTGTATGCGCTAGTGCTGATTTAGGCACAGTCACATGACTACACAACTTGGACTTAATGCTTTAACTATAGACTAAAAAAATTACAGGCTCTTCATGCCTACATAATACGAGCAAATAATCCAATTAATCAGAAACTATGTGAAGCATCTCCGACTAGCACTCCGGTTCATGTAGATATAAACGTAGTGGAAACAGGCATAAACTTGAACGAGCTATAATTATCATAAAACATTCAGTAGAATTATCATATCGTACAGATCCAACAGACATTACTCTCCTCCCCGGTCTTCTTTGTCTTCATCGACAGCTGCGCGCAGCTCGTACGCCAGTTCGTAGCATTCGGCCAAGAGGGAATTGATGCTCCCTTGGCCCTCTGGGATATCATTTCCTATATAGAATTTCCCATCGATGCGCATGTTGTCGATTGAGTTTAGCTTTTTTTTATGGGTTGGTTAGTATATACAATTGCATGTAAAGAAGTTCGACTCACCTTCATGCTGTACGGGTAAAGCTCTCGGGCATTCGAAACTCCGCCCGAGTCCTTGACTTCAACAAGACATCGGCGTAATGTCTGCAACTGGTTATAGATAGGAAGAAGCGCTTCTGATACTGGCTCTGAAGCAATGAGAAGTGCGTAGATGTAAGCATAGCTTCGACGGATCAGGTAGAGTAATGTCTATTGACGTGTCAGTAAGAGAAGAAAAGCACTCGGTTTGAGAACACAGTCTGAGGTTTCGTACTCGCTGAGCATGAATATCAGCAGGCTGGCCTGTAGCATCAATGAAATTGCCGCTCACGCGGGCCTCATCAATGCGATCAAGCTTGCGCTGAAACTGGAAGAGATCCGTCTCACGCAGAGACCACGCCTGTGTCATCGAAAGCCGCTCTAGCTGATTCCTGATTTCGAGAAGCCGCGCGTACTGCTCCTGGAAGCGATCGTCAACCTGGCCCTTTCTGTAGAGAGAATCAACGAGTTAGCTTTCGAGAAGAAACGAGACATTCGAGTTGAAGTTGACCTACCTTGCAAGGACAATTTCTGTCCACCTCCAACATCGGTCCCAGAGAGGCTTGACAACCTCCTGACCACTCAAGATCTGACCATCGGAACCGACAAAATTACCTTCCTTTATCTTATTCTGAACTTCTTTTAATCGTTCCTGCAAGTCGAGAACCTCAGAAGCCGAAAACTAGAAGAAACAGATTTCAACAATATGTAAGCTAATTATTCTTTTATCTCTGATAAATTCGCACACATACCTTCGATCGAGTGTTGGCTGCGGAAGTGGAACGGAGAATCGAGACCAAGGTCTCGTGCACCGGCGCTAGTTCAGGTGCGAGAGGCTCCAAGGCCTTGTGCAGGTTATTTAACGATACTTGGCATTTTTTCAGGCGTTTCTCGAGGAGTGTGAGAAGATGCGGAGAATAGGTATCCTTGCCACGTTCAAGGGTTTCACGCATGGTTCCAAGGGTTTGGGCTATGGATTCGAGATCCTTCGCGCTATAGAAACCTGCCTCGGCGAGATGGTCGAGCAAGCGCTGGTATCTTGGTCAGTATCGCGATCGAGAGAAGAGTGACACCAGTCAGATCGTCGGCATACCTGGACTGTAGTCACTAGAGAATATCTAGTATCATAAACCCCATATTGTCAGCTGGTTATACTTTACTCAAAAACAACAGTGCTGGGGGAACTCACGCCGCGGGGGCCTCGTTATTCCGGCCAACAGTGAGAAAGAGGAGAGAAATCAGCTGGAAGCAATCATCCAACACATAGTCAACTATAACAGAAAAGTAACAGTTCATGTCAGCGTGAGAACTCTTCTGAAAGCCAAACGACAAATGCTCAAGGCCCACTCAGTGCTAACGTCGGTTATGTCGGTGGTCTTGATCTTGATCTTTCCGCACAGCATTCAGGGCCTCGACCTGCCCGATAACCTCTTCGTACAGAGGCAGGACATCGCGGGATTTGATATAAGATGATTTGTCTTGCTTCAATAGCAGGAGCGCATCGCGGGTGCGGAGAAGTCGCTCCAGTATAGGCTGCTCCCGCGGATCGAGAGGAACAGGGACAGCGGGGGATTCCATGACGGAACAGAAGATTGAAGAAGAGTGCAGTTACAGCACTCTGCACATCCGGGAATGAAAAGAGGGTTGGTTGTTTAGTTGTAGGAAGCGAATTGCACCGAGCAATGGAGCTGCGCGGAGGGTTTGATGGAGCAGAGGATGCAATCGGCCAAAAGTGGGGGGGGCCGCCTGACGGGAGTGGAGATGGTCTCATTATTGAAATATTCTAGAGTCTACGCAGTCTGTATACGTGATTCCGCCCAACCTACGTTATATATACACGAGGCCTTTTTCAAGCTCGACATGATTTGCAGATAGCCACGTAGCACAGAATCTACTCGTGAGACCAGGAACAGAACACTGCATGCGACTTCTTTTTTGGCAGGTCTACAGCGGCCCCGAAAGTAAGGATGACCGCATCAAGGTTCTTTAAGGCGTGGTATATAGTATATACCAGTTGGCTGGCCTACATGCGAGGTACCTTTCAGGCATTCCCCGCCATACTCACAGGCAGGACAGACAGAGAGACAGACAGACAGACAGACAGACAGACAGTGAAGTAATGAGAAGAATTCCTGTCTGGGCCTAGCGCGGGGTTCTGTGCTGAGTCAGCATAGCCAAGCCGCTAGCCGTGTGCAGGCTAGCGCGGCAGAAGCGAGGGCTTTTGCGCGGCACACACTTGGCGGGTCTCCGGCTCGGGGCACGACTAGCTTAAGCATCATATCTCTCTTATTCTTTTCTCTCCGTCAGTCCACTATCCGGCAATTCCTCTCGAGACAACTCCAAATCTCGTCCAATAAACCCGACCACGACCACCATGTCTACCGCCGAGCTTGCTGTTTCCTACGCGGCCTTGATCCTTGCCGACGACGGCGTCGAGGTCACCGTATGTCCAAGCCTTTCCCAGTGCAGTGCAGTCCCAGTCCCAGGCCAAGTTCCCAAAGAGGAAGAGGTGGAAGAATTGGTCGGCGCATCAATCTGAAAACGCAGAAAATGGTTTCAGCGGAAAGAAAAGAGCAGGGAAAAAGAAACTTGGCGCATGGGGGGACTTTCTTGTTTGTTGGAATTGTTTCTTCTAACTTGAGATTTTTTACGCAGGCCGACAAGCTTAACACCCTCATCAAGACCGCCAACGTCCCTGACGTTGAGCCTATCTGGGCCCAGCTCTTCGCTCGCGCTCTCGAGGGCAAGGATGTCAAGGAACTCTTGACCAACGTTGGAGCTGGCGGTGGTGCCGCTGCCGCCCCCGCTGCCGGCGGTGCTGCTGCTGCTGGTGAGGCCGCCGCCGAGGAGGCCAAGGAGGAGAAGGAAGAGGGTACGTGAAAAATCAACTTTGGATTTTTTTTCTGCGGTCGTTTCTTCCAAGATTAGAAAGAAAAACTAACCAGAACGTTTTTTTCTACATATAGAGAAGGAAGAGTCCGACGAGGACATGGGATTCGGTCTTTTCGACTAAGCGATTTCTTACAATCAATTTCCCTACGCCATCGATTATTCCCTCCAATACATCTCTCACTTTTCTCCCTCCTAACTATACGCAACCCCTCTTGTGTCTCGTTAACCGCCTTCTCTCTCGTCTAATGTACTTGATAATCCTGGGATATATGGATTGAATACTCTTTATGGCAGAAGAAAAGGAAAAAAAACCAAAAAATTCGGGAAAACAAACGGATTTTTTCTCTTAAAGAAGCATGCATACTTCGACCCATGAATTGCATGATGGCGCAAAAATCTTTGATTTGTTTCTTATTTTTAAATATGTTCAGCTTTGCTTGTTAAACACATGGTGGTCATTATACGGTGGTTTTGACGGCAAAGATGAATCCAATCAATGAAAAAGAAAAAAAATTTCATGACTTTCTCCTTCCAATCCACGTATATGCATTGATGGATGCTCTCTTTACTGATATATTATCATATGGTGAGGATAGATCATGACGACTTGCAATATACCTTAGTCTACGTACGCTAACACAATAAACATGCCTAACATGAAACAACAAAAAAGAAAAAAAACTTTTTGGTCTTCCCCAGAACGCCGGCCGGCTCGATAGCAATGTTAACAAAACAATCACGCACAATGCTAAAAATTGAAAACAAACAATAAACCTCAAAAAAGGGCTCATAAAATAACCAAATGTAAATAACTTCACGAGTCCAAAGCCGGCCGTGCATAAATGCGAAATTGAACGAAGATGGTGACATCTTCAAACATTGTGCCCAACGAGCCAATCAGCCATGGTAGGTTGTTTAAAAAGTATTCCTTTTCTGTTGAGTGGGCGAGGATCTATCAGAATTGTTAGTCGATAACCCCAAAAAATTACAGTGAACTGAGATCAAACATACCCCTGCTCCGTAGCTTAGGTTGCCCAAAAGAGATAGGATGAAGAAGAGCAATGAAAGACCTAGTAAAGAAACGTTGTTAACAGTTTCTTCCAGCAAAGCATAAAGAAATTGTATACCTTCGCATGACTTCTCGCTGTAGTTCTTGTAGATTTGAGGCAATCGAGCCCTGCAGTCATTGTTAGTGATGGTTGCTTTTAGAGAGCGTTAGTATGTTACATACCCCAGGTAGCAAATTGCACTGAAATACCCAAGAAACTGTGCTCCCGGTGCAATATGATTATTCCCGTCATGAACCACTGGCGCAGGCTTCCACAGTCCAGCCTGCCACGCAATGCCCCAACCTCCAGCGCCAATGGCTACAATCGCAAGAACACTGAAGACATTCTTCAACCAAGCTTTGGTGCCCGACTCACTCTCCTCCACAATCTTGGCAAGTGTACTATCAGGATAACTGGCTCGGCGCTGGATATCCGCCGATGACCTTCTCCGTCGCGAGTTGGATAATTCGTCACTGAACCGTCTCCCGAGCAGTGGCGTAGTCGGAGTTGGGCTGTCGAGCGCCGAATGAGCGCTATCGCGGCGCTGATGCTGCTGCTGCTCGCGGCGTGCATTATGGATGTTGTAGTACAAGCATTGCGAAATCAAAACGCCGTCTGCGATGCAGAAGTAGACGGCAATGGCTAAGACAACGGGGACGAGTTGGGCCCAGAGCCCGCCAACCAGGTTTGTCACGTCACCCACAAACCACACGAAGAGGAAGGCCATGGACAGTCCCTCTGCGCTGCCATATCGGTAGTTCTCGATGAGTTGTGGAACCTACAAGAGCGAGAGTTAGTCCAGGCACGATCTTGATAGCAACTAGCTTTTTTCTGCAGAGATAAGATCGTACTAGAAGAAAAATCCAGCAAGTCAATGACACGGAGCCTAGCACACCCGACGCGGCCTCGCGAGGAGTGAGAGGAACAGTTTGCGACGCCTCTCGCCCCAGATAAGAGAGCAGGATGGTGGATGCCATGGCGCTCGCTCTCTGCCGCCAGGGAACGGAACGGCCGAGAGAAGCGTGACTGTAGTGCAGCTAACTAATTAACCGCACAGTGAGAAAATCGCGTAGTATTCTTTAACCAGATTCCATGCAGCAAAGTAGAACCAGCAAGATGGCAGGCGAAAAGCATTTGCGCGCAGGTTTTCATGCGGGAGAAATAGATCAAAACCTTCCATGCGGCCAGCGTTCGATTTACTGCATGACATCGTCCGGCTGACTTAGCGCGGGCGGTGATTGGCCGAGCTTTACTGTTAGTGTTGATGCATACATATTTTATGCATTGTTCGGTGCTCATGAATGTACTCATAGTTGGGTATACAGTGGCCATAGAGTCGTTGTATGCATTCGGCATTCCCTTGCTACGAAAAGATTCTAGTAGTCCGGGTGCATCTGGCACTCAGATTCAAGAAGATCTACCACCATTTCGCCTACAAGATCCTGAATTGGCCCATAGAGTAGATCCTCTCTATCCTCCCACGGGTCGATCCTCATGAGACCCTCGATATAGTTCCTCAAAGACTCGTCATCTACGCCTTCGCCCCAGTTCCCGCGATCTACGCCGTGATGGAACAGAAAACTCCGGAGATGCAGCACGCCAGCGCCAAGCAGCCACTGCCTGAGCGCCTCTTGGTTGTCGCTGGAAGGCGGAGTTGAAGAGTCTCTAGTGTTTTCGCCATCAATAGACCCCAGATCCGGTGTTCCTTCGTTGGCCTCGGCCTCTTCGTCGTCAGCAAGATCGTGCTCTGCCGCATGGAGCCCTTCTACATCGATATTCATGCGCCCGAGCAAATCCCTCAACCACTGCGGTTGGAGAAGATCGGGGACTCGTGATATATAGGATGGCACCGGGTCGGACTGCTGGCGGTGAGCCTCAGATTCATATGGCGGGAGGGGGTCGGAAGCCGATATTCTGCCTGTTGTAAACCGAGTTGGAAGATGGGTTGTAACCCGTGGAATATCGGACAGCACGACATGGCGCGCAATATCTAGAGAAATCTCTGGCGGCTCAAGAGGCTCTTCTTTGTCGGAAAGAGTTTCTGCTATCTCCACCAGGAGCGAGACAACTTCGGGAGTGTTCCAGAGATCTTTGGCCCGGGATACATACAGCTCAGTGAGCAGTTCATGAGACTGTGCCGGTGGCATTTTCCCCCATATCCGCTTGGGGATGGGTTGCAAATCCAACTCCTGAGCCAACCGGCTGAATATCCATGAATAACGAGACATCGCCAATCGGAGTTGCTGACGAGCCTCCTTTGGTTTGTTTAGGCGTAGATATGCTAATGATAGTGAACACTGAATGTTGGGGTATGATGCCCAATCTTCCCTGAACACGGTCTCGGTACAAAGCGAGATAAAATGTTCGTACTGCCGGCCTCGCAGAGCTAGATGGTCAATAACCAGTCTCATACAATACGGGTCATCTGTGTCGAGGCTCAAAAGCAGCTTGGCCCATTCGTAGGCGGTGCGCCATGTTCCTTTCATTCCAAGATTTGCAATGTACCTCCATACAGTGAGCCACAATTCCCGATTTTCGGTTTGCATGAAATCCAGTTTCGCCTTGCCTGCCTGGAGCTGGGCGCCAAAAGACGAGTGGGCTGAGCGCCCGATATTGAACAATGCTCTTTCCAGGAGGTCAGCTGAGACGGCGTGGTCGCTCTGATGTTTGGCTATTTCGGAGACTTGGAGCAACGTTGATAAGTGGTATGCTAGTATCTCGAGTTAGAATTAACGTAGTCCTTGAGATCCTTTGAAAAGGAAGAAGATACATACGGTTGTATTGTAGGAGGTGAATCAGCCTCTGAGGATCCATCGACTCCACACACATTTCAAACTGCATCTGAATATCCTCATAAGCTTTATTGTGCACAAGCCGGTACAGACTGTTGCCATTTGCCAGTTTCTCGACGAGTTCCATTCCAAGGCCTCCACTGGTGGTCCTCGGCCATTCGTCTTTGCCTTGCATGAGTATGTTTTTCCTCAAAGTCACTCCAGCGAGACTCTGTCCCCTGCTCGCAGGGCTATAGCGACCACTTAATGCTTTTCCCAGGTCGATCATTTCTCGTTGCCGTTCTCTTCGTCGTCCAGACCCAGCCGTCTCCTGCTCCTCGAATGACTCAAGCACAACATTACCGAAAAGCTTTCGCATTTCATTTATTGCGTTCAGTGACTTGGGTTCGATGGCAAGAAGTTCTTCAGGCGACTTTGCGAACAAGTTACCCTGGTCACTGACTGCCGGTTTGTGTTGCTCGCTCGAGGTGGCGTAAGCGCCATTCTTCACTGATAGATCTCTGAGAGCTCGATCAATATCATCCAGCTCTTCCTCTGCAGCTACTTTTTCTGCCTCAGAAACCGGCCTTGGCGCCGTGGTCTCCCGCTTTTGTTTCTTCTTCTTCTTTTTCTTCTTCTTCGAGGCCTCTTTTGTGTTGCTTGTTGAGACCGAAGCTAGTGGTTTGTGCTGTGTCTCTGCTTTTGACTCATATTCTAAGCCTTTCTCATCATCTTCATCGTCTTCCTCTTCATCGTCTTCAGCAGCGGTGGCGGCATTCAGCAAGTCAAATGCATTTAACTTGGCCTTTGGAGCGGCCACTTTGGCATCCTCATCGTTTGAGCTTTCTTGATCCTTCTCAAACTGCACCTGTGCTTCTAATTCACGCTGCTTCTGCAGCTTTCGCAATGCCCTAGACGACATTTTTGGCCATGGAAGAGCACGCCTAGTTCTCAGTAGCTTGCAGCTCACTCCATGTGAGTGTGATCATAGAGCGAAACACACTGTGAGGAATGACGTTCAGATGGCGATAAAGGATCAACTATACAGAGGCATATATTCTTGTCGATAGTTGAAGAACTCTTTGTAGCAGTGGCCAGTCAGACCAAAAGAAGATAAATAATATTATTCTATGGCCTTCTCCGACTATGAATCATAATTTAGCAGTGTCGGGCTTCAACCAATCATGTCTTCCCAATGTTGCTTAGTAAGATTACACCGCGGCTACGATCACGTGCCTTGCTCGTTAGGGGTCTTTGCTACACCTCGACAGGCAAGATTATGCCCCATCAACCAACCCCGGGCAAAAATCGTCATTTTCAATGCGTCGCGCTGCTGCCCAAGGCCTACAGGCGCTCCGTACTGCCCGCAGCAATTCAGTATGGAGGCCCCGCGGTAGACGAGCCTCCCGCGCCTACTTCTCTAGTGGACAGGCTCTCGCTGTCCAGGGATTCTTCACCAAAAAACAAACATCATATATACCAGCTTCCATCCATGCCTCCATGCACGTCCGCAACTTCTCGCTTGCCTTTATCTCGACTCTCGTTGCCTCGGGCGCCTGGTACGCGTACAAGGGGACCCAGCAGACTGCCTTCCTGAATGGCACCTCTAGCATTCAGTCACGAGGAATAGCAGATACAACATCCGGGGATAGTGCAGAGACAACAGCTACACGGCGGGCCCTATTGGTCGAGAACGATCAGTTCTATACTTCTGTATTGTCCGGTGATCAGCCTCTGTCCAAACAAGCTGACGATTCCGATCGGAGGATACTTGAGATGTTGACACCGGAGCAGGCCACCCAGAAGCTGCGCAAGAATGATGAGTCTTACCTAGTCAGCCGCGGACAGGGCGTTGTTCGATACGATATCACGCAAGTCCCGAGTAATTCGCCCATTGAAGATGATCATGCAGAAAAGATTGTCGAGGTTCCACAGTCTACTTCTGGAGCTCAGGATGGATCTCCGAACAGTGACTGGATGTTCTGGGGAGTATTTGATGGACACTCGTATGTTATCTAGTCTGTATTTCTATCATGACTTGCTAATATTTTTGCCAAGTGGCTGGACCACCTCCGCCAAATTGCGAAATGTTCTCATTTCTTACGTTGCCCGGGAGCTCAACACCACATACAAAGCCGCCGCTACAGACCCTTCGATCAAGACCCCTTCTCCAGAAGCTATAGATTTAGCCATAAAACAAGGATTCGTCCGTCTTGATAATGATATTGTTTACGAGAGCGTAGACAAGGTTATGAAAGCGAACTCACGACGCGTTGCCGCGGAGATTCTGGCGCCTGCTCTATCTGGGTCTTGTGCGCTTCTCGCTTTCTATGACTCCCGCACTCAAGATTTGCGAGTTGCATGTGCTGGAGACTCGCGAGCTGTTCTAGGCCGCCGAGGCCCTAGCGGCAAATGGGTCGCGACAGCTTTGACCGAGGATCAGACTGGAGGAACGCCATCGGAAATTGAAAGGCTCCAAAAGGAACATCCAGGTGAGCCTTATGTTGTGCGAAATGGCAGGATTCTCGGACAGCTTGAGCCCAGTCGCTCTTTTGGAGATGCCTTCTACAAGTGGAAAAAGGAAACACAAGAGAAAATCAAGAGCCGATTCTTCGGACGCACACCACATCCAATGCTCAAAACACCGCCTTATGTCACTGCCGAACCTATCATCACGCGTACCAAAATTGATCCTAAAAATGGCGACTTCGTCGTCCTAGCAACTGATGGTCTCTGGGAGATGTTGACCAACGAGGAAGTAGTTGGACTTGTCGGACAGTGGCTGGAGAGCCAACGTCTTGGAGATGACGGAAAACGGACCTGGCTACAAAGCCTGTTCGGACCAGAAACAAAACAGCTTCCGGTAGAAAAGGCCACTGAAACCAAGACTGCGGGACAACGACCGCCAATTCGTCAGCAACAGTACGACATTTCTGGAGCTGCTCAACGGTTTGTCGTCGAAGACAAGAATGCTGCCACCCACTTGGTGCGAAATGCCATGGGAGGAAAGGATAGGGACATGGTTTCGGCCCTTTTGACTCTGCCCAGTCCGTATTCGAGGAGATATCGGTACGTATTTTATCCTTCCATATAGCGTCCCCCTTCTAATCTAAAGCGTGTCCCGTACTATAACTGACAATCTGCACAGGGATGATATCACTGTGGAAGTCATCTTTTTTGGTGAAAGCGTTGACGATCGCAGCGTAACCGTAAATAAGGAAGCTACTGCACCGGCCGAGTCAGCCAAACCAAAGTTGTGATTTTGCGTATTGGGTTAATAATGGAATGAATATGTTTCTTTGTATTTCTATATCTGATTTGTTTTTCTTTTTCTCTTTTAGACCTGCCGCATGGCGATGATTCCCGGTCTGCAACAGAAATGCAGTGCCCTTGCAAAGATAGTCTTCCTCATGAAAGCAATCGATTTCTTCGATCTACACTTGAATCAAAGTATTCAATTTTCCAGCATCTTCGTAAAATTACACGCATCATCTTAGCGTGGAGTGCCCACGCTTTTATCGGTTCGCAATTGCATAGAACCTAGGCACTCTATTCTCTGGGCACGAGAACTGTTTGCGTATGGGTTTAATGTGCTGTAAACAATTGGAAAGAAAGATAACAAAAATCACACCCATGAGCATTGCCACGTAGGTAGTGTTTTCACCTTCGGCTGGGGCCCAAGAACGCGCCTGCTCACTTTAACAGCTTCAATCAACGCATTTGCAAATTCCTGGCGGCGCTTACTCGCGCAAGACTCCGACCTTTCTAGATATTCTTTCGAAAGGACACGCCCGACCTCCCATCGTCCGTCTTCGAGACCTTCCGCGGCTTCCGTGATTTCTTCCCTTTGGAATTCCCATCCTGCATGGACCGCCGCCGTGCGAATCATTTCGGGCGATATAATGGACTGGATATTATCATTTCGATCAAATGAATGTTCGCCTCGACTATTGAATTCAGCTTGCGAGATCGCTGCTATCATATGCGGGAGAGCAGCGATGTCTCCGCGAATATCAAGTACGTATTCTGCAAGAAGAAGCTGCTTTGCTCTCCCGCGAAGAGACAACAGCATGGACTGTAACGTTTCAACAGATGGCAAGTACCAAACTGAATGCACGAAGATTGCATAGTCGTACAGTGGCTCCGAGGCCCCGGAATCGAGAAAGTCTTGCAGATTAGCCTGGTGAAAAGTTATGCGGTTTCCATAAGGACCGGATTTGAGTTGCGACTGCGCTTCTCCCAATGTCATCGGAGCCCCTGATTTCGTTGATGAGTATGCCACTTTTGCAGAACCTCGAATCAAAACGAACCATAGTCTAGAGGTGCGGGATCAATAGCTGTGATGTGACCATGCTCTCCCACCAGGTCGGCCAAAACAAGGGTACAATCTCCTTGTCCACATCCAATTTCAAGTATTCTCGAACCAGGCATGAGGTCCCATTTCTTCAAAATTTCAATCCTGTGCTGAAGTTGAGGCTTGGAGGGTCCGCCGCAATCCTGCAGACGTTGAATACGAGATCCCTCCGAAGTCATGGTAGTTTTACTTTAGACTGAATTTCCCAACGAGGATTTTTTCTCCAAGTAACTGCACTTTCTTTTTAGAAAGAATGTCTTGGTTCTCAGCTGGAAAGCTCCTGGTACCTGATATTCAATCACGATATGGTGTTTATCTGGAGTTTTTATATTATGGAGCCTGTCATGGAACCACAAAACTATGAAACCATGGAAACACGAGAACACTGACAGGGAAGCCAAGATCGTTTATTTATGCCTGCGATGGGTCTCAGAAAATAGTTTCATGCCAGAGTGAGTCATCGAGGGGTTGCCGCAAATAGCCGATTAATTGCGCATCCGGGAGATTACCACACGCCATTGCTCTACGACGGTGGAGCAAAGAAGGCTTCTAATATAATTCGGACACAGTGATATACAGAGAGGTATTCGTTAGACGCGAGTTCGTTATAGATAGGTTTTACTGTAGTCGTGCTGTGGAAAGCCACAAGCCCTGTCATGTGCATAGCCTATTGTAACTCTGTCCCAAGATTCAGAGAAGAGAGAGAGTCTCCAAAATCTTTCTGGAATCTGCCCTTTTTATTCGTGCACATAGTGTCTAATAATGACAAGTGAGGGAGGTATATATCACTCAACCTCAAACAAGCTAATTAAGACAACAAGGGCTTGGTCGGTGGTGGCTTTTCACCGGGTTTCAAAGTGCGGACGAACAGCGGTGTCGCAGTCTGCAGTGGCTTTGACGCAAACATAAACTTCTCGAGAAGACGCGTTTGTAGTGTTGCAGTATTCGTACTAGCAATCCAGTAGAGCATCATTCCCACGGGCATCCCTGTAACGTAAGCGGTGCAGGCAACATATACGCCCATGACCGTCAGGAATTCTTTTAATGATTTCGCAAACAGGAATTGAGCCATGCGCCTCGTGGAATAGTCCGAGGCTTCGGCAAGTGTTTTGGTTTTCCATCCCAATCTCACATTTGCAATGATTGAAAGACCGAGTACAACGGGTAGAATACCCGTGGTATCTGCGGCCAACAGATCTGGAAACCACAGTGCTCCCTCATTAGACAGAGTCTGTTCCACACCCGGTAGATCGATGGCATGGCCATCTTTGTCTGGTAGCGGTAGCAAATAGCGGAAAAGTCCTAAATTGACGCCACACATGTTCCGGATACCTTCCATGAGAGACAACCAGACTGGTATCTGGAGCATTGGAACAAATTGTGCATATTTATTAATTTGCCAGTTTCGGTAGAGCTCATTGGTTTTCTGTTTCAGGTACTTTCGTAGTCTTTGCTCCGCTTGCTGCGGGCGCATGTAGATCTTGTCCTTCTTATTTTGGGCTTTGATTAATGACTCCCAACTTTTCCGATGAACAAAAAGAAGCGGGGTTATATCTGCTTGTTTTCGGGCATGGACACGAGAGTATATCTGAAGCGGAAAAGCTATCGCCATCCGAACGGCGACTGCGGTTAGGGGTATGGAGGCTACCCATGGCAGACCAGTAACTGAGTGGATGCCATGAAGAATGCCGGTGGAAACTGTAAGTAGCTCTGCGACAAATGGCGACGGTCGTGTGGAATGAAAGGCTCGAGTTCGACGCGAGGGAACGGTGGACGAGATGGCTGGTCGTTGAAGTTGAGACCACCGAGATCCTAGAGAACGCGGCCGCATGACTTCCAGGCGGAGTCTCTGAGAACTGGCTTCAAAACGAATGTGTGTGTTGATACGACATGGGTCAGTCGTCAGTAAGCAGCCAGTAGTGGTTGGAGTTTATGGCTGTAGTTGAGTCAAAATAAGGATGAAGCTGCCCTTGTCCGTGTTTGCTTCGTTTGTCCCGGTCGCTATCGTCACGTGGGACCGGCGATAAGCACGAGGCCGCAATGTGTTCAAGTCAGGTGTCTGTCTCATTTGGTTGCATGTGCCAAAGGAGCATGCTATCCAAGCGCTTCACCAGTTTTCACGGATCTTGAGTCTTTATTAGAGGGAGGAGGAGCAGTAGCTTTCCTGGCAAGCTCCTACACCGGAACTACCTCCCTCTTATCCTCTCCAGGCCCTACCTCCGAAACATGGACTAGACCTTTCATAGTCGACAACTCGACAGTAAACGCTTCTCTAATAGCAATCAAACATGGCTTTCTTCGCGAGTGTTTCAGTTACACTTCTTGTCTTGACCGCTACCTTTTTTCTCATACCCACTGCATTCGCTTATGGTCTAAAGGCGGTGCTCTGCAGCGTGGGCTGGTCTCTCAGAAATAAGACTAATGCACGAAGAGAATTGATTCTTTCGCAAGTCCGTGCTGAGGAAGAGCAGCACCAATCCAAGCACTCTGCATCATTGGCATCGGCGTCGGCATCAAGCCCAGAAGATGATGATTGGGAAAAAGTAGATAGCACTGTGCCCGGTGTAGCCGGGAATGGAAAACCACTAGGCGAGGACTGGGAAGGCATAATCGGGTTCTTCCATCCGTTCTGGTGAGTATATCGAATTTCCTTTGAAATAAACTTTCTCTGCGATAGCCCGTTGTCTCACAAAACTCGCAGCAACGCCGGTGGTGGTGGTGAGCGTGTCCTCTGGGCCGCAGTCAAAGCTACACAGGAACGATGGCCAAAGGTATGTCTCGAGATATTATACTTTATCTTTTATTTACGTAGCTAACCTCCGTTTAACAGGCTGTATGCGCCATCTATACGGGTGACCATGAAGTCACCAAAGCAGCTATGCTTGAAAGGGTCGAGGTCAGTCCTCGTATTTGTCGGTGTGATCATACATGTAAAGACTAACAATTGGATGGTCTAGACACGGTTCAACATCAAGCTTCATGCTCCAACTGTTGTGCTATTATATCTTTCTACACGGAAATACATTCTAAGTAGCATGTATCCACACTTCACGCTCCTAGGTCAGTCATTGGGTTCTCTGATTGTGGCATTCGATGCCTTCAACCTTCTTGTTCCCGACATTTATATCGACACCATGGGCTACGCATTTACAATCGCACTGTCCAAATTTCTCTTTCCATCAGTACCCACAGGAGCCTATGTTCACTATCCCACAATCTCCACGGACATGCTGAGCTCCCTCGATGACAGCACGGGCATCAAGGGTCTCAACTCTGGTGCCGGAGCAGGCTGGAAAGGTGTAGCCAAAAAGAAATATTGGCATATATTTGCTAGCATCTACGGCTGGGTTGGAAGCAAAGTAGACGTGGTCATGACCAATTCATCGTGGACATCGGCGCATATCAACTCCCTCTGGGGACCATCGCGGAAAAGACTCGAACACAAAAATGCAACGGTAGTTTTCCCGCCAACGGCAGTCTCCGAATTACACTCCTCAATAGACGTGAGCAGTTCCAGCGAGTCCACTCGAGAACCAAGTATCGTGTACATTGCACAATTCCGGCCTGAGAAGAATCACTCGTTGATACTCCGGGCTTTTGCTCGATTTGTCAACGAGACCCGCAACAACAACAACAACAACGACAAAATCACAGCTTCAGGATCCACGCCCAAGCTCATCCTAATCGGGTCAGTGCGACACTCAAGTCCCGATGAAACGCATATTTACCACCTACGCCTCCTCGCACACGAGCTCCATATCCGCGACCAAACTACATTCCTCTGTGACGCCAGCTGGCCCACGATTCTGTCCCATCTCCGCACCTCCTCCATTGGCACCAATGCCATGTGGAGCGAACACTTTGGCATTGGCGTCGTCGAATACCAAGCCGCCGGCCTAATCAGCGTTGTACACGACTCCGGCGGCCCGCGCGAGGACATCGTTATCGATCTAGGCGACGGCGCCACGGGATTCCGTGCCTCGACCGAGGAGGAATTCGCAGCGGCTTTTGAGGCTGCGTTGGCTCTCCCCGAGCAAGAGAGGGTAGCCATGCGTTTGCGCGCTCGCAAATCTGCGTTGCGTTTTACAGAAGAGGAATTTGCCCGGAAATGGATTGAGGAGGTTGCAAAATTGGTCTCGCAGTGTCGGAAGAAATAGATGTTTTTTTTTTTGCCCTTTTTCTTTGTTATTCTTCCTCAAACCTGTGGTTGCTTGTAACCTTTTTCGTTTCTCTGTCCTTCTAGAAGAGCCTTCTTTTCTTTTTCCCCACTCTCAAACCTCAGTTCTTCTATGTAGGTATAGTATAGTATAGTATAGTATTGCTTCTATTCTAGTTCGTGTAGAACCTTGATTTACTCTCCAGTTCTCAACATGTAGCCTAACTACGAAGATGTAGATACTATCAAGTAATTAGCGTCAAGGTATCTATAAATAAGTATATGCATCACTCATTCCCTTCTTTCACATTCATTAGTCGTAACCCTAATATTCAAGAAAACTCACTCTAAAGGGTCTAACAAAAGGGCAAAAAAAAAGACATATCCGGTGTTACCTAGAGGCTAACCCATAAGAACATGTGAAAAGTATAAACACGCCAATATCCCAATTATTCTTCCGGTTCCCTTTTGTTTTCCCTTTACCAAGAACGTTAGACGAATTACCAAATAAAAAAATCCCATATAGATCGGACCGAATTCCGATAGATTTATCCAGAAAAGGAAAAAAAAGGACAGGAAAGAAAGAAAGATAGATAGATCGTAACTCGTGAAGGACAATATGCATACACCATCTGAACTGACCGGTTGAGCAAAAAGAAAAACGGAGAACAATCCCTTGAAAAGCAGGCGCCATGAATCCGCTCTATAAGTAGGAAAAGGAGAAGGATAAAAGCAGACGAAATACGAAACCATGATGTTATTGATTCCATTCGTGACCTGTAAAATTGGGGTCTGTCGCATTCAAAGCAAAATTTTGCTCGTACATAGTGCCAGATCCCGAGGCATTAAAGCTCCCGCTTATTTCGTCATCATCAAACCCAAACTCTCCGCCTGAACTTGCATCGAAACTATTTCGAGCACTGATATCACTCGGGTCATCTCCCGTGGATGTTGGAGCGATTTGGTCCCATTGTATAGTTTGCAAAGCTGGGTACTGAGCTAAGAGTGCTGCTGGAAGTGTGAACCCGCCACCGCCTGATTGGTTATTGTCAATGCCAGGGACCATCATGGTTTGCTGAACAGGTTGCAAATGTTGCTGCTGCTGCTGTTGCTGCTGCTCTAGATAATTTCGATTTCTCTCAATGGCCTCTTCGTCCAAAAGGGCTTTGATACAAGCGCGTCCAGCTTCTGATCGAAAATGACGGCCTAAAGCATCCGCACGAGCGAATCGTCGTCCACAGCCCCACTGACCACCCCCAGCGAGATCGCCGCGGCATACGAATTTCTTCTCGCCGGAGTGTAGACCCTCATGTCTCTTGCGATCATGTTGGCGTGCAAAGGCTTTTCCGCACACCGAACACACAAAGGGCCGCTCATCGGTGTGAGTTCGAAGATGAGAGCGTAAGTTATATGCGCGGGTAAACCGTTTCGGACAGAGACTACATTGGAAGGTGGCTGGATGCTTCTGAGTCCTCTTCGATTCACTTGGCGTTGCGCCTGGCCGCTGAGGGTCGGCGAGGTCAAGTATAACTTTCCTTTCAATAGAAGATGTCGACTGTCGACGTGTTGATCTGGATGCAGGTGATGCACTTCGCGAGCCTGGGTTGCTCAGGGAGCCTCCCATTTGATCAAATGGAGATAAAGAACGTGGGGATGAACCAAAGATCGCGTCTACGCTGCCGGCCGGTGATAGTGATTGGGAGTGGGAATGGTTACGAGGGGCCGGCTGTCCGAATGGGTCAGACTTGCTTCTTCCACGAGAGCCTAATTACACAAAGATTAGTGATGGAGAAAAAAAAATACTATTGAATGACAGCTTCTCAACCACACTTACGGGACGGAGGAGACAGTGCATCAAAATCATTTTCGTTTCCTGGACCGAAGCTAGGCATTCTAGATGGAGGCGCAAACTCCACGTTAATCGACGGCGGAGGAGCCATGTTGCTCATCTGATTCATATCCATGTTGGGCCCTTGCATGTTGACAATATCGTCTTGTGGGCCTGAGTAAGTGTCATGAGCTAGTGCAGGAAACTGCGTCATGTTCTGTTGCCCGCTTAATATGAATCCTTCGTTCAAATCTTGGGAAGGTAGTTGTGGCGAAATGTAGGGGCTATGATTAGGGCTCAAGCCTCGTTGATGCTGCTGTTGTTCTGATAACGTAAAACTATCCATTCCCAGAGTATTTTCATACAGAATAGGGTCATTTTGCGCTGCAAGAGAAGGAGAAGCACCATCCAATGGTTCAAAAGACTCTTGATGACCCGCGTAAGGAGAGTGATGAGACACTGACGAGACATCGGAATGCTCTGAGGGAGCGCGTCGATGACCCTGGAAGGCGGGGTTTTCTAGCATGCCCTGCCATTCTTGTGACGGATGACCCATGAATGCTGCACTCATGGGGTCGAGAGACGCACTTCGAGATTGTCGTGGCGAGTAAAATGGACCAGAAGTCATGGGCGGGGACGTATGGCTATTGCCGGGAGAAGAGTGATGTTCAGGTGATAATAGATGAGGAGAGCCCATGTGGCCCACCATTTCGCCCTGAGTCATTAGCTTAGCACCCTGTGTAGACTGACGTGATTGCTGCTGTTGCTGCGGATCTAGCAAAAGAGACGAATCAAAACTCGGTTGCATGCCCGTGTTATCGGTGGCGGCGGCATACTGAGAAAAATCATAGTCGGCAGGATTCGTATTGAGCAGATTGGAATAATTGCCCTCATGGTGAGCGGTTGTTTGCTCAATCTGATCAGCGAAGGTGGCTGCAAAGGCAGAGGAGAATTGGTCATTCTGAGCGACGAGGTTCTCGCGGTGGGAGGAGGTATGCGATGGCGCGGCTAGAAAGGCATTATTCACTCCGTACGCATTGGACTCGGCAAGCGATGATGGGAGGGCAAGATTTGAATAGGTTCCCGCCGTCGTCCCTAATGAAGATGAATCCAGCATAAGCCCAGCGGCAGAAGCATCGTGGTAGGGAGAGGGATGCGGCGATGGGCTGACATTCCGGCTATTCACGCTGGCGGAGGGAGAGCGACCGCGATTAGAATACTGGCCATGACTGTCCATGGCGGCCGAGTCAATCTGCCTTGCCTTGGTGTGCTTGTAAGAAATATGGCCTCGGGAGCACGATAAGTAAGGCTGTGCTCCGATTATCGACGCGGAATTCAACGTATGAGGAGCATGGACCAGGAGAGCAGCAGATAAAAAAGTGGAGGGGCAAAGCCGAGAACGAGAGGGAGAAGAGTTCGTATCGATGTGGGCTTGCTTGCGCGACGGAAAATCAGGGACAGCCCTCTGGAATATAAACTAGGAATCAGAATGGATAATTTGGTTCTGACTGGAGTTTCAAGTACCCCTTTCTGTCTTAATTCCTTGCCCCCAGGTCGTGCAGTACGGCGGTGGTGGGAGTGCTGGCAGTCAGTGAGACTCGAAAATGCCTTGCGATCAGCCTAGCCAGTGGCTGCCCACATGTATAGTAGTTCGGTGTTAGCCGCACGGAGCTACGTCGGAGTACACTTAGAAGTCATCAGGGGTATTGCGACAGAACTGCTCCGTAATGAGGAGGACAAAGAACAGAAATCAATGAAATAGCTGGAGGAATTCGTGATGAGACTGAGTCCGCGAGGAAGTTCAAGTTGGATGGATGAACGGGGGAGGAGCGTGACTTGTCGCCTGAGGCAGCAACCTGTGCTTGGCAGGGCGATACGTGACGTCGAGTCAACTCTGTTTTCTTATCATAATTACTGATCATCAGATAGAGGTATTTGTGTTTATTTGCTACTTATTTATGCTAGTTAGTCGTTATACAACGATGCAGGTATAGACAAGTCAGGTTCGCCATTAGGCACCTCCAATGCATATGTATGTCGCACCTGCAACCTGGTTGGTGCAACAAATTCTGCTGCCTAAGGTTGCCATTTTGGCTAGTTACTGCTAAGTTGTGACTGCATACTAACTACACACATAAGTGCACATATAGGGTGAGTTAGGTACCAAATTTTACCTAGATACCTGATAATAATGAACGTTCTATAATATATTCTCATTTGCTCTGACTCTGAGTAAGTCAAACACCACTATATAACCAACTAAAGATCATGGCCCAATTCAAACTGTTCAAACAAAGCAGCATCGTGCCAACTATAAGTTAAACATAGATATAAGTCATATAAAAGCCCTTTTTCTCCGTCTGCTCTCCAACAACCCAGTCTCAGAATGGACTTTAGATAACAGATGAAAGACAAAAAGTGGTGAAAGTCGCATGTGGTGGTGTAACGCACTCTGCAAGTATATACATGAAGCCAATGTCAAAGGTAAAGTCAAAAGTCAACATAGAAGCATAAGTAGACGAAGGTTAAGAGGTTCACAGGGAACAAAAAGAGCAGAAACAATGAAACGCCTTCAAATGCTACGACAGGGAAAATTTAGGTATTCCCCATCTACCACCCACACATTTTTGCCCATACCACATTAAGAGATGTCATGGATAGCATACTACAAGATTGTTTCAAACGCTTGAAATAGTCCGCATGCTCTTGTTTGGTTTCTCCTTGAGAGAAAGAAAGAAAAAGAACAAATACTGAAAGGTCGCAACAGGCGTACTGTACATAAAAAAATTAGAAGCCCTAATAATGGTCCATTTCTTCAATGAACACAAACAAAAACAAGGCAATGCGTCTTTTCAAGCTTTTTCAACGGCCAATGGGTCACATAAAGTTGTCTCGTCTCGGCATAGCTGTCGATGACGGCAAGAAAATTCATCGAATGTAAATGAATATAAAAGGCGTCGTCGATATTCCCAAAGGGGAAAAACAAAGACGTCGTAGGATAAACTCAGTAAAGTTATCCCAGCCACCTCATATCAAATGAAGCATCATGCTGAAGGTCTCTTTTTTCCAAAGACGATTCCTTCATCTTCCGATTCAATGTCTTCGTCATCGCAACCGTGGTGGTATGCCACGTCTTTAACAGCGTAGTGCTGAACTTTAGAGTTCCTAGGCGTGATTGTATCGCCAGTCCGAAGTATAGGAGAGACATAAGGAGTAGCATCCTGCTCCTTTTCTCTCTCTTCCAAATGTGTGTGAAGATAATCGCCAGAGAAGGATGAGGCACCCGAGACAATAGACGGCAAGCTTGGATGTGACACGCTTTGGGACATTTCACTTGCACACTCATCAACTGACATCGTCGAGATAGTGGCGGCCGACGGTGGTGAAGTCATCAGACCACTTTCAGATGAAAGTTGATTTGTGGATCCCATCGGACTTGCTTCCCCCGAAGCACCATTCCCATTATCATGTAAAGCGTCACTTGCAAGCTCCTCTTCAGACGGGGGGTGCTCTGCAGCCTGATGTAGCAATGCTTCTTTGGCGGTTCGAAAGTACTGATCAGATACCTCAGGAGTAACTTGTTCAGATCGAATACGGCGATGTCCCATTGATGGTGAAGTTGTCGCAGAGTCATTTCCTTGACTATGGGGCCGATTCTGCTCGTTCCATAGGGCTGGAGTCTGAACACGCCCGGTAGCAGAAGCAGTACTCCAAGCTAAACTCGGTTCAGAATGAGCATTTATTTCACTCCGAGCACTATCAATGAATCGCAACCGCTCATCACGTTGTTGTTCGACATCACCGGACAATCTCTTGTCCGCGCGAGGGCCAGCCCCCGTGAAGATCCCGCTCACACGGGGTGACGCCGGAGTACTCTGCGAGTTTGGAATATCAGAAGTAACATCTGATACCAATTCTTTTGTTGGCGGCATTGCTTTAACTGTTTTTGTTGAGGCCGTGGTTGACATAATCGACGGTATACGGTCCGAAGGATGAGGCCGAGGGGTATGATCCGTGAGAGACTCCGTATCCTGATTGCGGTCTTTTTCAAAGTACGAAGACTGCTCCGGGGTATCGTCAGGACTAGCAGTCACGCTTTGAGAAAGCGGGTGCTCTGACTCCCGCGCAGCCCTAAGGGGGCGGGGAATATCCTCGTCTCCCCGTAAGCTAGCTCGACGACTACTACCGGCACCAGTGATTTCTTTCGAAGACGCAACTGAATCAGCCGAAGATCCGGTTGCGCTTGCTGTCCGCTTACTATGACTCCGTCCTTCACGGCGGCCAACAAACCACTTGGCCATCTGTGATCGAACACGATCAACAAATGGAACTTTGCTGACTGCACTTGTGACTTCTTCGTTCGATACTTCAATCCGATTGCCTTTGCTCTGCGGGTCAGTCTTTTGCACCCAGTCGGCGGGATCTTCTTTCAAATCTTGTAGGACCCATTCATGAGTCTTGATCCCTTTGATAGTGATACGGTTTTGAGGATCCTTTGCTAGGAGGCGCCGCAAAAGATCATCCAGCTTGGGGTCGATGTCCTCATACACGAATTCATCGTCAAGTCGTTTGTTGCTATTCATCACACCATGACGCAGATCGGCATCAGTCTTGTTAAAGTCCATTTCGACCGGCTTCAGGCGCTTCTTTGGAATGAATAGCTCATTCTTGCCAATCGACTGAAATAGACTGTATTCGTCATCCGAAACAAAAGGAAGGCGACCGAAAATCATGCCGTACAGAGTGACGCCCAAAGACCAAATATCGATGGCGCCTGTGATTTTCGGGCCTTTGCCCTTAGCGTCAACATAGTCATCACCACTATAGCAAAGCTCGGGTGCATAGAACGCCGGAGTGCCGACAGTCTTGGAGAGTTCTCCACGGGCATCGTCCAGTTCAGTGGCATCGGTCTCGGTAACCTGCTCTTCTTCTTCATCCCGGATAGGGCGGCCTAAATAAGACACTCCGAAGTCGGAAATCTTGACTTGGCCTTTGGCCGTGACGAGCAGATTTGCGGGTTTAATATCGCGATGTATGATACCCTGGTAGTGCAAGTATTCCAAGCCCAACACTGCGTCTCGAAAAGCATTACGAGCTTGCTCGATGGTAAGACATGGTACATAAGATAGATCATCGTCATCGGTGAAATGATCGGTTTCCGATGACGAATAGCCGAACACGCTGGATGCTGTGCTATATCGTCTTTCCAGTGGGTATTCAGATGCATAAGCGCCGTACATACTGCCCTCAACTGCCGCTAAGACTGATTCATGCATGTGACGCTCAAACTCCGATGCTGAACTATTGTACGATTGACTTGGTGAGGATGTGTGGTTGTCTGCAGAGTCATGGTGGCCGACATTGCGGCTGACAGACCGTGACAGTGTTAAATCCGGCCCAAGCTCTTCATCCGATTCCCCGCCATGCTCTAAACTCCAGGCGGGAATCAAGTGTCGATGGTTGTTTTGTGCTTGTGCCCGGTGTCTTTCACGCGCACGCTCCCTGCGCTTCCGTTGGCTCTGAAGGGTGCGGATGAAGTGTTGGCCTTCTTCCTCGAAAAAAGCTGAATCTGGGATGCCGTTTTTCTCTCGTTCAATGCGCAGCCTGTCCATTTGCACAATCTCCTTGACACCCTTCTTTCGCCATTTGATCTCCCCATTTTCGACATATTCTAATACAATGTACACTTTTTGACGATTGGGGTCATCGATAACTTCCAGGAGACTGACCACATTTGGATGCCGAGCTTTTTTGAGAATGGCGACTTCTTTCTTAACCTTATCTTCTGGGTTTCCTAGTTTTCCCAAACGGCGGCGCTTAGAGTAACGCTGGACAATTTTGATAGCAACAGGTTGTTTGGTGGGAAGATGGCGGCCGAGTTTCACTTTTCCGTGTTCTCCTCGTCCCAGCTCTTCGAGAACTTCGTAGTCATTGATAAGCTTGTTACCGGTGTGGTGGTCGCGTTCTACTTCGGCGGTGTGAGTTCTGAAATATCAAAGGGTTAGTTAAATTTAGAGGGTTTTTTTTTCTCGCTCATATAGCAAAAGGAATTATGAAACCAGAAAAACTACTCACTCTTTGGGCGGTTGAAGATGTGTTGGGTGGAGGTACGGGCTGAATGTGTATGGTTCGTCATCAGAGCCGACTGAAGGAGATGTACGGAAAGTACGGCCTGTAAATAAGCCGGGGCTGGAGACCGGAGTACTGCCCGCGGTTCGTGGACCGTGAGAAGAATAGTCAGATTGTTTGAGATACTCGCTCTGTGACGGATAGGAACTGCGGCCTCGAAGGGAGGGCTGATAAGGAGGTGGATGAACTTGCGATTGTAAGACTGCGTATGACTGGTCAGGGTAAACGGGGAAATCGGCAGAGGTGTTGACAGGGTGCATCGTCGGAGTAAGAGGTTGGCTGAATGACGATTCGAGTTGTGATGACAATCTTCTCGCTAGGGAAGGGCGGTAAGGTAGGCCGCTAGACGGTTCCGTTGGCGCATTGGATACGGATTCTTCGTTCATGGCCTGGAGAGAACTCGAAGAGGTCTTCGCAGAAGATGCTTTCGAGTTGCTGGATGAATGTGGCATAAAATGTATTTGATGGTGGGATGGATGCGGTTCTCCCCTATAACCAGATAGCTTCAGACCATGCTTGGATGCCAGCATCCTATTTGCAAACGAGAGGCTCGACTCGGAAGAAGACGAGGTTGTGGGTTGAGTCGAAGCGTGTGTGCTGCTTGACCCGCTATGCCTAGCCTCTGTCGGATCATCGCGGGGATGGCCGTGAGTCTGAGAGCCCGCATCAGAACTGGTCTGTTGTTGCCGGTCATGATCATGGGCTGCTGTGCGCTCAACGTCTTCAAGGCCAGCGTGGGATGATCGCCGTTCAAACAGCCCCATGGTTGTTTAAGGACGCTACCAATTGTCTTCGCTATGCAACGGGTACATCCTCTTTTCGCAAAGAGCGTTTATGAAAGAGCGCAGGAAGTTGTAGCTGCTGGGTCGTCGCTCCGTGCGTCCTCTGGAAAGGATACCCTCATTCCTCTGGGTGTGAGTGCGCGAGGGTCAACGTAGGCATGGAAGAAACGAACAAGAATTCGTAAAGGGGATGCAGGTGACGTCGATGCGGTCGGCGGGCGCACGTTTTCCTCCTCGCCAATCTGCGGAGGACCCGAGCTGCGACGAAGCTGAGCGGGAGTAATTCAGAAGCGCCGAATGATCGTTATCTAGAGGAGAGGGGGGAAAGGGAAAAAGCTATATAGTGGGCGTAAGGGATGTGGGCGATGGCATGGTCGTCGAGGAGAGGTCGTGTCGTGTGGTTGAGAGGCAAGGACGTAAACTGGGAAGGTCCAGCGGCAGTGACTGGCCGAACCACAGGTGGGGTCCTCAGTCAGCAGCCGAAAAAAGTGCGAGTGCGATGACAACTCAATGTGGATTCCATGAACGTTTGACATTAAAAAATTTAATTATAAAATAAAATAAAATAGCGGAGACAACATTAGATCTTTTCCAGAGTAAATACGAGGCTCGTACGATGGCAGAAGATTGTTCTGTCTGTTGTTTTTTGTCTCTTGTGTTGGTCTCTGTTCGGTGTAACGAGTGGTAACGAGTAAGTATATATAGCTCTTGCCCTTATACAAGTGAATAATGTTCCGTTTCATCTCTCCCTGTTCCCCATCGGCGATCATATCGAGCACAACTGCTGAGTGAAGGGAAAGAAAAAAGGTGCTACGTATTCAGAGCCTTGTTGCTGGCATGGTAGAAGGGAAAGACTGATTGGCTGTATGGGATATTACCGTATTATTACCCCAGCCATTGGTAGATTGCGATCCACCGCAAGTAGCATCGATGTACGGCTTATACCGGATGTGGTATAGCCGGTAATAGTCAGGTACTAAAGTTACGCAGTGCGTACATCGTCATCCTGTACTCTACTTAACTACGGACGGAGGAATAAATTGGCCAGTAGCTGCGAACTGGTGGTTGCTAGCATATGCAGCTAGATATTTAGTACGCCGTGCGTACTACACACTAAGAGAAATTATAAACGCGGTAGCATCAGAAGACGGCAAGCAGGTCTAAAAGAGCGAACAACTCAACAGTTTCAAAAAGATTCGGGACTAGAAGACGTTAGCTACGCTCGAAGTATATAGTCTTGTTTTGCAGACCTGCGCTGCGGGCATGAGATTGGGCAGTTACAATACTAACCGCCTAAGCTAATCTTACTCTGCCCGTCTCGACTCTCCACGTTTGATTTTGATGGTCCGTGAGCGTCTGCTATGGACCCTAGTTTGCTGAAGAGGAAAAAAGAAGTTACAGTTTACCAGGGGGCAGATATGATTTGGTGGTTAGACGCATTATTGTCTAGCCGTCCGTGTATGCAGTTGTATTCGTACTGCATGCTGGTGCATGACATATGCAAAAAGTAGTGTCCTAAAAAGCGTACGGAGGTGCGCACATCCTCCCCCCTCCGGCCCGGAAAAAATCTTGAGTTGAATGATGAACCAAGCAATTGTTCCATCAACTAGCTGACCCGTACCATGCTACTGGAAGAGTCACGAGTCATGCACTCAGTAGCCACTCAACAAATGTTAGCTAGTTAGTTAACATGCATGCTGTCGTCCTCGTCGCAACCATATACGTGTATCGTAAGGCTAGCCGACTCCGTAATCTGTCGTAATATAAAAGAAAAAAGCCCTGCTCAGACCTCGTTCCAAGGCTTAATCAGCGTCAGCGTTAGACTCGACTCGTTATGGATCCAACCGCGAGATTCTTATTAGCTACTGGCCCCGTAGCAGAGTCCTTATTGGCCTGTATCGGCTCCAGTTGCCCCATCCACAACCCCACTGCGACCTTGGAAGCTCACGGATCAGTGATCAGCCCAGCATGATTGGACCGTCGCAAGGCGGGTCTGCTGGTGGCGCCGTGGCCGGTCCCGTTTTGTGCGGTCCCCACTCCATTTTAGCATCTGGCCAATCATATCCATATGTATTCTACCGCAACTAGTTATCTGGCCATTTCTCATCTGATATCTAGCGAGTTATCTGGTGGCAAAGAACAGAGTAACACATTTCACCTCAATTAACCCGTAATCATGAGATAACGACCCTGTATCCGTTATGTAGTGTTGGACGCGGCTTTTAGTTTCCAGGTCGTGCGTTCGCCAAAGTTACCTAAACAACACAATCCTTACGGGAATAGTTAGTGGGTTCAACTAAGCATTGATCAAAATACGCAGTGAGAAATATTGCATGCAAAATGCATATTACAGAGCCATATCCAATGGAAATAATGGCCATTCGAAGCCTCACGAACCAAGCTGTCAAGAATCGGCCACTTTGTTCTGTCCAGTCTCCTGACTCGTACAGCATACAGGGCAAAGCTCGGCGCATTTATTCACATGCGTAATGTGATTGTATATAATACATACTACATAGTCCGCATGTACGGGGGTACAGCTCTGGGGGTAAGCCAACGAAGCTTCATTTACATTCAACACCTGCTTAGTCGAGGCCTGCTAAACTTAGTAGGCTTAAAATTGCCTCATGTCCGTTACTAGGCTACTGGCAGCACTCCGTACTTCGTACGATATAACTTTTAGTATAACGAGTTAACAACTAACAACTAGTTGATTCGTAGTTGCAGAGTGATCTGTCAATGCCCGCCATTTCCCTGCAAGTTGCAACCAACCCCAAAGTCTCTTTAAGCATAGCTGCCCAGGAGCCTAAACCTTTTAACCAGTGGCAACAATACGTTTTTTCTTCTCTCAAACTCTCGAGTCAATGCTAGGCAAACGGACTAAGGCGGAGAAAAGGAAGAAATCATTGCAATTAGGTGGCTTGACGCAACTAAGGTCTTAAGTTACTACGTACCCCAGGCGCTCTTCATTCAAGCATCAAAGCATCAAGCCATAAAATACAAGCAGCGTTTTTCCTCCCTAACATTGGCATCCATTCCAGAACATTCGTCTTGTATTCAATTGACTTTTGTCTTGTTTGTTACCTGTGGAACGAGCCGCTTACAGTTACGGCCCGCTTCCCGCGTATCACTATCGTCACTATCGTGCTGCACTTCAGCTACATGTATGTAGGATTGCAAAGAGGTGATATTATTCGAGCTGGGCCAGGTCCATATCTTGCAAGCCATCTCTCATTTGCCAACCAAAGCCAATCCCTGCAAAGTCATTCGCATACAAACCGAACGACTACGAAGTATATAATCAACTATCAAACCATCATTTCCTTGCCATGTTTAGTGCAGATAAGTCTATCGAATCATCGATCAGTACTCCGTAGAGCACAGACGATAAGTAGCCATCGGCCTATGCCTCATTGAGGTTTACATGCAGGGAATGCCGTCATTTTTCAAACTCGTTTACCCCATCTCTTTATTTTATTATATGCATGAATGATTATCCTTAGGGGGCCATTGGTTGGTGCCGCCATGAAACAGTGTCGCACGTTCGAGCACATAACGATAGTTTACCTCCTCTTTAGAATACAAAGTAGGTTATCACTAATTACTTTCATACTGAACTGGCCCCGGCTGTTTTACCACCCAGGGCTAGCACGGAGTAGCACTAGCTGGATCATTTCCCATATCCCTGCCGTCTGTTCTACACCAGACAGTACCACGTTTTACATAGGCAACTAAACGAGACTAAAAGAAACTTCAATGCGGGTGCTGCTGTAAGCACGAGACAGTTGTAACTTGTAGCTAGCTTAGAGGTACAATACATCTTTACGTACTCGTAGCCACCTAACTATCAACTATGACTACATACTTTCGAGAAGCATGAAGTTATTTCCTCGCAGAACTCGACAAAACTACAACAACCATGACGACGATAGTATGGATGGCAAATGAGAAGGGCCTAAGAAAAATCTACAAGTCCGTTGAAAATGACACAAAGAGGCCCAAGTCAAACGGGCACCAAGAAAGAAAAGCCCGACTCTGTCCTGATTCGACCGAACAATGCCCGACGGCCTGCGACTAGCCGTCTGTATGTATACCCTGGGTAACTGGCTTCTTTCTTTCTCTCTCATTTTCGAGAGTGTTGGCTCTTGAATCGTTGATTCGAGTCGATGATATGCATATATATATATATATACTACTAGTTAGTACGAAGGACAATTCTCAGGTTAATCACGCATGAGAGTAACTTAGGTCGTCTGCTAACTAACGAACTGTATGGCATCTCATTTGCCAGCACTCCCGGCCCTTGCATAATTCCTTCATATATGCTGAATAGTAATACACGTACGCAGTGGACTGCGGGCATATCGCTCTATACGTTGCTGCTTGTCAATGGTGGCTAGAGTCCCTATACTGCGGGCTGTTCGCATTAATATCTGCATCTGCAAGTGGATGTCCCCCTTGCCCCCCCCTCTTCCTGCACAAATGATAGGTCCCTTGACGGATGCCGTACAACATGTATGCACAAATATTGGGACTATTCTGCTGCTGTGCACCGCCGAGAATGAATTCCAAGACCAGTGCAATGCAATATTATGCGTGGCAGCTAGAATCTATGATATGTCGGTGCATGGTAGACGACGCCTTGGAAGTGATGGGCCATTGGGATGTAGACTCGTCTAAACGTAGCAATCCAACGTTACTCGTGCATCAGCCACGGCCCTCAATAGTGCAAATCAAACATTGAGGGTATACTGGCCAGATGTTCATAGATGATAAAAACGCGCGTTGCCAGGGCAACGGCGATGTTTACTTGCGGGCGAGTATCATCCGCTTTGAAACAAGCCACAGCCCGCGCATCGATCCAATGGGTCGATCACCATGGCAAGTCCAGACCGTGACACCCGCCTGTTTACGTGCCCCGCCTGCTGTCCACGGGGGTCTTTAAAGATAGACCGATCTTACTTTCAGCTGCTGCTGTCTTTACTGAGCTACGGTCTACCTGACTGACAGACTGAAGCTATCATCGCCATTGTCCGTTCGGCGCAAAGGAAAAGCTTCCATGTTCTGAGCTCCCCAGGGCCCGTCCATCCTTGTATGGAACCCCTCTGGGGAATATAGACGAAAACGACACGCGGGGCAGTAGCACATGTGCTGCGTTAAAATGCCTTACAGCGGCCTTCTAAGTCGAGGCCTCCTCCTGTGCAACATCTGGGCTGTGGCCGCCGCATCAGCCCCTTACGTCCCGACGCATATCTTCACTTCGCACGCCTCAAATACCAGCTTTGCGCTTGTCCTCCAACCAAAGGGTGACCAGACCGGGGTTGAGCTTCTCTCGTTGAACTTGTCAACCATCAACGCCAGCAGTCCCCAGTACACAGTCCTCTACAATGACGTTCCCTTCTCCTCCGCGGATAACGATGCGTTTGTGCCCATGTCCGATTCGAATGGATCCTTGACGGTATTCACGGGGAATTGCCAAGCGTCGCAAAATGCGTCGCCGATGCTGTGGACTTTTCAGCCCGATAACAACAGTTCCATTGGTAATGGCACTTGGGTTTCGTCGCTGGTCAATGGGAAAAGCACGGCAGGGACAACAAATACTACGACTGGTCCGGGGTATCTTGCGAGGGGATTTGGGTTTGGCTCTTCGAATGACACAAGGCCTGACTATTATACATTCGGCGGCATGTGTCCATTTGACAATAGCACTCAGGCCGACTGGATGTCGGCAGCGGAATACTCCAACCAGATGACGATGCTGGCTCAGGCGAATTCCTCATCAGAATTTTCCGGCTTCATTGAACAACAGTCTGAATCATCAAACTCGCCGATTGCCGAGGCCGGTTATACCATCACTCCCCTCCAGATGACAAGCTCCACAACCACAGGCGGCAAAACAGTCCAGCAGGAAAACTTCCTTTTTATCGGAGGAAATACACAAAGCGCGTTTCTGAATATGTCTACCTTGGCTCTGTTTTCTCTGCCTGAGGCCAGTTGGACTTATATTTCCGTAAGCTCGGAAGCGGAATCCAGCAGGACCGATCTGGCAATCCGCGACGACAATCAAATCGAGCCGAGATCCGGGCACAGTGCAGTGGCATCTTTGGATGGGAGCCAAATCATTGTTTTTGGTGGATGGGTGGGTGACACCAGCACACCAGCTGAACCTCAGTTGCTGGTTCTCGATGTCGGCGAGGATTATGGTGGCTCGGGGGAATGGTCGTGGTCAACCCCAGAACCTACTGGCTCAGGACCTGCAATAGGCTCAGGCATTTATGGTCATGCAACAACAATGCTTCCTGGAAATGTGATGATGATATCAGGTGGCTATGTCATACCATCAACGACGACAACATCAAAACGAGAGTCGTCGACAAGCCTTCAGGCAAGCTCCCAGGTCTACCTATACAACTTGACTTCAAACGCATGGATGTTCTCATACACCAGCGTTAACTCTTCAAATTCAAACACTGGTTCTGGTCCACTGGCTACCTCGGGAGAAAAAGCTGGACTAGGCGTGGGAGTATCTGCCGGAGCCATCGCAGTTGTTTGTGCCGGTTACTTCTTTTGGTCTCGTAAGCGCTGGCGAAACCGTCGTCGTAGGGATCAAGAGCTACGCAAGTTAGCGCTCGGAGCAGAGCGTTCCAACATTTGGAGTGAACCTGGGCTTGAATCCAGCTACCGAGGGGATGCCGCCCTGAGAAACACCATCCTTGAGAATCTATACAACCCCGGGCCAAGTCATCACTATAGCGCAGTTCCGCCTTCAAATAGTAGCACCGAAGCAGGAGTAGGGGCAGGAGCAGAAGGAAGTGGACTGCTGTATGAAGTGCCAAGTCCACCTAGAGGGCTTCGTAGAAGCTTGTCCAATCGACCTCAACGAATACAGTCAGCATTGTGGTACGAGGATAACAGGATCAGCTATGGCACTGGCTCTATTCACCCGATTGACGAACGAGAAGAATTCGAAATGCCCCCCGAGCAGTCATCGGAAAAGGATCCAGAGAGCGAAAGCTCGAAAAACTCCTCGAGGTTTTCCGATCCTTTCGTGGATCCGCCCTCCCCTACGCGTGTAGTTGCGACTGTTGCCTTTCATGAAAAGACAATACCACGACAGCAGGAGAGTACGGCGAGTGCATCAGTACGCGAAGGAAAAACTCGAGCTATTTCTCCAGAGAAGAATGACAGAACACATTCTGATTTATCCGACTCGTCCAGGTCTGGAATCTCGGAATTGTCAATTCAACGATCTGACTTTGCATCTCAAAGGCCGTCAACTCATCTTTTTCAGTCGGCGATACCAACACTAGAACCCTCATCGTCGTTAAATTATGGTAATAGCACAGCCAGTGGACGTAGTTCCCCAGAGAAGGCATCCTTGCAAGCAATTCGAGCCGAGATTCTGGACAGTGGTATGAGGTGGCCATTTGAACAATCAGACTCCTTCTCAACATCTTCCAGTCCGCACAAACGGTCACGATCAGCTATGGAGGGGGACACTCTCTTGGGATCAGGACCTGAGTGGTCAACGCCGCCCGAATCTCCTACAAGGCTGTCTCAGACAGACAGAGAAAGCAAACACAGCAGCAGTAGCGGCAATAACAACAATAGCAACTCTTTGACATGGATGGGAAGCATCCGGAAGACACTATCGACTGCCAGAAGGGCCGTCCTTGGCAATAACCTCGACGACGAGGCGGAGAAGAATCCTGCAATGTTGGAAATTACATCGCCTGTCGATTTTGATGATGAGTCCTTGAAACTGTCAAGACGAGCATCGAATGCCTCCGACTCTAATTTACGGCGCAAGCAAGGCCCCAAGGACTGGGCTGTAGAAGGCACCACACGAAACAGTTTAGCGTCGTCATCGCTTCCATCTCCAGCTCGTCGCTGCCGGCGTCGTATGCATGAGCATGAGAATAACAACAATGATGATAATGACGTTGACGACGCTTTTAATGACGACATGGATATTATTGATCCTGATTATGATAATGATGATGATTATGGCGAAGGTGACGGTTTCGATGAAGAAGAAGATAATTATTCAGAAGACTGGGACGTCGAAGCTGCTGCAGAGGGACGTCTGGTTCAGATAACTTATACGGTTCCCAAGGAGAAACTGAGAGTTGTCAATGCAGGAGTTGGTGATCGCGTTATTGGAGATGCTGATGATGATGACGACGATGTTGCTGCTCCCTCCTCTGCTCAAGTAGTTAACCCCCAGGAATCTGCAGAAGGGAAATGATTGATCTTCTGTAGATCTCCCACTATATTTGTCTCTTTGAGTCGTGTTTCTGATTTTTTTTCCCCGTCCCGTCTCATCTCGGACCTTGATTATATGTGACTTACGCTTTGTTCAGGTGGCAGATTGGTAGGAACTGAGCACGAACCGGATACAAGTGGCATTGTGCTCGATATGGTGCTAATTTAGGGGGAATATTTCTTTCAATGTATATACTTTCTGATCTTGTACGACTGCCGGGATGGGGCACTGTGTGCTTTTTTCTCTTCTCGTTTGTTTCATAGATGATATGTATACTCCATATTCTTAGTTCGCATTATTAAAGATGATATTTGTGTTATAGGAACTGATAAAGTGTAAAATAAAATTTTTTTGCGGTGTACAGCTGACAATTACCTAGGCACTTCGTGTCACGTGTTGAAAGAAACCCTATATTGGAATTAGCTCATTCCGAGAACAATTCAAAGCCTGAAATTCCACTCCATGAAAATATATATATATGTATTAACGTATGTAGCATATAACTAACAAGAATTACAAAAGTATTTTTCAAATTCTACTTTCTCAGTTGTCCAGATATAAAGCTCAGCCACTACCTGCTCGGCGCGACACGATGAGTTCTCCCAACCGATCCAAGAAATCGCAAGAATATATATCTGAGATCGAGAGTGTCGCGCTCATTTCTTCAAAAACCCAACTTAGCAATGCAGTTGTTATCAAAGAATCCATTCCATAATCATTCAATGACTCGCCGGGTGATATATCGTCCTATTGCAGCGCGAAGATCGCTATTATCTTATTTGTCTAGACACGAGAAATGTTCTCCCTTTCTTCGTCACTAGTTTGTGCACGTTTCAACAGGTCTCTTGTCTGGGTACTGCCATCGTCTGCACCGTTGGCTTGCATTGGTGACGATTCGCCGGTATGGTGGGGAGAAGAGTGAGAGAATCGACTGTCCTTCAACCACGGTGGATTGGAGCCCAATTCTGGTGTAAGGCTTGTACTCCAAGCAACTACACCCGTAGGGTTAGCCGACTGAAGCCAGATAGATGATCGTAGCAAGCTGTGCAGATCCGATTCTGACACGGGTGTCATCTGGAGGCTTTCCGCACGGTGCAATACCTGAGAGCCTGGAGAAGATTGAGCAAGGTGTCCAATTCCTTGGACGGGCCCTAGGTGTAAACAATGTGATGGTTGTCCCTTTTGTGACAGATAATTTGAAAAGGTGGCCAAAAATTGGTTGGCGGCGGAATATGCACTTTGTCCATGAATTCCCAGTACAGCTGAAATGGACGACAGCATGATAAAGTCAAGCCGGCTATTTTCAAGGCATGAATATAAGTTCAGTGCACCTTTTACCTTTGGATGTAGGATCCTCTGATAATCTGCATACGCCATATCTTCAAACAATATTGCCTGAAAGGTTCTCAGTATTTTTTTTTGGTCGCAAGCATTCAACACTGCTAAACAATGATAACCTACCTTGTAATCCATCGTGCCATGGATGATCCCCCCAAGAGGTGAAAAATCTGGCTTTAAACCGTAAAAAAGTGATTCGACGTCGTCCTTGTTTGTGACATCGTATGAAACCGCTTTGATCTTGACACCTACTATATCAATCTCTTGCAAATATTGTCTTGATGCGTTTAAGAGTGACTTGACTGGCTCGCTTCAGTACCAATCAAGCAGTCTGGGCTTTTTGATTGTATCATTGGGTTCTGCGAAGCGGCTTGTGTTGCTGCAACTGCAATTGCAGAATATGCTGAGAGCAAAGTAGGGCCGTTCAAAAGTGCCCTCTTCCTGAATGGGTTTCCGCCATTCTCCCCGGATGGATCGGATGCTATTCTTGCTGATCGAGTTGGTCAAATCATCAAGTTTCCGACTTGTCATGCTGTGGTATCCAATGATCCCATTTTTTTCAGGGATCATTGGCATTATACAACCTCAGTGATGAGACTAAGGCTCGATTGGTAGATACTGGAGCTGGTCCTCGAGCTCCGAGGGATTCCTTTACAATCAACTTCCTCGCCGATGCTATCCAGCACATGCTTCATGATGCCAGATGTTGATGAGCATGTAAATGTATCTAGTTTGATATGGTAGATTTAATTAGATACAATGCCCTCGGGATGCTAGTGCTCAAATCCAGTAGAAAAGCAATTCTCGTCAACTGTTCAGTTAGGGCTTTCTGTCAGTTTACTAGTTAAACGAACAGCGGTTGGCGGAGCGCTTAGTCATCTGGCCCTAATCTAACTTAACTAGTTAACTAGCCTCAGGCACCCATAATCTAGTTAGGTGACGCTATCATACAGATAGATTTATTAACATCAGCAGTTATCGACAAGTATCAGATCATCTTACACACCAAACTTGTCGCACACGAAATCCGTCAAATGATCAGCCACCTCATGCATAGGCTGTAGAAGGCCATTATCAATAGCGACGATTGATTTAATGACTTGCCTCCAGTCTTCTTTGTCCATCTCATGAAGGATATTGTTCGATAGTAATTCGTGGCTTCGCGATCCTTGGGCTTTCATTATATCTCCGTCATCGGATGAGGTGGAAATGGAAGCCTCTAGTACAATGCCTTTCTTGACACGAATGTGTACTTTCGTCTGTTACCATTATTATTAGTCATTTCCTTAGTAAACTATGGGGAAGTAAGCATACCGAAGGAGGAAGGAAATTTGGCAATGGAGGCCGGGGCCTGGAATCGCCCTCGATTGGAAAAGTTGAGAACGTGAATTCCGGGGTTTGGAGAAACTTGAACTCGGTTGACTTCGAAATTGTTAACGACATAGCCCTGTGCACACACGTAACACATTTGTATATTGTGCTGCTTACCTTCATCAATTCAGAGGTGCTTTGAATTTCTGAGATTTCGTGCGCCTGGGTGTCTCCAACGATTCCTGTAACCCAATCGCCTGCTGCACTCATCTCACTGTTCTTCATATCGAAGCGCTTCGCATGGTCTAGGATATCGTTTCCGGTCTTGTAGAGATGCGAAAACTCATCGATTATACTCATCACTGCGTCCTGCATTGAAAAGCTAGCAAGACCTGCGGAAACATTCCCAACGGGAGACCGTACACTGCTTACGCCCTTGGCATGAATATATGGTCTAGCAGGTGATCTGAGATATGCACCCAAGTTATTTATATTAGGCGAATCCAGCAGACAAGTACCATGATGCAACGCTCGGTTTCTCGTTAATTTGAATGCTGAGCCGGACACTTTTAAAGCTTTCGGAGTAGCTTCTTCCGGCGGATCTTCTATTCCTGCCGTATTGCTTTGTCTGTCAAATTCGCTCGGTATTTGCGTCAATACAATATCATGTCGTTCATTGACAGTTGCGTTGGATGCGCCAATGCTCCGTAGCGCTCTTGACACCATCTCGGCGTGTCGATCACGCGTGAAGACATCTCGCGGACAGATAACGCTGTAATTCAAGTTTCCTTCGTCATGAAACACTGCTCCGCCGCCAGAATGTCGTCGAACATAGAGCACATCATGTGCAGAGTACGAGGTGGGGGGATCTGCTTTTTGCAAAGCTTTTAGATTCGTTTCGAGCCAAGGGTTCTGATTCCGGCCGACCACGACGCACGGCCGATTGATGTATAGGAAGAGAATATTGGAGTCCTCGGGTGTTTTCTGGAGAAGATATTGCTCAATTGAAAGGTTGGTGAACGGGTCGGACGAGAGCGACTGGTAGATTTGATGCTTGGACGAGCTCCGACATACGAGGTCGGCAAACTTAGACGAGGCAAGGGTGGTTATTGTGCGAGCAGACAAAGTCGCTGCTAATGACAAGCGACTAGATGAGAGTAAGAGCACGCATGATGAGCGCCGCACTGAAAGCATGGAGACTATGTCAACGGTCTCTTCGAAGCAATGTTTGGTCGTCGTTGACCTTCCGGGCCGAGCATCAATCTCCGTGCAACGGTGCAACACCGCCAGCGCGCTAGTCCGCTTTCGTATTCCCCGCGCTGGCCGAAGTCGCAGATCGTCAACTTTTTCCGCTGGATGATTCATACTCTCTGCGTTGGGAATAAATACAGCATAAACAATCCAATCTGCGCGCCACGACCGGAGGATTTTTGATTGGCTAGCGAGATATCTGTGCTCGCTCCTGGACAAGAAACATACAAACCCCAAAGACTTATTCTTTCTCCGCAGACATGTCGACGTGGGGTGACTATTTCCGCGTAACAACGTGAGTACACTGGACTTCCCGATAGACAGGAAACTGATTATAGAGAAAGCTATGGCGAGTCCCACTGTCGCTCAGTGGGCTGCATCGTCGATGGATGCCCGCCTGGCATGGCCCTGACAGAGGACGACATCCAACCTCAAATGACTCGGCGACGGCCCGGCCAGAGCGCTCTCACTACCCCTCGCAATGAGAAAGACAAGGTGGAGATCCAGTCAGGTACCGAGTGTGGCTTTACCCTCGGCACACCGATTGCAATGGTTGTACGAAATGAAGATCAACGACCCAAGGATTACGGCGGTAGCACGATGGATCTCTTTCCTCGCCCCAGCCACGCTGATTACACCTACCTTGAGAAATATGGAGTCAAAGCCAGCAGTGGCGGAGGTCGCAGCAGTGCGCGTGAGACTATTGGTGAGTATTATCCGAATATATATATTTGCTTGCAGGCTTCGAATGGTGGAAGCTGACTGGACATTATCATGACAGGCCGAGTTGCTGCCGGTGCCATTGCAGAGAAATACCTAAAGCTAGCTCACAATGTTGAGATAGTGGCATTCGTCTCATCAGTGGGCAATGAGCACCTCTTCCCTCCTTCGTCCGAACATCCTTCGTACTCGACGAACCCCGAATTCCTGAAAATGATCGAAACAATCGACCGCGAAACCGTAGACAAGTTCTCCCCCGTAAGATGCCCAGAGACAGGCGCATCCGAGCGCATGACCAAAGTCATTGAAAATTTCCGCGACAAAAAAGACAGCATTGGAGGCACAGTCATGTGTGTAATCAGGAATGTCCCCGTTGGTCTCGGAGAGCCGAGCTTTGACAAGCTCGAAGCTAAACTAGGCCATGCCATGATGAGCTTACCGGCTACGAAGGGATTTGAAATTGGTTCTGGTTTCGGAGGCTGTGAAGTGCCTGGGTCAATTCACAATGATCCTTTCGTTGCAGTGCCCGAGGTACCAGAGAACGTGGCTGGAGCTGGACTTGTCAACAAGCAACGACTAACCACAAGAACCAACAACTCCGGTGGTATCCAGGGTGGAATCTCCAACGGAGCAACCATTTACTTCCGCACTGCTTTCAAGCCTGCGGCGACTATTGGACACGCTCAAACAACGACAACCTATAATTTGGAAGAAGGAATCCTAGAGGCCAAGGGCCGCCATGATCCGTGTGTTGTTCCTCGCGCAGTTCCGATAGTGGAAGCCATGTCTGCCCTTGTCATAATGGATGCTTTGTTGGCACAAAAGTCCCGAGAAGCGGCAAGGAATTTGCTTCCACCATTGCCAAAATCTCTTCCCATAAAACCAGAGACTTCAAATGGTCATTAGATTGATATACGCTATTTTTGTTCTCTGGAAGCTAAATATCTATTCATTCTCCCAATTTTGTTCTTGTTGATATGAAATTAAACGAGCTTGTTCAATTACTTCTTGTAGACTTCTAAATACCTTCAAAATTCAATCTTGGGTTTTAGTTCTGAAATTCGATACCTTTCTATCTAGGCAATATGTATGTACATCATCACTCGAAGGTTGGCTGTCCCGTTATATCACCAAATAAACCTGCAATACTCTCAAACGGATAATCCGATGACCCCATGGCAAGTGTTAAATCCTAAAGAAGAAGAATCATAATAAGAATGTCAGCCACATTACATTTTTTAGACCTACACAACAACAAATGTCCTGTTAAGTAACGAGCAAAAGAAAAACACGCACCGGAATAAAATCATCAAACTGCAGCTCCCCCAAATCCGCTAGTGCAGTATCGTTACTCGCATCCTTTTGTAGGGTACCAGCAGCAGCATTTATGATGCTGTGGCCGGCTTCCTGACTAGGCTGATTGCTGCCATGGCAATATTCTCTAAGATGAGTTTTGACAATCGCAACTGACTCCGTAGCTACTACAGACTCCTCCATTGCCTCGAGAATTTCAATGGATTTGTTTATACTCTCGATGAGCAGGTTGGTTTCCTGAATGTTGAGAAACGAGGACGACCTCCTAGATAGCGGGAGAAGAATATTTGTGACTGCGAACATGATATATGTCGTATTGTACCACCTAGCAAGGGAAAAGCAGGCGTAAGAAAAGAAATCGTTGATGGCAAGTATGATACGTACCAACATCGAAAAAACGTGTACTGCCGAAAAGTCTCGTATATGACCTCAACAGTCTTCCTCGCTGAATCTAGACACTTTTTGGCTGCTATTTCTAACAGCCTTTGGGCTTCATCCGTGCGGTTATCGCCTCCTACTCCTTGAGGTGTTGAAGTAAGATAAGCCAGAAATGGTCGAAAAATGAACATTTTAACGTTATGATAGCCTGTCGACCCCAGACGGTCAGTGATTTGAAATTAATAGCGAGAGACAATTTTGGCATACGAATTCCCAACACAAGTCTCTGCCTTCTAGACCATTTCGGATCACGCAAGGCAGATATAGATGTATATGTGTTTCCGCCGGGCTGCCCAAAATCCGGCTGCAAAATTTTTGGAAGCCCATTCAGCCAAGTATCCAATTTTTGTTCGATCTTCAAAGAGTGCTTCATTTTCTGCTGTATGGGGATCCTAGAATGATAAATATCAATTGAGACCAGGCGAATGATGTGAGCCAAGTCGACCACGATGGGGATGATAGTGTATTCGGAGTGCCCGTCACGGCTTGGTTGGCAGCGATTGTGGTATTCGTCCAGGCCGAGTGTATCAGGACGGCCGAGGGAAAACGACAATTCTCTGTCATGGTATTGTCTGGTTAGTTTGTAATCTCGGCAGTGGAGCTGGGTATACTGACATTTCTAATGAATACAGGCCCCTGTTCATTAAATCATATGAGTATACAATATCTCTGTAGAGATCCAATTACTTACCACCAGGTTCTTGATATCAATTCATGTCGATGAGTTTTGACGTCAGATGTCTCTCGATTATAACCCGCCGCGAGACATGTTCGAATAGCCAGGCCCAGATACATGTACGCCACTGCAAATACACAATAAATAAATCTTCTCTCCGTGAAGGCGTATGTAGAGAAACCTACAGTGAGGCGCAAGTTCATTCTGGCAAATCTTGGCCTAAACATAGTATCAGCATTGATCCCATCATTCGATGAACCTGGGCAAGACAAGAAAGAATGAGGATGATATCCAACCATAAGATATAAAGCTTGCACGATTTCAAGACTATTAGTAAAACACCAAGTGTTCAAGTATTCCTGTGCTTCGGCAAACAATTTTCTACTCCATTCAAATCGAGTCAATCCCCCCAAACAAGGCTGATCCCACGCACGAATCAAGGCGCCCAGGGACAATAAGCTCAAGTATAAAGCTATAAAACTGCTGTCCGGCTGTGGATCCTTTGCGAACCATAGATTATGTGCTTGGAGGATGAAATGCTCCTTGTCAATTAGTGGGTGGATGAAATGCAGATTTTCAAAGTACCCTTCCATGAATACATGTGCGTGTTCAATGTAATACCTACTGTTGTTATTATCCCTATAGCCGTCTTTTGTGTGGGCCGTACGCTTCTCTTTATCGTGGGTTACATGTAGTTGAAATAAAGAAAAATTAGGGTTGTGTAGAGTTGATATCAGAGAATCCTGCGGTTTAGGATTGGCAGCATGCTGATCAAAAGAGGTATAGGTCTCCTTTGCTATGTTCTGCAAGGGCTCGCAAGCGCGTTGCAAATGGCCCAAGGCCGCGGCAGAAGAAGTGTTACCATGGAACTCGATGGCATTAGTGTGTCGGTTTACCTCGCTGATCTCTTCCTCTTCAAAAGCGTCAGAAGGCGTCCCTTGTTGCTCGTTGCTAGCAGACTTTGGTGAGAACTCTGGATAGAGAATTGAAGGATCATGAAGGGGAGTCCACAGCGATGAAAGTGTCTTGCTTGATTGATCGGATCCCGTGGCCAGGCGCAACCGCTTAGTCAGTGCTTCGATTTTTGTCTCGAGCTCATGAATATAACTGCTCCCCGATCATATCTTATGTTAACAGGAATTGCCCGGTTTATGAGAGAAGTTACTTGGGACATGCCTGGCCGCCTGACTCTCCTGCTGAAGATGGAAGCTTCCCTCATAGACACATTGGACTTGGCTTTCTAAATCGCAGCTTAGCTTCGAATTATACTTGGCCTATCTGATACCTCGAACTTACTGGTGCATTTTCGACAAGGAAACGATTCATCGCATCTGTACTTCTTAGCCCTGCAACGCTCACATGCCCTTGCTGCGCGGCGTCTTTTGACACGAGGCAGGGCCCAGTCTGTTGTTGTTGTTGTTGTTGTTGTTGTTTTCTCCGCGCCGCGCGGAGGTCGGTTGCTCATTGTTCAAGAAACTTGAGAATCTGGCAGGGACGTAGAAGGCCATTCTCGCTGTTGATAATCGGAAATACCGAGCAGTCAACAAGCTTAAGAATCAAGGATGTCGATCACGTGGAGTAGCGACAATGCGGGGAAAATATGGGGCATCACTTTCGAGATGCTATCAATTCACTAACTACCAACGCCCTCATGCTCTATGTACGAGTTAGGTTTCACAAGACTAACAAAAAAAAAAAAAAATAGAAATGCAATAAGCAACATATGGTGTCCACCAAAAAAAAAAAATAACTGTGCGCCGACTTTGTCATGCATGTCATTAGAACGTCGACCAGCTGTAGTTACTGTCCCAAACTTCGTGATCCAACAGGAATAGGGTTCTGTCGTTGATATTAGGTTTGTTTGTGTATTTATGATATCGTCACTTGGCTCTCCAATAGCGACGATTTAGATCCGCGTCTATGCCTGTCCTCCGCGTCGTTTGACTGCGAGTAATGCGTCTCGTACTGGGGCTGTCGTCAAGACTGAGTCCTTGGATTCCAGAGCCCAGGCCTGGTGCTCTGGGCGGGAGGTTCCTGTTGCTATCGCCAAATGGATTCATGTTGCGAATTGACTTGTTGGTGTATGACGTGACGGTTGTCTCGGCATCTGAATCTGCGCCTGAATACTCCGAGACGTCAGAGCCATCGTCTAGGAAGTAGTTGTGACGCATGTCTCTCTGGTAAGGACCATAGCCAAGCGCAGAAGATTGAGATTGTGAGAAGGAACTTTGTGGGAAGGAAAAAAATGACTGCGGAGGTGAGGACTGCGGAGGAGACGAATATTGGTTGTGAGAGATTAGTTGAGACCCAGCAGCAAGCTGGGTTGCAGGCTGAGTTGTAGGCTGAGTTGTAGGCTGAGTTGTAGGCTGAGTTTCAGAGTGGTTTGAAGACTGTGCGGTATTTTCTGATCCCTCTTTAGCCATATCCTCTTGAACTAAAGTCTTTGGAGAAGCTGAGAACAGACCGACTATGTCTTCTATGACCAATAAAGCTGTCAAACACTTCAGACATAGTTCGATATTTCCCCCCTGGTAGAAAGTGACTGAAAAATTGTAGCCCAGGCATAGAGCTAAAATAACGGTTGCAACAAACTTGACCAAAGAATACAAGACTCTCCGGACAATGATGGACGGCTTGTTTAAAGATGCTAGGAAATTGAACCCTGTAAATAGAATATTCATAATCAAAGCACTGATCAAAACGGGGTCATGTGGAATAGGAGCGAGCTCCATCCAATCAATGGACCATGCAAGCAAGAAACCCGAGAGAAGCGCTAATCGTATAGAGGTATATATTAATGTTGAATGTGAATGCTCCCTGCGTATCTCCTTGATTTTGGACTGCACCGCGGTATCTTCATCTATGTCGTCATCGGGGGATCTAATCGTGAATGTCTGATCGAACAGGCTCTCCAAACCGGTGGTAGCATGATAATCAGATGGAGCAAAGAATTTTGGAGGGGCAAAAACCACATCGGATGCGCGTGAATTCCCGTTCATACCAGAGGTATTTTGTGAAGTTGCGGGAGATTTCTGAAAAATGTTGGGTTGGGAGACTACCTGTGGTTGTTTTGAGGGAATGGGATTTCGAAGCTGCCATGCAGGAGGTCGTGGCACCTCGGGGAGAGAGCCCTGAAATAATGACTTATCTGGGAAAACATTGGAGACCATTTCTGGCCTGGAAGCTGTGACAAATCTAGGGCGGATTTCTTGCGGCCCCGATGGTGTCCAATCCATCGAGTCTTCCACTTGCGAAGGTGTACCGGAGCGCACTGCGTTCACTGTCGGTTCTTTTCGTGGGGTTCCCAGTCTTTCGATGGGAAACAGTTGAAACGAATCTTGTTGGTGGGAGGATCGTTGCTGGTTATTCGAGGGTCTTGATTGCGATAAGGTAGTCTTTTGACGCGGAGAAGCCACCGGCGTGATGTTTGACCATAAAACTAGTGGTCTGGTGTCATATTGAACCAATCTCTGGGAAAACAATGTTACCTACACTGTTGTCAGCTCAATACATGAGGGATATCTGACTTCTGATACTCACTATACTCATAAACAGTAACATTACCGCATGTATAGCAGAGGGCAGAGAATCTCTTAGCCGGCTATCATCCTTCAATAAGGCCCAAATACCGAATCTAGTCACCATGACAATCAACTGACATTCGTAATATTGGTTGAGCCCCAATATTCGACCGTTCAACCCCTCAACCTTATGGTGTACTTTTGGATTCCACCATATCGAGAGCACTCCAGCTATTAATGCGATGCCTGCAATGTCCTGGGACGAATAGCCAAAGGAGAAAACCAGTTCCCTGACATATGACAAAAATGTCACGACGAACTGCAGGCGCTCGTACCGGACGACACTATCCCACAACTCATATGTTCCTAACAAGTCTGACAACAGTTGGCCAGCAACACTAGTCCAGTATCCCAACGCCCCCGCCATATCGAGGATGCTCCTCCAATTCCGTCTTCGAGCCTTTTGCATCGCACGACTAATCTTACTCCGTTCCATGGTTCTCCTCAAATGGTCAGCCTTTGCTTCGTAGCCTGTTTGGCGAATACGATTGTTGACTCTCAGTTCGCAATTCTCGCACACCTGCGGGTATCGCTCCTCCATATTTCTGCGGAACCGAGGATACTCGCGCTCAAAGGCTGGATACGCAGGGTCATCAGAGTCTGGCAAGTAAGAGCCAAGGACTCTCAGGAGCAAGTGCTGATTTCGAACACATTTACTGCAGAAGAGCCCGCTCTGATCGAAGCTCGTTGACTCGAACGGCGATTGATCTGTGTCGGCTGGGCTGGCAGAAGTATTCGTTACGGCAGTCGGTGGATCTGTAATTTCTCCATTCTAAAAGAGCTGTCAGTCAGGTTCTTCCAAGAAGTCTGATGCATCAATATAAGACAAGACGAAAGTGGTCGGTCATATGAACATGCCTCGTCCAAATAGTTTACGGCTTCGCAATGCTCGCAGCGCCATTCGCGCAAAGCCGTTGACTTTTTAGATGCGGACCGCTGGCCACAGTAGAAGCAACGCAGTCGCCTTTGAAGCAGGGCCATTTCATTTCATATCATGAGGATCGGAATCGCTGTCGAGGTGGAGGTTTTGAGTGAGCTTGAAAAGTTATGTACGGGTTTGTTGACAGGAAGAAAAGCGCTTGGATTTTGGAGTACATAAACGCCGAGGGCACGGACCACCGCGGGCTAAATAGCAACGACGATTGCCATCAAGAATAACAGACTGCCACATTGTCAATGCGTCCACAATAGGCTCGAGAGAAAGCCTTTTCAAGCCACTATTACAATAAGATGAATTGAAAGCTACCACTGGTCCGAATTCTCGGGCTGCACCGACAATAGCCATGACCCTCATCGAACAATACTCGCCCACCCCAGCTATGGCTGCTGCTGTTGCTGCGCTTCTTCTGGTCGTTACGTTAGTACTAATCATTGTACGTCCTTCTTTTTTCATGTCGATCTACTCACTCTGTCACTAACTTGTATATTGCGCCATCAGTCTGTCCACGCCATACTGGCAACTTCGCAACAGTCTCCCGTTCCCAAAACCCGTCGCAAAGGCACCCCTACCCATGTGCTGATTGTACTTGGAAGTGGAGGTCATACAGCCGAAATGCTCTCCATGCTGCGCCGCATGCCATTAGACCCCAACGTGTACACCTTTCGCACCTACATTGTAACCTCAGGCGACGGCTTTAGTGCCTCGAAGGCCGCGGAATTTGAAGCGACCCTTCAGACGCAATACAGGAACAGGAATAGCAGCAACGATGATGGTTCCCAATACTATGAGGTGATCACAGTGCCTCGCGCCCGTCGCGTTCATCAGTCATATTTGACGGCCCCGTGGTCGACAATTCAGTGTTTTTGGGCCTGTCTCCAAGTTCTGCGCGCTAAACACGCCGATCAACAATCACGTAAACGCGGTGGTGCTACAAGCCCATATCCTGATCTGATTCTCACCAATGGTCCTGCAACGGCAGTATGTGTAGTGCTCGGAGCAAAGCTTCTGAGATTCACCGGAGCGCTACGACGTACATTACGGACTGCTACTACGGCTAAAGACAACCATAAGCTCCGTACGATTTTCATTGAGTCCTGGGCCCGGGTTACAACGCTGAGCTTGTCTGGGAAAATCTTACTGCCTTTCGTAGACCGATTTCTGGTCCAATGGCCGAATCTCCAAGGCAAACGGGCGTGGAGGGGGATGAGAAAAGCCGAATTCGTTGGCACGGTCATTGAGTAGAAATCAACTGTGATACGTCAAATATCAAGTTCTGTCCATGTACGACGTTGATTCTCGAAGCAAGTCACGCAGTAATATTTTTGGCTGTCCCAGTCCAGATAGTAATTTTATCAATCTATCATAGTTAACTAGTTACCCCGCCGAGATAAGCGGCCAAGAGGCTTGAGTCATTTCATTCCATAGAAACCATTAACTACCCATCTGATCACACAATTCATTTATCTATAACTTCATTCTGTAAGAAATTGTCTCTCTATCTACAACCCCCGCACATAAGCAATGGTTTACTCTTTGAAGAACCGAAACGTCCTTGTAACGGCAGGCTCCCGGTATGCAATACTCTCGTGACATGGCCATTCCCACCAAGGCTTCAAGAACTCATGATTCATACCATCTTCATATAGTGGTCTTGGTGCTCTAGTCGCAGAGAAATTTGCAGCAGAAGGAGCTAATGTGGCTATCAATTACGTTTCAAACGTAGGACGAGCTGAGGAAACGGCGTCGAAGATCAAGTCGCAATACCAAGTTAAGACCACGATTATCCAGGGTGTATGTTTTTACCCTCTATTAAACGCATGCAAGAAACAAGGTAGCTGATCTATAGTATGTCTAGGATTTGGGAGTTAAAGAGGACTGTATCAAAGTTGTCAAGACAGCTGTCGATGAGTTAGGCGGTCTTGATATTGTGATATCGAATGCTGTGCGTTTGCCATCTAGCATAGACTTGTTTGTTCTTCTTCTTTCGAGGTTACTTCATGCTTATGCTGGATGCTTCTAGGGCTGGACCAAGTTCGCCAAATTCGACGATCTCGATGCCACGGAGGAGAGTGACTGGGACAAGGTGTGTCACATATAAAACGCTCTCATTCTGATCCATGAACATGTCGGTTTCTGACAAGGCGGTATGACTGTTATGTGACAGTGCTGGGCAGTCAATGTCAAGGGCCATTTGCATATATTCCGTGAAGCTTTGCCAACATTTAATGCAAACCCTGACGGAGGCGTGTTCCTCGTCACAGCTTCGATTGCGGTAAGGACGCCCGACTTATTCTGGAACCCTCGAGCGCAATTCTAAGATTCTCCACAGGGATTGGGTGCTTCTGGCAGTAGTTTGCCATATTCCGTCTCCAAAGCAGCATGTAACGTCTCCCCTCTCTTCACGCCCAGTATTCCAAATTCCAAAAAGACACCATTCCTAACTGACGTCCTTCGCAGGCTTACACCTGACGAAATGTCTTGCCAAATCTCAAGGACCTAAAGTTCGCGTCAATGCTGTCTGTCCTGGGCTATTGCTCACTGAATGGGTATGCATATAACATCCCGGATCACTAGATACGGTTGATTTGACATTTGTATAGGGCAACCAATTCTCCGCAGAGTCTATCCATAATCACATAGAGAAGACAGCACTAAAGCGAGTGGTCAGTAACAACTGGAATGAACTGAAGGGGCAAATCACTGACTCAAGGACTTCAAAGGCCGAGTTGGAAGATACCGCAGATCTGTACATCACCCTCGCTAAAAATTCTTCAATGACAGGCCAGTCAATGGCTGTTGGTAGGTCTCAGTCACAATCTAATGAAGAGCAATAAGAGGCTAACGGGTTCCTTGTGACAGACGCTGGCTTCACTCTCGCATGAATATCCGGAAGGCATCCATAGCATAGAATAGAATGCACGTTCAACGGGTAAGAATTGATATTTCATAATGCAATGCAATGTCAAATTCCAAAAGAAAAAAAAAAAAAAAAAAAGTTAATATTGGAACATGGTATCTAACGCTCAATGCAAAGGGTTGAGGAATAAGCTAAATTCAACGTCTGAAAAGCGAACAGTGTTGGGAGAAAACATGCGAGCCTTTTGAGCAGCAATCAGGGCGTCGTTGAACTTGTCACCTTCGACCTTTAGTCTGCTGAGACGTAGAAGCTGGCCATCAACAGTATAGACAAACAGCGATGATTTCTGCCCTGTAGAGATAAATGGTACCCCTGGAAGCAGTTTTAGCCCTTCACTTTCCGGGACAGTTTCCTGTGGAACAGGCTGGAGGTCACCGAATATAATTCTCCTCCCGTTGAGATTTTGTGTAATATCACCATCGGTCTTCTTTCGGGTAGGAACCAGGGCCTTGTTCCATAAGGGTTGCAAGACTCGTTGGCGGCGGCTGATCTGAGTCCATGTCCAGTTTTGCCAGTCTATATGGCGGTCTTCCGGTGTTATCTTTGCCGCATGTGCAAATTTATTACTACCATCATCACTGTACACGGTAGCTCGGGAGCCGACTTCTTTCAATGGAGGCACAAAATAACGGTTGCGAATCCCATTGACCAGCATATTTGCGCCCTTGGGTGCAAGAAAGTCAAGGAGTTCAGATACCGTACATGAATCTGGATTCGGAACTGGGGCGGGTGTTTGATCGAGGATAATGCCGTGGTCAAAATGTTTGTGGTGTAGTGTCTGTAGAGTTATTCCGGTTGTCTTTCGTCCAGAGATTAGGGTGTGATGTAAGGGCGCCGGCCCCCGAAGACTATAATAACAGGTATAGTTAGGAATAAAGCGAGCCATAAAACCTCAAGCTAGACTCACTCTGGGAGTAATGAGGGGTGCACATTAAGTCCTCCATATTTTGCAGCGCTGAGTAGTCTGGAAGGAATGAACAAGCCAAATGACACGGCGATAATCAGGTCAAAGGGACCATCGGGAGGCTAATGTCACTGAGTCAGCGCCTAAATCGTCAAAAGCATCAATTTCTCCATCTCACAGTCCAGCCCTTGAAGGTATCTAGCTCGTGGATCTTGAGGCCAAGATTCGTCGCGGTAGTCTTGATAGGAACTATGCAAGCAATATACATCGTCAGAAAAGCCCCCGTTTCTTTCTTTTTTTATTTTTATTTTTTTTGATTCGTGGATTGCCAACCCTGACGAATATTCTTCAATCCCCTATCAACCCTTTTGTCCGGCCGACAGACTACCTCGATTGATTTGATCGACTGCGGTGCTCGGAGGTGTTCCGCATGGAGAGCTTTCAACGAAGACACGCTGAATTCGTCAGAGCCGCAGAAAAGAATCCGAAGAGGGCCAATGGATGCATGCGAATTCCAGCGACGTCCACTTGCACGGCTACATCGCACCTGATTGCGTATCACAAGCAAGACAGAGCGCTGGTAGAGCATTTTTTATGAAATGAAACATTGAAACGGGGAGGAAGGAAAGCACGCGCGGATCGTGACTGCGGAGCTTAATTAGTTTAGTCCGGTTCTCCGCATCATGACGTTAAAGAGCTTCAACCCAACCACAACAAATACAGACAACTTACATGCTAACATCACCGAGACTCATCCTGTACACCCTGAACATGAGATGGTTGACAACGAATCTGTCTCCGTGGTACCCGCTCAGCTTGGGTTTCTAAGCATCTACAACCCCTCATTGGGACCGACAGACGAGACAATCCAAGATCAGATCGTGTTCTACTATTCATCGCATACCACTCGCTCGCCACAGAAGGAAAATGTCTCACCACTGCCAGGTGAATATAAGGATGGCACAAACGAGAGGTTGCGCAAAATCGGCCTGGCGCAGGGCATGGTAAACTTCGCAAAGTAGGCCTACCATCCGCCGTCTTAAAATGCCGATGGAATAAGGAACTGCTAATGTTCAGCATAGAAATTTCTCCAATGGACAGCCTCTCGATAGTGTAGAGACTGAAAAATCAAGGATAGTTCTTTATGAACTTGAGAGTGACTGGTGGATTCTCGCTGTGAGTGGAACAAGCGACTAACTAGCAGCATTTGATCAAATGTGCTAGCGAGCTAAGCGATCGACCACAGTCGATAGATCTCACAAGGATTAATTCCTCTCGTACCGCAAATGCTTCGTCGGAAGCTTCCACGCCAGCAATTGAGTATTCCTCTCGGGAGGTATATCCTCCTCATTCCCTAATCCAACAACTTCGACGAGCGCATTCAATATTCCTCCTACATCATGGCATATCTCTGGACAATCTCTATCAGCGAGTGGGCAGAAGCTCCTTTTGTAAACTCCTCAGTCGTTTCTGGACCAGATTCATACGGCACTGGCTCGTCTTACTCAATGGCAACCCAGCTACAGATCTATTCAACGGCGTCAAGCTAGCCGTTGGTGGCGAACTTGGTATTGGCGTGGGAGAAGAAGAATGGGGCAGCGGTGAAAGAGAGGTCCTTGAAGACTATGTTGCTCGTACGCATGGTCTTGTTGACATGGTAGTCTCTCGGTTTGGAGATGCGCCGATGAAAAAAGGTGGTCCAGAATCTCGGATCTGGCTTGGGACAGGTCAGGCACCGCGGCCGTCTGACGGGGTCATATTCTCCGGTGTCGGTGCTATCTCACGGCAGTCTTTAGCAAGTATATCCCACTGGATGGAGTGGATCTACAAATATGGCGAAGCTACGTATGGTGTCGATGAAAACCCGAGCTCTGCTCGCTCACGCAAACGAAGGAAGGCTAGACTCAATGCACATCCTGCTGCTACAGCATCCTCGCGACGAAGTGGCTCAAGAAAAAGGTATTCAAAATCGCAGACGCCAAGCGGCAGAACATCACCTGGAATACCACCACCATTGGTCGTGGGAACTCCTCCCGTTCCTCCGCAAGCAACCCAAAAATCAGTCTCGGAGGATCAACCAGCGGAAGATAGTGCAAATGGTGCTGAAACATTGATGAAATATCTCACATTGGGATATGGCTCGGCATGGAAATTTCCCGGTCTTCCGGGGAGTGTGTCTGATGAGCCTGCAAAGGACAATATTGGTAATGAAGCTTCTCAGAAATCCACATCAAAGTATGTCATATGCAACCCAAGTCAATCATGTCGTGTTCATGTTCACCGTGCTTCATAAGCTAATATATAAACGACGCAGGGACCGTGATGGCGATGAAGCACAAGGGAAATTTATTATTGGTCTAAGAGACAACCTCGAAGAAGATTTATCTGATGATGAGGGCAATGTAGACGGAGCTATCCTTTCATCCCAAACACAAGACAAGGCGAAGAACAGGCGTACTTTGCTACGAACACTGCAAGTCGAACTGACGCAGTCAGCTACGATAAATCACGACCAAGGTGAACTTCTCCGGTACCAGAAGAAACAAGCAAATCACGAACTCAAACTAATTTAGAGCAACTAGAAACTCCAGAAGAATCAAATCACAAGAAACTCCAAGTCTTAGTCTATGTGGTATGTTATAACTGGCCATGAATTGAATATAAAGCTGAAAATACTAATTCTATCTATACAGCATCGACCGTTTATGTTCACGTTCCTATTCGATCTCCACACCCCCTCGCTCTCTCTACCATCCTTCTACCGCAGCATCCATCATCAACTAGGCCCCCTACAACGGCCACTCTTATCCTCCACATCTCCAGACAACGTCTCTCGCAGAATCTATCTCGCCGAAGACTGTGACGCATGCAAACAAAAGCGAGCCTCTTCTTCCGCAGCCCACAGCAACAATAACCACAACAACCCCATATATGATCTCGTATATGATCCCGGAAGCTTCGCCGTTCGTTCGTCCATTCCCAACATCCCAGAACCAGGCATAGCGTTCGAGCCCTCTTCCTCCCGTCGAGATGCCACCACCACCATCATTACTACTGCTACTCTCCCTCCCTGGTCCCGTGTCGAAGCACTCAATGTCCACAGCCAATTCCTCTCTACGTACGCAGACACTCGAACACACCCATTAGAAACAGAACGGACATGCAAAACCAGTCGAGGATGGTGGCTAATCTGGATGCGAATCCGCGACTACCCGCAGCAACAACAACATACACACGATAGTGACAACGACATGAAAGAAGCCTTCCTAATCCGAAAAGCCTCCGATGCCCCTGGTCCATATGCTGCCGGTGGCGGTAGCGTCAGACACTCGCGCGATGCGAGCAGCGGAGTCAGATTTCTGCGAGATTTAAGCGGAGCTTCGTCATCATTGGCGTTGGGGATGGGGTTGGGCGATAACACTTCGTCGCCTGGAAAGTTGACTGAGGGGCTGGGGTTTGATGCTCGTCGGTATATTGAGAGCTTGTTGAGGTTGAATCGATAGATAGAAGAATATTTACTTCATATCTAGATACCTAGACTCTACACAAATGTAATAGTAAATAGAAACAGAGACATACTCATTAACTATCTGAACCATCCAATCTACCGGACGAGGCGGGATAAATAAGACATGATCTTATTCCGAAATCCGAAAACATGATCCTTTTTGCTTTCACTTTTTAGTTTCGTTGAGTATCTTTCTAGTTAATTACTTGGGAAAGACGATGAAGAAAAGGAAAGAGAAGGGGAAAGATATAACGCCATCCTTAAATTCTGTAAGCAATATCAAAGAAGGAATATAAGGGCGAAAACAAACACGATTAAAAAAAAGAGACAAGACGAGACCAGGCAAAAGAAAAAAAGGAATAAAATGAAAAGAGAAAACAAGTCGGGAAACAATTCGACTTGAGATTATGTCTCCCAGACAGATAAATCAATCCCATGAAGCATTACGCCCCCTGAAATTTAAACCTATCCACATACATCCCAGGGTAGTAGTAACATGCAGAAAACATTAGCCATCGGAAGGAGAACTCCGAAATCCGATTTGTGTATAGAAGTTCTTCCGTTGAACATTCTGTGGTGGAGAGAGACCTCGAACATTTGAAACAGCTAGATTACATGATACTGCACTTGCTCTTGCCAGACTTGTGCGACTTGGTCAAGAGAGCTGCCCGAGTGGCAGTCTCGAAGACTTCGCGGACACCCTGGCCGGTACGAGCGGAGCACTCGAGGTACTTGTAGGCACCAATCTTCTTTCGGACCTCCTCACCCTAAAGAACAAGCATGGTTAATATATACATTTATCTCAAGACACCCGCTAAGCTCAAGACATACCTGGTCAAAGGTGACGGGCCTCTGGGAGGTCTTGTTCAACTCATCGATCGTCTTCTGGTCGTCACGGAGATCGGACTTGCATCCAACCAAAATGATAGGAAGCCCCTGGCAGAAGTGAAGAACTTCAGAAATCCACTATACGATCACCGACGAGTCAGTTAAGTTATCCTGTATTCCCAGAAAGAAACAAGGACGAACCTTCTCCTGGACGTTATCCAAAGAGTCAGGGGAGTCAACAGCAAAGCAGATCAAAATGACATGTGAGTCGGGGTAAGACAAGGGACGAAGACGGTCATAGTCTTCCTGGCCAGCCGTATCCCAAAGAGCTAATTCAACGTGCTTTCCATCGACTTCGACATCGGCGACGTAGTTCTCAAAAACGGTGGGGACGTAGACCTATCCACTAAGTGTTAGATCAAAGCAAAGAGATAGAAGAAACTGATAGAATTTCTGGGTTGCCTTGCAACGAGGCTGGCTGGCACGTGGCCTCGATGACCCCGGGGGGAGAGGGGGGATGATGATAGCTGACCTCTGGGAAAGTGCCCTTGGAGAAGACACTAGAAAGCAATAAAAAATCAATAATTAGCAGCTCGTTGCATTATCCAAGACATCGTCATAAGGGGATGCAAGACGGTGTCGTTGCTGGAGGATTAAAAAAGCGGTAAAGGATATGTAGGACTTACATTAGGAGACAAGTCTTACCACAAGCACCGTCACCAACGATAACGAGCTTGCGACGAATCTCAGCCATTTTTCCTGTAAAACGAGAGCCCCCAAGGGTCAGCGGACAATGTCGAGTAAAGCGGATAGGTATATATCAAGGCTAAGACAGAGTGAGATGGATAATGGAGGGCTTTTTTCCAGCTGTGTCGGTTGTTGACGTGTAGTGAGTTGGGTGGGAGACAAGCTTAATATTCCAGCGACCACGGGAAAAGGGTTGTTCGATTGGCACTTACGATCGGGTTCAAAGGGCTGGGGGTCAGGAAAGAGGGTATCAAATAGGTCAGAGAGAGATGGATGTGCGAGTCACAGATCGCGCGGAATGATAGCGAGGGAGACAAACGGAGGGCGGTTGGAAAATGGATGATGGATGGGCTCTTGTTTTCAAGAGGAGAGACGGCGAGGATGGAGATTGGGGAGGCGGACTAGAGTAAGCAGAGCGACTCCGTAACGCACTAACTCGACGCAGTTAGTTGACTAATCCTGGTCACGTTAATTACCGAATCTAAGAGTCTGGCTCGTATTGTATACCGCCGCGTACAGCACTGCCAACGACGCGATACCTCAGAGGGAGGCCCAAGTGGATTCAGGGGGCCTTCGCTAGCCAATGAATTTGGAGGATGGGGCGAGTCATGGCTCAGCCCTAATCAATACGCGTATTGCATTACCGTACGGCACAGGTGTGGCTGAGCTGGTATGTTACCATCATAATACATGCTCCGTACAGGGGATGTGGCTCACACGCCGACGATATACGAAGTTTTAACGTAGTATATGAGGCTTGAGCACCGACAACTACGTACTAGGGAGAACTAACTGACTAACTAGCCCGCAGGTTGCTATGAATATAGCCCAGTCGGCCACGGGTCAGATTAAGGAGCATCTCCATATAAATAGCAACAAACAGCTATAAATTACCGATTATTGAATCGCCATACCACTTGGCGCCTGGTACGGCGTACGTCGTAGATACCAAAAAAGCAATCATAATTAGCTAGAATGAAATCACCTGGCCAAACACTGCGAGACAGGCATATTTGGGCGGGTCTCCAGTCCCACTGCAGGAGGACGTAATACGTGTCACAGATATCAAAGCCGGCCAAAGCACTCTCGACCTGACAATCAATATGCCGGTATTGCTATTTACTCTTGACAAGTCCTGACTGCGAGTGAATAGTTATTTAATACAAACTTGGTAAGCTGTAGCCAAAATTACATCAAAGAAGGGGCTTCTTGTTGATGCGTCAACAAATGTGGCGGTGCAGCATCACGGGATCCGGGTCCTTATCACGATAAACCGGGCCAATCAAAGACAGGCTGTAGCATGTACTTGCTTTGCAGCATACATTCTGTACACTGTTAATATTATGGGATATTTGATCGCTTCATTATATGTATATTGATAGACCTATATTTTTCATTGTAGTCTGTATACTCTTCCCAGTGTTGGATAAGAAAATATTCGAGTAAGCAAGTCATTGCATTGTTGAGCCGTGTCACGTGACCGCGGAAAAGCCAATTTTCTGCGGAAGCAACTGGAGAGCCTCTCAAGGGTTGTAGCAGCAACCAGCCATATTGTCATTGTCAGGGGAGGACCCCTTTCACTCCCATTCAAAATGCAGAGGTTAATCCGCCGTACGACTCTGGCCAAGAACCAGGCAGCTCGCAAGGCGCGGATTCAGGAGAAAAAAGAACGCCGCCTCGACTTCATGGACTCTCTGCGAGAACGGACTGCGTTGAACCGCACTACGATTGATAACATCCGCGAGGAGAAAGCCAGACGGCGAGAAGATTGGTTCAAGGGCCCTCTTGCCCCAAATCGCGACTCTGGTCTCACAGCCGGTGCCTATGGAACGATTACGCCGCAAGATCGGGTTTTGCCCACGGTTCCCAAGCATCTCCGAAGACGGTTCGTCAACATTGCCCAGGGCGATCGAGTCTGCCTTTTGAAAGGCCCCGATGCAGGCCGAATCTGTGAGGTTTCGTCAGTCGATATTGAGAGAGAAAGTCTCACTGTCCAGCATTTCAATACGGTAAGACAAGCCATGCAAATGGAAATGGGAATTGACTCGCTGATTCTATGATGCACAATATATAGGTGGATGTCCGTTATCCTGCATGGGCGAATCAAGCTGACGGCAGCCAAGATCCGTTTCTTCCGCAAGAGATGCCCATTTCAATCGACGATGTCCGTCTAGTAGTTACCTTAGAAGATCAGGGCCGGCAATACGAGGTAATTGCCAAACACGTCTACGGAGGAGGGCCATACCTGAAACGATCAAACGCACAAACTCCACGACACACAAGATACATTACCGGCGAAAATATACGCATACCATGGCCGGAGGAAACCAAAGTCGACAATGCAGTCGACGAAGACGGAGACACTTCGCGCAAGGAGGTGGAATACGAGACATGGAAACCATCCATCCAGCAGCCTCCGTTCAGTCAGTTCATTCTAGATGAACTCAGGAACAAGTTCTCCAAGTACCGAACGCGACATGATCCAATGTGGCTTGAGAATCGCAAACTAGAGGATCTCCGTGAGGAGTACCGCAAATCGAGGAAGTTGTTAACACCGCGTGGAGAGCACAGGGAAAGGCTCGCTAAACAAAAGGAAGTCATGAGGCAGTCGAAGTTGGATGAGAATGGAAACTATATTATGGACGCGACTACGTCTGAGTTTATTGCCCAATTCATCGGTCGACAAGGCGGCTCTGCCGCTTCGCAAAAAGCTGAAGCCAAGCAGTGAAACTAGAAATAATTTTACTGTTGTGTATATGGCCAGGTGTATTTAGGAACTTGGCACGTTGTTTTATTATCTACCTTGGAGGATAAATGTATTATAGCAATTTCGTCAGACAGACAAAACGAAGCAATGAATATCTAGCTTCCTATTAAATGCAGCACGACATATCCCTTCGAGGGTCAAGAATGACTGTATTTTCAATACAACACACACACACACACACACACACACACTTTTATGAAGCTATAAACAGCGTCAATTGATAGTCAACGTGTTTGCATGCTACCCTACCCGCCTTTGGTCATGCTCGGCATGCTAATCAGATAAAGAAGCCGGGCACGTTAGTTGCTTACCCAAATTTCTTCAAACAACAAATTGAGAATCAGCAAATCAGGAAAATTTCCTGATTCGCAACCTCATAATGGCATTTGCAGCGATCAACTCGTCCAAGAATTCTTCAACGCGGCCAGTTGTAGGACAAGCTGCCCCAGCAGTGAATCGTGCAGTCATTGACAGTGCTTTTGCGGCGGATTCGTCGTTGAGGAAGCGCGTTTACGATGCGATCAGTGAGTTGGCTATACCAGCTAGAGATTGGAGAAGAAAAAGGAAGGTTTACTGATAGTGCCTGTTTCTTAGGCGTCTCACCCCAGCACGGAGCCCTCTTCCAAGATATCGCACAGTACACATCGGGCCTACAGGCTCAGTTACAGCAGCAGCACCAACAACAACAACAACAACGTCAATATCAAACAGCCCAGTCCGCTGCTACATCTGAAAAACAGCCGGCGATTAAGAAACGCAAGTTGGAAACCGATCAAAGCACATCAACAAGCCTACCGTCCGTCCAGGATCTCAAGGCAGATAGTCCGCTGCAATTTTTCGTGCAAGATGTGTCGTTTGCGGTGCCTCAACGGAAGAAACTGACTCTGGAAATGACGGCTGCTGGCGGCCATGGATATCTACGTGCAAGGAATCAGACGTCGAAAGGGGTTGAGTTTGGTATTCCGATAAAGGATATTCGTGAGTACTATCCTCTCCTGTCTCTCTTTCTCTCGGTTTGTGTATATGTAGCGTACATGACTTACGTGATATTCAAGAACATATTCTCTGCCTCCCTGTCCCCGAAAAAGCTCAACGACAATCCAATTTCTGCATCATACCGAGATACGGGGATGGCGTAACGCCGGTCCCCGACAACTCATCGATTCCAGACCAGATGGTATGGACGATACCGGATGGACCAGCAAAGGCTGCTTATACGGGCAATGGACAGCGCGTAGAAGGTGGAGATGAGAGCGGCGAAAGTCTGCTTAGACGCTGGCTGAACGATGGTATTGGGCATGCCAAAGTCATACGTCCTGATGAGCGCGAGTTTGTCAGCGCTACGCCCGAGGCACATCGCAAGGGCGAGAAGGCGTATCATGTCAAAGCTCACAGGGGGAGTAAAGATGGTAAGTTTGTTAATTATTCATATATATATGGATAATAGATAGGTACTAATGTGTATATAAGGTTACCTATTCTTCCTTCCTACGGGCATCCTGTTCGGATTCAAGAAACCGCTACTATTCTTCTCATTCGAGAACATCGAATCCGTATCCTACACGTCGGTTCTCCAACGAACATTCAATCTGAACATCACCACGCGCGTCGACGCCAACGAAGACACGCAGGAATTTGAATTTTCCATGATCGACCAAGCTGACTACGCAGGCATTGATGCATACATCAAAGCACATGAACTGCAAGATGCAAGCTTGGCAGAAGCCAGACGCGCAAAGAAATACAATGTCAACGCCGGGAAGGGCACCGACAAGACCAACGGCACGGACGCAGCATCAGCAGCAGGCGGAGTTGCAGCAGAGGAGGAAGAGGAGAGCGAACTGCAAAAGGCGCAGCGCGAGTTGGAGGACCAGGAAGACGAGGAAGAGGAAGACTACGATCCGGGCAGTGATGGGGAGAGTGATGGGAGCGGAACGAGCAGTGAGGAAGACGAGGATGACGAGGATCAGGAGGGCGACGAAGACGGAGACCTGGTCAAGGAGGAGCTTGGGAGCGAGGCAGAGGAGGATCTGTAAAGCTAATTACCGCTATGATTACGCAGGCTTGGTTCTAGATGCGGCCGTCTAAATTAAATTCAAGGTGTCCACGTCAAAGCGTATGCCGTTGTTTCGGGTCATGGTAACTATCTGTACTGGTACATGTTTTATGCAACGGAGATCAGAGAAACAAGCAAAGTAAAGGGTCTTTAAGTTTCTGCCGTGATAATATATGATGGCGGCTATAGCCTATACCAGGTACGGCGTGCTCCGTTGAAAGCTTGAACTATCACCCGGCTAAGCACGGGACCGCCGTTCCGTAATTACCGTTCTGGCCAAGCTCCAAGGGGTGGATTCTATAAGGGGTAAATCACCGAACACTTCCCCGATTTCCGCCTCTGAGAGCAGTTCTTCTGTGTTCATCAACAACATTCAGCATCATGTTGTCTATTCGGGGAAGCGTGAGAGAGACTGAAAAGTTGAAACGTATCATACATGGATGTATGTATGTATGTATGTAGTAATTCACGGCGAATACGGCCGCAATACGCCAGTTCGAAGAAACGCTGCTGATGAACTGCCGCACTGGGTCTAGTGGATTACGTGCGGACGTAACGGTATTACGGGCGAGGGCGGTTAGTCAGCGGCTGCCCCTGGCTGGCCTACGAGAGTGCCTTTCCTCCAGCATTCCTCTCACATTCTGTTTTGGTCCTACTTCGTCGACAAACGCACAGCTGGTATAACTACTTCTCTCCTTATCTCGGGGCGTACTCCCTGCTGGCGAACTAGCTAGCTAGCCAACTAGTCAACTCGGTCGGCAACGTTGACGGCCGCTAGCCAGTCACAGAGCGAACTAGTCCTCAGTCGAACTAGAGCTGACCGCCCTGCCAAGAGCTAACCTTCTCTCTCGGGCTGCCTCGAGGCCTTCTTTCTCTCTCTCTTCTTTCCTTCTTTTCTCTTCCCATCACCACCCGCCGCCGCCCTCTCCCTCTGCATTTCGCTGCAGAGGTTTCTCCTCCTCTTCTGCCGCGGAACTCCTGCGTGCTCTCGTCCTGCTGGTGTGCTCCTTGCTCGTCCGGGTCGCTTCCCTTCCCCCTATCGCCTCCATCAACCGCCGCCGGCTATTCCACGCGTGTCGTCTCCGTCCAATAATACTTGGTCTTTCTGTCCGGCTCGAACAATCGAAAAATCACTTATATTTTTCGCTGTTCAATCGATCGGGGCCAATTGCATTCCTTGGTTGTGCTTGATGAATCTATAAAATTATTATATCACTACCGCATAGGTGCTTGAAGAACCGAAGAAGATCACCGCCAAGGTTAGCCATCTTGTTATTATTGAATTGCTCTTGTCTAACTTTTCTTTGCTAATCACCATTCTTCTCTTTGTAGAGTGAATACTACCTATACTACACTGTTCCCCCCCTCCCCCTATTCTGTACCTCGACGCAACAATCGCTTCAAGACCGCCTCACAATGGCCTCATCTTCATCCAACGTCGTTGGAGTTCATTACCGAGTGGGGAAGAAAATCGGCGAGGGATCCTTTGGTGTGATTTTCGAGGGCACAAACCTGTTGAACAGCCAACAGGTTGCCATCAAGTTTGTGCGTTTTGAATGCTATGCCTACAATCGGAAATGCGTTCCGGCACTGACTGACAATGGGCCTTGTAGGAACCCCGTAAAAGCGATGCTCCTCAGCTTCGCGACGAATACCGAACATACAAAATTCTTGTTGGATGCCGTACGTACTACTACTATTTCTTGCCGTTTTGACCCGTCCGCTAATCCTCTCTAGCCGGCATTCCCAATGTGTACTACTTTGGACAGGAAGGTCTTCACAACATCCTGGTGATTGATCTGCTAGGCCCCAGTCTCGAAGACCTCTTCGATCATTGCAACCGTCGGTTTTCCATCAAGACCGTGGTCATGGTCGCCAAGCAAATGGTAGGGTTCCCTTCGATTGATTGCTTCTTTTGCGGACTGTGGATTAATTAGCCTCTAGCTCTCCCGTGTTCAAACCATCCACGAGAAAAACTTGATTTACCGAGACATAAAACCAGACAACTTCCTGATTGGACGTCCAGGAAGCAAGGCAGCCAATGTCATCCATGTCGTTGATTTTGGCATGGCCAAACAATACCGCGACCCCAAGACTAAGCAACATATCCCATACCGCGAGAGAAAATCCTTGTCGGGCACAGCTCGTTACATGAGCATCAACACCCATCTAGGCCGTGAGCAATCGCGACGAGATGATTTGGAGGCACTGGGTCATGTCTTCTTGTATTTCCTCAGGGGTGGTCTTCCCTGGCAAGGATTGAAAGCTGCTACAAACAAGCAAAAGTATGAAAAGATTGGAGAGAAGAAACAGACAACAGCTGTCAAGGATTTATGTGAAGGCTATCCAGGTATGTCGTTTCGCTACTTGCTATCTTCATTCATTACTGATTTCTCTCGGCAGAAGAGTTCAACAAGTATCTCAGCTATGTTCGTAATCTCGGTTTCGAGGACACTCCGGACTATGATTACCTCCGAGATCTCTTTACACAAGCCCTGAAGAACACGGGAGAGGTTGAAGATGGTGAATACGATTGGATGAAGTTGAACAACGGACGAGGGTGGGAATACAAACCATATTCATCGCAGCATCACCCACATGCTGGAAATCAAATTCAGAACTCATCTTCTCGCGATCTCCACGGCACACCGGCCCGTCAGCCATCACGGCCCGGCATCACTGCGGATCGTTTAAACGCCGCACAGCCCCCTCCTCCATCTCCAGCAAAACCGGGCGCTGGAAAGACACGCGACCGACAAAGCGCGTCAGGCGGTCTCCAAGGAAAGCGTCAAAGCGGGCTGGCAGGGGGTCAGGAGATCTCGACGCCGACGGCATCCACTCAAGCTCAGTTTCAGAACTCCAACGCGAATCTCCCAGGCCGTCTCGCCACGCCGAATAACCAGGCAACGACAAGCGCGCAACAAATTTCGGGCCTCCAGGGAGCTAACGAACCAGAGCCAACCTTCATGCAAAAAGCCATGAGAGCTCTGTGCTGTGGTACGGGTCGGAAGTCTTGAGTGACGTTGCAATCAACATGCTAATCGATATATGTTCATTGCAGGTTGAGATTAGCGCTTGTTTTACCATTATTCTTTTCATAGTGACTTGATCGTCCTTCAGATCGTGTTATAAGATCCTGACTCCGGTTTGTGTTTAAAAGAGTCCTACACACATACACAAACAGCATATGCGAAACAGACACATCGATCCCGTCGGGTATTGTTTCGTTGACATTTCTCTTTTTTGTAACCGGGTTGATTGATTTTGATATAATCAAAACAACACTCTCACTCTCTTTACGACGGCACGGCCATGATGGAATTGCTTTTTTTTATTTGTTTTGGCATTTTGTTCATTTATCTTGCACAATATCGATCCCTTCCCTTGGGTTCTATACAAGAACGTGCCGATAGTATGTTTCGTTTTTCGTTTTTTTGTTTTGTTTTTCCTCGCCTGGCATTATTGAGCCTCCTTTTTTTGTTTTCTTTTCTGCCCTTTTTGTCTTCCTGCCTGTTTCTGATATCACTCATTCAAGGTGCTATACATCGTGGGCTGGCGAACATCGGAGCGTTTGATTATAATACTCTTGTTTTTCTTCTTTTCCTACTACCTACCGTCTTTTGATCCTTTTTTTCAGGACCCCTCCCCGTCCCCATCCTCTTTCTCCCTCTTTTGTTGCCTTTTTTGTTTTGATTGGTAGAGGCAAAGGAAGAGTACTCAATTTTCTTTCCCCCTAATTTCACTTTCTGTTGGTCTATCGCGTGAATGAGGGAGAATGGACAGAGAGGGAAAATAAAAAAAAAACAACCCACCCAAAAAGAAGAAAGCTTATATTAATAATATGTATGGGGAACAACAACCAAGGAGGGTCCGTGTACCTACTTAACTATTTCATATATTTCTTTTTTTTTCTCTCTCTCTCTCTCTTTTTCTCTCCATTTCCTTTTCCCTTTTTGCCTGTTGTGTCCCATTCTCTCAGTGCGAAGATCGAGACAAAACGCGGAGAGTCGAGAGCTTGTTTTATTTTTTGGGTGGATGGAGTTTGAGGATATATGTTTTTTTATTGGTATCCGTTTTATTTATATAATTGGATTAATATTTCGGTATTTTTTTGCCCTGTATGCATGTTCCTATATGGCGATATGCCTATACTTAGGTAGGCAATACCTAGGTAATAGATGTGTCCAATGCTCATGGCCAACATCTGTTAGAAGTCAGCCCTGTCAATGTCACACCAGTAATTGGCATATTCAGAGCCATCTATCATTCCGAGCAACGGACTTAAATGAGCATAATTCATATTTCCGCGATTTCTTACGGGGTGAGGCTGGATTCGGCGCTGCGTTATCATAACATTCTCACGGTGAAACTTAGCGAAAGCATTCATAGAGGCACTACAGCTACAACTTCCATCTTCGATTTTAGAGCTTCATGAAACATATAAGATGTTTGCTCTGTTTGCTCTATACCCAACCTGCGGCCGGTTTTTGGCAGCGAAGCCGCTGCGCAAGTCATTGATATCACCATGGTCTTCAGCACATACGCAAAAAGCCAGAGGCGATGACCTTATTAACCACACACTGAAGCGCGCATGTGGCCACTACACGGCTTACAGCCCAGTCTGTGCGACTCACAGACAGTCATGATTCACTCATTAGGCTGTATACTGTCGACACCAAACGCAGCACGCATCGGGAATCCGGCGTTGGGCAAGACGTACCTGTCGGTGAGAGATTGACTGCACAGTATCAAGCAACTCCGCAGCAAGTAAACGAGTATACAAGCTGTGGTCCCCCGGTTGCCATCAAGAAAGACAACGGGGGCCTCAGTGGCGCCGGGTTATAATTTTTCTGCTGATTCCATCGGCAGGCGATCATGATAATGTCGTGCAGGACATTTTAATCGAGTGGGATCTGTCGCTCGCGCCTTCGACCACGAAAGTTGTGCGCACATTTGGGGAAGGGCAGCGCGTCGCTGTGCGTGAGAAACTATCTATTTTTTCCGAGTGCTTTTTTTGCTGTTGGCCCCGCTAAAGAGCTATCCTACTGCTCTTGTTCGGGATGTACTGGCTCTCGGAACCTCCATTCGATGCCTATACTTTGGGCAAACAACTGCAAAAACTGGCTCTGCAGATGGCCACGTTCTTTGGAGACGACGAGAAGCAAGTCATTCCGAGTCTTTATCAGACGTAATATGTACAAGTGCGCTTCTGGTCGTGGTCTGCATCAGGGGTTTGTCTTTTCCTGGACCCGATCTGTCCTAAGGATGAAGACGTGGTGCAGGGTTTTCTCATGCATGAAATCGTTCGCAATTGACCGCGTCTTGGATTGACGACTGGCGGACCTGAGGATCTTATAGATGGATGGTTCAACGAAGGCATTGCAGAGTACTACTTCTCAATCCTGCCTCATATATTCGGCATCTTGACAGAGCATCAGTTTATACAACGCTTTAACTGGCGCTTTTCGGGCTATTATACAAACCCTGGTCGTGCAGTGCACAATAAGCATGTGCAAGATCAATTCTGGCTTCCAGGACGCGTACATCGGATTCCATATCACCGTGGGTTTATGTACTTTGTAAAACTTGCCTACAAACTACACAGGTTGGGTAAACGACCGCTCAATGAGTTAATTAGAGACATGAGAGGATCATGCACAGTGGACCAGTCGCATGGGATTCACGTATGGTTGTCGCTTGTCGAAACAGAGCTGGAGCCCACGGCACAAGACGATTAAAAGGACATGTCCAAGGCAAACCCAATCATACTCCCATCGGACGTTGCTGGAGTTTGGATTTCGAAAAGCAAATGGAAGCTTGAGCTGGTGGCGCAAGAAGAGTTCTATCTTGGGTTTCCAGAGGAGAATCTCTCCAGTGAATCTCGGATGATTAGCGGTTCAGACCTCCAGTCAAGGGCGGCAGAAGCTGGCTTACGAGAGGACGAAGAGATTACATTAGAATATGGATTCCTTGTTGATGCGGACGTTTGACCAAAGATTTTCACCATAAATGTGAGGCGAGGAATTGAAGAGTCACTACGTAAAATCAGTTGGTGGACTCGGAGCTGGCATACGGTACAGAGTTATCAGTTCGCTTATGTAGCTACCGGTCGGTATATAGCATAACCGGGCTTCATATTGATAGGTAGCTTCGTTTTGACGGACTCCATCTTCGTCACATTGTTTCGCCGACTTTCAAGAGTTAAGAGGAAAAAGTCACCGAGAAAATTGTATGATTCTGACTTAGGGCTCGCCCGTTCGGGTAGTTAGGGCTAAACTCGGCAAGGTCGACTTGGGGACAACTATACGAGCTTACCAAGTAGTAATAGTAATGGATCAATTGTCTCTCAAACAATGCTGCAATATTTACTAACTGCATAGCTAAGCGAGGTATGCAGTTACATGGCCAGATCTCAAAAATGAGCAATGAAAAAAATGAAACAAAAATCTCAGACATACACGTTAGGGTACCTGAACTTGCTACGTAGTCCGCAGAGACGTAGTAGCACTTAGTGTAGGATCTCTGAATCCTTCGCGCATAAAATTTTGCCTATAACAACTAAAATGGTACGTAACCGATTGCGTTAACAGCTCTGGTCCCCTTTCTGCTCCTGCAATCATCCTGGCCGTTGATCATTGAGTCAACCCCATATCCCGTATTCCGCAGGATTATACTAGGGTACTAAATTTTTTTAGTGACTCTGACTAACTACGTAGCCTGTACTTGTCGATAAAGGATTTGTGCATTAGTGTTGCATGGTATCTCGCATAGCTGTCTAAGAATTGAAAGGATTAATATGCTCGTTCAGAGCTGTATTCAGGGTCTGCGCCACATACGAACATACGAAGAGTCTATTTCTATCTACGTACCACGACTACGAAGGTACACATTAATATGCTAGCGTTATTATCTGAATGTCTACTCCGTACGGAGCATAATTCTCGAAATTGTGTCAACAAAAAAACGTACATCTTGCATAAATAGGATAAAATAAATAGTGCCAACGGTATTGCCGGAGCGTTTGTGAAGGTCATGTGCTCTTCCTTGCCCTCGCTTCGTCCTCCTTCTCGGAGAATCAATCGTACGATTCAACTCGAGTCGACATTACTGCGCAGCTATTGACCCAATCATGACTCATTCGGATAGTTTCTTCGGCTCCTCGGACTTGTCAATGCAGCCACCGTAGCGTCTAATGTGTTTCTACGTGTCTGCTAGCTACTAGTTAGTTAGGCAACGTATCTGTGGCAAGACAACTCATCTCGTGTGTGTCTTTTTTAGTCTCAGAAGGAATACTGCGCAAGCGCTAGACTTGCTGGTTTGGTCTTGAACGGTCAGCGAGGGAAGGGCAATGGTCAATGCGTATTCCTGCATTGACGGTGGAAAACTTTTGGGTTTTTCTTGCCTAATACTCTTTTTAGTATGTAGGTAATATTCCAAATTATTATAATACTACGTACGGGTATAGTGCTACTGTGTGTACTATGTAGCTACTAGTAGTACTGTAGTATAACTAGTCCAAACTGACGTATTATTATCAAGCGGTCAATGATGCTACCTAGGTGACAAACTTGCCAGAGTCTCGAATATTCCAAGCGGTATTATCCTTTCAAGTGGCGTTGCGGGACAACGACATCTCCGGACCAGACTAACCCCAGCCCTAAGCCACGATCATCTAGCCCCCATTTGGACAACATCAAGTTGTCAAGTTGTCAACCAAGTAACTAGTGAGTAGCTAATATTCTAGTCATAAACATACGCTATCTAAAGAATCTTCGACAGAATCTCATTCAACTCCTGGGCCACAAAGGCCGGGTTATCCTTCTGGATGAAATGGCCTGAATTCGGTGCCTGTAACGGTCCCTTACTTTTCTCCGGTTGCGTGAGCTTGACCAATCCTTCGTTGAATCGATGCCAGTATGGATTCAGATATGCCAGCGTCAATGGCTTGGGTAGTCCCAGCTGCAACGACTCCTCCGCGAAAGTCTCAAAGTCGTGACCGACAACTGTCACATAAGGGCCGCTGCCACCAGGACCCTGCAAAACAGGCCCGTCACTGTCAGGCAGCAAGGTCCGCAGATTCTTCCGGCTCAAGCCCTCCTTATTTCCAACGTCCGGATGTAAAATCTGCTTTGTACGTTCACGTGCCGCGCGCAAAAGCTCCGGCGTAACACCCTCTGGAAGAGTGCTAGGGTCGAAGCCCTCTGCATCCGGGTCGGGGAAGACGGACACGAAGTCCGAGTTTGCAAGGTAGCTATCGAGAATGAGGAGACCAGCTACGGTGCCGGGGTACTCCTGTGCATAAAGCCTCACCAGCGCACCGCCAATGGAGTTCGAGACTAGGACCAGAGTCAGGCTGTCTACATCCGAAATGCCTAAGTTCTCAGCCGCGATTTGCGTAATTAGCTGGCGCAAGTCGTGGATGACAGCGATGCTGTCGTGGCCATGCGATGGGTCCGCAGCGCCTTCATCGTTGGGGTCGCGGTCTGTGGTTTGACCCTGGCCAAAACGGTCGTAGGTCAGGATTGCGGGAATGTCGGCCCCCTGGCGTAGTTCTTTCAACTGGGCAATGGATCGTACCCACGAAACTTGCGGCAGTCCTAGCCCATTTAAAAAGACGACCAATACTGATTTGGCGGTTGACGCTGACACGGCTGGGTGAAAGCTATAGGAGATCTGGGCGGTGGGTTTAGTGGTGAGACGAATGTGCTGAAACTCGGCCATTTTGTCAGATTGTTCGATATGCACTTGAAGTTGTAGAAATGTACGTACACAAAACTCAGGACAACACCTAGGTATATACGTAGTTAGAGAACTGGACCAGCTTTATAGTCTTGACGAATGAGGCCTTCCGTGTTCCGCTCTAACAACCTTAAAACCCATGTGGGTCGAGCTGAGCGGAAAGCCAGTTTTATCATTGGCTTAGCCAAATAAGCTCTACCACAAAAGGCTAGCGCTTAATTTCCTAATGCTTCAGCCGTCCTCCAGCTAGCATTATTTTTGTGGTGTTCTTCAATATCAATTATAACTTATCTCAAGTTAACAATCTAGACATATGTTACCATTCTTGTAGCCCTATAGTCTCCAACTCAGCCCTAGCCAGTAGCTTTAACACGTGGTAAACTCTAAACTATGGTACATGCCGTGTGATAGTTAACAAGCATAGCTGGCCTTATTATAAAAAAGTGAGACCAATGATATGTAGACCTATTATCAGCCTTGAAGGGCGGTACAAGCCCGAGGCTCAAATTTAAACCCGGATAGTACAACAAACAGATCCAAATAGTCTCACATAAAAAGTAAAACCCGTGAGTCATGTGATATATTACTCTATTGCTCAAAGAGACCCGTAGTTACTATGCAGACCTTTGAAGGCGTCTATGCACCACTCGTACGTTTGCCGCCGCCTGGCGGGCCTGATCAGGCGAGCATCAAGCTTTTTGTGGACGTTTTTGATGATGACAGTTGCTGATTTCTAAGCAGTAGTAATCACCGATTTAAAATTACACACCGGGTCACCTGGTAAGCGATATAAATTGCGTGACGCCCTGCCTGAAGGGCTGACAGTAATGACAGCGTGCTAGTCTGTCTAGCTTTGACAATCACCAACAAATGGTCAACTTTCTCAAAAGGGGATTGTCCAATGTCCCACTACTCGCTGCAAGTGTCAGCGTCTTACTCTGGGGAGTTGGGACTCTGCCACTCTGGGCACAGTGGGCAGCGGATGCTGGGCAGCATCCTTTTCGGGGCTAAAATAGTCGATGGATTCGATAAGGATTCGGAGATTATTCCTCGACGCGGTTAATCCGCGTTGATAACAGCAATGCTGATGCCCTGGACCAGGCTAATGTTAATTAATTGGTGGCACTGGCTGTCTGAGATAAGAGAGCAAGCCCGTTACTTGCAATCAGGGCTGTTGGGCGTGAGGCTCATGGTGTAGGTTACATCCTGGTAGGAAGACGAATCGGAGAGGGAGTGTGATTGGTAGCAGAAAAATAACACTAGCCTAATGAGGCAGTCTTCTAGAAAACCTGCCCAAGCGATGCTAGAAAACCCATAGATTTCCACTGATGCAACGAGAACGCGCCACCTGTAGTGTGCGTGGTCTTCACCGCATGAAGGATCCTTGAATGTGGCCAAATGCGAGGGAGGGTAAAAAAAAAGGGGGGGAGGAAACAAGACCAAAACCGTACTACTCCAGAGTCGACCTGCCTAGAGTCCATACATCGGGCACCTACTACGTACTAGTACGCAATGTCGCTGTTGACTTGGGGCGGCAAATTAACTAATTTATATAGGAAATACACCAACAAAGAGCCCGGGCAAGCAGGAACCACGTTGGGCTGGAAGTAAATTTGGTCAAAATGCGGTAGTTAATTCTAGCCCGCTATCAGAAGCTCAAGCGCAGCGCTAGCCTTGTTGCTACGTAACTTGGTCAGTCGGCTACGGTCTACTCTGAGCTCCGTACTCCGTATACCGCTACGAAATACGTAAGTCTTCGTAGATTCAAGATTCGAATCCGTAATAAGAAGTCGACAAAAGTTAGGACCCCACGCACAGCTTACACACGAGACGGGACATGCACCAATTAGAATACAGTATGTGAAGCATTGTTACGAAAATTACCAACGTGTGATTGTGACAGTCCAGGGACTGGTCACAGCCCACCCGTTCCATTGGTACAGAATCCCTTGGCTGGGAGGGTAAGAAAGAAAATCGCCCGTCGAAGCAATCGAATCAGCGGGAGAAGAAGCCTATTGCAGGTATAGCCCAATCACATCGCGCAATATTAGTGGGGACGTATGGGAAGTCAGTCTAGCCTCCACTCACAGGCCTTCGCTCAGGCTTCTGGAAAGACTTATCATTTTCTGCTAGACTCGCCACCGACGTAATCCTCTGACCAAAATTGGTAAATACGAGGATTAGCAGACCCACTAATGGAGCCCGTCGCTCTTTCTCGACTCGTCCGACTTGCCTCGGTCTCCGCTGATTGTTCTTTAGCGTCTTGGCGTTCTTCCATCGCCGTGTACTAGCTTCGTCGCCCACCGGGCTCCATTTTTCAATCTATGAGTTTAGAGTCATAGATTAGTCTAGAAAAGCCGACCTAAATTGCACTGGGTCGGGCAGCCCGGGGAGCATGCTACCTTCTTTTCGCAGACATTACTCAAAAAGCTGCGCCGCCTGCTATTGGAGTACCGTATTTTGTACGTTTCTTCCTACGTAGACGGTAGCGGAAGAGGGTTCTATTCAGTGGATCTTGGTCGTGTATCCTTCGGTTGCGTAGCGTAACCTCCGGTTAGGTTAGAAATTTGGTCCTAATTGCAGATTGATCGAGAGATACGCCCTAACTAAGTATGTAGCTAGGCTTAGCATCACCCAAATAATGTGCCAGGCAATCACCGGCTAGTACGTAATAATGATTTTAAAACTAAAACGCGATCAAATCGAGTGTTTGGAATCCGGAGTAGGAGCCTATACTCGATTCAACATGGACTTAAACCCCAAGCCTTTTGTTGGTTTTCTCTCATCTTGATTAAGTGATTAATTAGTTTACATGGATCCAAGCACATAGTCCATACGATATAATAACACCTTGATCAGCGCCCCGTTGGCTTTCCTAAGTGCCACCACCAGCCAGCCCAGACCCTCTCGTGCCACCCTTACTTCGCCCGACAGATCCCTGGAGGCTACCACAATACAAATCAATAGTCGGCCAGCATAAAAGTAAAGAGGGAAAACGAAAGAGGAGAGAAATCCCTGCATGACATTGCATACCGCGTGGTTCCAAAACATCGAACGACATTACTCGTGCAGCTGGGTCCAGACACGTCTGATCGTTTCGATACGGCCTTACCTCGCATCGCCTTTCATTCCGATCCGTTGCCACACACTGCACCAAGGTCCGCTCTGGCTAGTTATCGTGTCTTTTTTTTTTTTTTAAAAAAAAAAAATATTCTTGCTTGTGCTTGTGCGGTGTGTTGCTGTGTTGTGTGTTGTGCTTCGTTTGAGAGAAAGCAAGCATTGCCGGTTCGCAGTTGCCATTTTTGAGCACCTGCCTCTTCGCCTTCCCGCATCGGACCTCATCTGTAACCACCCGGCCCTTTTTCTTCTCCTCTTTTCTTTTTCTCAATTGTTTTATTTTCCACAAGGTAACCAAGAGAGAGAAGAAGGTCTTTGTGCAACCGAGGTTACTACATTGCCTTTCTCAATTGTTCAGCCACATTCGCATTTCCTCGCCGAATCAACCCATCTCACCGCCGGATCAGAGCTCACAGGCATCTGTTAATTCGTTTGAACAGGAGCATATATATAGAGCTATACGATATACTCGAGAGAGAACCCCCGCCATTCGACCAGTGCCGTTTTCCTTTCTCGCTGTTTCCCTTCAAATTCCCCATAGCCGTGACGACCTGCCAAGCTGTGTGTTAAAAGCAAGCCCATCGACTAGGAGAACGCGAGAGAGCAATAAAAACAAGCCCTGCAGTGCGCCCTTTTAGAGTGACTTCATCTGCAACACTCGTGCTAGACGACATTCACCCTACATCCCTGTATCTTCTCCGTTGCCTACACGGGCACTCGACAACAAAGAAAAAGGAGTTTGCGGTCTATTTTGCCTGCACCAATAAGCTGAGGTAAGCATGCATTGATGTTCTTTTCCCCTTCTACTCGGTTTCGCCGGCGTCATTTGCAATCTGCCTGTCCAATCACTGTCTCGGTGGTCTACTGCGATATACCTATTTTGTACTGGTGCCTACTTGTTGGGTGCATGCGTCCCTAGCACGTTGTTACTTGCCCTCTTTTCTTCTTCTTGAGCACATAAACCGCATGCAAGGCTCAAGCAAGCACACTTGAAAACCCACCAGTGGGATTGGCGGGCGAGCATGTATGGCACACGAATAAACAAGGATTCATCTTGGTCTGCCTATCGGCGCCGGTTTCGCAGCCTATGAACTCTAGCGCATGAAAGACCCCCTACTGCCTGGCTTTGCCGGCTCGCCACTCGAAATGGATTCCGCCGTGCTACTGTGGGTTTCGGTGTTGCGTATCGAGCGACGTCCCTGAAGAGGCCAGCTCGGTTGCAGCATCCATGCTAGCACTTATTATCGTGGAGGACTTAACTTCGCTGGTTGCTGGTGATGATTGATGCCACTGCCGCATACTGGGCTTCCCCACCGAACAAGCCCCTCTTCTTTATCACTAGCGACCGCGTGCAGGTCTGCGATGGTGTGCGTGCATGGAGCCTTCTATTTTGTTCGGGCTTCGAAAACGTATCCCAATGGGAGTTCTTCTCTATCGAATCAAGCGGGGAAGAAGTCCGAGGGAAGATCGACAGTAATCGCCCAACCCCCTCTGGCATTACTAGGTACATGCTCTCGCACTGGCAGACTCAATAAAAAGGCTCCCGCGAACGCAGATCCCTGTCCCCACATCGCAATCAGAGGGATCTGCTGCTCTGATTGCTGATGAATCTGTCACCACAAACAGACCGTTTAGACACGTTATCGTCTACTTTAGAACATTATTTCCTTGGCAGCCCGGGAAACTACGCACCTGCCTGCAAATGCGCTAGATCCCTGTATCCACACCCTTCCCCCGTTTCGCGAGGCCTTCCAAATAAGCCTGTTTTCTTGGACACTTTTGACCAGTCAATTTCTCTATCACATTTGTATGGATTCGGCCATGCATTTTATCTTTGAAATCATATCTGTTTTTACTTTCATATAAACGCCATGCCATTTGCTGTCTGACTGACTCTTAGTCTTTAGGATTTCTTGCCCGCCTTTTCGTCGCACTATTGTTCCACACCAGCAGGTTACATATGTTTCTCTGAGTGTCACGTCTCCATTCTATTTAGAGCTTGACTATTGGAGCTTATTTCTCGAGAGAAATAAAGAAGACAAGTAATAACAAGTTAGAAATCCGTCATTGTCAGATGCAGTCATAACGATCTACCGCGAACTGCAACGGCATTGATATCGGACGGGCAAGGCGGACGGGACCTCGGAGTGTGAGCCCACAGGACGTAAAGGCGCGTACGCAATGATTGCGAGAAGCTCTTATCATATGCCATTTTTGTCCTGGAACCTCCCACTAGATCCTACTCCAAAGATTTTGCCTACCTCCCCTTCAGATCTTGCCTCTATCAAAACGCGGGTGATGGGGTCCAGGCCGTTGAGCCTACATATACCGTCTGGGAATTTCCCTCCTGCCCGCCCCACGCTCGATGAAGTGCTCTCCAACACAGCTCCCTTCCCTTATACCCTGGGGGCATTTATGGCGTATCTCTCCCAGAACCATTGCTTGGAAACGTTGGAGTTCACCATGGAAGCAAAGCGGTATCGAGAGTCTTACCGATCTGTGGCACGGATGCTCGGACAGAGCTCAGTGCCTTCGGATGTAGCCCAGACTCAGCAATTGATCATCCTCTGGCGGCGTCTTTTATCGGCGTATATTGTGCCTGGTGCTCCTCGTGAAATCAACTTGTCGTCAGCAGTGCGCGATGCGCTACTCGCCAACGCCCATGCTACAAAGCCTCCACGACCTGAGGTACTAGATGCTGCTGTACGAATCATGCATGATCTCATGGAAGAGTCGATTTTCATTCACTTTGTGAACAGTCAGAGTTTTGGGCCGCATGTCCCTTCTTCAATGGATAATCCATACGTCGAAGACCGCCCGCACCGGCTTCGACGGACCACGTCTCGCGGGAAAAGGATATCTCCGAGTGGATCTCGAGATGATTCTATGTTTAATCGTATGTCGGGCTCTGCTCGGATTGCGGCGCTTGGCAAAACAGGGAGTCAGTTATCTGAATACAGTTCTAGCGGGGATTCCGGATCTCCGGTTTTTACAGATGATTCTGCAAGCCTTGGGTCAGGAAGTCCAAATGGAGGGGACCCAATGACGCCACCCACAACGCCCCCAGGGAGCGAACTCAATTACAGCCCGAAAAGCCGGTCTGATAATAGTAACACGTGGAAAAAGATGGGAGCGAAGCTAGGATTCAGCAAGAAGAGGCCAGGCAGTGCGAGTCGTGACAGCAGATGGGAAGAGTAAACCCTTCTACGACACCATGGCTGGAAGTTATACCTACTCACCGCGAGTGACATATTCAACACTAGTCTGTTTAAGACTGATCGAGCTTGAGACGACTATGACGAAATGACGAATTGTTTTTGATATTGCATTTTCATACATATTTCGATATTCCCTTTGATTTCTTACAGGCTCATAAGAAAAAAGAAGTGAAAGCCTGCCTCATAGCGTTGGTTTTGGGTGGTACCAAGTCACACAAAACACATACGCATACACCATTTTACTGCATGAAGGGCTGGATATCTATTACCTGCATTTGGGAGGTCTTCTCCTTTTGTTTGTTGTCGTTGGCGTCGCCACTTTCCTCCCCCCATTAATAAGGGGAATTCGTCGAAAACTGTACAGCGGGTATTTGACAGCATTTGAAAACTTTTTCTATTATCATTATGTACTTTTTTTTTTCTCTTTTAAGGGAGGCAATTTTGGTTTTCTTCAAATAAGCATATGATATGGGTTTGATTGAACGAACATGAGCAAAGCGTGTTTTGTTTTTCCATTCAAGTTGGTGAAAAGCTTTTTTGTGGCGTCTTTTTCTTTATCCCTTCTTTATAGATGGGCTTTATCGTCATCATCATCATATTCTTCGTCATCGTTATTTATTTCCTCTTCCTTTTGCACCAGAAAGTGGCATTGTATTGGACTAGCTCTGTTCTTCATCTTGTTTCAGCATCATATACCTATCTATCTACTGCACTTTAATTTTTGAAAGCATAGGTGCATCAAATCGAGAATTTCTCTTTTTCATCTCCCTATCGCTGATTTATATACACTTCAAATTCTTTGGTAGGTACTACTACTGAATATGTAAGCAAGCAAGTAGTGGATTTTGGTTGTCGTATAAGGGCTATATACATTATGGCTATGCTAACAATAAGAGTACACGTCCAGACTCAAAAAAAAAAAAAAATAAGAAATAAGAAATAAATAAAGATGCAAATAAAAATGAAAAAAAGAAGGCGAACACCGGCACGCCGAGCAGCAAAGTAGATGATGGCTTGAACCAAGATGAAAATGCAGTAGTCTTTTAGTGGATGGGAACATGAAACCGAGTTCGTTTATCAATCAATCAATCAATCAATCAATCAATCAATCAGTCAGTCAGTCAGTCAGTCAGTCAGTCAGTCAGTCAGTCAGTCAGTCAGTCAGTCAGTCAATCGTCTCAATCAATCGGTCCATAGTTGATATGAAGCTGCCGACCAAAAAATGAGGACAGTCAAAGAGAGTCGAATGGGATTGAGTGTGTGTATTGAATTGTAGCGAGATAGTGAAGACTTGCCGAGAACGCCCAATAAATGAAATCACAAAGCCCAGCAATCGCAAGCATTGGCCCCGTGATGAAAGGGTTGTTCCACAGTGCTAAGCTTTTTCTTTCCACTCCCATGAAACTTTTTCGTCTTTCGTGTCTATAATGATGATGAATCTGTCCTGTTGCCCGTTTTGCTTTTTGCCCAAGTATCGCGGAGATAGTGCGCGAGTAGTAAGATGTATCAAGATATTGCTTTGTTGGATGAAGAGGTATGATTCTTAATTGTAAAGACTGGCGCCGCCGGTCTCAATGGCCTCGATTTCCAACTCAGACCAGGGCAGACGATGGAAACGAGCAGGCAAATCCTGGCGATCGAAGAACTCGCCCTTCTTGGCCACAACAGGGCCTAGAGAGACACCAGTTGAGCCGCCGATTGCGCCGTATGAGAGCGCGGAGGCACGACCGGGGGTGTTTAGAGGGCCATGCTGCTGGGCCTTGGAGCGGTAGGCGGCGAAAGAGTCGGGCAGCGTCTGGGTGGGAGACGCAGGATGGGCATGCGGGGTGTGGTCAATGGAGGCTGCAGTAGAATAAGACGTTAATATCTCCATGTACTAGAAAATCATACAACAAATTGGACAATTCTTCTTACCTGGCGTAGTGCGCTTTCCCAAGAACTTAATCAAAGGAGTGCGAGAGGCATTCTTCAACACAGCTGTGGTACGCATTTTGCCCTTTTATTACTTCTTCTTTTTCTCTCTCTCTCTCTACCTCTGGACAGCCGCTGTCAATGCGTCGAATGGTCGAATGGGAGTGGGCAAGCGTGAAGAAAACGGTGGTGCGTGGTGGTGGTCGTCCTGCTTTCTGCGTTCCGAGCGAGATCCGTAAAAGCCCGCGCTCAGTTCTCGGCGCGGTTGATTATGCAAGCACTAGCTAGGTTGGGTGGTACGGAGATAAGATAAGAGAAACAATGGATTAAAATGTGGTGCGATTTGATGGAAGATGGAACGTGGTACGTATGGTTTCGCGCAAGATGGACAGACGATGAACGAACGAACGAAAGCAAGAATGCATGAATAATGATAGGGACGAGAGGAATGGCCGGCCTTATAAATCCGGCACTCGACGAGATAACGGCAAGTGCACACCGGCAATGCCCAGATAGGCAACACCATGCCACCCGCGTCTTTCCCCCGCGACAACTCCGATCATGTGATTCTCCTGCCCTCCCTTGTATTTGTCGTCTGCCAAATGCGGACGCATGCAGAGCCTTCTGTACCGATAACAGAGAGAGAATATGCTTGCATGTGGATTATGCTTTTATGCTTCTCAGCTCGCATAGGGATTCCTGCAATGGTCATATGCATCAATCAATAGAGGGATCTAGGCCAAGCCACAAGAGGTCTTATAGTCTACCTGTCACTTGGAGTTACGGTGCCATGCAACTATAACATAAACAACTGCATCTAAAGACGATAGTTATTCGTTATATATGTTGTATGGAACAGCCAATCAGAGCCGCAGTCCAAAGCTCGCCGTCATTGGCTGCACATCCCGCCGCAAGCCAACCCGACCTTAACTGCATCGGAACCGCCATCTCCAAAAGACAGAAGAAAGACCAAAGAAAAGAGAATGCACGAATTCCTCCTGTTCGCCCCCGTCCCTGCCCACCAGCACCATGAACTGCTCCAGCAGCTGGCCGGTCTCACGGCCATGCAGCCGCGCCACCGACTAGAACGACGCCTAATTTTCAAAGCGAACCGCAAAGCAGGCCGCATCAACACCCGCCTCGGAGGCGGCAGCCAGGATGTCCAGGCCACCGAAATCCAGCGTCTGCTCAAAATGATGAATGGAGCCACGTATTACAATCGCGTTGTGAGCGTTGTTGCCGAAGACGACTTTGGCGCCCCCGCGGAAGAGTACGATTTCGACTCGCAATTGTGGAGGATGGAGTGGAGGGATATCCCTGAAGCTGGCACTCGATCGGGCGTCACATCGCGTCTCATGGCGAATGCTGTCCTTCCGCAGGGGGATATCGTCAGTGTGATGAAGGCTTGGGGATATACGTATGACTTGACCGTCCTGAGAAAAGATCTTTTGTTTCTTGGCTGTTGACACTTCTGTTTTTTTTTTTTTTTTTGTCTAGTTTCGTGAATGAGTTTGTCATTGAAGGCGACGTGTTCGTCTACAATGATACCGTCCTCTTCCTCCACCGCGTCCTGAACTACCCCGAAGATAACCAAACTACGCAACAAACGCAAAGACCGCGGACAGCACTACCGCCTCTAAAGGACCTGACCCTATTAGACCCGAGTGGGAGCTACCTTTTGCAGGCTTCAGCCACTGTCCAAGACGGTGCCAATGCGGAAACAGCTACGCAGCGCCTCTATGGACTGAGGGATCAGCTCAGGACTGCTGTCAGGCTGGAGCAGGCAGATCGCCTGTCTTTGGATACGAGGGTTAAATGAGTCATGTTGTGTGTTTGAACGAATAAAACGATCTACTTTTTGTTTTGTGCATGATACCCGGATTGAGCATTTTTTCCGACTGTTTGTTAATTGAAAATCATATGCTATAGTAATAAACCATTTGCGAATGAAACTTTGCTATAAAAAATGAAGATTGAGCGTAATTCGTTCTGGCGGAAATCAATATCAGCATGTGACCGCGCGGAGTTCTTTACGCGTGGGCGCGTCTCCGTCACTACGTAGTTAGCGATGCTTGCCATAAGATCGACCTGCGATTATTCCACCACCACAAGCACAACGGCTGTACTAATATCATTATTGAATATTAGCCTGACTATTTCGCCCACGAGAGTAGTCCGAGATGAAGAGGCTAGGTTCTCCAGGTGGCGGCGTATCTCCACCTCCGCTCCGACGCAAAGTCGAGTCAACAACGACCAGTGAGTGCATGACTGGATGCCACTACAAGTTGATTGATTACACTTATAATATCTGTCTATTTAGAAACCGCGGTCGCCTCCTTTTTCACCCCAACATCCCAGAAGAAGCCGGAAAAGGTTTCATGGAGAATCGTCAACAAGAGTCTGGTTGCTGGGAAGTACGCTTCGGAATCGAGCGGACATGGACAGACGCCGGCAGGAAAGAGGCGAAAGGTTGCAGCGTTTGACTTGGTGATTACTATTCTCACAAATCTTCCCATCACTGACGCTGACTGGCTGTTAGGATTCAACGTTGATCGCTACAGCCTCTGGTAACCGATTTGCGCGAGATGCTTCAGACTGGAAGTGGTGGAATACCAAGGTACCAGAAAAGCTGAAACAACTCAATGCCGAAGGGTGCGTGTGCTCTTGTTCCATATTCTGTTCTCTAGATATTCGAGTGCTTAAGACAAAACAGCTACCAAGTCATTGTCCTCTCCAATCAGAAAAAAATAAGTCTTCAAAATGAGCTCAAAGGCGGACGAACCGAATCCAAAAGCTTGACGATCTTCAAACAAAAGGCTCAAGCTGTCATGCGCCAGCTCGATATCCCCCTTAGCATATACGCAGCTACGCAGTACGACGAGTATCGGAAGCCGAGGATAGGCATGTGGAAGGAGTTTTTGGACGATTACGATTTGGATATCGATGGCAGACTGGATTTGAAGGAATGTTTCTTTGTGGGCGATGCGGCTGGACGGCCTGGTGATCATTCCTGTGTAGATCGGTAGGTTCTCTTTTCGTTATGGATTATGAGATTTTTCTGGCTTATATTTCAGCGACTTTGCTTCCAATGTCTCCATCAAGTTTCACACGCCGGAGGAATTCTTTCTTGATGCTAGTCCTGCGCAAGTCATACGGCAATTCGATCCTGTGTCGTACATTGATATTGACCCCGATACACCTGGTAGGTATACAACTGGCTATACGTCATATACAATGTGTATACTGATAATCCGACAGCTATATCAACCTTCTCAAAGCGAAGCTCCCTCGAACTAGTGATATTCTGCGGCAGTCCCGGCGCAGGCAAATCGACATTCTACTGGAAGCATCTGAAGCCGCTAGGATACGATCGAGTGAACCAGGACACGCTGAAGACGGTGCGTGATCATTCATCCTAGGATCCAGATCTACGACTGACCATGTAAGCAGCGCCAAAAATGCATCAAAGTCGCAAAAGAGCTTTTGAGCGCCGGCCGATCAATCGCAGTTGGTAGGACAATCTTCTAAAGGACAAAAAAAGAAGAACCGAGTTGAATATTAACATCGACTTCAAAAAAATAGACAACACGAACGCTAACCTCGAAACACGCGCCTACTGGATCCAAATAGCCCGCGACTTCAACATTCCAATCCGATGCATCTACTTCACCGCGCCCCCAAGTCTATGCAAACACAACGACGCCGTGCGCGCCGCGACTCCATCATTCGTGCGTCCCCTTTCTTCTCCTCCCCTTTCACAACCAATCCTTTTTTCTTTTCCTTTCTTTTTCTTTTCTTGACTACGTACCAACTACCGAAAAAAAAAATAACCAGAACCCCGAATCTCGCCCCCTCCTCCCCGGCATCGCCTTCGCCGATTTCGCGCGTCGATTCGAAGAACCCTGCCTCTCCGAGGGATTCGAAGATATCACACGCGTAGATTTTAGATTTGAAGGTGATACAGAGGGGAAGAAGATTTGGGGGCAGTTTTGGGTTTGATTTCTTCTTTGCTTTTTTCTTTTCTCTTTCCTTTTCTTTGTTTATTATTATTGACCTTGGGTCAATCGAGTACCTACCTAATGAGGGTGTGCGTGCATATATCTTCTAATAGTTGTACGACGGGTAGAAAGATAGGTAGAAATCTCCAAAAGGAGTCAATACTGTTCAGAGTATTTGTTTTTTTAATAGGAGTCTTTGTTTCTATGCTTTGACCAAGGACTAAGGAAATGGACTCAATGATTTGAATATTATTTCAATTTTTGATTTATTTCTAGTCTAGGGCTGCCTAGACTAATAATTACAAATAACCCTTTTTTGAAAGATTTCATCAAAATGCGAAATTTCAATGAACGAAACAAAAAGGAAATGACTGAATCTAATCTCTATAACACATGATATTCCAGGGGAAGATGGGTATTATCGTTCGAATAAATAAAACACAAGCCCGAAAAAAAGGGGGTCGATCGGTGAAATAGAAAGTCATATAACACATGGTGGATATATCGCTGAAATGAACGTGGTGGTAAGGAACGTCGCTGCGTTGAACACGCTGGATTAAAGGAATGTGGGATAAGGAACGTAGATTAGGTAAATTAGGTAAGGAGCGTAAATCCGAGATAACATCGGCTTCGTGAATCGTGAATCATATTTATTCTTTTTTTGCAAGGTCGTAACGGTCGTTAATTTTCCAAATCATGACAGAGCATGACGGATGATAGTAGAAACAGGTGTTTAATAATTATGCACGCGTCGCAGGAACTCCAGGTGGCGTCCGGCTGACAAGGTCCTGGAAAAAGCGAAACACATTTCGTCGTCTTGGAGACTTGCATCTAATGACTGAGTGAATCGCTGGCGCAACCGACATCGGCCCCACGATCTCCTGATCGCCAAGTTCAGGGAACTTCTCGTTATCATGTAGACGTGGTACCTTCATGTCCTCGGCAGGGCTCAGGTTAGACTTTGTCAATCCAAGGATGGCACCAAATTTGTCGTCGTTGGTGACAATGTATTCCAAATTCGCCTTCCATTCTTGCTCAATGAGCTCCCACTTTTGCTTGGTAAAGTGGTAAATCATTGATGTTTCCCCGTAATGTTCTCCGGTGCGAACGAGATGTTTGGCATAGTTGGTGCGTGCCAAGTCCCAGTCATCTCGAAACTTGCGGAACGCCATAGCATCAGAGATCTCTGGAATATAAGGTTCTGGCTGAATGGTGAAGTTGGCATGTCCAAGTTTAGATGACCATTCATCATCTCCCTCGGTAAGCACCAAAGGTGGAGCGCCCTCCCCAGATATAGTTGTGCGCAGAGTCATCCCTCTTGTCCTTGTTGCTAGTGAGGCTACCGAAGGTTTTGTAGACAATGGGGGCGAGCGGTGAATGGATGTACGAGAACTTGTCATAACCGGAAAGACATCTTCGTCAAACACGTCGGCTACAGAAGGAGACTGCAGTGGAGACGCAATCCCCGAGTTCCTCAGTGGTGATGGAAATTCAGACCAAATAGGTGGGAGCAATGGAGTGCTGGGCTTGGCTCCGATCTCGTCATCTTCGTCTGTGTTTCCGCTGTTGGCTTTTTCAATGGATATCGCGCCCACGCTGTGGCCACTGTGACGTGACTTTTCTTGGGAGTTCCCTGACGATAGCAAGCCCTGAGGCTCTTGAGTTATGGGAATGAATTGAGATGTCGATGACGCGGCCGAGTCAGCGCGTGAGCGCAAATCGTCGCTGAAAATACCAGTACTATATGTCTCATCCGACGATTGAGTCGTGGACTTCCAACGCGATGAAATGGATGGCATTCTCGAGCCGAAGCGGGAGAAACCTCTAGATGACAAACTCTCTGAGCGCCGTCGCTTTGGAGAAGCATGGTAAGGATGATCTGTGAGATCATAATCCTCATCAGTCATTTCATAAGGCTCGAATGTAACTTGGTCGAATCCTGAATTGAGAAAGTTAGACTAGAGGCTCCGATAATACAAGTAGACGCGCGGCTTACCAAAATAATCCTCTTCGATATCCCTATCGCGTCGGTTGGATTCCTCTTCCACGTTGCGCAGTGGGCTTGGAAGAGACCCGGCGCGCTCCATGGTAATGCCCATTCCAATCCCAGGCGAAGGAATCAGAGAAGAAGCAGAACTTGAAACCAGCTTGGATTGTAAGCGAGGTGATGAAAATGATGATATAGCAGGTGAGACTGAGGCAGATGAATCAGCCGAGGCAGAAGCGGGAGGTATTGGTGTTTGTAAAGGATACGGACGTCCCTTACGCCCTCTTTCTGTAGCCATGTTTATTATGGTTTGTATGCAAGAAATGAGATAATGATAATAGTGATGATGTTAAGGTGGGAACTTTTTTGTGACGAAGGTGGGTCAAATCTTGCTGCTTTTTCTCTTCTTAAATCTTCAGAGCCCCGGACATGCTGCAAACTGTCATCTGACTGTGCAAGCTGCGAATAAGAGGCGGTGTATATGTGTTTCCGGTCAACGACTGGTCAAAACGGTGGTTGTAGTGTACAGCAGGACGACAACATGCCAATTGACAGAAAGTGGCGTTGGCGTATCAGGCACCGAACCGTCGACAAGCCAATGGTTCCTCAAGTGTCACCGTAGACTCGTGTGCTAAGAACTTAATTCAACACGGATACAGGTGCACTTCCGGCAGCTGGTAATTGCTTCACTTTCACTGCCTGTAGGATGGGCGCTCGAATGAAGCAAGGCCACGACGATGAGTCACCAAAGTAAGCCGGGGGTATGTATAGTAAGAGTGAGAAAGCACCACGTTGGGCTGCAGGACGTATTTGTGTGGTCGCGCGTATGGAGGAAGAAAAACACGAGGAGCGTGTCCTGGCAGCAGTGGGTTTGTCTAGTGGACTCAATGGAATGAACGAATGAATCCCACTGGGCAGGGAAGCAAGCTTGTCATGCAGTTGTATGTACTCTCCAGGATTGCTGGCTGGCGACGATTGGAGCCAAGATCTGCAAGGCAATGACGGGAGCTCGGCCGATACGCGCTACTCCTGCAGGATTATTTGCTGGTTTGGTGATCTTCTGGTCGATGGTTCTTGAGTTGAACAAAGTTGCGTGAAAAAAGGGGAAGCAAGAGACTCAAAGAGAGTGGAAGAATCTTTTTTTTTCCCCTCCTCTGTCTCTGTTTGCCTCTGTGAGCCCCTTCCATGAGAGTTTGGGGGGTCGCGGCTGCCCATTGGCCGCCGCGGCGGGGAGGAAGGGAAGGTGGGGACGGAAGGCTACAGCCCGCTGGCGCCTTCCTGACGAGCAAGTACACACAGCTTACCTAATACTGGCTGGCCAATAAGCAGCGTTTTAACGATGTTTCATTATCTCTTTCTCTCTCTTTCTTTCTTCTACTTACTATTTGGTAGTCCGATGAAAGAGAACGCCGATTTACCAGCAAAACGAAAGAAGCAGAAAGAGGGACAAACAAACAAAAAGAAACACACTATCCCGTACCATCCATTGTGCTGGGCCAGCAACCCCCACCGTCGGCGCTTTGCGGACTGCAACCCACGGTCCATGTGCTTCCAGACGCTCACAGAAGCATGCCACTTCGGGACTAGCCCGTACATACATTTACTATATGTACTGCAGCCTTATGCATCAGGCCCCCCGGAATCCCGGTCCAACACTCGTTTATTTCTTTCGGACAAAAGAAACCAACCCCCCTCCAAAAATTATCAAGCAGCAGGATCCCTGCTCGAATACGGGATACCACGGGTGAGCCGTTTGTGAGCGGTCCGCAGGATGGGTCAGGCTGCTTCAGAATAGCCATATGCTGCTCATCGGGCGCTGCCGACCACTGAAAGAGCTGGCCGGCCAGCTGTCGACGCTAAATAGTTAGATAAGCAGTCACCAAACCAGGTGGGTATGACGTTGCAAGGCGCTGGCATTGCAACATCTTTCCCGTGACGTATTTTTCCATTGCATAAGTCATCAAATCGATTATTTATGCGCGTCGGACTGAGAGCTCGTATTGACACGACTTAGCGCAGAAAAGACGGGATTTAAAAAGTCTCATGCAGGTACGCCGTTCTTCCATTTGCTGTGTCAACTCGTATGACGCAAGAGGCATCGATTTAATTTTAACATGCATTGACTGTCTTTTTGAACAAAGTGAATACGGAGTAAGCTGGCAATGCACACGATCAGAATTTCTCCAGATTAGGTGCATTTGTATCGTAACAGAAACAAGAAGAAAGTGGACGGCCAGTGGATCTTCTGACTGTATTCCCTAAGAGTAGAATGCGAGAATCCCTCTTTCCATATATCAGTCAAGCGAGCTTGACCGACAAAGAAAATATGTCCTCGGGTTTACAGAGTACTATACGTAAGTGTTGCTCTATACATCATAACCCGTCATAATCATAACACATCTATCATTTCAGACTGTGACAGTTCAGCTTAGCTATGCCAAGATGGGTAATCCCGTGCTTCAGGTTCTAGACCGCCCGCCTGATCCTCCAAAAAATTTTTCAAGCTCTGGATTTCCTGATTGGCTGGGACTACGTGGACGTGGGCCTTTTTCTTACTCTTTTCGTTTTACCCATCAAGTTTCAACTTTGGTTAGTCCGTACGGAGAAATTGATAGATCTGGTCGGAGCAATGGCATTTCCTAATATCATACCAATGCTTTGAATTCCATTCGATCTGCAGATAACCGCTAGGTACCAGGTGGAAGGTACCAGGCGGAAAGTACTGTTACACCATGAGACTATGAGCACTGAACCATGGGCATGAGCAGGGTAGTCTGGTTTTCAGCACGTGTTGGTGTTCCCAAGTTTTCTGTCGGAAAAAAAGGCTTGTGGGGTCAAGTGTGGGCACCGATAAAAAAGCAGCAGCCAATCAGCGCTGTTGAGCATCGGAAGTATCCACCATATCTTCTAGGGCTAGCCCTAGCCCTAGATGACTGGCGATCGTATCTTTCTTCTTCAGGTCAGTCACGGAATTTATAGATTCATCTATAGCCATCTCAAGAAACCGAGTGTTATCGACTCCATTAATCCTGATTTAAAGGATTTGCAACTGTCTGGCTGCTGGCATTATTATCACTCGGCTGTTGTGTTTTGAAGAATCTAGACTCATCGCACCCCCACGGAGTAAAGCACCAACAATGACTAGCATAAGTTAATTGCTAGATCGCGATCAACTGGAGTCCATGGATAACAATAAGACCTAGAATCTCTAAATAATTTATTTTAGTCCTGTACTCCGTAGAATAAAATTACGTACATTGTACAAGCGCTCGTGCACGCTTTGATAAGTCTGTGCGAGATTGCATCTTTTCGTTCTTATTTATATCCGATTGTGCTACACTGGCAGACTCCTTGATAGGCAGAGACGTGCTATGCAGGTACCACGTTCCATAGAGCGGGTATGGAAGGAAGCATTGACAAAGGCGCAGCGAAGGGCGGTGGTCATGGTACGCTTACAGTAGCACAACCACATTTTCGTGAAACAACGAAAACTGAAAGTCTGGCACCCGTGGAGAACATTATGGATCAAAGTCCCGAAGACGCTGTCTAGACCTTTCTGGGACTTTGTGGCCTTTAGGGCTCAGTCTGATAGAAGGGCGCAACCCTAACTTGATCGAATGTTGATATTCAAGATTATGAGTTATCTATATAGCCACTTGACACGACCATACCCATTTCGTCGATATGAATAGCACAATATCAATGTAAGAACCCGAACCATCACCCACCATACTAGTAGGCGTGGGCTGTTGTTTAACTCTTGACTTGCCAACTAGATCATCACTACCTAGTCCTGGTTATTATGAACTAAACTCGATCGATGGAACTTATCGATCCATCTGTCCACTCTTATTGCATACGTGGGCGTTTTCGGTTACACTTCTTCTTCCACGTCGAACGATCGATTGAGCTATATCCATGTGACTCCTCTAACTAGGTAACTAGGTAGGTATAATGCGGGGTGGAGAGGTTGCACAGCTGCTACCTATCTACTAAGCTAGGTAGGTAGATACGCACCTCTTTCAAGGGGTTAGTTTTCATGCGCACGCTTCGAGTCTTTGTATTGGCATGTCCTGCCATAACTGCATTGCATTCTTGAAAAGTGGTGGTTACATTGCTGTCCAAGCGGGTTGGGAAGGGAACGGTTATAGGTTAAGTTATGTGTAGTTACTGATGGTTGAATTTGATTGTGAAAGATCTATCACGAATGAAGGATGTCTCTAACATCCAATTACAAAAAGGAATACTCTCACGGCTCATTGTATAAGCATAGGTGAAAGTGAGGTCGAGAGAAGAGAGGGAAGTATTTTAAAAATGCACAGTAGTCTAAAGATTGCTTGCTATCATTACAAGTCATGCTTCTAAGGTTCACCTCGAAATAAGCACTCCATACAGATACATACCAGAGTAAGTCATGAACAGCAACAGGCGTAAATATTTTGTATATTGGACATTAACATCCTAAAGTTCAGCAATCATAACCCTGCACCAATAACAATGCTCGTATCATCAGGCTCCCAAACTACGTCATATATGAATCCAATCAAGTCAACTTCTGCTTGATGAAGAATGATCGAAGATGAGATAATTGCCATGCGCAAGTAACTGAAAGCACAACCACCTGAATCAAAGCCCAGCGGACAACACGAGAGTTAGTGGCCTCGGATTGGTCACGGAATTCAGCTTCTCGTTCCTGTAATAACGCCAAACAATAGTTAGCCTGTCTATTGTCTGCAATACGGAAGATGATGTTGATCATACCCGCTGGAAGACCTGTTCGCGGCGAATATCTTGTAACCGACTATTGAGATCTTGAACTCTCTTTACAATGTCCGCGATTTTACCAGAGTCCTCAGTCTCAATTTTGCTGGTAGCGCCAATGGCCATGTCCAGACCCAACTTGACAGTTGGTGCACTAGAAAGCCAACCTCCTCCGTTCTGAGAGTCAGGGGTGAAACAGATCCTGTGCTGACCAGCATCGGCGGCGGTGAATGTGAAGCGGCCACTGCCGGATGTGCGTTGAGAAACGACCCGGTGGTCGTTGTCAAATGTTTCTTCGACGGTGATGAGCACTTGTAGCGACGAGTCTTGTACCCATGTCTTTGACTCTACGTTGAAGACATGGGCGCTGTAGGTTCCTGTAGGACAAAACGTGTCGTTAGTCAACAGATTCCAACCCATCTTGGACACTAGCAATTCTTACCAACAACCAAGGTATCCTTGGGCAATTCTTCAAAAAAGCACTTTTGTTGCTGGGCTTCCATGTACAAATGGAGAGCGCGTGCCTGAGCTAACAGCACGCTCAAGACAGTCAAGACTGCCAGCAGCCATGAAGGGCTGGTCCGTGAAGCCGACATGGAGCGCGGCTATGCAGAGAGACTCTAGAATCACAAGCACCCCAACGAAGGGAAGACAAACAACTCAAGAGGACGTAGTCGTGGTATTGACAAATAAACAATGATACGGAAGGGGAAAGCCTACTCTTTCTGTAAACTTGGCCGCAACCGTTTGACCGCCCGTTGCTGAGCCAATAAAAGTGGTTCTGCCGGGGACCCATATGCAACTCCGTCCTCGACCTTCAATCCGTTCGTCACTTTCACCTTAGCCAGAAAATCATTCTTTCTTGTCTAGAATGCGCGCAGTCTATCCATCGGAACGCTAACAATCGATTACCTCGAAAGGCTTATAGCTGTCATTGTTGCTTCCATCCTATATTCATTACCTGCATCGCCGTCGCGTCGCCATCCACCATCATGGCAGCCGCAGATGTTCGCGACATGCTCGACCTGCCTGCGGATGGGCAACCCAGGCCGCTTAAGAAACAGAAGGTTGTTGAGAAGAGACCAGGTAAGTACTTTTTTTTAAAAGAAGAAAAATATTTAGACGGCACATCTAACGTTTGAAAAGAGGGTATTACTCGTGAACTTTTCGCGCTGCTCGGCGAGAAGGCCCCCCCAATCTCCCTCACAGAAAACAAATACAAATTAAAGAAGTCCAATCGGAGAGCGCTTCCATGGTATGTATTCATTCTGTGTTACAATTCACGGATGTTCAAGGCCTAACGTTGATAAAACCCAGGCGAATGACCGATTTCAAAAATGATGCGCGTGGCGATGGTCTCGTTCTTCGGCACTGGCAACAACGAACCGATACCGCGAATAGACCTCTGCAAGCTGCAGATGGAACGGCCATGGATGTCGATCAACAGATGAAAGATGGATCACAGCAGATGACTCAACAGCCTTACATGTTTGCGAAGTACAACATCAAAGCCCAGGTTCCTCGACGATATACCGATGAACAATATCAGCGGCACTTACAAAGTGATGATTGGACGCGTGACGAGACAGATTATCTGATGGATTTAGTGGAAGAATATGACTTGAGATGGGTGATCATTGCCGATCGATACGACTATCAATCTGAGGTCTCGGAAAATAGCGAAGCGAACGCGACAGCGCTGGTTACGGCAAATAGCGTCCGGACAATGGAGCAGATGAAGTCTCGTTATTACACAGTTGCGGCGAACATGCTCGCTCTTGAACATCCTCCGTCGGAGATGTCAGAAGCCGAATTCGCCTTACACGAAAAGATGATGAAGTTCGACCCGGAGCGTGAAAGAGCCCGAAAGGAGCTGGCCGCGTTGCAACTTAATCGCACTGCTGATGAGGTCCGCGAAGAGGGCATCCTTTTGGAGGAATTGAAGCGTATTGTCACAAACGAACAGGATTTCATAGCAGAGCGCAGGGAACTTTATTCCAGACTCGAAGTTCCTTATTCTGTCAGCAACACGACCATGTACCAGTCAAGCCAAGGCTTGTCACAACTTCTATCGACACTACTGCAAGCTGACAAGAGCAAGAAGCGGCGTTCAATACTTGGTCCTGATAACGTACCGAGTCCAGTCGGCCAAGCGCCTTCTCAGGCACTGCCAAATGCTGCCCGCGACGCTCAGGCCGATACACCTACCGCTGGTCCATCAACGAAGAAGGGATCAACGGCTGCTGCTGCTGCCGCCGCCGCCGCTGCCACATCTCAGCCAACCGTCCGAACTCTCACCAAAGAAGAAGAAGAGAAATACGGGGTCCAACATCACGACCGGGTCGCCCCGGGCGTCCACTTCCGCAACGACAAAGCCACAAAACTCACACAAGCCAAATCAAACATTCAAACTCAAAAACTCGGCGCCGCTCTCACTGAGCTCGATATTCCTCTTCGCCTACTCATGCCCACCGACAAAGTATGCAAGGAATTCGAAAAACTCATTCACCAAGTAAACACCTTACTCGACGCACGCAAGGTAGCCGAGAAAGTCGAGAGCGAAATTCGAGTCCTCGAAGCCGCCAGGGAGGAACGACAAAGGAAAGAACGAGAGGCGAATCCAACAGCAGCAGGAGAGAAAGGAAAGGAAATAAAACTCGAGTCAGTCGAAGATCAACAACAACAACAACAACAACAACAAAATGCACGACCTACTAGTAGTGCCGGAGATGGGCAGAGGAATGACGATGACGATAATGATGTTGGCGGTGCTGCTAGGGAGAAACAAGCATCAGCGTCGCATAAACGGTCAGCGAGTGTTTTGAGTGCTCGTAGTGATAAGAGCTCTAAGAGGCAGCGGAAGTAAGTTAGTCTTTTGCCTTTTTCGCATACGCTGGCCGTTTACTAGATAAGAAATAATTGAGCATGAATGTAAGATATATTTGCTTRAGCATATAACTTGTAACTATTCGCATACGCTGGCCGTTTACTAGATAAGAAATAATTGAGCATGAATGTAAGATATATTTGCTTGAGCATATAACTTGTAACTATTCGCATACGCTGGCCGTTTACTAGATAAGAAATAATTGAGCATGAATGTAAGATATATTTGCTTAAGCATATAACTTGTAACTATTCTATGTCTAACTCCTACGATTCCAAACTGCCTATGCGTGACTCAACACAAACAAATCAGAAAGTCAAACTATGCCTCCTTCCAACATACTTCTCGCCACCGCCGGAACTCAAAAAAGAACTCTCTTGAGCGTTCGATAACACGCCAGGGGCGCCGGTGGTAGCAGCGGTAGTAGGTCGAGCTCGACGCTGCTCTCTAGACCGTCTCTTTGCGGCCTTCCAAGCCTCAATATGGTAATTCCCCAGTTCCTCCTTTGGCGCATAATCCCAATAAGGGATGGTCATTTCGAACATTGAATCCTGGCAGCAGTCATGGGATCGGGCTGCTTGCACGTCGAGACCCGCGTGGTACCTCGCTATTTCACGTTTGCCGAGACCAATCATCCAGAGAAAAGTGTCCAAAAAGCCCTGGCGCACGGCATTGGCCATTAAGTGACGCTTCTCCTCGAGATTGTTTTCCTCGTGCTGAGGTCTGTCGGGCGAGGCTTTTGTGCAAAAGTCACGGACGATGATCCCGTCTTCAATATTTGCAGAGTCGTTTCTGTCGGTTCTGGAATGGCTTGAGATTGATGCCCATTGGGATGATTCATTGGAGGTGTTGATTGTCTCGATTTCGAGAGAGGATCCCTTGTGCTCTTCATTTTGGTGAGTTTCTCCGTCAATTGGCGGGTTGACCGCAATCGTTGTATCCTGACCGTCACGCGTATCAAGGTCCTTGTTTGTTTCTTCTTTGGCTGTAGTTTCTGAAGAGCCGTCCGTGAATACGCCTGATTCACATGACGTCCTGGCTGTCTCATCGCTATCAACAAAAGAATAGCCATATCCACAGCGTTTCCCCTCAGACATCCATCCAATACTGACTTTTCTAAGCGATGGGGCTGAGGATATAGCTCCTAAGCCGACATGGTGGAACATTTCAGTGAATCTGGACTGCTTTTGAAGACTTCCAGCAGCCGTATAGCCATTCCTTGTCACCACACACTCATTATTGTTAGTAACGTCTGACCCACACAAGGACCGAGAACAATCACTTCTCTCGATAGGTATCTCGGGCTGCCCTCTCCTTTTCGGGACTGAAAGAGCATGTGATGAATGCTGGCACTCAGAAGTCGGCGGCAACAGAATTTCGCCATCTGCCTTGGGGGTCGTCTCATACTTCTTCTCATCCGGAAGAGTAACATTGGTTATATTCATGCGTAATGGACTGGATGCGTGTAAGGATTCCCAGCTTTGTGTAGAAAATCGAGGACTGCATATAAAGAGAGCATCACTATCGTAGCTTCCCTCCCTAACGAGATCCGGCGTGCTGCTATGGACAACTTTGTCGTCGCCAGCGTTTCCTACGATAGGCGTCGCCGGCGCGTGATGTCGATGAGAAAAGGCTCTCTTTAGTCCATTTGCCGGTGCTATTGATGTCGTTGGATGTTCTCTGCGCTTCATAAATCTGAGAAAGAGAGATGGTTCCACCTTCGTCGGACCATGATTATGACTACGACCAGGGGCACTGCTTGCGTCGGCCGCTTGTCGAAACAGATTCTCAACTTCGATTTCAATAGATCCCTTCTTCTTCTTCTTCTCGGTATTTGAAAGCGAGGCGCTTTTTGAAGAGGAAGACTCTGACTGGCGATGCTGCACAGTTGTGTCGAGACTGAATGCTTGTTTGCGATCGCTCGTCTTTCGCTGGAGATGGCCTTTCAAAAACGTCATGATGCCGGTGTTGTGCGATTGAACACTGTTCTCAGATGTAACGGAGACAACACAATATCATGCATCCCAAAAAAAAGACATGCAATTGACAAGTAACAATGCTATTGCGAGAATGAGAAAGAAGAAAACTAAAGATGAAGTTGTTGAAGGCAAAACTACCGCGACTTCTCTTGGGACATCGTCCTAGGGGGAAAGAAGCAAGAGCTGCCTTCCCAGTATACACTACCCTATCAACTTAACTAATCTAGGAATTAATTATGCATGCAAATAAAACCCGAGTCAGTGTATCAAAGAACTCTCACAGAAAGGAAATTCCCGGAATAACAGCACTTCGACCAGCAACTTCATCCTTGCCGAATTTCGCCGTGTACCATCTCAAACCGCGTCTTGCCTGGGGCAGCATGGTAAACACATCGTTCATAACAAATACAAGAGCTGGCCATGGAAATGGCACATGCAGCCACTCAGCAAGAACAGAAAATGGATACAGCCAGGGTGCCGGGGTCATCAACGATGTAGGCGGGATATTCTGCGACATACGACTAGCGGCAGGATACACAGCAGTGCCCACTAGCACGAAACCAAACCATTCGAGCCATTCCAGGGAATAATGCGGATGGAGAACCCATCTGAACAGGCCCTTTGGTGGGGGAATGATGTACACCTTGTGGTAAATGTTCTTTTTGTTGTCATCCGTGACAGCAGCAGTGGCGACGTCCTGATCGCTCTTCTTGGAGGCACGACGATGGGCTTCCTCGCGACGAAGACGCCAAAGCGTGCGTTCGGCGCGAATATTGCCAATCATGCCATATGCAAAGGTAACCAGACCGATGTAAGGAAGAATCTGCTGGAGTGACATGGATGATGCCGGCGATGGCAGATACCCAAGACTTGGAGTAAAATCATAGCCCACAATCCATCCAGCAAGACAGGAGGAATTGAACAAATTGAAGATAAACGCGAACAAAAAGATCTCAAGCCGGACAGGCGAGATACTAGGCGCGACAAAGAGTGGGTTCAAAATAGAGCGGTTGAAGTAATGTACCACATAAAGCGCTCCAGCCACCTTGTTCCATAGAGGTAAATCCAGGAATGTGAACCCAAACTTTGCGGGGAGTGTCGCGAAGATGTAGAGCATGTTAATAGGGCCAACCACCTCCATGACACACCAAGAAAAGCGGCCATTGAGGTTGAGTGCGGAGTTTGGCAGGGAGAATTTCCCTGTTGGATGATAATCCAGTAGCCATTGGAATACGGTAGCCTGTACGATAGGAGGGTTAGATAGATATTTGACGAAGGAGAGGACAGGCAGGGCAATCTCACAGCTGGAAACCATTGGAAAAGGCGTAATTCCCAGGAATAGGCCCAGGGCTGAGGGGGGAAGAAGGATTCGGTGAATTCAACAAGGCTGTCCATTGTAGACGCTACTTGTCAAGAGAAACGTGAAGATATCTCCAGAGAATGGCTACGTATGTCGTTCGTATGGAGTTGTTGGTAGTGGAGTGGATGGTGAGCGCTGATTGGTCAACAAGTCCTTCAGCTAGGCTTCCTTCGCTGATATCATTTTCCGTCCTGCCATTGACTAACTACATCCTGACAACATTAACTACGAGGCTTCCCTAGAGCCGGTTACAATATCATGGAGAAGGACTTAAGGCCTCCATTCTAGAGGTTGATGACGGTGTTAATCCATATGTGTCCCAAGGCAAGATTTATAGAACATAAAGGAAAGTATTGGAAGAAGACTTGGTAGCAATCAAGGTAAACAGATATTTCACTCTTATACACAGCTAAAGATCTAGTTCGGCATCAACAATCTACTCCCATTTCCTCTTCATATCCCATCTTTCCCCGTATTTCAACATAATCTTGAATCTGCAGGGTGGTGAATCTTAGGCACGGCATTTGATTGGAGGCAAAAGCATGATACTGCGTACAATTGGGCACCCCTTATCATAATTTCAAACTTGCGATTCAAGATCAGTATTTTGGAGTTTCCGAGTCCTTGGCTGGACCTGATTGTTCGAACTTGTGCGGTGAAGCAACTTCACAAGCCACGGCTAGCACAGATGTTTTGTCCAGGATTTGATTGTGTTGTGTCCAAGGGTGCCAACAATCAACGGCGCAAAGATTACCATAACGGAGTTAGCTCTGTGTTTATGGTAAGAAATCTTTTGCTAATACGAAACACGCCAATCAAACAGGGCCAACCCGGGTGGAGTTGTGTATGGTGGGTGAAGGAGGCCTTGGAAAGGGTCAAAGAAGATGATAGGGCTCTGGGAACTAGCATCGATTGAGTTTTGTGCGACGGACGAGGTCTGAGGTCCATATTGATTGGCATTTTGTTTTTAATGATGTGTACCATTCCCGAGATCAAATTATCAGCTCTTGCAATTAATGGCCGGAGTGTTTGTTTATCCGTGCCACGAGACCTACTTTAGCGATGTCAGCCCTTGACGACGGAGAGATTAAGAGCACGACCAATCCACGATAATTCTTGATTAGAGTTAGAAGCCCACGGCGTTATTGCGAAAGGTCTGGAAGCAAGATAGCCAATACAGCGCTCGAGAAATATTCAGCCGCGGTCGTTCGTTCGTTCGATCAGGGCTCAGTCTTTCCAGTACAGAACATAGCCCCTTGCGCTTGTTCTAGTTATTGTCTTTGAATATCTTGTGAATAGACTTGTCGCATCAGAGATGGAAGTTAATCTAGATGTCAGCATCTACCTAGAAAGGTTTGTTTTGTTCACAGGTCTAAAGAGCTTCTGTGTGAGACCTTTTTGGTCGTCAAAAGATACTCCCAAGGATATTTATTGAGTTCGTCCCGAATGTCTTTGATCTCTTCCAGGAGTTCAATATCTTGCTCAAGGCCTAGACCACTGTCGTCTGCTCCCAAATTTTCCTTGACGAAGTTGAAAAGCCTGGCTTCCTCACTAGACTGTGCATAGTTGTTAGCTTAAGAATTACAATGGCCTCGACAGAGTACTTATTTGGAGTTATAGGCAGCCCTGCTGTCACTTACAACAGAGGCTATAGAACCTGCAAATGTGAAAAAGTGTTTCCGGCCCCCCTGCTACCTGTGCTTGACATTCATCAATCTAATTTATGCAAAAGCTGGTGATTACGGCTGCGAGGTGGTAGGTCTTGCGAGGCAGCCCGTGGTACAATTCGTGGATCATGAACAAGTTATCAGAAATCATCATATTGATCACTCTATGTGAGCCAAAGCAAATATGACACGATTTTGATGTGATAAAGGGTGGCTAACTGAAAGCTAGACGATGTGGCCATCATATAATAAACGAGATACGATGGTGCCCACCCAGCCCGGCTTGCTAATACCGAAGGGCGCCAGAAGAAAGAACTCCAGTATAAGGAACGGGCTATTCCTCTATAGGAAGAGGTTTTCCAGTAACGGGGCAAAAAAAGAAAAAAACATACAACAGACGGGATTCGCTGGTGGTCACCCACCCAACTACTAACCGGCCGGCGTGTGGCTTAAGTACGGCTGAGCGGACGGGAAGCCCTGTTTTCCACACCCTATGGTCGTATGTGCTTGTTACCAAGAGGAAAGGATTTATAAAGAAAGCCTAGTAACTACAGGGATCAGATAGATATGTAGCGAGTAATATTCAAGCTAGATCGTAAATTGGCGATCTGTAGAAGCTTATACTTGCATTCCATATTGAGAAAGTTTGATTCTTTTACATAAAGCAGGTATAGTATTGTCACCTTTTCATTGCAGACAAGAACAAAGGCCATGACCCTGAACGTCCAAAAAGCCTTCCAATCTTATGAATGGATATATTCTCCGGCTCATCTGCAGCAGAGATTTAATTTCAAAGTTAGAATTGCACATTGCTGTCATCCAGCGGCCTGGATCCGTGAAAGTGTGAACCGTACCCCATCGTCCTTGAACATGAGATGATCAAGCTTAACCTGTCGAAAGCAAGCAACCCTGTCTCTTCTAATTATTGGTAACTCTATCAACTAGAAAATATCCACGAGAATCAACGACTTAGAAATCCTTAAGCTGTGCTGGCTCAAGACCCATAATCGTCAACGCAACTTTCGCTTCTCTACGGAGACCCTCAATAGTCAAGGGCAGAACTTCCTCAGGATTTCTTCCAGGAAACCCCGCAGACCCAAAGAGCATCTCCCTCGTCAACCCAAATGCCTGTTTTTGGGCTTGCTCATGACAACGAGGAGCCGGGAAGACACGCTCCCGCTGCCGTAACACCGGCAACAGTCGTTCATTTCTATTTCTGTCGATACGAATATCGAGCGTGTGCAGTTCAGCTGTTGCCATAACCCCCTGGCGATGGTTATGGCGGTATTTTGACTCCCATATCAGAACGATAATAGCTCTCACATGTCCCTCCCCCACCGACAATCCACAGCTTCACATCCTCCATGAGCTGTGGAAGAGACTCGGTCCATGAAGACATCATCACAACCCTGGGCAAATATTGGTCTGGTCTGGAGTGGATGAGACAATCCGGTTCTTGACGAGAGCCCATATACGGTCCATGACAGAAGTTGATTGTTTCTATGTAGTTATTTATGTATATAGCCATTAGCCAGTGACCTCTCGTATGGATGGAAACCTACTCATCCCAACCCCCAGACTCAGCTGCTCGCACTCATCATCTGTCAAGAGACATGGCGAGGTATCTAGCCAGCGACTCATCTCTCTCTCTATCCACAACCGATGACAGCTGTGAATCTTAAAGGCAGCAGCATGCAACCAGAAAGTCCGAGTAACCGCATTAAAGTGTTTTCTGAGTCGATTAGCGTCACGCACCTGAAACATACCTATATACATGCCATTTAAAGAGGAAAAGGGGGGCAAGTATACATGAGTTCAATCCCATTCCAATCGCAGTCAAGAACATCCCTCCCCCAATCCCGCGGAACATCAGTGTAGACGATATCGTGATGCAGCATGATAGCAACTGAAATCATCTCTTGCGCATGAGTATAGAAATCGGTGCTTGAAAGGAACTGGCGTGTTGAGAACGTCATCCCCTGATCTCTTTCATCATCTTCTTCTTCTTCTCGTTTCTGTAGAGATGGGTGTATATGTTCGGTGTTGGGATATAAAACGGGCATGTTTGTAAAGTATACCCGTGGACACTGATAAAATTTCTTAAGTTCTTGTGAGTTCTCTGCATGTGATCTGGAGGACACTTAGAAAGTGTTGGAAATGTCAACAAGTTTGAATTCGGAATGTACCTAATATCAAGGTTGGGATCACATGATATAAATCACCATGACATCTTTGGTATCAAGCTATGATATACTTACTCATCGATCCATAGTATGGATCAAGCCAAAGTAAAAATGCCGAGACAAGCATGCATAATAATAGTAATGATAATAGTCCACCTCACTAACTTAGCTATATAACGAGACCTAAAGTTCTCTACAAAGTGAATGGTTAAGAATGAAACAAAATCGATCATCCCGTCGTCGTATCCATGGAATCATTTTTCAAGGCCTCCAATCGAGCATTTTTTCGCTCCGTCTTGAAATCTTCAATTTGCTTTTTCAAGTCCGTATCTAGAAACCGGAGATTAGATATTCAGCTCTTACATGTGAAGAGGGAAGCAAAGGGCTCACTTGGTATGACATCTTCAATTTGCAATGGAGCTCGATTAAAAGGGTCATTCGGGTCACTCAACAGGTGGGAGCGGATCGTGGCACGATCGATTGTGACCTTCGAGCTGGGTAGGATAACTGGATCTTCCATCAGGGTGTAGATAAGCGGATCTTCGTAGAATTAGTACCTCATCTTTCGCATTTCGCTTTGGAGACATACCAAGAAATTCGTCAGGAATCTCTCCCAGATCTTCTTCCGCCTGTTCATCCGCCTCCTTAGCATTCTTGACCCGTTTCTGCAGCTCCATCCACCTGGCCAGCTCCTCATCTGACTTCAATGCCCACTTGCGAAGAATCTCGGCAGCTTTCTCAAAATTCTGCGGCTTGTACGAACGGCCATCACGAGCCACTGCATATACAAAGTTTTCTTTGTTCATCAAATTCAGATACACGTCCACAATCTCACTGAGGAGCGCCCGAGGATTAAAGCCGTATTCTTGGAGATTGGTCACCCGCAAACTCGAGCTCCTGGGCCCTACCATGGCGTCGAGGTTGTAGTCTAACATGTCTGCTAACCGTTGCACGATCTCAGGCATGGTGAATGAATCTGCCAGTGCCTCTGTGAATAATTTGAGCATGGAAACCGTTTCATTGGTCAATTGCATATAAGACTTAGCTCGGCTTTGAGCTGCAGACAGAGCCTCTTCCTTTTCTTGCCGCACTGCTTGTTCCATGGTATTTCCTTCGCGATTCAGTAGCTCTTGCGTGTCGTGGATTGTTAAAAACGCCGTAAAAGATTCGTCAAGAACAAAAGTAACATCATTGAGAAGAAGATTGACAAATCGCACGAAGAAATCAAGATTCTGCTTTGCTTGATTCGAGAGCTGAGTCCTGTAAGCTGGATTACTCCAGATACATTTGATGATTTGGAAAATCTCGTAACGAATATTGAACTTGTCGAAGAATTGTGTATGAGTACCCGTGTGTTCAGCTTCGATATAGAATTTCATAACAGCGTGAAGGAGATTCTGGTTTGCAAAGGGCATTGAGTTGAGCAAATCCACGAGTATCCCTCTAGCTCCGCCGGGACGAGGCCAGGTTCCTCGAAAGAGTATAGAGACCAAACCAGCTTTAAGATAAGGATTTTTGATGTATTGTGAACTCTCAAGGAATGCAATGCACAGCATCACAAGCTCATCTCCCTGTGTCGCGGTGACGATTTGCGGCATAGCCCACATGATGAATTTGAAATTGCTAACAATATCATCAATAAAATATTCAGGAAGACACTTGAACACCTCTCGAGCCTCTTCCGGTAAAGGCAAGACGAGTTGTTGCTTAGGAAGGTCGATTGATGAAACAAGACGAAGGAGCCATACAACGACATATCTCATGAATTGCATGGAACGGGTCTGCCACAAGGTATCAAAAAGAACGCCTTGAAGACTGTATTTAAGAGCAAGACCAAGGTCAAGTCTGTCCTTGTACTTCTTTAAAGCATCCTCGAAAGTCCGTAATTGGGCCGGATTATGTATCCATTTATGTCGCTCGAGCTCAAACTTGTTAATGGTCGACTCCATATGGCGAAGGTCTTTTTCTAATTGGTCTAGCTTGGAAGTTAGCGATTCGCTGCCGTAGTGATGCGCTGCTACAGTCAGGAAAAAGACTTCGGAAATGAAATTGGATGTGCCGTCCACTTTTCGGGAGTAAAATTCGTCTGATGCATGCTGGTCTGCATTGATCTTGGTTTCGTCACGCAACTGCACGCGAGGGTTTCGATGAAGATAGTGCGCGTCTATGCGATCAATCTGTTTTGATTAGAATGCGTAATGTACCCAAATTTGCATAAGAGTCAAATACCTTTGTAAATGCCGCATCCATGAACGGTTCACAAAGCTGGTCCAGAGTCGTGGTGACATTGAACATGAAGCCATCAGACGACACAGTCCTGGGATCAACCTGCATCGCTCTCCTTTTGTGGTTGAGGTTGATGGCAGTCGCAAACCAGTCAAGTACCTTCTCTCTCGCCTCCCTGGAAGCGCGAATCAAATAATTGATGATATCAAGAAGATCAGAGCTAAGTAGTTGCTGTGTCATTCGTAGCGACCTCTGCGAGTTCAAAATAAAGCTCTGATCTCGAGTTTTGGGACTGGAGAAATATGTCATAGTCACCGGGGCTTGAAGCGGGGATAGACGAAACCAAGGACCAAGCATCGTTCTCAGCTCATACGATGCAGCATCTGTGGAAATGAGGAACCGCGGAGACTCTGTGATAGCAGAACCGATAACGGGGTGATGAACGAGGTTTCGTAGAGCCTATGAAATATTTAACAACGCGCAAAAAATAGCTCGCAAGGAATACCAACAGTCACATAGGGTTTGTAGTCATCATTCATAGACTTCATGGCTAACTCCTGACTCATTTGCTCCACCGTGGTGATGATTGTTGATTTCAAATCATCTTGTTCTTCAAATTGCTTCACAACTTCCGATAGGAAGTCAATATCTATGCCTCGGTCATCTTCCGCATCGAGAAGAAGATGTAGGATCAATGGTGAGCGGGTAGTCGGTGTTTGCCTGCAAAATACATATACTATCAGCTTTTAATTTGCTCGCACTAAGCGCAAGGATTAGAAGAGACCAACCCAAACATATCCGGCATAGTGATTGCAAAAATAGAGTAACTTATGCAAAGGCGTCTAGCCTCACTGACCACGGCGAATCTAGGGTCATCATCTGATGTCTTGCGAAATCCTTTGATCAGTCGTCGCACACGCTTCCAGCAAGGCAAGAGGTAATCCAAAGGAGAGATTCCGCGGCCTGTGTTCGACGCAGCTTCCAGAATCGCCTGATCCAAGACACTAGTAGATATCCTGGTTTCCAACCCCTCATCTTTCAGCTCAGCGAGAACTCCAGGTACGAACGTCAACTTGTGACCGTGCACATCCCTCTGTTGGGTCTCATCGAGAGTGATACAAAACAGCGCTCGTAGTGTCCTATCCTCAAATGTCTCGATGGACTCCTCCTGCTTGGGAGCTGTCCGCCTCGGTGGCGCGGGCGACGGTGATGGTGACGGCACATTGCTTGTGGCGGACGAGACTGGGGTTATCTTTATTCTCTTTCCTTTCTCAGGCGCTCCCACGCTGTCGTTCTGGCCTTGACCTTGTTGTTTTGATATCTCAGTAGCACCGCGTTGTAATGATTCAGATTGCGGTGAACTTGATGGTGGTGGCTGTGGGGAACTGCTTGCAGGAGACTCTGGAGTTGATGAAGCCGATGAAGCTAATTTGGCTAACCTCTTATTGCGAATCTAGAAGATTGCAATTATCATTAGGAGATGTATCATCCATGGTTTAGTCTGGCCGAACTTACTTTATCGGCATCTGAGAGCGGTTCGGACATCTTCGAATCAGCAACCTCTCAGTCTGGCGCTTGTCTCTTTATCTTTCTTTCGCTCCTTAAAATGAATGACAAGTGATACACAGAATAAAAAGGAAGGTAAGAAAACACCAAAATCCAAGCGAGTCTAAGTGAAAAAGCCAGAATGCGGAGGTGGTTTGCTGAGGTTGTTGTTGTTGTGCAGTTATGAAGAAATGACAGCATGGGAAAGTGCCCGCATTTTAGTAAGCTATCGCCGAGCGGTGGGTCAGTCTCCACATCTGATATTCTGATATTTTCGGCTTCAATTTTCAGCATGATATGTTAATATTTATCTTCTTGTGCATGTGAATCGTTCTATGCTTAGTTGGCTGACTGGCTCCCTCATTATGAATAATGACAGACCGTCTTCTTGTGCGAAATCATGCCTACCATGTCATCATGGTCGATAGAAAAGAATAGAAGCCGCTGATTAATTATACTTGCGTGGGTAGTAACTATCTACTGCTTCAACTGGCCAAGGTCAAATGCGTGATGACGGCTAGATACATCATAAAACACATGCTCATTGAGGTACAAGGATACAATACAAAACCAGAATGTCCATAATACTCCCAAACCATGAGTCGTTCTATATAAGAGGAAGAAGGGGAAGAAGAGGGAGGAGAAGGGAGATACAAGAGGGAAAAGAAATGAGAAGCAGTAGAAGCAGGTAATAAAACGAGAAAAAGATGAAGATGATTCATGACAAGTGGAAACTGGAGACGACGAAATAAGTGTTCAATGTCGACGGCCTCGTAGACCCTCTAATCGTCGACAACTCTTTAGTTCCATTGCTCTAGCCTCTTTTATCTTCTCAACATCGGGAAAGAACCAGCCCTGAGCTTCTTGAATCCGACGATCTTTTTCCTGTACTTCATTCTCACATTCGTAGCGGAGACCGTTGACAAATTCCCCTTCCACGCGTGCGTCCAGTTGGCTGAATTTCCTGTTGCTAAAGTCATCGACATCGAGCGGATTGACGTAATAATCTATGTTATACTTGGGCGTTGTACGGTGCATGGTATGAGGCGAAATAGGCGCATCAAAACGAAATGAAGGGCCGGCGGGAACCGTCGGGTTGCCCGAAAATAGGGAGGAGACGAGTGGGAAAAGGAACAAAGCTATGAGGGGGAGAAGCTGTGTGAATGAAGCCCAGCTGAATGGTTCTCGTTGTTGTGTTTGACCATTAGCTTCACGAGGTCTTCTGCGAGGGCGTGCACCTCCAAACTGGTGAACTCTGAATCCGGGACCGCCACCCATATTGAAGACAAATTGAGGACCTCCTATCATTGTTATATTAGCTCATGGAACAATAGAAAACAGAAATCCCTCATCTTGGATCTTACCAAAAGGACTGAAACCACCGCCCATAGGACCAAATCCGCCGCCGCCGAAGAACCGATTGAAGAGTTCTTCAGGAGATATTTCTCCCTCAAACGCAGAGTCACCACCAAACTGACTGCGTGGGAACCCACCACCACCACCGAACCCGCTAAAGGGAGACCCTGCACCTGAAGGTCCAGCGCTAGCTCCAGCTCCAGATGCTGAGAATCTGTTATCCGGGTCACCGCCGAATTTATCGTACCTCGACTTTTTATCGGAATCCGACAGTATCTGGAAAGCGCGGGACACCACTGTATATGCAGAGAAGATGAGTCAATAAAAACCTCTGTATTGCTTTTCGCCTTTCCGCTCAAAAGAACAACATACTCTTGAACGCCTCGTCGGCCCCTTCATATCCATTCTTATCCGGGTGCGTAAGCAAACTCAACTTGCGATAAGCCTTCTTAATTTCGCCATCAGTTGCGGTTTTCTCAATAGCCAGGATCTCATAGAACGCGGTCGGCGAGCATTTCCGAACTCGTATCACAGCGGCTTTCTGTTCGGGCGTGTATTTGCGATCCTGATTCCCCTGATTGTGATCGCGCGACCTGGCTGATCCACTGGAGCCTGCGTCGGTTCCAGATGCTGTTGCGGAAGGCATTTTCCTCCTTTCTTCCTTGAGCCTCGATTGATTGCGTAATTCGAGATGCGAGCCGGTCGAGCCTTGGTGGTTTTATCTCAGACTGGTCGCAAGAACACAGGCGGGGACAACGAAGACGAAGTTCTATAAGATCGGAAATGGCCCCACTCAAAAAAAAACCAACAACAATCTCATGGATAAGATAATACGGAGGACAAACGAGAGAAGAATCAATAAAAAACCCAGGTGCTGGGTGATGGATGGCCAGGCCAGGATTTTTTGTTGATCTAGATCCGGGGAGAGACGTGGTCTTGGTTGGAGAAATAATATGGGCGGGCGAACTCGCCGCTTAGTCCGTAAGTGGTAGTGCCACTTCCGGCCGTGCTTTTGCTTGGACTTTGGAGCTTCCGCGGTGCAACTCTTCAATGCGATAATTACTTTTGCGATTCCTCCAAGCAACAGATATCCGAATACTCTCAGTATATTGGAACGCTATTTATAAAGATATTGTCAGGGCAATGTCAAATTCAGACTCCACAGAACAGACTAAGAAGTCTGTGTACCAGAATGTTCGGGCATGGGGAGGTGCGCCATACAATATGCCTTTTACACTTCCTTTTTTATGTCTATTGCCGTTTGGCTTTCTACTGTCCATATTTACTTTGCTCTTCATGGCAAGATGGGAGAGAAATCCACAATTGACTAACTTCCTATCCACAGAAAATCCTTTACCACCCACGCTGCTGGCCACGCTTATCACCGCGCAACACATGCGTCCATTCCAATTTTTCCCAATGACCTTTGTCCCAGTGCTCCTCTTCACCTCGTACTCGAATCTAAACGGCTTCAAGAAAGACAGCGCGGGTATTAGCGCTGCCTGGTCTGGTCTCTACCTTGTCCTTGCTAGCCGGCGCAAGCAGGCCTTTATGAAGAAGTGGAGTGCTCGGGGTATCATTCGAGGGACGACGATGGGTTTATGTCTTGTTAATATGGTTGCTGGAGGTTTAACGTATACCCTGGGCAAGAATGAAGAAGACGAAGCCTAGAAGATGGGGCTTTTGCATATACGCATGTAATATAAGGATGCTAATGGTATTAGTATTTAGTCGGCGTTTTGGTTGGAAGGGAATGAGAATGGTGTCAGTCTGAAAAGGGAGAGAGAGACTCATCATGTACAATTTAGATGCGGTTTATCTACTCGGCATGTCCATGAATGCTCTGTATGTACGGAGTACTGTTGGTCGTTATTCATAATCACCATCACTCAACTCTCGTGATACAGGTCCTGCGATATGATATAGGAACCGACAGCAGCCGGGACCAGAGAATGAAGCAGCTTATCATCCTTGCTCTGAGCGGCGGTTCGTGCTCTCGTCGAGCTTACGGGAGTTTTATCAACTTTGTGTCCTTGAACCAATTCGATGCGCTCGGCCCATTCACGTTTGCCACCTTCTTGCTCTCGGCCGCCCTGGGCGAGGTTTCGTAAGTAGTCTTCCTGCTCTTTACGATCGCCCCATTCATCGTCAGGTCGCGTGGTGACTCTCAGTCTATGCCGGGAAAGAAACGGCTCTAATGGCTGTAAAGTATGGGCAGGCGGATAGTATTTCGGATTGAAGATACGAATCAAAGTATCGTAGCCCGTCAGGTGGATTTGTTCCAGGCCCTTTGGGTATTCCTCAGAAAGCTCTATTGCGGCTGCTTTATCTACAAAATACGGCTTTTTGGTCACACCAATGTCAATGTGGGGTATATCGGCCGAGGGCAGCGAAGGTAGTGACGATTGAAGGTGGATGCGCAATTCTTGTGCGAATAGGCTCATCATCAGCAGCCGATCCTCGAAGGACGCGGGTTTGGCTGGTTTGTCGGCATTCTGGGTAGCCAGCAGCAAAAGCAATCTTGATGAACGCGGGGATTCTTCGAGAGCGGATGAAGCGATGTCTAAGTGCGCTGCTGATGGGGGGTTGAATGAGGAGTCTAGAACAAAGAGTGATCGGGCGTTGTGAGTTGATAGTGGTACTGATGTTGGGTCGGCCGGGACACGATCCAGAATCTCAAAGGTTCTGGGCGACGCAATGAATTCTTTGAGCGAGGAGGAGTAGCGCGAGCGGAGGACATGGAATGAGTTATTGGCCATGGTGGTGGAAATACTGAAGTCACTCGGGGGGGTGGTTGTCGCAATGCTCAACTCAGTCCAGACGATGACGGGGATGCACTTTTCTTGCCCCACCTGGGCAGCAAGTTGAGCCACACGTGGCTGCTGCTCTGCCATTGGCCAATTGCTGTGGCGCGCAACGGCTGACGGTTGACTGCATGTCAGGGCCAAAAATGCTACCATGCCAAGTTACCACACCGGTGGCAAGGGTCCAAAAACAGGCCGTGAAACAAATTGCATCTCCTGAAAATGAAATTAACGAAGCATTCATAACACGTAGTACTAAACAATGATGATGCCGGCTGTTAGGTATAGATTAGGCCCCCCGTCCTCATCACTGTCTGGCTTGGACATTGGTCTCGAAGGGTCTGGCATTTGCAGATCGCTGGCCTCTGTGTCCCGGGCAAATCTAAGATCCCGGGCCTGGCAAAGTATGTCCTTTTGTAGAACGGAGTGCTCCGTACAGAGACTCTGGCGAAGGACTCCGTGCGAGGGCGAGGAGGCACAGAAGTGACAGTACCAGGTGGGACCGATGGCTTGTCTCGGGCGTTGCGCTAGTTGATGCTACAGCGAGGCCGTCTCACTCTCGGATGCCGAGTGAGCAGAAGCCGATCACGAAAGACCAGGTGGGCTGGAAATATATTAATTAACACGGAGCGCAAAGTCGAGCAGGAAAGGGGGTCCATGGGTAGGGGAGACACCTGTCTATTAGTATTGGGATTGCACGGAGGACCTTGGGATGGTGCATAATCCCAGCCATATTACCATAGCATGCATTGTGCTCCCACTCACGGCCCTGTGTAATCTCGCCTGCAGCGGATTAATCTATATAGCACGAATGGGAAATTCAGCCACGCTGAGTCAGTGCTGGCCTGAGGTTAGCCAGGCACGCCCTGGCCTCGCCCGGGCCAATCAGAGGCGCCGTTTCGGCCAGCCCGCAAATTAAGGGAGCTTATTCAATACTGCCCAGCAGGAAGGACCCCACCTGCCTATGCCAAACCCTAAAAGAATTAATATCCACCGCTTCCGCCTCTCTCGCGCGCGCTCTCTCTCTCTCTCTTATCAACTCTGTTCGTTCTCTCACACTCACTCTCTCTCTGGGTAGAGCCTCTTTCGTTCTTTCATCTGCTGCTCTTTCATTCCTTCAAGAGCCTCTTACCGCGAATTGACTTCGCATTCTTTCGTTTGATTCCACCCATCTACATCTGTTGAGACAGCTCTCTCGTCGACGAGTTCGAAGCCTTTCTTTAAAAGACCTCCCAAACAAACAGACAAAAGAAACGAACAAACAAAAGACAGCAATCAATCCGCCATGTTCTTCACAAAGTTTTCCCTTGCTGCCGTTGCCGCTTTGGCTGCCGTGAGCGAGGCTCGCCATGAATACGGCCTCTTGCATCCCAAGCGTTCTTTGAGCACTGGCTACCCTCAGCCCTCTACCGTCACCGTCTACCCCGTTCCTCCTCTCAGCACTGCTCCTGCGTCTGCTGAAAGCTCTGGCTCTGCCTCTTCCTCTGCAACTGACCTGACCCTGACCTACACCCTTGGAACTGGAACATCCACCTCCGTTGTTACCACCACTATCCACCACACTTCGACCGACATCACTTACGTGACTGCAGTATGTTCAGTATCCGTAGAAGAGACAAAGAAACAACGTGGCTGACTGGATTTTATAGACTGCCAGTGGCAACGATGAGGGAAGCCAGCCCACATCGACCGTCTCTGATTTCTCTACCTCCACTGCAACAGTCACTGTCGTGGCTGCTAGCTCCTCAAGTGAGGCGTGCAGTGGCGTAACTGTCACTGTCACCGAGAAGGAAACCGTCACAGTGGTAAGTTTGGAGTAGTCATGTATTTTCCCTCGCTTTAAAATGGATGTTTTTTTTTTCTCATCGTTTGCGATTTAGACTGCCCTCGCCGAATCCACAAGCGGAATCAAGACTGCCGTTGTCTCTTCTGCTACGGCAACCGAGGCCGCTTCCACTGGAAGCGAGACTGCCACCGTTGCCCCAACGGAGACCTCCTCTTACAAGTACCCTCCATCCCCAAGCGGCCAACTCAGCGGCAGCTCTTCTGTTGCTCCCTACCCAAGCACTGAGGTTTCTCAGCCGACCTCCTCGGGATTCTTGACCAGCTTTAAGCCAGTGCCCACCGGCCGTCCTGTCCCCACTGGCTACTACTAGATTTGAACCGTGATGCTATTCTGATATTCATTCACTATTCCTTTGCATCAGTCTCAGTCTTCAAGCGAATCCTAGCGTTATGACAACCGTCCAGCTGCGTCGCGACATGTGTACATATGTTTTGTGTGTGCATATGTGATCTTTTACTATTTTCGTTCCGCCGTCTTCCTCTCTATGCAAAGTGCAGCATCATTATTCAATTTTACGTCTGTCCCCGATATTTTGGTTATGGCAGAAAAATGCAGCATTTGGCGGTGGCCCTTTTCAATTTTTTAATCATATTTTCTTTCTCTTTATCCATTTTCTCCCTTCATCTAACTGCTAGTCAGTCTAGCCAGTGAGGGAAGTTCTATTCTCCGGGAATATATTTCTTTTTTTTCACCTCAACCTGATCAACTTCATCAACAGCTAGCTCAGTATGTTCAAACGTTTCAGATGAGCCTGGAATTGATGCACTGGAATAGGACCAAGCACATAGATGGAGTATTTGATATTTGATATTTGGTTTTCCTGTAAAATAGTCATTTCAACATGTTCATTCAAAACTAACGTTGTTGTTTTTTTAAGTACTCTAAATCATCAGTAATTATACATGCCTTGACGTCTATACACGTCGACTTATAGATGAGGTAAAATCCCCAATAACCCTAGCCCGTCTAGCCTGCCATTCCAGCCAAGTTAAACCCTGGAGAAGACAGTCGGCCAGATCGTCCATTTTCTCAATTCTGTCCTGGTTTTTGTCCGATCCGTCCTTTGTCCTCTTCTTTCCATTAGAACCATTCCAGCGTGCAAGATAGGCATCAACCACTTTCTGCGTAGTAGCTGTATTAACGTCAAACCCCCAGGATGATAATGCCGATATTCTTGAGTCAGCCTCCTGCTTTGATCGCGACGTAGAAGATGACGACATCAGCAATTCCCCGATAATATCCATCTTCAACTTCTTCACGCTCTTGGCGTTCTTCTGAACTGTCTCGTCTCTACTATCGTTGTCGTTGTCCCAAAACTGCATCACCCTCGCCGGACTAATGCCATACACTTGTAGCCCATCAGCATCCGCGTAGCACTCTATTTCCCGCATCGTCCTCAACACAGCGTGCACCATACCCTCAAACACGCCTACACGCAAACTCCATTCTAGAACCGCTCTTTGGCCGCCGGAGCGGAATCGTTGTCTTTCGATTAGTATGTGTGTAGGTTTGTATGCCTTGAGCAAAGCGGAGAGGAGAATGAAGGCGCTGAGGGAGAGGCTTTCAGGGTCGAAATTGATTTTTCCTTCTACTGTTTCAATTCCTTTGGGGATATTGCTCTTCTCATCAGTGCTTTTTTGTGTCTGTGTTGTGCTAAACGTGCGGAATGCTGCTGCTGGGAGAATGAATTGTAATGGCTCTTCCTCTTCTGACTCGGGGTCTTTACTTATTTTCCCTTGTTGATGCCGTCGAGTCAATTCCTGTACTCCGATGCGATGCCACGCATTCAGCATCACCGATCCTGGCTGACCCAAAGAAGAAGAAGAAGAAGAAGAAGAAGAAGAAGAAGCTGACAGCCCATCCCTAACAACCAAATGCGCAACCGCAAGATTCTGAATCCCCATGTCAATACTCAAAACACTCAATTCCTTTTTCCCAGCATCGCCATGTTGTGGATCATGACGCAGAAAAACACTCATACTAACATCCTCCCCAATCCTCTTGCGCAAAACATCTTTGCGACCCGAGCTCGGAATGCCGGTTGCGCGCGCAAGGGCTTTGAGCTGAGTCGCTTTGAGGGTGGTGAGGTATTGGTCTAGTGTGGCTGTGGCTGCGGCTACTTTTGAGAGTGTGGATGAGGTGAAACGCATTGAATCTTCGCTTTTGTTTGGTTCTTGGATGTGTGATTTGGTTAGTTGGTGAAAGCTTGTTTGAGGTGATGGGATGGATGTACGGATAGAGTTGAAGTGGGTCGGAGATTCTAGCCCTAACTCAATAAACATTAGCCTTGGCCGCCTTATTTCTTCCAACACTCCTGCCTGCTCTCTGCTGTTTCATCTGCCCTATATACAAATATACATTAAAATACTTGCAATGTATCTACTTTCTACTTTCACGCCACTCTCTCAGCCAACCAATCAACCAGCGGGTCTCTCTCAAACGTCGCCATTGTCTTCGTCCCGAGAGAAACGCGGACATCCCACGGCGCTTTACGAACAGCCGCCGAGGATTCCAATCTTGTCTCTGGCATCACAACACACGTTCCATCAGCGACGCCAAAGTTGAACTCAAAATTTTCAACCTCGCCCAGCCCAGGCCCAAAGTCCAATGAGTTGATCATCAAATCACGCCAGCTAGTGACTACCATGACTCCATACCGCAGGTTCATGGAGCCATAGTCCGGCTGCCCAGTAAGAAAGGCCATCCAGCTTCGCAGAAACGCGTCGTCGATGGCTAGAATTCCAGCACGGGATTGGAAGGCTAGGTTGGCAATCTCTAGCAGACCTCTGGCGTCTATTCCTGACCCTTGTAGTGGGTGCAAGTCAATTGAGTTCTCGAGTGAGTCGAGAAGACCTGGCTGCTCATCGACGGGCAGTCGGAAGTACACTCGGGAGGGCATGACCGCATTGCCTAGGTAATGGTCTGGAAGCCCCGCGAGGCGCCTGCGAAAGTTAACCGCGAATGTCAAGTTGCGCGTTGGGGAGGAGACGTCAACGCCGCCCTTCCCACGGGTCCTTTCAACACAGACCCCCAGCACAGCGGTTAAAACATCGTTGGAAGAGAGGAATGTAGGCCATTTCGTCCTTGTCGTGCTGTCTTCTACTTTCTGGTTGTAGAGGTGGGTCAAGAGTGGCAGAAGCACGCTACACGCCTTTCGAAGGCGCTCCAGCCTTTCTGGCGAGAAGATGAAAGCCCGCATCAGAAGGTCAGCAGCGAGTAGCTGTTTTGAATCTTCTGTGTTAGCTTCGCTCTCTTTACTTTCGTATGCATAGCTCTGCCCGATCTCCCCCGAATGATCGATTTTCGGATGCCCCCCTTCGCCAGCCGTTGTCAGACGATTCCGCAAGGCGGCTTCTTCCTTGCCGTCTGTCGGGAGGAATACTGGACGTTCTGTCGCTGCCGCACGACAGCACTCAGCGAGCAGTTCGTGAACACGACCAGTGCCCGTCCCGTCAAAAACCGAGTGACTGAAAGCCATGGACAAGATCACCCCGTCCGCCACAACATTTGCCTGCATGCGCATGACCGGCCGTGGCTGTTCCGGAGGCAAGATGGGCGGAAGTGGGAAAAACTGACTGTCCAGACTAGCCACTGTGGCCCGGTCATCAGTTTTCACTGCATCGCTTCCCCGGACAAGCACTGGAGGCAGAATGACGCCGGCGAAATGCTTGATTGTCAACATGGGGATGGCCATCATCCCATCAGAGCTCTTTCCCGGCTGGATGCGCAGCTCGCCTGGTTTGGCACCATCGTGATCAGTTCGGGGCACTATCTCACCCGTAAGAAAGGGAAGACGAGCCATCAAAAGATTGATACCGGCCTGTAGACGCGACAGGCATTGTTCGTGGTCCGCAGTGCGAAAACACAGATTTTGCGGAATGTATACAGACAAAAGAGTGTGGTCTAATGAGCTGAGGGAGAAGGGGGTGAAGTCGGCCATTATCGAGAGTATGCAGCACAGAGGTAGGAAGTAGCATGCGCTTTTTAGACAGTAAATTGAGACGTGTAACTTGCCTTTATAGTTCAAGACGACCCACGAGTAGTGGGGGACTCTACCAGCTGAAAGACATTAAACCTTCTTTCACCTGTTCTGATTATGTTAACTGTGACATTTCCGGACGATTTGTATTTCATTTCCTCGCTCGTTGACCGGCAAATATCTTGATGTACCTACTTACCTACATAACCCTATACTCGACCCAGCCCGGTTATAATGAACTTCAGCCCTGTAAAGAATCGAAAGCTCGTGCGTGCGTGGCCTTCAAATGATATTTCTCAAGACAAAAGAGTAAAAAGAGTAAAAAGAGTAAGATCTATTTATAACTAAAATAGTGGAGTATCAATCAGTCTTATAATCTTACTGCTCCGTACTCTGTGGCCACCGATAAAATCCACTCCGTAAGCAAAAACCATGGCCTAAATCGATTCGTTCTAGTTAGCCTAGTTACTTAGGTATACTGTCAAAGACGACTAACTTGATGTTCCTAGCGATTTTTCGTACCTATTGATGATTTCATGGGTAGTTAATCTGTAATCTAGTAAGCAGTTTCGATGCCCAATTGATATATGCATCCGCTAAACTAACAAATAATATACAGAAAAAACTAGCTACATATGATATCTTCCAGCCCAGCCCAGCCCATCCCATCTTCTAATCGAAAATACCTATCAAACGCCAACCCAACCCAGCGCGACCAGATGCAGGAAAAGACCCCCACAAACGAACGCCGGAATCGACTCATGCATAACGATGCGCTAAAACAGATGACATATGCTAATATTTTAATAAGGGACTAGGCGCTGGGCTCATTGGTATAAACCAATGGCGCCCATACCCGCCAATGCAAAACTCCAATATGAGCGAGCTTGGTCGCAATAAAACCGAAATCCGAGGTCGGAGACTGAAGATACGCCTGTCTTCGTTGCGACTCGCATATTTCAAGCGGTGACATGGTGAGATATCTCTGCGCAATCTCACACGTAGCCTGCAGCAACTGTTGGTGCACGCAGTCGCGGACAAGCTGCAACTGAACCGAACTATGATTGGTGAATGATTTCTTCATCAACTCTTCAACTTGTTCTAGAATATCGTCCGAAACCTCATCGGCTTGGCCAATTGCGACGCATATCGTTCGAGCTATTTCCATCGCAATGCAAGAATCGTTTGGCAGACGAGTACCCAAATCAGACGTCTTCGTTTGTGGATTTTCACCGTCCTCTTCCATAAGGGCTGATATTCGCATAACGAAGGATGAATGCATGTTGGGACTATATGAGTATTTTGGACAGATCCCTTCAATCAATGACCCGAGGATGGACCAGCAAACGTAAACATCGATAATGTTCTGGACTTGTGACCGAAGCTGCCATAGGCGGCGTAAATCGAACGTGAAAGTTTCTGGAAACTTCACATGCTCGTCTGGGTCGGAACACAGAAGAAGCTCGCATAATCCATGAAGTAGAACTGATAATGGGAAAAATGATCGATTCGCACATTCCTTTGTCGGTTGGGACATTCTTTGTCGAACTGCCTGGTACCACGACTTCACTTTCTCAATCTTCAACTTGTCCGAGTTAATACGCCGAGAGAAATAATCCTGAAGGAAAGGAATTGTGCCCTCGATCAAAACAATACGAAATGAGCCTAATTGATGGTTTGCAACGTCCTGGGAGCGAAATGGGTCAAAAATGAGATCGAGGTAAAAAAAGAAAAAAAAGAAACTTGTACAGGATGCTCACCAGCTTCATCAATTCTAGAATGGTAAACAGTTTGCGCAGCCCACTGATCACTTTAGCTGCATCCGCGTGGGTAGATCCCGATCCAATTTCGGCTGCCATTTCATCGACGAGTTGATCTCTCATGGGAGCACAATGCGTCTTTAAAAGATTCGCCAACCAGTTCGAGAGACTAACAAGGTCAAGAACACCCTTGTGTACCTGCTGCATTAAGAGCGAAACATCTAAATTTTGGGAAACGCTGGCGTGATCTCGGTCGGGTACGAGCGTCATGAGAATTCCATGCAAAGTTTCAAACATGACAGGTAGTCGCGGCCGAAAAAGATTGTCGTCTTTCACCACCGTAACTATATCAGGCACATGGACCATTTCGATTTCACCGGCATCAGATCGGTTCATGTTGGCGTATGTGTATATCATAATCTCTATCGACAAGGCCTCCCAGTAGTCGTCAGCCATTATCCGTTTCTGTCTCCCCTTCTCGCCATCAAGGTCAGGCAGAAAATGTAATTCGGGTTCAAAATTGGCATCCATTCGAAGGTGAATGTTCTGCACAATGCGTTCTAGGTCGAGTTCGCTGAGCGTTTCTTTGGTGACCGGCGGCATCATATCGGCGTAGCGTAGTCTGTTGCTCTGACGAGAGTCCAACACAATACCTTTCGGAATGCGTGCAGCCATTACTCGTTGGGGGATTCGGCGTCTGACTGGGAGTGTTATGAGTCTCGGAGTTGGCGCATGTGGTTGCAATTTTGAGGGCTTTGGTATATTCCTGTTGGCGTCGAGCTTGACAGTAGTCGTCTCACGCTCAGGATCTTGACGAGGATCATTGCCGTCATGATCGATAGCACCCATCGATGATTTGTACCCATTCACACGATATTTGGGGCTTTCCTCTTGGTCATTGCGAGCCTCCGGCCGTGATTTTTTCGGCTTTTGAAGATCCATGGTTGGACAAGGCAGTGATGATTAAACGATTTGGGAAGAGCTTAAATGCCTGCAGGGGTATAAGTGCATAGAAGGGCAGAAGAACAAAGAGGAAGACTTGGGTAGTTCGTTTCGTACTATGTAGTATATCGCGGAGTCGCCGGGGAAGGGGAGAGTATACAATGTTGCCGCATGCAGAATGCAAGAGGAAGGAAGACAGGCGTTAAGATTCAAGAGCGCGCCATGTATAGCAGGAAGTGACGGCCCGCAGGCCCCGAGAACGATGCTTGAGGAACAGGACAGGTGGGAATGAAGCGGGTTGCGAGATGGTTGGACCGCGAACAGAAAGAGGGAGAGCGAGAGAAGAGGGAGGACGGAAAACAGGGGAGCTCCGATAACGTCACGGTTGGATTTTCGAAGTGGAGCAATGGGGATAGTATCCAAGAAGGCTAATATTGGCTGTTCGAGGCAAAAAGGAGGATGTGAAGCCCGAGGTTGAATGGACCAAGGGTCAAAAAATGAATTATTTAAAGAAGCTGCGGTTGGTCTTCTTCTACTGCGGAACAAGGAAGGAAGGAAGAAGGAACAAGCAACAAGGAACAAGGAACAAGGAAGGAGCGGTGCTGTCAGGGTCGCAGCTTCCTTCTTCAGACGCTTCCTTCCTTCCCATTTTACATGCGGGGGCCTTTCCTGCCGAGAGAACGTCGGCCTTTCTTTTTTAACTCTGCAAACCACGGTTTGTTTTCCGATTGACTCCAGGAAAGCATAAAATGTGCTGTTTGCTTCGCTGGCCCCTGTTTCGTGTTCGCGCTAGAAGACACAACAAAACCGGACTCGTTGAAGGGCTGTTGAGAAGTGAGGCTGGGCTCTGATCGACGCTTGCAGCTGGATCCGCTTTCAGCATTACTCATCTATCCATCTATCCATTCATTCCGTCCTGTCCTGTCCTGAGCGATCCTCGTGCGACGCCGAATCCACGGGAGGAACGAACGTACTGCCCTGCGAATTCGAGTCCGTACTCACACCGGACACCAGAAATCTCGGATGCTGGTTGTCATGAAGTCAGCAAAAGGGGCGGTTCACGGAAAGGATGGAGACGGCAACTAAAGTCTGGGTCGGTGGGACTGCCGGCGATAAGGTCTGGCTCTAAACCATCCGGATTCCAGAGACCTGGGTACGCATTGTATCCGCCGCCTTGCAACAGGTTGCATAGTTCGATTGCACGTCCAACAGCATATGCCCGCCCCTTCGCTTCTACGTGACAACAGAAATTTGGATGTGTGCGGAATGGATGTTGCAGCACCGCCCGTTGACGGTAAAATCGGTCCATTTTGTGTCGGTGAAGTTCTCGATGGGGTCGGTCATCCAGCGCCGCAAATAATTGACCAGAACCTAACGACTAGCCCATACAGATCATCACGGTGTGAACCTCGTGGCGTACGGCTCAGAGCTAACGTAAGTACTAGTTCAACACTGCTCCGCACGAATACGGCGCAGTTGACGAGTAGTTAACTCAAACCATGCATGCTGACAACGAGCACATCGAAATGAAAAATCATATGACCGTAACCAAGCACTACGGAGTACAGTACAGGATACTGACTTCAAGACATGGATTATCCACGGTGAGGCAGGCCTTGCAGATGGAGCGAGCAGCTGGCACGAAGTGTGAATTCAGTGGCCCCTGTGGCAAGTGAGGCGTCTTTTGCCGATGAATGCAATCGAGTTCACCTGGGTTTAGATACGATACGTCTTTCCAAGTAGTGTCACTACTACGACTGGCTTGAAGGCTGAAGCAAGGCAAGCCGCCTCGCGCCAATAGTCGCGGCCGCCAATGGCATTGGTAGGCCTTGCTGGCAATGTGAGCTCACCTGCTCCAGCTCTACTTTTAAACTAACGGTGTGCCAACTAACTATACCTTAAAGGATTTATAATTATTTGAACCGAACAAAGAGGCCACCCAAGAAAAAACAATACCAAAGTTTGCAGTTCAATGTCCGTCGTTACACAAAGGAACGACTTGCTATATGGGTACACCGACCAAAAGAAAATGGCCGAGATAGTCGTTACGGTTGCTTATTCCCCTAACGGAGTTCGTACCGACCGATCGGACAAGGATTGAAGGCACATTTCCCCGAATACTCCGTCATGGTTAGTTACTCTCTTTTCCCCTTCGGATTTCCAGTCGACTGGTGGCACGTGCTGACTGCCTACACGTATAGGAAAAAAAAAGGGGGGGGGGTGCTAGTTCTGGACCAGTCACCGCCGGCCTGCCACGTCTCAGTTTGCCGCCTCACTTTGATGTCGGTTTATTTCTATGGGCTTAACTTTTCAGTGTTTACATTCGATCATCCGATTCTTGGGCACGGAGGACTCCGTACGATAGACAGAAAATATGCTTAGCGCCTTAGCCGGCAGTGGGCTAGTGGCCACCCTGCAGGTTGGTTGTGGAGCGAAAACATGTCCCTTGACTTGACAACAGACACGAGCACTGTCCAGTGTGTCTAGCAGAGTGAAGGTGGTTATCATCATACGACTCACTCGTTGAATCGGGATAATAGAACCAACCGTTGCTTGCCTGCATGAAATTATACCTGTTCATGTATATGCATTGCGCAGTCTAACGCAATGCAGTAGGTAGTTTTGACTAAAAACGAACGCTCAAAGCTCTCCTCTATCTAGCTAGGTAAGTAGAACCCTGAACTTTTCAGATGCAACTCAATGATAAAACGCATTACCGTCCCCCATGCTATGCCCGATCAACTCCATACATAACGAAATGGAAATACTCAATTGAAATGAATCAACTCAAAGCAAAAAAAAAAAAAAAAAAAAAAAAAAAAAAAAAAAAACATGATATTTTGAAACGCTCGCTTCGATGCCATCAATCGGGTATGATCAATCAAATCAATGTCACATAGTCATACACATAGTTACATGACCTCAGTATTTGTAATCAAAGAGATCATACATGAAACACCACCCAAGAAGAAACTCCGATTGTCCTTCTCTTTCTTGCTCGTTCGGAAATAAAGAGAGATTGCGTGTCAACTTTCTGTGTTTTTCTCCCGGATACATCGCTGCATATATACATCGCGTTTTATGAGTCAATAGATAGGTGATTTCTTCTCCCCGGAGAAAGGATAAATGGTGGTTGTAGTTTGTATTCATTGACTGATGGAAAAAGTATTAGCGGTTTCCCTTTGGTAATTCAGAATTGGTGACTGACCTTATTTTCTTTTCGGTTTCCTTCTCGCTCATCCTCGGAGGTGGTTGGACAGACATACGATATCATCGCGATATAAGGTTGAGTTGGAAAAGGAGTCTGTGCTTGCTGATAGGTGGTAAAGAGGGGGGTATGTTATACACCTGCATCATCGGCGATAGAGATACGGAGCCTGGTTTTGCATTGATAGCAACGTATCTGCTCGTTGGAAGACGTCGCCTGCAAAGAAGCGGTCGGTGTAGGCATTTGCTGGCGTAGATGGTATGGTTGCTTGGACAGCGGGTCCCAATGCTGCACTTAGAGGCGTGGCAGGCAAAGCGGATGATTGTGGGGAAACGCTGGTAAGTCTTCCAGTATGGTGACTGAGATACGGTGCCGATGAGGATGGGTGGTGATGTTGAGTGGTAGAGATGGTAGAAGAAGGTGCGGCAGTAGTGGTAGTGGTAACGGTAGCGGTGGTGTTGGTCTGTAATGGAGGACCGTAGATATATGGGATACTTGGGGCAGCAGGCAAGTTCGCAAAATAAGACCAAGGGGACGTTTCAATCAATCGCCCTGCCTCTCTGCTGGCCTTTTGAACAGGTCGTAGGATGGAGATGATGTCTGGCGGTAGGAGCTGCATGTTCCTCACTTCTCGCATATCAGTCACTAGGTCGACAAACGACTGCATAAACACTTTGCACAATTGCCAAAAGTCCTTTTGATTTCTTGTTCCGCCTCCAGGCTCCTTGACTTTCATCGTCAATAGCTTCTGTCCAAGTGCTTCGGAGCTTTCATAGCATGCATTGCACCGTCGTATGAGGTTATTCCACATGATACGGATCTCTTCAGGTTCTCTGGTAGTTTCCGCTATTTCTAGACACCGAGAAAATTGGTGACTGGCAGAGGGTAGAGCGCGGAGTGCCGCGTTGTATGCCGACGTGAGTTGCTTGAAAATCTTCTCGAATATCTGCTCTTCTACAAACTCATCCAGTCCAGTAACTGGATTGATCCGATTCGCAGGCATCGTTGGGATAGGTGGGAACGCCTCTCCCGAACGAGGTGTTGTTAGAGAAGATGCACCTGATGAATTCAGTACTGCAGCAGTCCGACTATTGGATCGGCTTCGACTGCCGAAAACGCTCGGCGTGGTTTGGCCTGGAGAGAGAGTAGAGGTCTGATACACTGCACTGGATGGTACCGGAGCTGAAGGTCCGCTTTGAGGATGTTGAATCATAGTATCGCTTCTGAACCGACGTATTGGCTGAGTAGGCTCTCTTGTTGGAGTTGCCGCAAACGCAGGCAAGTTGTCGGGAGAATTTGGCACCGGTTCCTCCCTGGATTCGATAACAGGCCTGCCACTCACAGGATCATTTTCTTTTCGAGTGGCTAATGATGCCCCGAGACTAATACAAGCATTGCGTAGCTCCAGAAGACTGCCATACATCATGAGCATAAGCGACCGAACATATCGTGGGTCGCCTTGCTCAACGATTTTCTGTGTTCCTTGGCGAAGCTGCGCTCCTACATGTGTATATGCCATCAAACACGTCACGCATTCACGCTTAATGTCGCTTGAGAGTCTTGCAAAATCTCGGTTGTCTGGATCCATGTCGACTATGCTTTCTAAGGCCTCGTTCAGTTGTTCCACATGTGTAGACGCATTGTAGAATACTATCTCCAAACTGTGCCGTCGCGCGTCGTCTCCCTTGATCACATTGATCAAAGTAGACATGTGAGAGTGAATTTGAAACAAGGAAAATAAAATCCCCTTGGCACCTTTGACGATTGGTGCATGCGCTGTCTCCTCTCTATGCTCGGGTAAGCTTGACATACGCCGAGATGGCCCGTCCCTTATTCGTCTGCGTTCGTCGCGAGGACTTCCAGGACTGGAAGAGGTGCTGCCATTTCGCCCGCTACCTGAATTGGTTCGAAGAAGGGAACCGTGACTGAGACCTCGCAAGTGGCTATTTCGATATGGCCGCATTTCGTCGAGCGTCGACAGCTCTGTTCTGCGTGAAATCAGCCCCATTCGCTTGTTGCGCGCCGACAGGGGTATTATTCCTTCACTGTTGCTACGGTTTCGCTCGCTGACTCCCGGAACAGGGGCGACTCCAGATCTCGAGAAGCCCTGTTGCAAAGACGCCTGGCCTGAGGCTAAACGTTGGTGAGACCTCAGAGGGATAGGCGGCGGTCTTGAAAGGTTTGGGGATCGCGGGTCTGACGAACCGTCGCCGGTGCTAGGTATCACAGGAAATCGACTATTGCCACCGCGTTTCACAGGTTTGGGAGTGTCAATCATCGGTTCGCTCGCCTCGCTGCCGCTCTCTGGCTCCGGCGTTGCGCTTTGTCGTCTGGTCTTGAGGAAGCGTTTCAACTCTGCAGTCACCAATACTTCCTTCTCGTTTGTCGACATGGGCAGAGCTGCTACTTCGCCCTCCTTGTCTTCTAGAACCCGCCTAAGAGGATATTTGAGGAAATTTCCTGACACCTTGAGGATCTGTAATTTATTCATATCTGCAAGCCCTGACGGTAGATCATCCAAGCGATTCTGCATTATAGAGAACACACGCAGTGATGTAAGCCGTCGCACTTCATCTGGAATCCTGCTGATCTTATTTCGGCTCAGGTCTAAAATCTCGAGCAAGGGCAACTTATAAATCTAGTTTCAAAAAATTAGCATTGATAAACCGGGAGTCGAGGTTGGTGATGATGATGTCAACGAACCCCCTTTGGAAATTCGCGAAAGTTATTGGCGCGAATGTTGAGATAACGTAGATGAGCGCATTCTCCGAAACGGTAGGGAATACGAAGAAGTTGATTATTAGATAAAGAGAGCCTGGCTATTGTCAGCATGATTCAAGACTCTTTCATGGGCACATTCAATTCCCGCATACCTTTCCACCTCATCTTTGATTATATCGACGACTTCCTCAGGGATTTGCGCAATATGTGAATGGCCGAGATCAATCGTCAATTTCGGCCGCACAACATCACTCACGGCCTCGTTGCCGGCCAGCGACCGTTTCGTATCTTGGATTCCATTTTCCACTGTCCGTCGAGTCAACTCGATGGTCTCCTCCTGGGTGAGTTTCTTTATACTCGATTTCCGAGCGGTCTCAGAGTTTGCATCCTTGGCGGCCTTGACCGTCTGCTGCACATATTCGGGATCATCGTCGATACTTGAGGGAGCGCTTTGCGCTGAGCCGACTGATGAAAAACTCGACCCGGGTGTGGTGGTAGCTACTGTCATATCGTCGTCCATGCTCATCTGAGTTCGAAGGGAACGTGGTACCTTGGTAGATTCGTCAAAGCGATACATGATGCCAAGCGCGATGCGTAATTGAAGTTGCAAGCACCCCTCCTCACTCGGCTGGTGCTGCTAACCACCAAGTTCCACTCAGATTGCCGAGAAACAATACGCAGTATTATTCGACCGATTCAAGAGCCTCTTGAATAGCGTTTGCACTGGAAAAACGCATAATCGACGGTCGCAACGCAACGCAACGGCGTGTCCTCAACACTGTCTCGGCATTCTCGGAGTAGCTTCACGAAAAGATGTACGAACGAAAATCGGGGGGTGAGTAGCGAAAGCGCGCAAAGCAGTGCTAAAATGGTGGCAGGGTATTGTGCCTGCCTTTCTCTTTTGATAGCTGCGGAGAAATGTGGCCAACGCGAATAGAGCTCGGTGCAAGGGAGGCGCTTGTGGAGGAGTCCAAAGGGTGACAAACACCCACCGTATGTACACGTCAGCGAGGGGAGAGTATATCCCACAAGAATAAATTCAGGTTCGACTGGAAAGTGAGCGAGTGCAGGTTTGCGTTGTAGGAGAGAACAGTCGTGGTTTGCAATCGAGTGAGGATGTTGCTATCCGCCGAAGCCCGTCTCCGGTGGTCTTTCCCCTAACGAAGCCCAACGAAGCAGGTAAGTGGCAGGGCGTAGAGGGTAGCACAGCACAGCACAGCGAGCAAGCAAGCGAGTTCAGTGGCAGGAAACACACTGGACGTTGACGTGACAAGACTGAAGCTGAAGACCAGACATTATGAGCTCTCTCGCATTGGTGGGTCTGGCAGAACCCAGGGCTTGGCACTGCGCAATTCTTCAGGAGGCTGGGAGAATATTATATCAAGTGCTGCCCACATATTGTGTGTGCACTCGATCGCCTACGCAGTGGCCTAGAGTACCTAGCCAGTGAAGAGAAAGGGCTGAATTGGGAATATATTTATACAGAGGGTTTATATCTTGCATTCGCATAAGAAGAAAAAAAGAAAACCAAACCAAAACAACCATCCTGTATATCATACATGTAGGAACAATGAGGAAGCAAGCCGCAGATTAGACTTCGTTTTCTGGCTCGGCTTCAGGCTCAGGGCCAGTGTCGTCGGCAGGCAACGCAGCTTCCGGCGCTCCGACGAATGCTGCAGCCTTTTGGTCGAGGACTTGAGCCTGAGTCTTAGCCCACGACTTCCAGTCTTCAAAGATCTTGTCTTCGAGGCCCATCGAGACGTCCAGCATGCGAGGCCCAAACACTGCACCGTTCGCTTCGGCCTCCTCGGCCGCCACCCTTTGCTCGATTTCCTGTCTTAGGCGGAGACGGTAGAACTCTCGACGAGCAATATCATACGCAGCGGTCTTGGTCATGTCGGGCACGTTGTTGAGAAGCCAGAGCTGTCGTTGCACCACGCTACCACGCCTCTTGATTAGTGCCAATTCGCGTAAAGAGTGATGGAAAGACGAGAGAGTAGCTGGTCAAAGCGTAGGAAGATGAGCATACCTTTCACCGTCAAGTCTCTTGCCTGCTTGTTGTATTCGGCTCCAGTCATAGTTCTCAAAGTCCTTTCCGGTCTTTTCCAGTATGATTCGAGGTCGTGCCAGTTCCCACGGATGATCACGAAAGAACTCCTTTCGAAGTTGGTCTTCTTCATATTTGATTTTCACGGGCTGAAAGAGTTTGCTGGGCTTTTTATTGCGATTCGTCGTCCTCCTTTTGTTCACGCTCTCGTAGTAGACCTCGGTCTCTGAAGTTTCCGGCACCGTCCTGACGCGCTGGCGCAGGTAATCGTGTTGGATGGGCTGGTGACGAACGATAACCTGTGCTGGAGGTATGTCACCGATGATATCAACCCATTCCGGTAGCCTATCTATCTTTGCGCTGGCCTTTTGGCGGAGAGCAGTCTGTCGAACTCGAAGGGCGGTTAGATTGTACTTCCCCATGGTGTGTCTGTCAATAAGGTGGTAACGGGACGGCGAGTTCTCCAGTAAAAATTATCAAATTGGGCAATATCGTACGGCTCAACTGAAATTCTAGCCAGCTAGATATAACCAAAAAGCAATGGCATTGAACCGAACTGAGCTTGAGCTGTCGAAGACGACGTTTCGTTCTCCCGGGCGGCTTTGCAGAAAAAGACGATCCTTAGTCGCAAATTGGAGCGCTCCGATTGGCTCTGCCGCAGCTCCGCAAGAAAGTCCATGTCGAGTTGGCGATTTATTTTTACTGCTACGCCTTTTTTCTTGCTCTTCGCAGGGAACAAACACAAAGCGCTTGACTATCCCTCTTTTTTTTTTTCTCCCTTAATCCCTTTCTCTTTAACCATGTGCCGATGACTGAAACCCGCCATGTCCTCTAGCCGATGCCGAATCTTCACAGATCTGCGCAGTCAGCACCTGCTTCAGGGCCAACTGCTGCGAGAACACTCTCGATGCACGCCCAAAGCGTTGTCAACCGCCGTGGTAAAATTGGATGCCATCGAACAGTCCATCGCCCTCTTGCGGTCAAAGCAATAGCAGACATTTTTATACAATCGTTGGTGGTTGCTGGCTTTTGCTCTGACCACGCGCCTCGGAAACAACTCTCCCCCATCTACAGAACAACCAAACAAAGCAAATTATCCACCTTCGCAACCTCTCCGATTAATAGCTATAAGAAAAAGCATGCCGAGAGTCTACCTTCCGGGCTTCGGAGTTTTCCATTCGCTAGCCATGTCTCCCACATTCATGCGAAGTCGTTGAGCACCTACGCCGTAAGGAAGGATTCTGACGACCAGCACCATGAAATTTCCGATGAAGACACGAGAAGTGATTCTACCGACCATAGGGAACTAGCTACCGATCTCACAGAAACGGAGCAGTTTGCCCTACGTTTTATTCCAGGGAAAGGGCGAAGCGAATGGTCAACTTCATTGAGGCGGAGATTGAACGTACCACCAAATCAGACAGCACCAACGAGGGCCTTTAAAACAAAGGCGAGGTTGTACAGAGGTCTAGACAAGCGCATTCTCGAGAGTAGAACGCAGGATTTTGCACATGCTGGCGATCTCAATCTTTTCCTGGGAGCACTCAACGATAAGTCCAAGTCCAACCAATATGTTTTCAGTCTATACAAACGTCTGCCTTCGCCGGGCGTCAGAATTCTTACCCGGAATGAAAGAATCAAGCTTCTGCATCGTTTTGCACACCCGCCAGATAGACGCCGGTCTAATGCCCGCAACTTTCTGAGCATTTTCGATGATATGATTCAGTCTGGCTTTACGCTTTCCAGATCGATGTATACATCTGCGATATATTTCATATCCCACAAGGTACCTGTCCTAGAGGGACGGGACCTGCAAGATGCCATCACTGTCTGGCATCGAATGGAGAAGACGCATGGCCAAATTTCAGACAACGTGGTGTTTGAGCTTCTCTTTAGGATTGCTTCAAACACGGGCAATTTCACAGTGGCCGACCGCATACTGTCAGAGATGACGTCTCGGGGAATGGAGCTTTCTCGAAATGGCCATATGTCATTAATATACTCCTACGGGAAGAGGGGAGATGTTGATGCAATACACCGAATGTTTCAATCCTATGTCCATTCAGGACAAATAGTTGACACGGTTGTTCTCAATTGCTTGATTTCGTCTCTTCTCAACACAGGAGAACTAGAGACGGTTGAACAACTCTATTCTTACATGATGCACGAACACAGAAAGACAATCGGCATCACCCCGAAAGAGCGTCGGAATGCCGTGTTCGGCCCGTCTCTGTCCCCTGAATTTGCTGTTTGGAAATTGAATGCCAAAGGACTCAGATCGGTATTCGACAACTACCTGCAGTCGAGACGAAAACTGCTCGATGAGAAGACGCCATCATTGCAGAATGTTGTTCCCATTACTCCTGACACGAGAACATTCCATATCCTTTTTCGCTACCACTGCCTTTTTACAGGCGATATCACAGCTATCAGTCGGCTTTTGATGGATATGGAGCAGGTCTTTGATGTGCCGCCCCGACCAATTGTTTATTACTTTCTGTTCCGTGGCTTTGCTCTTCACCAGGAAACAAAGGGTTGGACGGCTGAGAGGCTCCGGGAAGTTTGGAGAGCATTTAGGCGTACATTATACGAATCCTACACGAGAGTGGGCCGTCTTGAAAACGGTGAGGCGTTGTCACCAAGATGGGAAAATCCGCTACAATCAATCTGTAAAGTCGCCGTTGAGCCTTCTCACGACAATGCAGGAGAGCAAGAAGAGAAAAATCATAGAACAGGGGACGGAGAGACCCAAGGCCAGATATCTGCTGAAAGCCAGAGCCACCGCGACAACATTGAAGGCGACACCATCCCGGAGGAGGAAAACCTGATGAAACTATTTGACGAGGTTGAGCAATTGGGACAATTCCATAGACATTGGTATCCCGACGAGAAGTTGTCGCGACGAATTGAGAATGGTGTCTTCCTCAGCCGCGAGCTCAACATTGTCATCTTGAAAGCCTTTGGTGCTCATTTTGGAACCAATACTCTACTTCGCGTCTTTTTAGAGATTGAGAGGATGTGGAAACCCTGGAAGAGGTTGGGGCATGATGTACAGGGCGTGAAGAAAGAGCTACAGAAGCAGCTCGTTAAGGCGCAAAACAGGGAGCGGCACTCGTTATAGCCAGCATTGCCAACGGGCCATTGATGCATATACAATATATCTGCCGCTAGCTTTTTCTCTGTATTATTAGTCGACTAGCATGCATACTTTGATAATTGATACCAACTTTGACCGTCTACCAAGCAGCTGTCAGACTACCATGCCAGCAATGGAGAACTTATTAGAGGATGTTGAAAGAAAGAAAGAAAAAGCAGGAAATCGGCCTCAGGCTTTGTTATCACGTGGGAGCAAGCAAGCACCTTCCCTTATATATGCGGTCTTCCCCGCCGACTTTCTTCTCTGCTTCATCAATCTCCTCTTACTACCTAGGAGCCTGAGCATATACGTTTCTTGCGTTTCTCAGGCTATCGTTGTATGTTTTGATCTGGCCTGGCCTGCTTTTCTATTCCCCCCTTCAACCATTCGGTATGCATACCCTTCAGACCGGCCCCAACACATCAGTTTTGATTATCTGCTTGAACATCCAGTGAGATATGAGCGCTGCTAACGCCTATCAGGTGCTCCAATCACATCAGCCAGCAGCAACCATGGTGCGTCCCTCGGCTTCGCGCAAGCCTGGCAAAAACCCCGCAAGTCAGACCTCTGATACTATTTAGCCCACCGTTCTATCACTGACTGTCTTGACTCTATTAGAACAACACTGTACAGGAGCCATTCCGTCTGATGGACTTGCCGCCAGAACTTCGTAACATGATCTACCGGCTTGCGGTTGTTCGTAAAACAGGCAAGTGTTACACACTCGTGCCACCAGCTCTTGCCCAGGTATCCAAAGATATTCGCACTGAAGTCCTGCCTATCTTTTATGGCGAGAACTCGTTCTACATCCACATGGACATCGATGTAATTGAATACGAAGAGGGCATCTTCCCTATCAGGACAGACGACGACAGCAAGTTGGAAGAGTTCCTCGACATGTGCTCCTGCCTGGCCGCCACTGGTGGGCTTAAATTCATCAAGGTGTTGAGCATGAACTACAGCGAACCAGTCTTTGAGGATATGAGCAACTTCCTCCTTGGATTTAAATTCATCGGTGAGAGCAGCACTCGCCAGAAATATCGTGATCGGATTGGCGATGACAATCTGGACTGGAGTAATCGTCTAGCAGTGGTCAAGGCATTCGAAACCACCCTAAAAGAATCTGCCGGTGAATTTCTCGGGCAACTGAAGGCTCATGTTCCAGTCTCCGATGTTATCCGAGCGCTTTTCGCGGTAGCTAAGCACTGCCATTGCGCAAACAAGTACGTGGAGCTGTCGTGGGATTACGGCCACTAGACGTTCAGTTATCAGGGGGTATTGAGATGGAATGAGTGTGGTGGAGGAAATGGACAAATAAACAAAGGGGTAGTGCAATTTGAACTGACAACATACAAAGATGGATTTCAGGCAGTGATAAGCTGTGGTATTTGCATGCGAGGATGACCCTAGAGATCTTTTGAGTATGACTCTAATGACAAACACTAACTTCCTGTTGAAATTCTCCCCCCAACTCTACTGATATGGTACCGATAAACGACAGCCCCAATTCAAGAGGTGAATGTCATGATAGATATGGGAGAGAACGCCTGGTTCAATGTAAGAATGAGTGTATTTTCATAGCTCGACGAACTCTCACTGGGTCTTACTGTGATATTTTTGCATGAGCCGTTGGCGAGGAGGAAAAAGCATGATAATAATACTGATAGATAGACTTCAGAAGAGCAGTAAATGTCTGATGAGCCAAAATAACCATGGTACCATATATCACATGACCCAAGGATTTCAACTTCCCGACACATCTTCACGACGCGACTCGACACGTTTCCAGCACCCGAGGCAGTTCGTGCAGTGATTGCGACATCTAAAAAGAGAAAATGAGAGATTAAAGGACTATCCGAGATGCGTCTAAGACCGAGCCTCATCATGCAGATATGGTAGCAGATCACCAGCGTTTACGGGTTGATATCGACTTTACGTTACGACGCGTCTTTGGAAAGTCATCATTTCGGTTGGTGTCTCCTACCTGTAGTTACATGTATCATGATGAAGAAATTTTGACAGGAAATATAGACCACTGCAACGCCAGGTCATATCAGCAGTCGTCGACGGTCACGATGTCTTCCTGCAGGCTGCTACCTCCTTTGGAAAAAGTCTTTGCTTTCAACTGCCCGCTGTTGTTAGTCATGGCGGTACGTGTTTAGCCTCTCGAGGAATGCGAGGGTCGTAATCTGAGCTGATGGAATTGGACAGTGACGCTTGTAGTATCACCACTGCTTTCGCTAATGGTAAGACACCGAAAACCGCTTTTGGTCTTTTATTGAGAGCGCCTATTGAAAAAAATTCATATTTCAGGTGGATCAAGTTGCTGCACTTGAGGCCTACGGAATCCCTGTTGCGACGATCAACGGTACTACACCATTACCGGAAAGAAAGGCGATAATTGAGGATCTTCTATCGGGGCATCCCAAGACCCGACTACTCTATGTCACTCCAGAGTTCTGCTGCACGGAAACTTTCCGGCGCAACCTCATCCGCATTCATGCCCAAGGAGAACTGAATCGAGTGGCAATTGATGAAGCGCATTGCATCAGCGAATGGGGCCATGATTTTCGCCCAGCATATAAAGAGCTTTCTTGGTTCAGGAAGACTTTCACCAGTCCCCTGGTTCCTATAACCGCGCTCACAGCAACAGCTACGCCCAAAGTGCGCGATGACGTTGTGAAACTGTTGGGTCTCGATAGAACCTCGATAAAATGGTTCCATACACCATCTGCACGTCCCAATATTCACTATGAAGTCAGGTATATCGAAGGAATCGAAGAAGATGACGACGAAGAAGAAAAGCGAGTACAGGATCTACTCCAATGGCTAGACTTTGTTCGAAATCGTCATCACACCCGTCACAACCGCGATAGCTGCTCGACCGATACCAATGTCAAACCTCCACCTATTTCGGGGATCGTCTACGTACCCTTGCGATCGGTTGCCGACGAGCTCGCCCGCATCCTTTCTTGCTCAGGCAGAGATATCCACGCAATAGCCTACCATGCTGGTCTGCCAGCCTCCGAACGAAAACGAATCCAAAACATGTGGGCTTCCAAAGACACGACCGCGGATGACATGAATCAGCAAAACGGTGCTCCTAGACCGGCCTTTTCAATCGTCGTAGCCACCAACGCCTTCGGAATGGGTATCGATAACCCCCACGTTCGCTTCGTGGTCCATTGGACACCTCCGCGAAGCTTTGAAGGTCTCGTGCAGGAATCAGGCCGAGCAGGCAGAGACGGACGCGCCGCGGTTTCCATAATCTACTACAACCGCAACGAGCGAGACCGGGTCTTTGAACGGCTCAAAAAGGACGAAAACCCACACGGCGGCCGCGCCGGTAATCGCTACGCACCTCAATCAGCGAATTCCAAAGCCCGCTCCTTGCAGGCGCGAGTTGAGAGCTTTGGCAAAGTAATAGCCTTTTGCGAAGCAACTAACCGGTGCAGACACCAGATCATCAAGGAATTCTCCGGTGACTTGGAGTTGGAGAATATCATGTCAAGTCAGACTACAGATCAAGCCTCCTGCTCCTCCTCCTCGTCGTCATCTCCATGTGACTTTGCGTGCGACGTGTGCAAATATGGGCCTGAGAAAATCTCTCGGCAAAAGAAAGATATGCTGAAGTTCACTGCGCAGCTAGAAGCCGCCGTTATGGCAGCGATGCTGCCCGGTTATGAGAGCTTTTGGTCTTTTTAACTGATGTCTTCGTTTTTCATTCACTATTTTTATCTTCTTTCGAAAGACACATGTCCAAGAACAGATACAAAACGAACAGACCTAACTTTACCCTAATGGAAAAGAAGGATTGCGATCCCGAGTACTTAGATATATATTTTTTATATGCCCCAACCAGACGATCAACAATCATTCATTCATTGCAAGAAGTCAGCAAAACAAAAAATGGAGATTTCAATACAGACAGATGGGAAGATTTTTATTTTATTTTTGGTACAATCAAGAAGCACTCAATTAACCGAGACCAGAGAAAGAGGGGAGAAAAATCCGAATTTTGTGAACTGACGATATGAAATGGTAGTTAGTGGATGAAAACATCGATATATTGTTAGACATGGATCTCTCGCTTCACTCCCAAAAAAAAAATAAATAATAAAATAAACGGGTTTCATTGGAAGTGAAAAAAACAATGACTCGTAAATTTAGACTTAGAATCAAGAGGTAATAGATTTCATGTGTGACGACAATAGCACTCCCCTCTTTTCACGAAAGGGGAGCGAAGAGATATATGATCATGTTGAGGCAATCACAAACCCGGTGGTGGCGGGACCTTTGAATTTTGGAGAAAATAAGATTAGCTCGAATACAACATAGAAAGACACGAAAACAGGGTTTCTTACAGCGTTGTAGCTTCCACCACCAGGGGGTGGTGGTGGTGGAGGAGGGGACCCCGATCCCCCAGCGCCTGGAGGCGGCGGTGGAGGCTCGGTAGATGATGATGGAGGTGGATGAGGAGCAGCGGCAGTAGTTGCTGCTGCACTACTGTCTGCTGCGCCTCCCTGTTGTTGTTGCTGTTGCTGGGCCCATTGTTGGTAATATTGATAATAAGCAACGTAGTTCTGATAGCCCCCATAAGCCGCATATGGATCCTGGCCATTGTAATATTGAGAATATTGAGCAGCATAGTCCGTAGTGGCTCCCGGAGTGGCTCCCGGGGTGCTCTCAGCTGAAGCACTTGGTCCCGAAGGGCTCATGGATGCAGCTGCCGCGGGTGACTGCTGATGTTGATGTTGTTGATTATGGTGATGATAACCTCCGCCGTAGCCACCGCTATAACCACCGCCGCCATGTCCTCCACCGTAGTGACGCTCACCCCGTTGGCCATAGCCGCCATAATTGTGTTGAGGGGGGTTCTCTTTAAAGCGTTGATATTGTTCACCAACGTTTGATAGCAGGTCTAAGCAAAGTTCCTTGGCGACTTTCACCTGCTCGGGATCGGGGCCACTGGTTATAGTTAGTAAGCGACGACGATGATCATCCACTGTAGTAGTACTACAAAGAACCGATAGCACTTACGCAACATGCAAATACATGGGCTCATCGCTCTCACGATCTGTACCATGTTCTCGAAAGCCGGACCCACGTCCCTTAATCTGAACTTTGCAGCCGGTCTTCTGTTGTATATGCTTCACATATGCTCCGCCCTGACCGACAACCTGAGCTCGCAAATTAAAGCCAGGTATCGGCTCTAGATCGATAGGGATTCGCTCCTCGGGCCATTTTCTCTGGAAGCCAATTGATAATCAGCAGGTTTGATCACATAAACCCAGGGTCTACAGGCAATCCTACCCGCCCAAATTCGTCTCGTTCCACTTGGGGCTGTTCTTCCCGTCGACGGAATCGGCGCTCATCTACCAGGTTCGGTAATTCCTGCTTCATAAGCTCCTCGATCTTTTCGATGGCCTTATCGAGGCCCTCTCGGGTGGTACTGGTAACGTGAAGGTAAAGCGGGGGATTCTGATGCGGTAAATATTAGATACATAATTGCGACTGAGGCGATAACAAGACTTACCGTAGGAGTGGCCATGGACCTATCTGGATAATAGCTACCACGGGTCGTGACATCTTGACAACTTGAATAAGCATGGGTCTTCAACAACCAAGTTTGAAATATAAAAAACATGTTTGGGGGTAACGCGTACCAGCGCCAGTTTCTTCTTTAATCTAGATCACGCAGCCGAGGTCAGCAGATGCAAAAGAGGGGGCAATGAAATGCTATAATTGACAGGGTAAGCCTCGAGCACTGATATAAAAGCAATGCCATTCAAAAAAAAAAAAATATAGAAGGGAGGACCCAATTGATTTGGCTGGAGCAAGGTAGAGAGAACCATGCCCTGGGGCCTGGGAGTATCAGCAAATTGATAACAGGAGTTTATTTACCATTCTCTGCGTGGAGCCTCTGGTGAGAGCATAGCGGTTACGCAGGCCGTTCACATCGATATCTTTGATATAGTCTCCATCGGCAACGTAAACGTCGTTGTCGAGCTTGGTAGAACCATCTGCGGAGGGGGCTGTTTTTGCGGCGGGACTTTCACTCTGTGGGACGATCGTTAGGATATGAAAAGAGGGAAAAGAGACGTTTGGAAGGAAAAATCAAAAAAAAAAAAAAAAAACTCACCGAAGCGGGAGGCACATCAGCAGTCTGAGGTGCCTTGTATGTGTTTCTCATCTTCCTAGCGTTCAGCTGCTCGTTGATTTTGGCAGCAGCAGCAGCTGTATACACACCGTCAGTCAAACTTTCGGCAAAGCAATCCCAGAGAACATTACCTGCAGCAGCAGCGGGATCCTGTGAGCCTGCAGACTGCGCGGAAGCTTCAGCGGCCGGACTGCGAGGATCCTTGCTCAGCGGACTGCGCTGTCGAACCGAATCGGATTGTCGAGAGGTTGGAGATCGCGACCGGCGGTCAAATCTGGATTGTCGACGGTGATCAGGTTCAGTTTGGTCAAAGCGAGATCGCTTTGCGCGGCGCTCGTCGTCGGCCATCTTGCAAAGCAAATTTTCTCAAAAGGTATCAGTCGAGATACTGCGTATGGCTGTGTCCGCACGAAAAAGAAACGGCAAGGCGTGGAAGAATTGAGGCTTTGTTTGAACTCTGAAGTTTTTACGTGGAGAGATGGCCGCCTTGGACCAAAATGGCATAGCGGCACTGGGCCTTGCCTTCAACCTTTAGACCTTTTGACCTTTTCTTAGTTCTGCTGCAGTTTTCAATGCGTGTACCTGCACAATGCTACTGAGTACGAAAAGTTCAATGGCTTTTACTCAGTATACTCTTCTACGGTCTATCGACTCAGCGACGCTTTTCGAGCGAGGATGTAATTCTTGTGATTCGCCCGCGGACTTTTCAACTGCCTCCCCGGAGACGTGTATTGTAATTACCGGTCTGCATACTGCATCAGCAAGGATGAATATACTGCATAAATCCATAGCTTGCTAACATATAACTTTGAAAGGAATTTGCTAAAGGAACTAAGTAACGCTAATTTTCAGCTACGTTTTAATTGAACCTGAGAACAGAGAGAATTCAGTCTCAGAAGCACCTGTTTTGAACCTCATATTGCTCGTGTAGTCATACTCAACCTGCACTCCTAATTGGCCCGGGCGGGAATATGGGGTATTAGCGGTAATAAATTACACCGCCAATGGAACGAAGCCGACGTCGGCGGTCAGAAATAGTGACTCTTTTCTCTCCCGCAAGTTCACCTTCTCTCTGGCCAACTCCCAGTTCAACCTCCTCTCAATTATCACTTGGGATTGAGAGAAGGCCGAATTTTGGCTATTATCTTCGCTCAACTCTACGGCAGAGAAGCCCCTTTCACAATGGCTTTTCGCCGTGCCCTGGCCAAGCCAGCGGCTGCTGCTGCTCCTCTGTTATCAAAGTCGACTACAACATCAGCAGCTTTCCGCCATGGTCTCTCAAACTCCCCTTCCTCGTACCGAATGACGAGCAGCTCTACTTCTGCTCTGGCATACAAGGCCATGCATCGTCGGTCCCCTCTGAAGCTTCCCGTGTCCGACAGCGCTCCCCAATGGGACGCCCCAGCCGCTGTATCGTCAATCTTGTACGAGACGCCGCTGCCTTCCACAAACCCCCCCAAACGCCACGTTCTGAACTGCCTTGTCCAAAACGAGCCCGGTGTTCTGTCCCGCGTCTCTGGAATTCTGGCTGCCCGTGGGTTCAACATCGACAGTTTGGTCGTTTGCAACACTGAGGTCGCCGATCTTTCTCGCATGACCATCGTGCTGCGCGGACTAGAGGGTGTCGTTGAGCAGGCTCGTCGCCAACTTGACGACCTTGTTCCCGTATGGGCTGTGTTGGACTACACTGAAGCCCCCCTTGTTCAGCGCGAGCTCCTGCTCGCCAAAGTGAGCACCTTAGGCCCAGAGGCTTTTGAGGAATTGCTAAAGCATCACCGAGAAATGACCTCCGATGAGTCCTCAGGAGGAAACCCGGATAATTCTACAATTGAGGACTCGGATTTCCACCCTCGTAATATTCCTGCCTCGCAAGCCCTGCGACACAAGCATGAACATCTTGACGCTATTACCCGTCTTACCCACCAGTTTGGCGGTAAAGTATTGGATATCAGCACGAACAACTGTATTGTTGAGCTGTAAGTTTGTTTGTTTTTTTTTTTTTTTTCTTGTCAAGTCATTTGTCTGCTTGTACCACAGGATTTTGATGATGAATTATTAACACAAAACTAGGTCCGCTAAACCAACTCGTATCGATTCCTTCCTCAAACTTATCGGTCCCTTCGGTATTTTGGAATCAACCAGAACTGGATTGATGGCCCTGACTCGTTCTCCTCTTACAGAAGTTCCAGACGAGGTTGAAAAAGAGGCCGCTGATGTTGTCGATGCTAGCACCCTTCCTCCCGGTTAAGAAGAAAGGATCTCATTAGTTCTGTTTTCTGTTATCTGTTACTTTTGCTGGAGGGAATGTGCTATTTATTACTGCAATTATTATTATTTTTGAAAGCTAACCCGGAATGATTGTAATCTTGTAATTAAGAATTCAAAAATCTTTGTCTCATATATCCAATACCCTTTCAAAAGCAAAAGATATCGCTACCAGTCAAGCCCTCTTTCAAGAAAACCGATCATCCAACGTCAGCGAACAATCAAGGGAGGTATAAGTACAACAAAAAGCAAGGCTGTAATGATAGGGAAAAAAAAAAGATCCCTTAGCCAAGCTAAATCCGAATCTTGGCACCAATTCCTTTCCCCTGATAAAATATCGTTGTCGAATACTCGCCCAATGTAATGCCAACCTCGGCTTTGGCGTCCATGAGTAGCGTGCCTCCCAAAGCTTTTCGTACGGCATCATAACCGACTCCACCCAGTTCAGGAGTAACCGGTAATTTGGGTGTTTGTGAGATGCCTGGTGGGACTGCGAATGGAAAATTGGTATAGTCTATTCTACCGATAGGTTCGGTGTGGTTGTATAATGCTGTGGCGTCTATGCTGTTGATGTATAGTGTCGAGTGGCTCAAGGGGGAAATGAGAGTGAAAACAGCTGTGGATGACCAGATATGCAACTATCCAGAGAAAGATACACCGTTAGTCTTATCGATTCATTAATAAATGCTCAATAACACGATTATGACCGTAAGAGGCTAGAGTCTAGAGACTAAAGTGCTCTCCTATAACTTAAAGAGATGCCATGAGACGTACCGTTGCGTCCTTGATGAAATATGGCTTGCCATTTTTATCGTTGTCGTCATCATCATCATCATCAGGAGCTCCCAAGTGCGGAACCATGATGTCAAATTGTATATTAGATAGTGCCCTTCCGATATCAGGCAATGTTGGAATAGAGCCCTCGTGAGCTTGCAGAGTTACTGTAGTATTCCAGCCTATAAAGAGATTGTTTGTTCAGTAACGGAATTGACCCAATTTCTCGCGAAAGCATTCTGATAATGAATTAATTACCTGACACGTAGCTCGAAAGAAGCTCGCGGCCCCTGATAACCCCAGTGTCACCACTAGAAGCAAAGGGACTCCACAAAGCCTCAATAGAGACACCTTCGTTGTCCCCCGAGACAACAGACAATGATCGACCCGTCACATGGGCGAGGGCGGTTCCATTAAAGAGCAACAAGCAATCAATATAAGGTATGGTGGCAGAATATGGAATAGGATTGGTAAAGTTGACCGTGGCTTTCAATGAGACGGTCGAATGTGTCGTATGCAGTATTTCTAGCGTTTCAATTTTCGGTTTAATCAGGCCTCCAATGGAGCTTCCGAATGGGGCTGTGAGAAAAGATTCAAATGATTAGTGTCTCAAAACATGGGTCATTCATTTTGTGTGGATAAGCCTAGGAAAACAGCCCACGTTTGACATCAATGCTCCCCTGCGCGGGTATATCATGTACGGTGAACTGGCCTAGCGTTGTTGCTAATTCTCCGTCCACGAGTACCTGTAAATCCAGATTGACTGGTTCGCTTCCAAATAATATTGACTGTACGACTTCAGAAAATACATCGTTGTCGGTAACTTGTAGCGGTCCGTCTTTAATTTCAAAGGTAACCAGTAATAATGGACGACTACCGTCCGTATCATTGATACGGGTCGCATTGGAAGGCTGCCACTCGCTTAAGTCGAGAACACCGAACTTATCACCTTGATAGTAGACATCGACATTTGCCCGCACCCGGGGGATATCCACGTCAAAATTCATTTCCTCTGGCAAATCAACCATGACTTTTACCATAGCAGACACTTTTGGCTGTGCATCAGGAGAACCGGGCTCGGCAAATGGGTCTGGTAGAGAGAAATGAACATCTGACATGGAAAAATTTTTGATCAACTGGCCAAAATCATGGCCGGTCACAGGTACCGGGATAGTAACGCTCTTTAGCAGATCTACCATCCATGCAGGAGTCGATGAAGAAGGTGCATCCGCGCCGCGAACGTAGATGATGGTCTTCTGGCCTTTGAGATACCCCGAAATGATCAAATCGAGAGGAGAATCCTTCTTTCCCGGACAGGCTTCTGTTAGTTCCGACGGTAGATGCCGAACAATACCACTGACGTCAACATAGGCGGGCTCTGCAGGCTGTACGTTGACTTCGTTTGTGGTCATGTCAGCAACCAGGATGTATGGATCAGTCGGGATGCAGTTCGGGACGAAGATATCAAAACCCAGAGGTGGTATGACCAGAGATAGAGCGTAGTCATTTGAAATGTTGACTGCAACTTCTACAGCAATGCCAGGATCCTGCGGCTTCCATGGATTCTCATGCACATTAAGCTTGGTTACACTGATAGACGGTAGATGAGGAATATCTTGGCCTGGGAAGCTGAGGTCAGTATGAGGCCCAGTGAGTAATTCCTGATAAAGATATATTAACTAACCATCAAGCACCTTATCCGCGGTAATGATCTGGCTGCCGAATTTCAAAATTCCAGATTTGATATCAACATTCGCAGTACCTTGTACGCGGAGCTGGGTAAGTCGTCCACCCATCCACTTATCCGCAACTTGCCGAATGCCATCTACATCGCCTGATTGCAGGTCGGCTAATATATTAATGTAATTTGAGTGTCCCTCTCGAATATTGACTTTCACGGCGGGCAAAGAAGCACGACTAAGAAGAACATTATCGTACTCTGGTAGATAGACGTCGACTTGAGCGTCGCTAGTTTCAACCTCTCTTGCAATCCATGTTGCAAATCGACCCGTGCTACGAATGAGGGCTCCACTGACTCGCGAGCCATCTAGTAGAAATTCACCCTGTATCCTCACAGACACGCCTTCGGATGTGGCTGAATCAATCGAGATCTTTTGAGGCGTGAAGACAGCAGCTTCTTGTGCGTATTGTTTGACTGCAGACGGGGCAGCAAAACCGAACACCAGAGTCAAAAGAACGGCGGCGATCAGAGATGAGACCGCAATATTTATAGGCCAAGAGGGGCGGCGGCGTCGTCTGGGGGGATCTTCGGAATCGACCGCACTCCGTGATGTCGATGTCGATGGTCTCCTTTGGTCTTCCGTGCCATAAGATATACTGCGTGAATCGTCATGGCGAAGAAGAGGGGCGGATTCAGAGCTTAGGATAAAGGATGATGATCCAAATTCACGGTGTTGTTTGCTGGGATGCGGAGAAGTGTCTCTGGAGTTCGTAGGCGCCCTGCCCAGCAGCGGCGCCGAGGGGTCGTCTATCATGATAATGATGATGGTGACTTAGACAATCAGCGGACACCTCACCAGTACTTCAAGAGCGTTTGCCCATAACCGCTGGATACTGTTCATCGCCCCTTCGGTAATAAGCCAGGTTCTGCATTAGTCGTAGGAACATTCCATCTGTTGTTCTAGACCGGGGTTGACGTTGCCTGTCACGTGCGGTGTTGATAAGATGCCTGGCCTAAGGCAGTACTTCGATAGTAGCACTCTGTCCAACAGTGTTTTCCTTATAAAGCTTCACATAAGCATATACTAATGCTAGACCTAATTAGGCAGTCACATACTCCGCACGTTCCGAACTCCGAGCCAATCACGAACAGCTTAAATAAGCGACAATCGGTGACTCAGGCTTATCGTAAATAATTAATTAACTAGTCATGATCCCAAGCTATAACTACAAGCTCCCATAGTCATACTCACAGACTTTCTCTTTTGTTCTACACGGCAGAGCGTGCCATTGATCAATCAAATATTGCTGCTTTTGATATTCAGACAATAATCTTCTTGTTGCAATACTTCCAACACCCTAATCAATGGCTACGAGCCTCAACCTCGGGGCAGTCCGCACTGGACTCGCACCCAAATTGACCCAACAAATTCATCCCAAACCGAGAACCTCTATGCTGCGACGAAAATACTCTTCAGCCACTACACCACCGGTGTCCCCGTTCGCTCCTCGTCATTTGCTATCCATTGCGGATCTGACTCCCGCCGAATTCACAGCTCTAGTTCGCAATGCCTCGCACCATAAACAGGCCATTAAAAGCGGCTCAGTGCCTCGCAACCTGCTGGGTGCATTGTCTGGGAAGACGGTGGCCATGATGTTCAGCAAACGCAGCACTCGTACTCGGATTTCGACCGAAGGTGCTGTGGCCCAATTGGGTGGTCAACCGATGTTCCTGGGTAAAGACGATATTCAATTGGGGGTCAATGAGTCACTCTATGACACAGCTCTTGTGGTGTCATCTATGGTCTCAGCTATTGTCGCCCGAGTTGACAAGCACCAGGACGTGGCGGCTTTGGCCAAGCATTCTACAGTGCCCGTTATCAATGCTCTATGTGACTCGTTCCATCCTCTGCAAATTATTGCCGACTTTCTGACCATCCACGAGGCTTTTCCTGCGCGGCCTACTGCGGGGCTAAATAGCCTCGGCATGGAAGGGTTGAAGATTGCTTGGGTCGGAGATGCGAACAATGTTTTGTTCGACATGGCCATTGCTGCTGCTAAGATGGGCGTTGATATCGCTGTTGCTACACCGAAGGGATATGAAATTCCCGCAAGCATGCTTGAGATTATCAAGCAGGCCGGATCGAGCGTTTCTTCCCCGGGGAAACTTATCCAAACCAACGTTCCTGAGGAAGCAGTAAAAGACGCCGATGTCTTGGTCACGGACACGTGGGTGTCTATGGGCCAAGAAGAAGAGACCATCAAGAGAATGAAAGCCTTTGAGGGCTTCCAAATTACTGCAGAGCTTGCTCAGCGAGGAGGCGCAAAGAAGAACTGGAAATTCATGCACTGCTTACCTCGCCACCCTGAAGAGGTCAATGACGAGGTCTTTTACAGTCCTCGTTCTCTGGTGTTCCCCGAGGCGGCGAACCGGCTGTGGGCAGCTATTTCGGCACTTGAGGGTTTTGTTGTTAATAAAGGCAAAATTGAATAATGGATGTACTTTACGAGTTATGTGAACAGAAAAGACATGAGGAAGAGAAAAGTTCAATTAATTTAGTCAATTTGGCCAAAGCTTCATTGCCATACTCTAGTTGTCGCAGGTCCTTAACTACAACTATATGACTGTCGCTAAGAAGCTTCACGGAATTTTCCGCGAGCCTAAAAAGTACATTTTACTAGGAAGGCCTGGTCCACATTTGTCTCTATAGCTGCTGGAGGACCCCTCAAGCGTTCGATCTTGATCTTTTCCTACCCTCTCGTGTTTGCCTCGTTGATGAGTTACCAATACATTTGTTTTTGTCCCATCAGCATCAAGACCTTCATAACCGCCGCTTATGTGAGGGTTGCAGGGCTAGCAATCGTATAGCACAGCGGTATTAGAAGAGAGATTAGGTGAATGGCAAAGTGTTGGAAGTTGGCTATAAAGCGTCTCTTGCTTCTAGACTATTCTTTACGTCTAGTTTACCTTTCTGCAAGATAGAGTGTCGCATTGATATCAAAGAAGGTCATTCAACAGGCTTCATATCAAGTTCAAATCCCATTTCTGGTAACTTAATTCCAAGGAGATCAGCCCACGCGTGGCGAGATACTGAAGTATCCAAACCAGACCCTGCACCCAGGTAAGGTATCAAAGAAATCCGAAATCTGGGGTGGAAAGCAGCAGACCGCCAATCCAGAATCCTTCTCACTTCACCATGCTTGGGGACGATAATATCCGTAGGTCCAAAATCCGCGTTATAAAAAGAAAATCTATTTCCGAAACCGGGTACTGGTTGGCTTGAGATTTTCTGGAGATATTTTTCAGATGTTCGACGCTGAAGCGGCCCTAAAAGTCGAGTGTCTCCATGATGGAACTCTCTGCTTCCACAATCAAGAATGGCTCATAAACCCCAAGGTCTGTAACACTTTTAAATAAGGGTGAGTGCAGTGCGGAAAGGTCAGAGCAGTACTGCGCAACAGTCGTTGCTATCTCGTCTCTGTGTGCAGAGGAAAGAGATGGCCAAGCAGACCGCAGCGTCTGTCACTCAATGGGTCTTAGAAGAGGAAAGGTGCGGTTCAAGTCAGTATCTAGACATGAGAATATAACATCGGGGACTTGAATGTGTGGAATTTGGGCAGCGAGAAAAGTCAGAGTATTGCTTTCCATCTCTCAGCCCTCACATAATATCTTGACCTTGTAAATTAGTGGAGGTTTGTGCCGATTGCCCTTACTGTCGAAGACGACCCAGCTTGATAGATAACATCTTTGAGTAGTTTACTGTAGGCCGAAAATAAGCTATGAGCTGCTATGCTGGTAGTAGTAGATGTCATCGTCATCTTCTCATGTAGCCACTGCATCATTTGAGGTTTCTCCAGCTGCTTTTTCACAGCTGAATCTCGTACCAACCTGGTAGATATCACTCCCTAATTTCGAGAAGAGGCTTCATTGTAGGAGATAGTAACTGCCGCTGCACGCACGCGGTCCAGACTCGAAAGTTCGAGCGAGAGCGCGTTGTAGGCATGTGTAGTCTCCTGTTCAGGGGCGACATAGTATGAAGCGTTGCGGACAATGTAGATGCCATGATACGAAAAGAGCTCGCGCGAGGACATGATACGAGATATAACGGCGCTGCCAATGGTGCCATTGGCCCCAGTGAGGACGATCGTACCTTTGGAAGGCATAGTGTACTACTAAAGACAGTGATTGTATAGAGCTTGAACTATGAAGAAAGAGAGAGAGTCCAATATCAAACCGCTGGATGAGCTCCAGGCTTATATGCTGTTGGAGACATGCTTATTGTATCAACTTGAAGCCAATGTTGGCTTCTACATACTAATTTCTAAACCGTGAATAAATAGCCCTAGCAGTATATAGTGGAAACCCGCTAGGAAATTTCAGTCGCCGTTCGACGGAGAGGCCAATCATATTTGGTTAATGATAAATTGCCTAACTAGGTAATTATTGTCCAGCATATCGCCCGTCATGAACCAGCGTGCCAGTACTGTAGCCTCAGATAGAAGCGCTCTGTCTACGGAGCATATGCAGCTGATAAGAAGTCAAACTAGCTTGAGCTATTACTATTAAGCGTGCGAAGCTTCATGCGGTAATTTAGCTAACTACTACGGTCTCGAATGACTAATAACTTGGCTGTCTTCAGAGTGTTCGCCAGTACTCATCTCGGAATATAAACTGTTTACTCTTTACGTAGAATCGCTAGCTACTAGACATATTATATTACTGTCATTACGTGTGTAACCGAGGGCCAGGAGTACGGTACAGCAGCTATCGGAATATCCGAGTTTGCAGGGAAATCGACAGGCAACAGATAGAGAACAGTCTCCACGAGATTTATGCGTCCAACCTGTCCAAAAAAGATCTATCAGCCTACCTCTTGATGTCATACGACATAGGCTTGACTTGTTCCCTAGGTTACGAGTATGCTTAGTCGCCCAACGACAGCAATGGCGAAACTCTCGGAATATCCGAGATGTTATATCCACCCGAATAGATAAAATGCTGGAAAGAGATTGATTTTCTTGCTTTGAATAATAAATACTTCTCTCCATTATCAAACATCACGCATACCAAGACAGCAGATAATGGGCTTCTCAGAGCAAAGAATAGCCATCATCGGCGGCGGCCTTGGTGGCATGTCATTCATCAATGCGGCGCTACACGTCGGACTCACAAATATGGAACTATATGAGAGAGCAGCTGAATTCAACGAAGTCGGGGCTGGCATCAACATCACCAGAAATGCAAATAGCATTCTCGATTCTTATGGGCTAAAGGAGGGTATGTTGAAGAAATCCGCTCACGACTTGCCGTACTACATGGAATACCGGCATTATCGTACAGGCCAGTACTTGGGTCAAGTCGATGAATCCGCAAAGCCTACGTCGAGATTGCTTCATCGTGCCCATCTCCTGGAATCACTGAAGGATCGAGTGCCGGAGAGTAAGCTTCATCTCGATAAGCGCCTGACTGGTATCACCAAAACAAACCAGGATGAGGCATATCGATTGCATTTTCAGGATGGGACTCATACTGATGCGGAAATTGTCGTGGGCTGTGATGGAATAAAATCTACTGTACGAGAGCATCTGAATATCACCGATCATCCGGATTACTCTGGTCAAGTGGTTTACCGCGGGTTTGTCGAATACGACGATTTACCCAGCGACACGGCTCAGCTGTTGCGTAGAACGACGAATTTCCGGGGGCCCCAAAGACATATCCTCGTCTTACCTATCGGCAATGAGCAGTCCAATACGGCCAAAGCGGCTATTATTGGGTTTATGAGCGAGTCTCTCGCAAGCTGGACTTCGGAGAACTGGATGTCGCGATCAGACATTGATAGTTTGCATAATCATGTGAAGGATTGGTGTCCGGCCGCACAAGACATCATTGCGGGATTGCGCAAAAGCTCACCGGATGGGAAGATGATGAAGCAAGCGCTGTATGTACGGAAGCCGGTGGATAAATGGTACGAAGTGAATGAAGGCAATGCTGCTTCTGGAATAATCCTGCTTGGCGACTCTGCTCATTCCACCTTACCTCATCAAGGTACTTTCCCCATCGCTATCACTTTGCTCTTTTATAAACTGACCTTTGTCATCAGGCCAAGGCTCATGCATGGCCATTGAATCCGGCATAGCACTCGCCACTATCCTCCGGTACTGGAAGAGTAATGATCTGACAGCCGCATTCCAATTCTACAAGCAGCTTCGAAAACCACGAACGGACCGGATCACCGTGACAAGCTATGAAGTCGGCAAGCTAGCGAGCTCCCAAGACCCTGACGCATTTGACGACAAATTCAACCCCGGTGCAATGCGGGAGCGCATGCGATGGATCATGGACTATGATGTGCTTGAAGATTTGTGGTCTCGGAACGAGTCTGTACGTTGCTTGGAAGTACTATGAGAGATTTCCCTCTCTTGTGTCGTAGAAGGACATTCACAGTCTGTCTGTTTGCGTTCCGAATCGGACTAGGAGAGTCGGCCTGTCGGTGATCAGGCAATTGATGCTCGAGCGACTGTAGGCTTGTTAATAGCACATGTCCGATGTCATAAGGTGGCAGTGCAAATTAGTACACCGTAGTTAATAAGTTGTACTAATTTCTCTCATGCAAGAAGAGCACAGAGGAGTCAGTGAGCGAGCAAGTGACAAGCGGAGAGGTTAAGCCGCCTCCGCATTCCTCCATGCGTTCCTTCCTGACATGTGATTCGCTCCCGCACCAAAAGCCAGAGCTCTGCCTCTTTCTGTCTGTTCTTGGTCATCGATTCTTTCAAACCCATTTACTTTGGGTGCTTGAGTCATTAATAACATCAATCAGTTGCCAATAAGACACGCAATTCGGCATGGATGTATGGTGTATACCCTTCCGACCACCAGGAGGTGCTAGCTAACGAACTCCTATTACATATCGCAGTCCCGGCCATCATCGCATAGTCCTTTCAGATCAAGGCGCTCGCATCCAGCTTTGAATCACATCTCACTTGCTCCACTTACTCCTCGATTCCCAATAGATGATCTACCGGATCAGGACGACTATTTCCAGAACACGCAAGGCTCATATTTCTCTAGCTCTTCTGTCCCGAGCACGCCACCAATTCTGTCGCATTCGCGCGCTAGCTCGCGCCCGCGACATCATAAGCGTTCTAAAAGCTCGGCACATGCACTCAGCGACTCTGATCTCCGGAGTCTGGGCATCGTCCTGCATGAACAACAAAGTCAGCATACTGGAAGCTTAAAGCAGGGCTCCCGTACTCCGGTACATGCCCTGCCGCCGGAGAAGCGAAAGTCCCACGACTCGGAGTGGATGCTTCGGGCGGGACTGGCCCTGGCTTCATCAGCTCGGGAAGAAAAAGGCCAGAGCTGGCTGATCAAGCGCGAGAGCTCGACTAGCCTGGTAGCCGAGGCAGATTCGGAAACTTCCAGATCTCGTCGTACTAGCGCCAATCGTCATGGAAAGAGTACGCCTCATCGGTCGTCAAGATCGTCTGCTGTCTCAACACCAGCGGCGCTCTCGCGGCGGACATCGAGGTCACGCGAACTCAGTCGACGAGCTAGCCGTGGGGGATTCTCTATGACGGCAATGGACACAGAAGGAGATTCGTCCCGGCAGTCACGGAAATCTAGCATTGGAAGCCATCTCACAGTGCTTCCTGATTTTGTGGACGATCAGATTCGTGCCGAGATGGCTTCTATCCGTGACCGCGATCTGTATGATGAAGATGAATCGGACTCCTCTTCTTATGCATCAGGAAGCGAGACAGATAGCGAGATGGACGAAGATGAATTCCAACACTTGACACGCGAGCGAGGCTTCGGTCTTGGGAGTTGGGTTGACCAGTTTATCAGCTGGACGCTATTTGGAGTCGAAGAGGATTTTTCCACGTCACCGCCTGTGCCTACAGAAGGGGTCAATCGGCATACTTTCGTTGGGTTTGAGTCGGCCGCTTTGACATCGCAGTCGGAGCCCGGAAATGACTCAGAGGGTGATCATGATGATCACAGCGATGACGGTTCCGAATTTGCAGATGCTGTTGAGAGAGCTGGCGATAAGGGTGGGTGGGCTGACGCAAGTTGGTTCTTGCGACTCGCGAGAAACGCCATAGCGTAATTGATGTCTGTTCTTTTTTTCATAGCTTTTACTTCCCTTTAAAAACAGTATGTTAATAATGACAACCCGATACGAATGACTTAATGAATGGAAGGTCTGTTTTCTCATTAAAGAAGGCGTAATGTACTGGCTAAGGAATACATTGGGAACTGGCGTGAATTCATTCGAGTAGAATACACCTCCGTACCTTTTCCTTTTCCTTTACATAATTAGTCAGACCTGTACTACTTGAACTAAATGCAGCTGTGAAGAAAACCCCCCATTTTTCTTCCAAGAAAAGCGGGCCTGGCGAGCCCTAACTCGACTTCATTTGAATCAACAATCACATCCACGTCCCTCGCGCGTGTTTTATTGTCCTTAAGACAAAGTGAATCTGATGTATGCCTCTAGGCAGCAAGGTTTTACATTTATCAAATACTCGATTGCTTTGTTTTATTGATCGGTATAACTTATCGGGGCGTTTTCCGTTACCTCTGAGCCAACAGAACAGTTAAAGCAAGCAACAAAAGCAATACGAACATGGGTAGATTATGTTGCCAAAGACAAGGACCCATAATGAAGTACTTGTGAAGATAGACATCATGTCATCTATCAAAAGTCTAGACCATGATGGCCAGGATGTGCCATCGAGATCAGAAGAGTACTCTATAAAATACCTCCTAAGTAATGATATGCCACGCCCGAGTCACAAAAGCGTACCCTAAACTCGACGCCCTTCATTCAGCACCAATGCATTCTACTTTGGCCTGTTGCCCTAGAGGTGACGGCCTTTTTTCTTTGTCCTTATGCTTCCCAACATGACCAGCCATCTTCGCAAGACATTTTTATTGGCCAGCTCAACTAATCTGGACATTTGCTGTTGCCCTGCCTCCATATAAAATAGGCAGGGCAAGCCAGAAATACTCCTTGTCAGGCAATGAACATGAACCCAAATAAAACACCGGTAGAGACAGAAACCCAGCCCTATCTCATAGCCTTATTCTTCTAGGATTTCTTAACCCCGGGCGTCTTTTCTTCAGTTTTATTAGCTGGTGGAGTACCCGGCGAGTGTTTGACGTTGCTTATTTTCTCCTCTCTTTATCATGCTTACCTAGGAAGTTCTAACATTAGTATTGCTAGTATTACTTATGGAACATATTAACATCCTGTTGATAAACACATTTTGAGAGTCCTCCACTTAACCTTGCATAAGCATTTGATCCCAGCCATCCCCGAAGGACTCCTGTACACAGGCCTATACACCCCTTTTCACTGTACTCAATTGATGTGAACTATGAATAGTTTGCAAATTGTTTTGTTGAATAATATTCGACAAAAGTGACGCTAAGCAGATTATTCCCGACTCATTCCCATCTCTACAGGCTCAACTGTGGGAGACGAATACGATGGCTGATAAGGGCTAGCTTTCTGAGAATCAGCCAGCTCTGCTTTCCGCGTAGATTCTGGAAGCTCAGAAGGCTGTTGCAACTGCTGCTGATAAGCTGGAGATGATGTGTTCCATTTCGGACGTCTTCGAAAGAATAAAATACCTCCAATGAGTACAAGAATGGCTCCAATGGCTACACCTGCGCCTGGCTTTTGCACCCGTCGATAAGCCCGTGTTAGAATTTGCAGTGGAAGGAGACGTAGATGAGCTGGCTATGACTGTAGTCACCGTTATCGACAAGCTGGATGCCATTGTTGCAGATGAGCTGGGCGTGACTGATGATGCTTTTGTTGTCGATGCTGTCGCAAAAACATCGGTTGTCCGGTATCGAATCTTCACGCCATATGCATTAAACCCTTGAGTCCCCGAGGCAGTCAACGTGGTCAACCCAGCGCGGGGAGTACTAGTAGTGTATATAAATATGCCAGTTGAGGGGTTGAAGTGACCGCAGTGATTTGTAGAATACCACGGGAATTCGTCGGCATTTTGACATGTGTATTGACTTTGATGGAAACAGATTAGCCTTGTTTATGACTGGCCAAACTTCCTATAACACGGCATACCTTGGACAGCATGCTGCTTGAGTCTCTGTTTCAGTGCCGATGGTTGTCGTGTTCGAACAAGCGGCGGTATAGCCTGATGGGCAGATACCCGGTGAGAAATACATGGTAGTTTCGTAGCTCCAGCCTTTAGGGAAACAATTCGAACTGTCTGTTGGTCCAAGCTGGAAATAACCACATTCCGGACAGTCTCCGTAAGAGAAACCATAATACCAGAGGTCGACGAGGCAACTGTTAGCTGGGGTGAAGATAGTAGTAAGCGCTGGCGCGGTTGTAGTGTCTGATGTCGATGTTGCCATTACTGCTCTTGACTAGTTATTATGCTTCAGCTACTCTTAAAAGAGGGAATATAAGGTAAATTATAAGGAAAAGGAGAGAAAGGGGGAGAGAAGGCCAGAGTCTATCCGAGGAGACACAGCCCCAACTCGGTGTAACAGGCCTAAGAAATGACTTCTAGCAGTTTGGTCCAATTCTTCACTCTCAGGTACATTCAGCTCTAGAATCGTTCAATTTGAAAGCCAGCCAAGCGCCTGGTCATCCATCAGCAGCTGTTGGCCGATGTAGGTTTACACATCATTTCCGGTGGCTTTTTTTTTTTTTTTGTTTGTTTGAAGAGCTCTCTATGCACCCACTGATGGATTTGTAGATAGGGAGGTTTCCTAAGAAGTTTGCCTTTCCATAAGAATATTCGCTTCATAGTGATAGAGGAAGTGGTGAGACAAGGGCAAATTAACTGGTTCCTTCAGTTGGTCTTTGGCGTAGGGTTTGGGGTCTCTATCTTCACCGGTCAGATTTGGTCCACTCAGTTCCACACTATTGTTTGTCTCAGTCATTCTGTATAGAGACAAGCAAACGAGTCATTTTCAAGATCTGGACTAGGCCTGTCATGTTAGGGTGAAACAATGCAAACGGACAGAGAAGTAAAAACCTCAACAAAAAAACATATGACCTTGCTGCCTAGGCACAAAAGCCACTATTAACTCCATTATTCAGATCAATAGTACGATTGAATGAAGTTGATTTTGAATTTGAATTTTGGATTTGACCATTGCCTTGCTGCCGCTCGCACCAGCGGGATATATATGATAAATACGACTGAAGAACGCTATCATGTCAAATTCGAATTGTAACTGAGGTGCTGACCCGTACTTCTTAAATGAACTAATATTCTGTTCAGAAAAACAGTTCGAGAGTCCTCTACTTGATCTTGTTCTGGGTAAGTGCTGCCTAATCATGGCCTTGGTTTACGGAGGTTTAGCCTGTGCTCCCTAATGAGTAAGATATCGTCCTCAACGCCCAGGACCTTGAGAGATGGCAGCAGTTATCTGGCGTCTGTGAAGGAGAATTCGAATTTGCATACATTGCTACATTCGAAAGTTAGACAGGCGTGTCCTAGACATTCGTATCTCGCTTCCTAGGCCAGCGACCCCGAACACTTTCTTCCTGCAGATAACCTGGAGTCGAGCTTGCAGTTATCTCCAGCATCAGTTAGTTCGTACATGTATTTTATTATGACATATCCTAGCCTTGGAATAGCAGCATCCGTCTTCGCTCTGCTCTCCCCACTCGGGGTTTTCTCTGACTTCCATCTAGCCCTAATTATTCACCCCACGTCAAAAATATGGACAACTGCAGATCACTTGGGCTGTAGCATACGACGGCAGCTGAAATGCACATTTTATTGGACCACGGCGTACACAAACTGGGTATATCAGTATCGCCCACTGGTGGAATCAAGCCCAAATCTACCCCGCGGGCTGCACAGTATTCCGTCATGTCATTGAGCCAACTGCCAGCTTTGTAGGCTGGCAGGCAGGCCAGAGGAAGATCTGCAACGTTTGATTTGAATTGTAACGTGCAGGAATTGGGATCCAATTGGGTGCGAATGATGTAGGACAGGCAGCGCAGGGGTATATAAGTACTCCACGTTTCGTGCAACTTGGCGGGAAAATAGATGAAGAGACAAAACAATAGTATATAGCATCATGCATATCTCGTCTCTTTTAACCCTAGCCCTGACCCTAGCCACCACAGTGTGCGGCTACGTCGTCAACGAGGGCACGACGTGCGAGATCTACCCCGAAGCGCTGACACACAATGCCAAGGCAGTAGACGATTCGCCATCAATTCGCCAGGCGTTTGATCTCTGCGGCATCAATGGCACGGTCATCTTCACCAACAACACCTTTTCTATCAACTCGGCGCTCAACACGACCAATCTGCTAAATTGCGATGTTTCGCTGCGCGGCCAGTTGAAGTTTTCCACTAATGTCCCGTACTGGCGCTCTCATGGCTTCTCGGTAATATATCAGAACCAAACCACAGCTTGGCTATTTGGTGGCACCAACGTGACGCTGCGTGGTGAAGAAGGTGGATGGATTAATGGCAATGGCCAGACCTGGTATACAGAGAACAGGAACGCATCCAACCAGCCGGGTCGCCCAATTACTCTCACTTTTTATAACTCAACAAATCTTTGGGTTGATGGGCTCACGATCATCCAGCCTCAGTTCTGGGCGACGTTTGTCTGGCAGAGCACAAACGTGTCCATTACCAATCTCTTCGTCAATGCTACGAGTGATGATGAGTGGGGGACCATGAACACAGATGGCTACGATTCGTGGAGAAGTAGCAACCTGCTGGTGGAAAACGCTACTATCACAAATGGCGATGACTGTGTGGCCGCAAAGGGCAACACGACGAATCTCCTTGCTCGAAACATCACCTGCAACCGCTCAACCGGGGTGACGATTGGATCCATTGGACAGTACCCGGACTGGCCGGACTATGTCCAAAACGTGACCTTTGACAACGTACGGCTGTTCAACTCCGAAGATGGGGCGTACATCAAGACATGGCCGGGGGTATCTGTGGATGAGGACGGAAATGGTGACACCGGTGGTGGCGGCGGCGGTCTGGTCAAGAACGTGACGTTTAGTAACTTCGAGTTGACCAATGTCGGTCTTCCTATACAGATCTCGCAGTGCATTTATACCACGGCCGTTGGTATATGCAATACCTCCAGACTGCAAGTTGAAGATGTTTCGTTCGTGAACTTCACGGGTACTTCTACATTCAATGTAGCTGCTTCATTGTATTGTTCGCCTGAAGTGCCATGCCCCGGTATCAAGTTTGACAATGTTTCTTTACAATCTGTCAATCGGACTCTTGGCTTGCCATTGTGGAATACGACATTGCAGGATGAGGTATATCAGTGTGCCCATATTGCCAGCCAGAATGCTTCTGGTATACCCTGCAATTACCTTGCCCCAGACAATTATGGCCAGGAAGTAACCCAGAATGTGCAATAAAGATAGTGACGCTTAGGAAATATGATTAAGGAATGACTGAAAATTGTTATGACATACTATATATGATAATGATAGCTATTGCGAATTCATTTGCATGGACGATCAAAAAAAGCTCAGATATTTCCGACAATTGCTTCCAATCATCCATCATCTCCAACTAAGTAGCTAAGCATCTAGGTGGTAACTCTTCATCTCACCTGATCCGAACATCTCTACACCTTGGAATATGACCGAGATATTTTGAGACCGGGGGAAGAACCCGCCCTTCCTTGTACATGGCTGTGACTGGGTTATCTTCAGCTTCAAGACCAAACAGCACGGTGCATTTAAACAAGGTCGATAATCTTTGACAATATTCTAGCTGATCCGATAGATATCGATCCTGGGTTATAAGCATTTCATTCTTCCATCCACTATGTCGTCACTCCTTAGGGTGTACGTTGTTAGGATTAAACCTAAGTCTGTGGTCAGTAGTAAGTCTCGACAGAATGCGAGGCATTCCTTTTGGTTTTTTTTTCTCTTTTTTTTGCTATTACTCAATCCCAAATGGACCTTGGATAATTCAACATAAAAAATACAACACATAAAATATGTATGCACCGCACGATCATTGATCGCATCGACGGACCAAGCTGGCGAGGCTTTGACCCCGCCTCCTTCTCCTACGGCCCGACCAAAATTTGAGCATTTCGATTTCCTCATGTTCTCTTTCGTTGAATAAAAAAAAGACGACGTTGCATGGTCCGAATATCTCCGTTCTCCTTCTACCGGCTAGCATTTCTACTAAATAATAACTTGCATGATGGCATTCGTCTTCTTGGGTATTTACTTTCCTAGGCAAGCAGTGCCACATTTAACCAGGGTCGAGATACTACCGGGATAGGTAGTAGGGCCCTGGCCAGGACTCTGTGAGCGAAATCATATGTTTAGTTGCTAACTTGGCCAAGTAATGCAATGCATAGCATTGCTCTTTGATTAATAGTCCATGCGTAACTGCACATCTTCGGTTGTCAACATGGGAGATAATATATATGTAGCCAAGAGTCTCTGAAATCCATATATAGGTAAATGCCCTGCTCTGTAGAGTCTGTCTGGCTTGGTAATATTAAAAAAATAGATACTTAGGCTTAATGTTCCGACAGCTTTTAACCAATTTACTTAGGTACCTTATTCTTTATATATATCTTTCCATCTCAAGACAGAAATCAGCATTGAAACAACCCAAAAAAAAAGAACAAAGAACCAGCCCGAAAAGCCCAAAAATAAGAAATTGCCACGTCTAATAAAGCGATTGAGTACATGCATATTTCCCCCTACTTAGCTGGGTATAGCCTGTAGGCATAACACGGAGGATTATAGGCGCAATGCCGTAATTTTGTTGTCGCTCCCCACTTGTACGCCACATATCGGACAAATCTAAGCGTTGATGTACAGGATATATCGTGAAGTGGATTCTCCTTTGCGGCGTAGTACATACAGAAATGTGTCCTTTGTTGTGTCAGGCCACGTAGATTGGCCATATCGAACGGGGCAGCCAGGATCAGGCGAGAAGAGAAGCTCCACCAGAGAAAGGAATGAAAGAGGAGAGAAGAACAAAAATTTAGATTGGAAAATCAAAAGCTAGACGCCTCCAGAGTACCCCTTGTATATTATCTATAATATATCATATATGTCATGAAGTATCCAGGTAGCTCCTCGTTGTATGTGACATCGATCCATGGAAATTTGATTTCCGACTGCAGCTGAACGACAGCACAGGAAATAACATATATTTGAATAACTCCCAAAAAGACATAGAAGCTTGTGTCATTCTTTTCAAAAAAAAATCGGTTTCTTTCAACCGTGTTGAGTATATCAATCATGTAATAAAAACTGGGATTAATAAAACTAGCACTTCTCCGAACTGGATACCCTTTAGGGTTTCGTACAAGCACACAGACAGAGATTACTCACGATTAGGTCAAAGAGCCCTGCCCTTTTTCTTCTTTCAGGTTCTTGACTTGGGTAGGCTTCGAACGAAACACAATAACGAAAAAAATAAAGAAAGAAAAAAAACAAATAACTGCACAACACGGCACGGCACATGCTAACTACCCAGATACTTGGTTGCCGGAAATGCAAGCCGGGCATATCTTCGGTCTAGCTGCTGTATCCATACCTCCCCGAGCTTATCTACGACCTCACTTTTGGCATATATAAGTATCTTCTCTATCCAGCATCGCCATCGTCATCATCAGCAAGGAACCTCTTACACACGGACATCATCATGTCCGAAAACCCGCAACCATCAGATCATGTAGGAGACATTGAGGTTGATGTAAGTTCAATCCTTTATATAATGAGCTCAAGGGTACCTAGGTACCCTCCTTTCCTCGGCATCTTTTGGAGTTGACTGAAAATTAATGTAGGACGATGTCTTCAGCGAGTCTGACTCTGCCTTTCAAGGCTCGTAAGTGGCCACCAGATACACCTCGGTGTATTCAGAGATCGACTAGCTGACGGCTACATATTTATCTAGCATTGGAGATGCAAGCTATACATCATCTATCTCATCTAGTGTGAGGAATTATAAGTACGTAGTGAACAGGTATACCCTGACGTTGCATCATACTCATCTTTTCTGTCTAATAGATACGAGGTATCTAGCTTAACCAGTATATCATACATTGATTCGGTATGGAGAGACATCTAATGAGTTACATCTCTAGAATGGCCGAAGATATCACGCGTTCAAGGAGGGCTCACATCTCTTGGTGAGCTCTTCCACGTCTGGCTCTAATATCAATCTAACGGAATCAAATAGCCCAACGACGAAAGCGAACAAGCCCGGATGGACCTCGCTCATCATATTTATCTCATGATAACCGGCGGAAAACTGCATCTGTCCCCCATCAGCAATCCACAACGAGTGCTTGATCTCGGCACTGGGACAGGTATGACCACTGATGATCATCCGGTTTATAGTCAGGGGCTGATTGTTAACACAATAGGTATATGGGCAATTGACTTTGCAGAGTATGGGGCGTTCAGCACAACTATATAGTTCCGTGGCTGACTTGACGTGATACAGCGAGTATCCGAATGCCCATATACTAGGTATGTACTCAGGTATGAGATCGAATCTATCTGTCTGACTGACAGACTGACCTAAACACGCAGGGAATGATCTAAGCCCTATCCAACCCTCATGGTGAAAAAGCCAACTACGCCCTTCCTAGGTAGCAGCCAGCCAGAGTACACTAACCCCAAGATTGGACACGAAAACAGGGTCCCACCAAACCTCCAATTTGAAGTCGACGACTTCGAAAGCGAATGGTCCTACTCGCAGAAATTCGACTTCATCCACGGCCGCGAAATGGAAGGTATGGTGCAAGACTTTGACCGCCTCTTCAAGCAAACATACCAAAACCTCACTCCAGGCGGCTGGGCCGAATTCTCCAGCATCGAACTCAACACCTTTTGCGACGACGAAACCCGGCAAAAGGCCGCGGTGTGGACGCGCTGGTCAGAGAATCTGCATCGCGCGGCTTGCACGTTTGGCAAGAATATGCGCACTGTGCGGACTTGGGAGGATAGGTTGAGGGCGGTTGGGTTTCGGAATGTGCAGAGTGCTGTGTTTCCGGTACTTTTCTCTTTTTTTGCCTCCTTCTCTCTCTCTCTCTCTGTGTGTGTGTGTGTCCATCCATACCTAGCTAACTAACAATATAGCTACCATTCAGCCCCTGGCCTAAAGACCCCAAACTCAAAGCCCTCGGTCGCTACCAGCAACTGCACATGTTTGAAGGCATTCCCTCTTACAGTCTGCGACTCTATACCAGTGTCCTCAACTGGCCCAAGGACAAAGTCGAGGCGCTGCTGGCCGAAGTGCAAAATATCTTGAAAGATCGGTCCTGTCATCTGTATACTTTGGTGCATTTTGTTTATGGTCAGAAACCGGACGAATGAGGTTTCTCCTTTCTTTTTTCTTTTTCCCTTTAGGCTTGTTTTTCTTATAATGAATGACCATGATGTGATGATTATGATGACGATGATTATATCTAGGGATATGTTGTTGTTAACGTTTCTTTTCGTTAATATCGAATTGTATTGATGCCAGATCTAGGTACATTTGTTGAATTACCTTGCTCTTATCGACGTTGGAGGCGCCTGCATAACCGTTGGTAATGTTCCTATATTTGCCATTCCACCCCAGTAAAACATAAAAAAGTAAAGAAATATCAAGAAGCCACCGAGCAGGTATTGCTGGCATGTCATATATATAAGATGTGCTTACAATCACCGCGGTTTAAGTGAAAAAGGACACAGAACGACCTAACCAACCTAAAACTCCTCCGTCTGACGAATGGGACCACTGAGGGTAGAAAGAAAAGGTTTGAAATAGACAAAAGAGAATGTAAATAAATAGATAATATCTTTCAAAGCGTCTTGACAATAAAAGGAAAGTAATTGTTGGTAGACAAACTCGTGGCTGCTAAACGCTTCGTATTCTTCTGCAGTTATTGCTTCAGAGGAGTCGTTATAAGAACCGTGCAGCGCCCTTGCTTATCAAACCAACGTCGAAACAAACCAGTGGAAAAGAAAAAGACAGGTGTTTTAACGCCGCTGAGTGTTCACAGAACTCTCTAGCACTTATGCAGGTATCATCATATGTCGTGTCGTAACAAAGTGTAGGCCGTTAGATCGAAGCGTATCGACAGAAATAGAAATAAAAGAAATTGTCCAGTCATGACATACTTCCAAAAATGTCTTCTCACCAGGGTCCGACCTTCAGAGGCACGCCCAGGCCGTAAGTTCCTGATAACAGTTGCTCACGGATTGAAGTTGGGTCTCCTCCAGATGCACCTGTTGGCAAAGGCGAGCCCATCCATCCCAAACTGTTCCGTAGCTCATTCACTGCTTCCTGTAACTTGCCACCGGAAGTCTCGTTGTGTTTCGCAAGCTTCTGATCCCATCCACCATACTGCAGTTGTATGCCTCCACCGCGCTTAGCAGCTTCTCGAATTACCAGAACCCAAGCCTTGCCTATCTCCTCGTATGCCGAATCGCGGCCAATATTATGCCGCGGTGTGCCCCACTTCGGCAGACTGTGTATGATATCTGTTGCTCCGTCCAAGTAGGTCAGGGAGATGGAAGTTTGGGATTCATTAGGCGGTAAGAAATGAGGTGTAAAATCGTTCAGAGCTTCTAGAAGATGGAACAGGTGCTGTTTCACTCGATTGTATGCATAATCCGACAAGAATTCGCCGCTGCCTAGAGGGATGGATGTCTGCAAAGTCGACTGGTAATTTCGAAGAACCTGAAGCGTCGACGCCACACTCGGCCGTGGAGCAGTATGGACGACCTCATCGCCTAGCTCAGGATGACGCTGACAGACGGCTTGTAGCACCGACCGTAGAGCATCCGTGTCCAGCGTCTCCAGCAATCTAGGTAGCGATAAAGGACGACCAGACACGTTTGGACGGGATCGTTTCAGCTGACGGTTCGGTAACGGGCGTGGAGTAAAAGCTGGGGAGTTCGTGGGGGAAGCGGACATGCGGATATCGGTGTCATTGCCATCATCTTCAGCTTTGCGTTTCCGATTGCTGCTTTGTTGAACTGGCGTAGACACTACATCCAGGCAAGTTTGATTAGTATACGGATAACTATATTGAAGGCATGCAAGTCCTTACTGGGACGAGAGGCAGAGAAGCGGGAATGTTCGTAGAAGTGTGGAGGAACTGGAGGCGTAGCCACCAAACTGTTCATGATGATCTCAGCAGCAGGCCAGGTCACTCGACCACTTTCAGAGATCGAAAGAAAGATGGATGGAAGTAATGGTTGGTGTTGTGCGTGTGTGTGCGTGTGTGTGTGTGTGTGTCTCTGTTGGGCTGAATACCCTCGTGGCCACCAGCGGGTCGAAGGGAGGCGAAGACTTGAAAATCAAGAGGCAGCACCGACCGCCTAGAGTATGTTTAAGAAGCAGAACCACAGAAAAGAAGTAGGTGTAAAGGTTGCACAAAAGAAACGTAGGAGGAATGTGCAGGGAGAGTGAGAGCGAGCAAGGAAGACGTTGATCGAGGTTGATTGATGGGCGGAGTGGCAGATTAAATTACTTGCTTAGTGAGAAGTTTAGCTGGGAATTGGCGGTCGAAGAGCTTGGCCGTATAGTACGGTAATAATACGTGGTACGTAAAGCGGGTACCCCATGGGAGTTACCGAGCGATGGTTGGCTGTGGCTGTAATTCATTTTCTGGGTGTAATTTCATTACAACAGATAGTAGCATAGTTACCGTAGGCAACGCAACGCAACGCAACGCAACCGTTTGCGCAAGCACCATGCGTCGTATGGTAATGACACTGTATCCGTACCCGTATTAGTAATTTATAACTGACTTTGAGGAGCAGCCAACTCAGTGACATTTACTACCTAATCGCCTACAACAATTAATACAACCTATAAGTAACTTTTATCCTGCAAATATACATGGAAACCCTTGTTCCAGCGTCATTCTATACCTCGTAACAGTATGTATGTATGTATGTATGCATGCATGTCGTGCGAATGTGACTCACTACATTCATTGCTTGCTCCCTCTGCTCCAGAGAACGCCAGTGCCATGCCAAAACTTGAACAAAAGAGAAACAAATAACGTAAACCACTCCCCATTACAGGTAGAGGGACTGGGCAGCAACAATGTCCCGCCGGATTTTGGTAAGAGACGTCTCAAACTTCTGTTCAAGTTCTTCACTGCCCATGACCTTGGCAGCTTGTGCCATTTGCCGAATCAACTCCTCCAAGCGGCGGAAGACACGGATTAAACTGCCCTCATACACGTCCGTCATCTTGCAGATGCCTGCGAATGACATTCCGTGAGTCCACTCGTAGATCACATCCATCAGCTCCCAGTGGAAACTCTGCACGTATTCTTCCTCGTTAATCGCTAGTTTCGATTCCATGGACACTTTCGCGACGACGCGAGCTTGAGCTTGGATTTCCTTGAGCGGCTTTATCAACTCGTCCCTCTTCAGTGCAGGCGTATCCTTGGCCTTCTCCTCAAAGACAAAACAACTCAGGATAGAGGCACATTGCTCAGGCGTCAGATTGTTAAAAAAACCATTAAAGAGCAGCTCACTCAGCATCAGTTCATCACCCGTGCTGATCTCGCACGCCACTCGCGCCTTGAGCTGGACAACATCCGCCTCGTTGATGAAGCCGAATCGCCGGAGGACACGCTTTCGACATTTCAGCTCATCCAGCTGTATGACCGACATCGCATCGGAGATCTTCTTCCTGATAGCCTTGATCTGAGCTACCAATTCAACCTTCTCCGAATACTGATTGTACAATTCTGGCAATCGAGGTGAGTTATGCAGAGGGTTGGCCAACAGTCGCGATTCGAGAACTTCAACTTTCTACAATATCATTAGTTGATCTTTTATGCGGATTGACAGATTTGGAACGAAACAGCTTACTCTGAGGAGCTTCTTAAATGAATCATCTTTTATGTTCATGTTCTCAATGGGATCAAGCAGAGCAACACCATCCGGGAAGCGTTTCTTAACCTCCTGAAGAGCACGTTTGACACTATTTCGTGAGTCTACTGTCTGCACCTCTTTAGGAAGGAAGATTCGAACGTGAGACAAGGCCTGAACGCAGCTCAGAAGTACTGGAACTACGGCCAACTGACTCTTCTCACCCTCTTCAGGGGGTCGCACACCAGAAGGCAGATCAGTATGGGTACGAGTACCCGTAGAAGAACCATCAGCAATCTCCAGCAGAACATCAACAATGAATTTTTGATGGGCTTCGATTTCTTCGTTCGGGTTCTTCGTTTTGCGTGATTTGTAATTCACCACTGCTCCCCAGCCAAAATCATGATCCTCAAACTTGATTTGCACGAGACGTCCCGGTTGGAGGAAAGGTAGGCAGTAATCGGGATGACTGATCACTTTCTGCATATCAGACGTGAAATTTGCAAGATTCTTTCGAAGTTCATAATATTCCCGAATTGTTGCCTCGTCTTGGATATTTATACCTGCTCGTTTGGTTTCGAGGTCCGCGAGTTCTAGAAAAAAAGAAGGGTCAGTATTTTGGACCGCAAACACATCGGGCTTATATCAGTGCTCACCTTTCTCTAAGCTAGCCACGCTAGCAGTATTCTGAAACTGATAAAAGCAACGCTCCAACATAAAGTTTGGAGAGATGCCCTCCCCTACTCTCATTAAATTCAGAATCATATTGTAACCCAGGTGGAAAGCAGAATTGAGTCGATCCTGTTCACCACGCACAATCTCCTTGGCAACAGCGGGCTCCATTTCTTCTCCAACCATCATAATCACGATACCACGCTCATCGAGACCTCTTCGACCGGCTCGCCCGGACATCTGGATGAATTCTGACGGAGTAACCCAGCGAGTATCAATCCCATCAAATTTTCGCATATTGGTAAAAACGACTGTCTTGGCAGGCATGTTCAACCCAATGGAGAACGTTTCCGTTGCGAAAAGAACCTTCAGAAGACCTTCTTGGAACAAAATCTCAATAGTCTCTTTCAAAATGGGGAGCAAGCCTCCGTGGTGAACACCAATACCACGCCGCAACAAAGGCAAGATATTCTGAATTTGTTTTAGCTGTCGGTCTTCCTCGGATAGCATTTCGATTGCGCTATTGAAAACTTTGGAAACCATTTCCTTCTCCGAGTCATCATTGAACGCCAATTTACTCATTTGCAGGGCATTGGCCTCGCACTCTCGTTTGCTGAAGCTGAAAACGATGACAGGGTTGTAGCTCCTTAGCATGATCATCCTTACTATCTTAAAAATGTCTGATTTTTCATCCTTCTTTCCCCCCTTGTTGAACTTTTTATCCTTTCCTTTGCCCTTGCGATTGGCCAGGGCATCGGCCGGATCATCGCCCTTCTTTTCTGCGATGGAACTCATTGCTTTTTGGAAATTGTCTTCCCGAAAAACACCTTTTTCATCCACTACCAAATGAATTCCTTCTGCGCCAACTGGGAAGAAATAATGCTGTAATGGGGTAGGTCGAAAATCGGTGTAGACAACGTGACATGGCTGATTATGCAGTTTGACTATCCATTCGGCAAATTGCATCGCGTTTGGAATCGTTGCAGACAGGAACACGTAGCGTACCTTGTCAGGGAGCAAAATAATGGTCTCTTCCCAAACAACACCACGAGCTATACAAAAAAAAAATTAAAAATAAAGAATAAGCCAAACTTTTTCTCAACATGAATGACATAAACATTTAAACTTACTTGCATCGCGCATGTAGTGGATTTCGTCAAAAACCACCCATGCAACTTCACGCATAATTTCAGATCCGCGGTAAAGCATGGACCTCAGAATCTCCGTGGTCATAACAAGGCATGTTGCAGTTGGATTGATTGTAACATCACCGGTCATCAAGCCCACGTCGCCGAATTCAGCCGCGAATTCTCTGTATTTCTGATTACTCAGAGCCTTGATGGGACTGGTGTAGATAACCCTCTGGTTTTTCTTCAAGCTTTGCGCAATGGCGTATTCCGCAACCACTGTCTTTCCGGCACTTGTGTGCGCTGATACCAGTACGCTCTCTTCTCTTTGGATCGAATAAACCGAAACTTGTTGGAAAGGATCGAGGGTAAACGACCAAGTCCTCGCAGGGTCGTCGGGAGGCTTGTGCTCTGAGATAGGAACATAAGGATAATTTGGCGGAAGGGCAACCTGATGGCGGACTTGGTGCGAAAGAACAACTGCTCCTGCATCTTTAGTCGTCTGCAGACCAGCTGAGGCGGCTATTTCTCGCTCTTGCTCTGTTTCGAATGTATCGGTCACGACTGGCTCCGGCTCATCTTGCAGACGTTGGCGCTTCGCTTCCGGCTGGCCATTCTCCTCAGCTGGGCCATCTGTCACTGTGGTAGCGGCGGGGGCGTCTGACAGAACGTCGTCCTCTTTTGACTGCTTATCTTTGACATTCCCATTTGCTTGTCGCTTTTTGCTTTTGTCTTTGCGTGGTCGAGGCTTGACAGGCTCGTCATCTGCTGCGAGAGCATCTGGCTTGTCTTCGAGGATATCGAACAAGTCATCCATGTTGACGCCTGGGTCCTCCCTCCAGAGAAATAAAGCGCCAATGGAGACGAAGAGAAATGGCTTGCGGTGTTCCAAAAATTAAAAAAAAAAGTGTCGAGCCGCGTGCACTGGAAATTTGCGATTCCCGATTGGGGAAGGAGCGCTCCCGGCGAAGAAAAAAATCATTGGACGGAATTTGGGTCACGTGAGCCGCTTCTGTCGGGTCTCCGGGTTGGTCGAGTGATTCTCATGCCACTCGCTCATCAGATCATCCAGCTTCCAATCCCTCCTCCCACCACCGCCAGACCAAGGTAAGAACTGCTGAAACACTCAAGGGGCAATTGGGCTCTGTCTAATCGAACAAGATGATTGCCGCTTCCGCTGCTCGCGCCAGATTGGCCAACTCCCTCGTCGCTCGCCGGGCTTTCTCGACCACCCGTGCTCAGCTTGCCAGCCCCTACCACTATGCCGAGGGTCCTCGCTCGAACATCCCCTTCAACCCCAAGACCAAGTACTTCTTCTTCCGATACTGGGCTTTCATGAGTATGTGATGCCATTGCCGCTTGACGCGATATACTGGGACTCAGTGAAAACTGACGTGTATTTGTTCTATACTTTTTAGTCACCGGATTCGGCGCCCCATTTGCCATTGCTGGTACGTTTCTATCTCTAGAACTGGGTCCTCTTTTCATTTTTCAACTTACTAAATGTATTTCTCCAGTCTGGCAAACCTACAAGACCCGTGCTTAAAGGGCGTGCGCTTCGAATTGATTATTCAACTGGATCGGATGTTGGGAATGGGACTGTTACACTACATCAGAATAAAGATTTCATTTGTACAAAACTAGAAAATCTTAAAGAAGTTTCCGTTAACCCGTGTTTCTTTAATTCTTAATAGACTGGTTCCTTTTGGTGATCGTACGATGTGCTGGTTGCGCTCGGAAATGTGAATGAAGTCATTGGTTGATATTTATCGATGGATCTCGGATAACCAAATTTGCGGAACACTCCATGAATAATTTTTTTTTTTCGAGACTGACACCCTGAGACCTGACGAGGCATACCAAAGCTAAATTCGTGCTAAATCCGTGTATTAAGGGAGAAAATACCTTTTTTTTGTCGCGAACATAGCAGTCAACAGACTTCGTGGTGGGTTCTGGTCAATGGGGAGGGGCACATAATTGAGGAAAGATGCGCAATCTAAAGAACGTGCGCCTGGCGGAGATCCAGCTCCAAACCAAGCTCTCATTGACTGCAACAGCTTGGGATACCTCCTCGCATTCCATCGTCTGTGCGTTCGGACCAGAAGAAGGGAATCAAGTCATTGAATTGCGGAGGAAACGCCATGATGCCCGCTACACATCTCCCGCCAGTCTGGAGGACTTTGAGACCATCGCATCGTGGGACGCTCCATGTCCTCTCCCTGACTTGCCCTGTGATAGTGTGCTGTCACTGCAGTATTTTGCAGACAATCTGACTGCAGTTCTCGTTTTGCAAGGAGGAGACATCATTATAGTTCGAGAGGATCCTCAGCCTGGGGAGGACAAGATTGAGATTCTGGGCTCGGTTGATGTCGGTATCACTGCGGCAGCCTGGTCTCCCGATGAGGAGCTTTTGGCAATAACCACGAGAGCAAACACGCTTCTTTACATGACCCGCGAGTTTGAGAATGTTGCAGAGATTACTTTCACCCCAGATGATCTCAAGCTTTCACGGCATGTCTCTGTTGGATGGGGAAAGAAGGAAACTCAATTCCAGGGCAAGCGAGCAAAAGCGTTGCGAGATCCCACAATGCCTGAAAAAGTCGACGAAGGCAAGTTCAGCAGTTACGATGATTCTCGGACTTCAATTACGTGGCGAGGTGATGGCGCCTTTGTTGCCGTGAACAGCGTCGAGACCGGTATCCGCCGCGTTATCAGAGTATACTCGAGAGAAGGTGCTCTTGACAGTGTTAGTGAACCGGTCGATGGCTTGGAAGGAGCTTTAAGCTGGAGGCCGGCGGGCAATATTATCGCCGGTATTCAGCGTCTGGATGATCGTATTGACGTGGTCTTCTTTGAGCGCAACGGACTGCGTCACGGCCAGTTCACGTTGAGATTATCAGATAAAGAGCGAGGGAGCTGGGGCTCGGATATCTATCTAAACTGGAACATTGACTCTACCGTCTTGGCTGTGCAGTTCAAGGATCGTATCCAGTTATGGACAATGGGCAACTACCATTACTACCTCAAGCAAGAGATCCCACTTGTTAGCGAGGGAAAGAATTTGTTCCGCTGGCATCAAGAAAAGACCCTCAGATTTATTGCCGCTTCTTCCAGTAAGTCAGAATTCTCTTCCGTAAGTAATTCGATGCTAACGTGTTTTTAACAGATGTCTTGATGGACAGTGATTGGGTTTTTGATGTCTCACATGGCTCGACAACCAGTCCAGATGATTATGGGGCAGTCGGGGTCATCGATGGAAGTAAGTCGAAGGGAAATGATTATTATATACTGCGTCGTCTAACATGCCCTAGGAACTCTGAAACTGACTCCATTGAGACTCTCTGGAGTCCCACCCCCAATGGCTCACTGTGAAATCAGCGTCGATTCGAATATAGTGGACATTGCATTCAGTCGAACGGGAAGCAGAATCGCAGTACTCACCACAGATAATTTCTCTATTTTCGAGTGGTCCTTGAAAAGTAAACCAGTGCCATCGCCGCTGTTGGAATCCAGCTATCCTCTTCCGCAGAACTTGAACTCTCGGCCAAGGCAAATTGCCTTCCTTGGTGACAGTGAAGTTTTTGTTCTCATTCATCATGATCCTTTTGACCGTCGAATTGAGAGAACAAGATTAGACACCCGTGAGACCATAATTTCATATACTGCTAGTGCAGAGGAAGACATTAAAAGTATATTCACGAGTATTAAGCATGACAAGCTTTGGATCTCGAAATCCTCTGAGACAACAATGGGCACAACATACTTGGAAGGAGTTCTGTCGCCAGAAAAACCTGAGGCTTCTCCTTTCGAGCAAGCTCCATTGGTGGATACTCATTGGGCGGCGAGCACCAGCATATCGGACAATCAGGTATGTTACCTCTGAAAGAGTTGTCTATGACCCAGCTGACAGGAGCAGAATATCTTGATTTCATTGACTCGAACAGGCGCTTTGTACGCCAATCGACGTTTGTTGGCAAAGAATTGTACTTCTTTCACGATCACACCTGCTCATATTATATTCACCACTACTCAACATCTTCTAAAATTTGTTCATATTACGAATGTGGAAGGTATGATCATCTTCGCTGGATGTCACGGAATTTTTTTTTTTCCCGCAAGTTATGTGCAAGGCATACACTAATCCAGAATCATAGATATGGAGGTCCCCGCTGATACACCGGAAACCGATGAGAGATGTAGAAGCATTGAACGTGGCGGAAGGATAGTAACAGTGACACCGTCGAACTTCGCTGTGACACTGCAGATGCCTCGAGGGAATTTGGAAACCATATACCCGCGGGCATTAGTTTTGGCTGGAATCCGAAGCTTTATTGATGCAAAAGACTATCGCTCAGCGTACCTTGCGTGCCGTTCCCAGATGGTCGATATGAATATTCTACATGATTACGCCCCGCTGCAATTCATGGAGAACGTCCCACTCTTCATTACACAGGTCAAGAGAGTTGATTATATTGACGAATTCCTGTCGCGGTTGAGGTAACTTCCAATTTGTCCTAGAGATGAACGGCCTCGCTAACAGCTCAACAGCGAAGATGATGTTTCCAAGACTTTGTATAATGATACACTGAAATTATCAAAAGCTGAAGCCGAAGCTATGGGCCAGGCAGGTGTTGATGCAGGTGTCAGGAAACCACCGAGTATCTCCAAAGGCGGCAAGATAAATGGCATTTGTGATGCATTCTTAGCAGCATTGAAGAACAAACTTGACACGAACTTGCAGAATTTGGTCACAGCTCACGTATGCAAGTCTTCTCCAGATCTTGATGCTGGATTACAGCTGGTAGCAAATTTGAGAGGTTTGTTTTCCCTGGAAAATGTTTGACACTCGTACTGGAACTCATGCAAATTTCTTTTTTAAACAGTGCGAAATTCGGGACAAGCCGAAGAAGCTATTGAGCATATGTGTTTCTTGACCGATGCCCGTCATCTCTACAAGAATGCTCTTGGGCTATATGATCTTGAGCTCACTCTTCTCGTCGCCCAGCAGGCCCAAATGGTATTTTCTTCTTTTCTCAGGCGACAAAAACTGAGTCTGGTTGTTTGTAGCTAATTACGAATAGGATCCGCGCGAATACCTCCCCTTCCTACGAAAGCTCCAGACTCTACCGGATCTTCGCCGGCAATTCGAAATCGACAACTACTTAGGTCGATCGGCCAAAGCCCTCAAGCATCTTCATGCTTTAGAAGCCTATGAGGAGCTGAAGCAGTACGCTATAAAGCACAGCCTTTATCTGGAAGCCCTAGAACTCTATAAGTACCAAACGGATAATCTGAGGGAAATGACTCATTTATATGCCGACTACTTATACGAACAGAGTAATTACAAGGAGGCTGCAATTGGTAAGACATAAATAAGTCATGCAACAATTTCTTTTTTTTTTCTCCAGGTTTGTCTGACAGTGGCTAATGCTTGCATAACAGCTTACGAGTCGCTTGGCATCTATGAAGAAGCATATAAATCTTACCAAATCGCTCACCAGTGGCGCGAATCCTTATTCTGCGCTCTCATGGTACCTTTACCGGAGACCGAGCTGCAAAGCCACGCCATCGAACTAGCTACAACCTTGGTAGAGGAGAACAAGGATTATGTAGCAGCGGCGCAAATACAGGCAGATCACCTGAAAGACTATCGCGCAGCAGCGCGACTGTTTTGCCGCGGCTCTCGTTTCGCAGACGCCACACGGGTCCTAGCCATAAACGGCCTTCAAGATGCCATCCCCGACATCGTTGATAGCGGACTAGGAGAAGCAATGGGATCGACAACAGATTTCTTAGCCGATTGCAAATCCCAATTGAACGCACAAGTGCCTCGAATCCGGGAGCTGCGCGAAAAACGTCTTGCAGATCCCCTGGCATTCTTCGGCGGCGATCCATCCATGGACGCAGGTGCAGGCGCTGACATTCCAGATAACGTCTCCCTCGCACCCACAGACGCCTCGACAGCCGCCGGTAAAACCTTGTTCACAAGATACACAGGCGGAACGGCAATGACGAGACGAACGTCGAAAACTCGACGTCGCGAAGAACGTAAGCGAGCCGCTGGACGTAAGGGCACGGTTTACGAGGAGGAATATCTGGTGAACAGTGTGCGGCGTCTTATTGAGCGGGTCAATAGCACGTTTGACGAAGCCAATTCGTTAATAGAAGGGCTTTTACGTCGTGGGATGAGGGAACGTGCGGTTGCGGTCGAGAAGGCTCTTCAGGAAGTGTTAGACATGTGCTCTTCGTCTTTGCATGAAGTGTTTGAGCAAGAGGAAGAACAGCAGCAACAGCAACAAGAAGATGAAAATAACGCTGCGGAAGGGCAAAAGGCTCAGGCTACTGGTGGCGATGCAGTCTTCTTGGAGAGTTTGTATGGAGGGCAGAAACGACCAGCACCGATTGTGAAGCAGTTTTCCAAAATGGCTCTTTTGGGCTAATTCTGTCCTTCTCAGTATCCTATAGAGGAAAGGGAATGTTTTATCACATGTACCTCGATACTTGTCCTGGAAGTGCAACTGGGAATCCATTTCCATGAGACAACGCGAGCAGTAAGGTATTTTAATTAGGGCTATGAGATCTAGCCTAGATAAATATGTTCTAGAGCTCGCATAGCGCATTCTGCTGGGACAGAGCTTTTCTCAGGTTGATATAGCTACTTCATGTCTCAATAACTCGAAAAAAATAATGCTACAACGGAGGAATGCAATTAATGCCAGTAGATGGACTGATTCCCGCGAATAATCTCCCAGCCCTTGTTCAGAGCATCGACGACCTCCTGCGGGAGAGGACCTGTCTTCATGGCTCGTAGATTCTCCTCCAGCTGCTCAATACTACTAGATCCAATAACGATACCGTCTTCGAGCTCGTCCTTCAGCTGCGAGTGATGCGACAACCATCCGAGAGCACACTCAATCTCGGTGAGCCCATGCTTCTTAGCCACGGGCCTCAAAATATCAAGTGCATCAAAATACACATCATGATAATACCGCCGACGCGTGAGACTGCCAGAGCTTGAGACAGGGTCAAATCTACCCCCGGCAACGGCATCGGGCTGATGGCGAGAATACCGACCGGTCAAAATACCCGCTGCCAGAGGGTTGAAGCAATAAAATGCGATCCCATGATGCCGCAAACAGCGTAACAGTTCCGGCTCCACCGCACGGTGGAAAGCATTGTATATGCCCTGGCATACGCTAGGCTTGACCCATCCATGCTGATCGCAGATATCACAGATTGTCGCCACCTCCCAAGACTGGTAGTTGCTAATCCCCAGCTTCTCGAAGTATCCTTCCTCATGTAGCTTGTTCACCTCCCACAGGGTGTCTATGAATGGAACGGTGCGGTCTGGGCTGTGTAGATACCATACGTGGACCTTGGGTACTCGCAATGCTTCAAGGCTCTCCATGAGCCCCCGGCGAAGGTCGCTCGGAGTATGGTGATACGCAGTAGTCGCGGACGCCATGGCAGGATTTACGGCAGACGGAAATAACTTCGTGTCAAGATTGACGGATTCAAGATTCATCTTGCCTAGAAATTCCTCGGACGATCCATTGCCGTAAATCCTGGCCGTATCGACGTCTTTGTGTCCATAGCTTTTGTAGAGCTCAACCATCTGCTGAGCTTTCTCTACCCTGTGAACCCGCGTGCGTCCGTCACCTGGCATACAAGTATTAGTAATAGGAGATAGATTATTATTGTGAAGTACCTTACCGGGTTCGCCGATGTTCATAGCTCCAAAAATGAGTTTCATGGTCGGTGAAGAGGAGGAAGCACAACTGCAGCAAAAAGGGGTTGCAACATACTCGAAAGATGGGTATTCACAGCTGCTTTTATAACTCACTGAAGTTGTTGAACCACATCATCCACCTGGTATGTGATAAGCCAGTCGCGATATACTCATGACAGCTGCATCAGACCCACCTTTAGCGCGTAAGCAGAGTCATTAGGGTTAAGCAAAGTTGCCTCTCAACTTTTTCCTATGCCTGGGAGATGCAAGCTTTACAGTACAGTGCTAAGCGGCGTCATCTTTGGCGAAAGCAGCCTATATGCAGCTGCAGCCATGCGAGTTCCCCAGTAGCAGCTTGCAGAGAACTTGAAACAACACCAGCTATCGCTTGCGTCGTCTAAGTTTTGCATAGTCTTCTTGGCTCCATATATGGTAGGGGTTGCTTTTGTCCAGGATAACTGTCTGTCCATGGCTGTGCCCTTTGTCTACCTCGCATGAAACTAACGTAGTATAGTAAGGATCGATCTTCCTGCCCAACAGCTAACTATAGCATGCCTAATTAGGATATCTCTAATATTGATGACTATGAGGACGTTTGTATCAGAAAGAAGTAAGCTAAATGCCAATGAGATGAGCTCGAAAAGGGATAAAAACGAAAACGAAAATCGAAAACCGAAAATTGTTATTTAGCCCTCAAGACTCAAGACTCAGGATATCACCTGTCTCGCTGACAAGATGCGTATCAATCGGCGCAGGTCCTTCACCAACGCCAGTTAGGATAACGCGGCTGATACCATTTTTCAGTACCTCGATAGCCTTGGAGTCGAGACTGTTCAGATCAACTCCTGCAGAAACCCCCCTGAGTCTGTCGCCAAATGGACCGTCCCAGCCCTCGAGAGATTCGCCCAGAATAGCTTTGAACGTCCCACCAACGACTTCAGAGACTTCGTCGAGGTAGTAAATGACAGCATTTGGGCCAGCGTCAAAGGTATAAGCCGCGACAGTCTTGCCGGCCACTCGGTTGATGTCGTTGACTAGACGAATAGCAGCCCGCGACACATCGTTCAGGTAGAAAATAGGTGGTTCCGAATCCAAACAACAAGCATGGAAATTGTTTGAATCGCGCATGGTGAGGTCAGCAAAAGCAGCAAAATCCCGATTGGTGATTGCTTCTTCCATCGCTATCATGCGCTTGGGCACAATGTGCTCGGCGCGAGTTGCGAACAGCGGCGAGGTGTGGACAGTAGTCTGCATGCCCGTTGTGCTTGGCACGTCTTTCTTCTCTGCACTGACAACCAATATGAGAGCTTTCATATCTGGCCAGTGGGACGCTGGCGCCACCTCTTCAGCAACACTATCGCTGCCGTCCTCATTGGTGCCCGATCGCCAAGCAACGTATCCTCCCTGAAGCGAGCGACAGGCAGAGCCCGAGCCCTGTCGAGCAATACGACTGAGATCTGTTGGTGATTGGGGAAGCTTATACAGGTCTGCAATGGCCCGAATGAGCGCTGCAAAGCCTGCGGCAGAGCTTGCTAGACCAGCAGCGGTTGGGAAATTGTTCTCGGAGACGATACGCAGCGGATATGTTGAGAGTTCCGGGAGAGATGAATCGGCAGACTCGAGCTCCTTGCGCAGAGCGCGCAAGCTGGAGAGACAGGCGAGTGTTCGTTTGGAGGACGAAATGTTTTCGGGCTTGCCATTCAGCGTAAGACTGTCTCCCTCGACCGCAGGGTAACTGGGAGAGCACGATGCTGTGGTTACGGTGCGTAGAGAGCGTTGAGAGAGGGTCACTGAGAGAGACGAATTTGTGGGCAGGTTCAATGTCGCATCGCGCTTTCCCCAGTACCTGTGGTTCATGTGTATGAGTATCTTCTTCTTCAATCAATTGACCTCGCGGGGGGGGGG